CCCAACCCCAGCCGAAGCAACGGTCGGAGAGGGCGAGTTCCAGCGGCCGTGCATGTACAGTATACATACGCTGCACGGACGCTCTGGCAGATTCACGACACCTCGTTGGCTGTCGCCTCACCCAGGCAGCCGATAGGTAGTCATGCATGCCGGCCTGCCTGCCTGGACCAGGTGCATATCGTCATGCAGATCGCCTACGGCTTGACGAACGCTATGGAGATCGATGTCAGATTGCGGCCAAGCTACATCGTGTGATGCGTTGGCGGGCCATGTACCTTGGGTGTACGCACGTACGTAAAACATGCATTGCGGGCGCTGTCATGATTTATGCCGTTTGCATCTGCACCTTGCTCGGCCTACTCTACAATATGCCTGGCTGACGGAACACGGACGGGGGCGGCAGGGTCTGCTAGAGATGTGCACCGTTGGCCACAAAACAGCGGTGGACCGTCCGCCCACCGCTGCTAATCGGGCAAAGTACCTTCCCGTTTCCGCTTGTGGCCGAGGCGGTCCTCTGCATGTCATTGAGCCAAGGTTGCACTGCGGAGTACCGCACGGTACTCGGGTGGAGTACAGCGGACGCAAGTGCGGAGCTATAAATACACACTGTGAGAAGTCATGTTCTGCAAAACGCACTACCCCCACCAATTATCAACACCCGCCTTATCCACCTGCTTCTGCCGACCTGTCCAGCCTCAGCAGTCAGTCAGTTAGTCAGTCAGTCAGTCGTTCTGTCTCTCTGCCAGGGCAGTCCGGTGGCCGGCGCAGGAAGTCGGTTGAACAAGGACGTTCAGAAATGAATGCCTCCATCAAGTCAGCACAGCAACCAAGCTCAGCATAGCAGCAAGGCTCGCATCTGGCCGGCCGCTTCGCGACGGCTGTTTCACACCCAGGGACTTTTCACCACCTGAATGCAGCGCACATGAGGAGCACTCACAGCCCGGGGCTCAAGGCTATCTAACCGGAATTCCCATCTTCGCTCGTCTCTCATTGCTTTACCTCTCCTGGACTATTCATCCCACCAGTTCGAGCCCAGACTGCGGTTCTGTTGATTCTGTGCACCCTGTCTTAGTCCCATGAGGCAAGCATGAGCATGATTCTAGCCGAGACATACATAACTTGTGCTACCCAAGGGGCGATTACGCACAGGAGAGGCACAGGGCAACTTGTGTCGCCCATCCTTTCAAGCCGGGTTCAGTGGCACGTACCGCTCCAACACGGAGCCACTGCGCCGCGTTATAACGCACACCACAAGGCGTGTTGCCAATTCTGTAGCGGAGACGGATCTTCAGCTTTCCCTCCCCGAGCACAGCTTCCGTCATGGGTGCAGTGTAGCTGTTGCAGCGGAACCAACCGCGACTCCGCGCCGCATCGGACGAGGCACACTCACACACTCACACACTCGCACACTCGCACACTCGCACACTCACATGCAGTGACTTTGAGATGGATGGGGGCCGGGCCATGCCGTTTATGCCGTGCGCATCGTGTCGCAAAGCCGGAAGCAGGCCACTCAACTCTCAGCGATGCACCACGCAACGCCGCCTTGTTCGGCCTCGCAGGCGTCACCCACATGGAGGCGCAGCGGCGTCGAGGCATTGAGCCAGGTCGCGGGGATCCTGACCTCCCTTAGCGGCATGGGGTACACAAGACGAACAGGACGGCAACTCCCGCGGCCGTGTGAAGACCGCCCATCCCTCGCCTGCATACCTGTCCGCAGTCCCTTCCCAGCGTTGCCTGACTTGGCCTACTAGAGCTTCCCACAAATGTAACTGGGAAGCTGTCGGGGATCGCACGTATCCACTCACCACACACCCTCTTGCACAAGAAAAAGCAACATGGCCCCCCCGACTGTCGACATGCCAATCTACAAGCCTTTGTCTGAGACCACAACCTCGGGCCTGGCGACGGACCGCCTGATAGCGCGCGGGTTGGTCCACTTGGCTTAAGCCAGCCTTGGCCAAACGCTGCCTCGGTCCGCCAGCACTACTACTACATACTACCTACTTATTACTGTAGTGTACAGTAGCAACGGCCTGGCGAATTCATGGCGAGACGATGCTGTTGTACTCGGCGCTACCACTTTGCTGGGTGGTGGTAATTCCATGAATCACTGCGCTCGAGATGGATGATACATGTCTGTCGTTGTATGGTGCACCCACTCACACGGACATCGAGAAAGGATATGCCGTCGGTTTGGCCTATGTTGGCTGGCCCTTCCCACCCCTCTGGTTCAAACACTACATCCCGCAGCGATCCCCTCCGTCAGATTTGCCAACTGCGACGCATCAGACCTCGTTTCAGTGGATGACCGCAATCCCATGAAATCCTGCCGGCCAAGTCTGTGCATGCGCCCTACTGTGTACACGCCGGATATGGAAAGCTTCCCGGGGAAGAGCTCCCTACACATTAATGGGTTAGCAACAGCCCTTTTCTGTGCAACCCCGTGCCTCGTTTGGTCATGCGAGATCAGCCACGCGCGCCGTCCCACGCCTCGAATACCACTACCCTAGCCCCATAGGTTTGGATCAAATTCGGTTCATGGCCCATTTGTGAACCCCGAGAATTGACGGCGAAGACGGCGCACTGGATCGAAACCTGTTTGCTGTGCCACGGCAATCGTGCCTCTTCGGCAAAGCAGCGGTGTGGGGAGGAATGAGGAATCGTCAGGATTCGCTTCTCGTTGGCCTTATACCTCATACAGCGTACCGCCACGAGACCAACTTACGTCTTACTCTCCCTCACACACACACACTCACACACTCACGCTCTCTCTCTCTCTCACGGCTGTCGCTAAAATGTCGGCCGACAAGCGCGTAGGCGCCAACGGCGAATGTGTGCCTCGACTTGGGGGATGACAGATCTCAACAGGGAAACCCGCATCAGACAGCTAGGCCCTCCGTCGGCCAGCTGCCGTTGCCCAGCGCTGCCCACCACCTCACTTCACGTCCCTGTCTCACAGCAACCGATCCAATTCGGCCATGACTGGGCCGGCCGCATCCGCGCTGCAGGACCTCCAACAGTCACGAGCAACCTGGGTGGGAGGTCTCCCATCAGCACCCGGCGGTTGGCCGCCTGGCATCTGCTCCCCGAGCACTCAATGGCCGCGACCCAGATTACGGGACCGCGACGTGGTAAGAACGTGGCTGGCATTTATACAAGGAATGGCTATATCGACCGGGCGCTCCGCATATATGTTATATATATATGGGGGCCTAGCCACCCCGAGACGGATAACAAGAATGTGATATATGACCGACACCAGACGCCAGTCGCATCACCCGACTTTGCCACCCTTGGATATTTCCTCCGTGGAAGGTTGGTTCATATGCTGCGATCAGTCACTTCCTCGATCGCCTGCAGGACTCGCAGCGAGACAGAAGGGCGCCAAGCTGGGGGAACAAGGGGTGGTGGAGCCAGCCTGCCGTTTGTCGGCACCGAGCACAATGCCTTGTTGTGACTGGCCTGCGGGTTGGTCTACCTGCCTGTCGGTCCCCATTTTCTGATCCCTCGAGCTCCGTCACAGCCAATCCACAGGCGGCCGAGACGGAGCCCGTAGATAGACCGATGCAACACGACCGGGACCCCACTTTTTCGGGACCCAGCCCGTCCGTCACCAGCTGGCGCTGGGCCCGTTTTGCTGCCTCCCGTTGCAGATGCCGTCGCGACGCTATCATGGATTAGGCAAGCGGACGGGCCCAACTGACATCTCGGCTGCAGCAACACTTTCCGTTTGCCTCGCTTGCGACCATCCTGTTTGCCCGTCAGCTGCAGGACGGAAGGAAGGAGGGGAGGACCGTGTCATTGACAGGTCCAGGACCGGGTTCAGGGGGGAGGCAGGCGGCCCTCGCCCAAAGGAGCGATGTGCATGGCAGGCGTGGAGATAGCAGAGGTCCCAAGGAAAACCAAAAAAAGACCCAGTCGAATGGGAGCAGGAGCTGGACCCCAGCCCGCGCCGCGCAGCGCAGCGGTACGGCCCTGCTGCTTCCCGCGGAGCGTACCACAGGGCCGCGCCACGCACCGCTGCAACTGCGCACAGCTTGCTACTAGCCGCCTGGGCCGCATTGTGGATTTCGACTTGTGATCGCGGACCGATGCGAGGGCCTGCAGCACGTCCTGGGATCGTCGCTCGACCGGGTCGCTCGAGCTCCCTTCCCCCCTGCCCCTGCCCGCCTCTCATGGTATCCCACAAGCACACCTCCCCTTTTTTTTTTTTTCCCTCACCTCCTGCACGGAGTAACTACTGCACCCGAGTCGTTCTTGTCCCGTTTTGTGTCACCGCCCCCCTCCTTTTCCTGCGGCTAAGAAACTCTGCTGCTGTACGGGACGTCAGCACCAACGGGGTCGGTTAGTAGCCTCGCCTCATTCCTTGAGCATCCTTTTTTTTTTTCTCTGGGTCATCGTGGCCCCCATTCGTGGCCACTCCGCACGACGCAAGCCTGTGGAGCACACCCTGTCTTCGATTCACTGTGAGCCTTGATTTTTTTTCTTGTCTTCTAATTCTCACCTTCCCCCCCCCCCCTCGTGCCCGATGTGTGCTGTGCGCATGGGTACCTGGAAACCTTGTCCCCACTACTATTTAAACCCCGGGGGTGGTGTCTGGCTATTTCCAAGACCTGGACGGTTTCCCAATTAGGAAGTGGCGATGCATGCACGGCGAGGCCGAGCAGTGAGCATGTTTGTTTGAAGCGATGATATCCCAGAGGAGACTTTTCTCGTGCTTCGTCATGATTGTGTCTTGGTGCAGTCTTTTGTGGCCGCCGAACGGCGAATGGTGGCTGTGAAAAGTGTCCGAGATGTGGGCGGAGGATGTGTCATGGGCTGGAAAGTCGCCGGCAGATGGCCTATATAGATTTTGGTCAAAACCTTCAAGAGAATGAAGTGGAAGTTAATCAAACTCATCTCAGAATACTATTCTATCCATTTGAAGCGGCACCGCCAACTGATCAAATCGTCACGCTAGCCTTTCGGACTTAGACGAGGCTGAAAGATTCGCCGACATGGACGGCAAGACGAAGCTCAACCAAGAGCACTTCGAGTAAGCATCCATGAGACCTCTTCATTCTTCATCACCCTTCTTTATGACAATTTTGCTTGGGTGAAGTCACCAATATCTCAGTGCTGGCATTTAATGTGCCAAAAAAATAACCGGCGGTTCATGGTGACCGAGTTCAACTACTGAAACAAAAGCTGACCGAAGGAAATTTATAGCAACGAAGCAGCAGACTATGATGCAAAGCATGAGAAAACAACGGCTGAAATAGCCCGACGGCTCGAAGCGCGGAGGGGCCTGATCGGCGTTCAATGGCTCGAGGAGGACGACAGTGCCGATGAAGAAGAGGGCGTCAGCACTGCCGACGCGGTTCCCGCGCGGGCCGTGAGAGTCCTCGATTACGCCTGTGGCACCGGTTCGATGTCTAGAGTCAGTAATGGTCCTGTCCTTGCGCTGCAACGATCCGAAATGAAGTAAATGGAGGAGGTTTCAACTTTTCATGTGGTCGCATGATTGTTTCTCTTTGTTTTCCCCCTTCTCCCAGATCGTAAACTAACCAGTGTCGGTGTAACAGGCGTTTGCGCCATACACAACGCAATGTGTGGGCATTGACCTTTCTGAGAAGATGGTGGACGTGTATAATGCTCGTGCTCGGAACCAGGTAGGCATTTGTCACTTCCCAACCCCATCTGATCATTATCCCCGGTGAAGAGAGAAGTCCCCGTAAATAACCAGGGCTCCTTCCTTCCACTAACAGCTATCGGCAGGGGCTGTCGGAGGATGAGATGGTCGCGTTCTACGGCAACCTCTGCGTGCCAGAGGACCAAGACCCGGAGGCCTTCCGCGACGGCAAGTTCTTCGGGTTCGACCTCGCCGTCGTCGGGCTCGGCTTCCACCACTTCGACGACCCGGACCTGGCGGCGAAGCGGCTCGCGGCCCGGCTGAAGCCAGGCGGGGTCCTCATGATCATCGACTTCCTGCCGCACGCGCCGCACGGTTCTGGGGCGTCGGGTGGTCATGATCATCACCACCACGACCACTCTCACGATGCGCATGCTCATAGCCATGGGAAAGAGGGCGCCGATATCGAGATGGCTGCGGATGAGAAGGCCTTGAGGACCGTGACGCACCACGGGTTCTCGGAGGAGCGCATCAGGGAGATCTTTGTTGGTGCTGGGGCGGGAAAGGACTTCGCGCTTGATGATATGGGGCAGGTGAAGTTCGGGGAGAAGCATGGGAAGAGGACTTTGTTTATGGCGAGGGGTACTAAGGAGCGAGAGTGCTAGGGGTTAAAGTAACCTCTGAAATAGACATCTAACACATTGGAGACAAGAAGTAAACGTGATATTACTATTAGAGGTGGATAGTATAATGAAAAGGCTGTGGCAGGCTCCATCGACAAAATGAAGCATCAGTCGGGGGCCACATGTTCCCTACCACGCGAGATCAACTCACAGGCTCGTCGACCTTGCTGCAATTGATGATCGTCCAACACGGACGAGACATTGTTGCTTCTGAGGGTCTAGACAAGATCGAAGGTGATAATCAGGACATCCATCAAGTGGTGGTCATGATATCATTTGGATTCCCATGCTGGCATGATCGTCTTGCGTGGTAGGTGCGATTATCAAGGAAGATGTTACCTAGATGTCCCTCCTGAAGCGCCAGCACAAGAGACACAAGTTTTGGGCGCGGCGCGTACGCAAAGGAATCGCGAGGGCGAAGCCTTCGACAGATGAAATGACCATGACGAAAAGGTCTCAGTCGATGAATGTCAGTGGTTGTTAGCAGCATTGGCGGCAAGATGCTCGGCGGAGCGTCCCAAGATGTCGACAGTGAATGATGATGGAACGAAAGGGAAGAGGGTCTCGCTAAGGAATTTACAGCGCCTGCGCGAGTCCAGCACAGGCGGTTGGTCCCCGAGACAATCTCCCCAAGACTGCCTCCCGCGTGTCTCTCCTCCCACTGGAGCGGCCCGTAACGCCGTCCAACCACCCAGCCGACTCTGGTGGGTGACGGACGTGCCGCCGCCCCCAAGGCACAGCACTGGCGGAAGGGGGATTCCGTGCGTTACGAGCCAATGTATGTCTCAGATGCTGCGTGGCCTGGGCCCGAGAAGGAGCATCAAGCTCACCTGACAGCCTCCTGTTTGGCGTTGTTCTTTCTTTGCTTTTTTCCTTTTTCCACTTCTCGTTCTTTCTTTCTTTTCATTGCCTGCTTGATAATCCGCAAGTGCTGCTCCTGATCAAACTATAATCCACCACACAGGGTCCGAATGATCCAATCTCCCCAGCAAGGAAATAGAGAGCCTCGAGCAACAGCAAGACCAGCCCTACCAGCACGCCGTTTGGGAGCCACAAGGCCCAGCTACCTAGCCTGAGGCGGGAGGGGGGAGGGGGGCCAGTGTGGTTAGTCGATCACCCGTGCCCGCGGGCGCCCAGAGCGTTGCGTTGCGAGGGAGAGACCCGAGCCGTCCGTCCCACGTCTGATGCCCACGGGAGAGCGGGCGACGTTTTGGGCGGTGCCCAGCCTGCCAGGGAGCGAGCCAGCGAGCCGGCCCAGGAGATCCCACACTCGCGCTCCCTCACACAGTCTGCCCCGCGCACCGTGGGCACAGGTACCCGGGCTGTACTGTATCACACGCTACCCGAAGCGACGGTGGCAGCGGCAGCGGCAGACCCAACTAAGTACCGCGCCTTGCTCCTCATGATGGCCCGAATACCGGAACACGTCAGTGAGAGGGTTTCTGCACCGACGGGGCCATGGGCCTAGGGCGCAAGCCAGGGCCAGGGGAGATGTGAGAATGAGAAGGAGGATGGAGGGATTGGAGATGGGATGGGAAGTTAGCGGTACGTACATGTACTTCTGAGGACTTGGACGGCCGACCCTGACTCTCTTCTCTACTCCCCGCGTCTTTCCCCCCTGGGACCAGGCTATCACAGAGATAGAGAGAGAGAGAGAGAGGGCACAGGGCAGAACGAACGGGCATGTCACCTGTGCGGCAAGACGGGGTCGACCTTCTGGGGGGTTGCGTGATGTGACATGAAACTTTACTAAGGGCCTAAACCTCTGGGTGATAGTGGGTTCACCCCTGGATGTACTTTTCCCTGAGAACATCCGCTGGTGAACTCCTTGGTCAATTGGAAGGGCCCACCCCCCTGGACGGGGATTGGCTACAGTCAGGCAGAGCGTGTTGGTTGGACGGTGGACCGGGCTAGGAGGTGAGCACTGCCTGTTGTGGTGAAGCCCAATCCTTGGAAGTGGAATATCACGAGGCAAAGAGGCGGAGATGGGACGGGGCGGTGTGCGAGCAGGCGCCAGCCTCCCTCCCTCTATCTCTCTGTGTTGGTGAGGACACCGTCTCATAGCTGGTGCTCGACCATTGAGGAGAGGGTGTCGACGACAGCCGCCGCCATGCCTCTTTCGAGCCTCGTCGGGGTCTCGACCCGGGCTCGAGGGCGAGGAGTAGAAAACTGTACGTACCAACCAGTGACTTTCTCTCATAAGGCGGATTGAATCCGCGGGCTGGGAGTTGTAGTCGCCCTTCACTGCGTCTTCCGTTTCGTCCTAGCTTGCGGGAGATGTGATGGCGCCGCGTGAGCGAGAGACAGACGGTCAGACGGTCAGTCAGGAGGCGCGCCCCGTTCCTCCTCGAGCGCTTGATCGATCCCGTCTGACTTTCTTAGTGAGAATGGAAAAAAGCAGAAAAAAGGGTCAAGTCTCGCGGGCCGTCAGAAACACGGCTCGGTCTCAGCGAGAGCATGGAGTGCCCCTCGATCTATTTAGTCCTCCCATCCCGTCCCGCACTCGTCACCGCCTAGTCCTCGAGAGGGATGAGGCCTGTGAGGCCCCGTCACGAGGGCCGCCGAGGCGCGACGGCTCGGGGTTCAAAGGGGGGGGGGGACGACCGGGCCCTCCAGTAGTTTCGTCGATGCCCGCGGGAGAGCTTCGGGAGCTCTCAGCGTAGCAGCAGCAGCAGCAGCGCGCGGCGGTAGCGATGGGGCGGACTCGGGTAGGCTCTTTTACCACTAGGGAGCAGGTGTCCATTAGGGGGCGACCCGGGAGCACGCCGCTGCGTTGTGCTGCGCTGCGTGCCGTCCCTGGCGCTGTTTCTTCGCCTTCCCACGCTCGAGCCGTTGTCTTTGTCCTTTCCGGCTCGGGTCGAAACACGCTGGGCAAGCACTGGTCGAGAGTAGTACGTTCAAGCGGCGGATGGCCACGGGGCGAGCGAAATGATGAGCTGGAAAATGGTCATGGATCCGTGCCTTGAGATACTCGGTGCGGAACTCTGTGGGCGGATCTTGTTGGGATTCACAGTATCTCGTTTGTGAAGTTTGCGTGGAAATTGAATGGAATGGCGGAATTGCTTTTGTTCAAGCGACCCAAGTTGAAGAAAACCTGCTCTGTTTGTCTAGTTCCTCTACTCTTTTTAACACTTGAGGAATGTATTATCCTGACTGACATGCAAGCACTGGGGCATCGACGCTGTTGCGATCGAGTTTGTCTTCTGAAAGCGTTGCGTTGGATCCTGCTTCAAAGGCTTCCTTTTCGTTGCTGTTGGTCTACCTGGCCTCAATTTAGTCCATGTTCAAAGATATGAATCTCTACATTGAATGGTCTGACTCAGTACCAATCCACTGAGTACCGGTGACGTCCAAACTCGTCCTTATGGTTTTGATGAATGCTACCAGCGAGGATGTGAGGCGTTCTTTGTCTGCTTGGGGGCTTGGAAACAACGGGCGCGGGAACTCCCTCGCCATCCCCTTTCCGGAAAACCGCGAGATCTGTTGCACAGAAGGTCATGGCATATTGTGTCAACTAATTATGAGACACGTTCTGATCGCAGAAATATCCCGTGATGATGATGGCGCCGTCTCTGGGATTTGAGATAGCTGACCTGCCAGCGACAGACCGATCAGCTGGGCTTCGTCACAACCATCCCCGTTCCATATGCCCTTTCCCGAAAGGCCAGTTTACAAGACGGGAAGAGCTCTAGCGCCCGGTAATTTAGGGGATGGTGGCTTGATTCCGCTTCGCAAAACATCGGGCAGTCTGTTCTCGGTCCCACGAGTTGATGTTCTCGACCGCTCATGGGGTTTCCGGCGCCGTCGAGTTTACTGTTTCCTTCCAGACACGTCCATGACTTTGACTCGGGGCGAGAAGACCCAATACGCAGACAAAAAACCTGGCGAATCCTCACGTTCCCGTGGAATTCCTTTCAGACACTCGAGCTCTCCGGGCGGCACGGGCGGGCTCTTGATCACGTCTCCCTCGCCCAGCGTCGGATCTAGGGACTTCGGATGATAAACGAGCTGCTTGGCTTGCTTCATGGAACCAGTTCTTACTTTGGTCATTTCAAGATTCTGACATTTTTGTCTTCGAATATATATACTTGGCCGGAATTTGTGGGGCATGTAGACCAGCGCGGGACGCGATGAGCCAGAGTCGGCGCTGCACATGTGTGCGTGGCAAGTGGACTTAGGATCTTAACGGAAGCAGTCAGAAAATAAAACTATAAATCCAACTTTGCCAATACCATGTCGTCTGTGCATATCGATGTGGTGGCGGGTAAAAGGGTGGGCTTGGTGTTCTACGCCCTTTGTCGTGAGCCCAGAAACGTCCACCCTCATTGGAAACTGGGGACGCACTCGGCCGGAATCTGATAATTTGCGGAGCAGGATCAGGGTGGTGTAGAAATAGTAGAAAATTGCGTCCATGTTCACCCACGGTACTAGTGACCAGTCGCGGACAAGCGGGAATCTGTGTCCGAGCAGAGAGGGCAGCAGGAAATATATCTTGTTCAGTAGCAGTAGGGCTGATAAGTGACTACAAAGATGACGCTGTGGACTTAGCTCATACATCTGAGGTGCCCCGTGTGAAGTTCATATATGTATGTGTATATGATATAGAGTCTAATCCAGATCTATCCCAAAGCCCAAACCTCCTCCACGCACGACTCCGTAAATACATGTATATATATCCACATATCTAGCGGCACGCAAGGTATGTACAAAGTGAACGTGAACTCATCAACATGTAAGCGACGGTGTTATATGGGCAGGTAGATAGTCACTGGATAAGATCGACAGGCACCGACGGGAAACCAATGGGCATCTGACGAAGGAGGTAGGACGGACGTCCTCACGCAGTAGAGGCCAAGCTCGGTGCAAGGCTGATATACACGCCGTGATCTGGAGACGAGATTTTGGGCATCGGAAAGACAACAGGCGGAACCGCCCAGTATCTGTGTCCTTTTTTTTTGGGGGGGGGGGGGGGCGCTTCGACAAGAGCTTGTTCGGGCTGGCATCATGCGAGACGATGTCCACGATTGGACATGGATAGGGGTCACAGGTTCGAGTCACCAACGAATCAAGACTCGACGACCCCAAACCGCAGCCCATCCAGCGCATCCTCGTACTTGGCCGGGTTGTGGTCCGTAAGCATCGTGGCCCCGAACCGCACCTCCCTGAACCGCGCTTCCACGTCCCTCACGTACTTGAGCACGATCCTCCTGGCGGGGCGGCCCACGTACTTGAACGACTTCTGCTGCTGCTGTCCCTTGTTGTCGTCCCTCTCTCTCGGCTGCTGATGCTGTCCATTGCCGTCGGGCCCCACGAATGCGTCCCTCCGAAGGACCTTCTCCGTCTCCACGACGAACACCTCCCCGGGCGGGAGGAGCTTCTCGCTCATCATGCTGGCGCGGAGCGTCTTGAACGCGGCGAAGGCCCACTCCTCGTCCTCATCGCCGACGGCCCTGCCGGCCCCGCTGTTGCTGCTGCTGCTGGCGCCGCCTCCCCCTCGCCACTTGTCCATCAGCCCGCCCTGCAGCGCCTCCCACACCCGCTGCTTGATCTCCTGCTTCGCGTCCGCGTTGTCCGTCTTGAAGGCCAGCGCCACGGCCTGGAAGTCGTGCAGCACCCCCAGCGACAGGTACGGCACCAGGTCCTGCCCGTGCACGACGGACGTTATCAGCCCGCGCGTCGCGGTGCGCAGCGATGGCGACATGGTAGCCGGCGGGCCGTAGGCGTACACATGGATCGGCCGACCGGGCGGCAGGCAGATGTTTGGCCGCGGTTGCTGCGTTTGCGCGGTAGAGTCGGTCGGTGAGCAGCCCGGGTACGTCAGGAGGCGGCTGTGCGGCTCGTCTGATGTCACGAAGGAGGTTCCGCCGTCGATCGGCTCGCTGAGCATGACCCCCAGCAGGGCGGTGACGGCACCGCCGAGGGAGTGGCCGCAGAGGACGAGTCCGTAGTCTGGGTTTTCTTCCAGTGCGGCCTTGATCGTTACCAGCACCCGCCCGTCGCCACCATAAAGTAGTCTTTTCGCAGAGGCATGGATTCCCTTGTGGACTTTGTAGCTCTTCCCACGCCAGACGAGGTCATCGTAGTCGCATGTCATATCGGCCAGGACATCCTCGAACCCCAGCGTCCCGCGGCAGGCCAACACGACAGCTTTCGACTCGTCGTCTAGGGATACATAGTGCACAAGCGGCACGCCGGTCTCGGTTGATCCCGAGGAGTCACTGCCGCCCTGCGGATCGACAAAAGACGACAATAGGATGGATTGAGGCTGGGATTGGGTATGATGGGCGAACATGCGGAGTTCGTGGTGGGTGTCGTCGAGGGCTTTGAGCATGGGCGGCATCGTCTTGGATATGCCGAGGACCTTTAGGAAGCTTGAGCCGTACGAGGCGGAGGAAAATCGCATGTAGCGAGTGATATTTCGAAGGAGGTGGAAGCGTGGGAATGTCGTGTCGATGCTACCCGTGCGACGGAGTGTAGCGAGCGCTTCGGCATTGCCAAAGGGGCTGCGATGGTGGAAGGGTATAAGGGACATCTGTGAATCTGCAGTTTTCAATGTGTAAATGCTTGGTGAGTAGGTTTGAGAAGAGACTCGTCGGTGATTTCGCGAGGGCGACGGTGGAGGCAGCTGTCTGTCGACAATGTCTCCCCCCGACTTCGATTTCGCTATGGGACTGCGGTTGTAGGCGGGTGATACGGGTCGAAGATGATGCTCTACGGAGTGAATGGAGAAGGTGTCCGTCTGCGAGATGAGCGAATCCCGCCTGCGCTCGTGGATGGATATGTAGCTTGCTCGGGAAGGGCTTCGTGGCACTGCTCCGCTGGCTTCGTACTCGGCGAGTGCTCGCGACGTGAGTGGGTTCCTCGCCTGACCTCCATGAGGCGGGCGGGGGGCGTCTCGCCTTGGGACAAGAGAGGCGTCGCGATTTGGGACAGACATCTGCTTCTTTGCGGCAGACGACGACGGCTTCTGGTGGATCTGCGCCGGCCCGCGACGCAAGTCCCTCGCGGGCTGCTGCTTCCCTTTCGAAGCCACCGGCACATTGGAGGATACGGTGTCTTTCTCATCTTTTGCAACGAAGTTGCCCAGAGTGGTTCCTGACCCCCTTTTCAAAACATTGCGCAGACCTCCCTTCTTCTCGCTTGGTGGTTTTGCTGAGTTAGGTGGAGTCACGTCGCCTTTTGCCCTCTTTGACAGCAGCTTCGACATGGACTGCTGCTTCTTGCGCGGATTGTCCATGCTGCTCGTCGATCCCGGAGGTGATACGGGCATCCTCGGCCGTTTCTGATTTGCAGAGGTCTCCGGGCTCGACTTGGGCAGTGGTATTTGTGAAGTCTTGTCGACACTGGATTTTCGGCTGAGGACTGGGGATATACGACCTTTCTTTGAACGTGAACGAACAGGCGGTGCCCCAGCCGCAGGAGGGAGAGCTTCGGTCTGAGTCTCATGGCGTGGAGACTTCGGGGGTGGCGGAGGCGGAGACGGTGGCGAAGGCGGGGAGGGCGGCGATGGTGGTAATACTTCCTTCTCATCATCCGAAATCGTGTGGTCTTCAAGGGCTTGTTCGGTATCTGAGTCGATCTGCTCCACGAATCGAGGCACCTCAACTTCCTCGGGGCCTCTCTCCATCTCCGTACTTCTAAGTTTGTTCTTGTTAACCCTGTAGACCACTCGATAAGTGGAATCAAGAGGACTGGACCCCTGCAGAAGATGGTCTGACGATACCGACAAACGACGGTTCCCTTGTGACGAGACCGGCCGCAGACGGGTCTCCTCGATGAGCTCGACACCTGCTGGTGGCGAAAGGGCTCTCGGCTGTGTGCCGGAGACGTCGACAGTGATGGTCTTGGTCGTCTTGGTCTCTGTCATGATCGATACTTTGGCGCCAGCCGGCAGCGTGCGCATGATCTGCTGTTTGAGCCGTATCTCGGGGAGATCGTCTTCGCCGTCGCTGCTGTCGACGGCATCATGCTGCTGGATGGTCTGTATGACCGTCTCGTTGGGGCCTGGTTCCAGGTCACGGCCAGCTACTTGCATTCCATTGTCGACCCTGCTATAGTCCAGCCTTTCCTCGTCATTGATAATCACGACGTCCCACAGTATCTCGTCGACCTGTAGACGTTGATTCTCCTGCATAATGAGCCTCCAAGACCATCTCTGAAAGTATGCCAGCCCAACCATGCCAACGATGAGATCGAAGACGCCGACGTGCTCGCCCGGTTGGCCAGTAGCTGGATTGTTAAACTCGCGCCGTATCAGGGTGATGATGCTGGCGATGGCTCTCGAGGACTCGGTGGAGCCGAGAATGGAGTCAAGGTAGGAGAGAGTCAACTGCGAGACCTCTGAGATGGCGGATAGGGTCGTGCTGGTCAGGTTGAAGCCGGCGGTGGTCCAGAAGACGACCTGAGACATCGCGATGTGCAGGCTTTCGAGGCTGCGTTCCATGATGGTCTCGGCATCGGCCCTGGCCAGGTCGGAGTTGGACCTGGAGAAGGACTCGGATCCGGCACGGTGCAGGATGCCCTCGATGATGCCGCGGCCGATCTCGAGGCTGGACAGGGTGGTGGCCTTTGCGGCGCCGAAGCCATAGCCGCCGATGACCGTACCAACCCGGAGGGCGAGGCTGGTGGAACGCGTCCACAGGCTGATGGCGGTGGCGACGGGGGCTGGCAGGAGGGTGCGCCCCGGCGGAGGAGAAGGGATCACGTCTCGCGGCTCGACTGGGAGTCCGAGGGGGTCTGGCGCGGCAGCGGAAGGGGCGTTGGCCGAACCATGTTGTATACGATCCTCCATCTTCGACGAGGCGCGAGCAGAGGCTCGGGAACTCGTTCAAGATGGGTTGTCTGGCTCAGGTGGGAGCTTTGGCAGTGGGAGCGCGAGCTGGAACAGTTGTAAAGCAGATGGGTACGACTGGCGTCTGGGGCATGTTGTTGAGGGCGTTCACGTGTGCATGGCCGAGGGTGGCGAACTGATGATGAGTTAAGGCAGGTCCGTGTGGTTATTGATCATGCGGATCGAGTGGAGAGGTCGGAATGTCAGCAGTTTGGGGGTCGCAAGTAAACAGTGCATGATGGCATCGAGGGCTGGAATGGGCAGTTCTGGTCCCAACAAATCCTCGATGTCGATCAAGAGCAGCTGTGGTGTAGTGCGGTGGGTGCAGTGCTGGGCAGAGGTCTACTGGGAAATGGGCAGTGACATGTGACAGGCAGGCAAAGACGCGGGCTGAGGAGTCATCAAACCTCGAGAAGGCCCTTTTGACGTGGACAAAGCGGAGTTTGTCTCCCCCTCAGGCCCCTCGAGGCCGAAGCTTGGGTGAGGTGGATCAGCCGCCGATTTGCTGCTTTGTTGGACCCGAGGCCCGGCTAGATGTGATGCAAGGTGATGTGTGCGTTTCCTGTCTTTGGGAAAGTTTGGACGGGCTGATCTGGAGTGCCTGCAGGTGTGATGTGCCATTGCATCTGTCAGACGTGCGCGTGGAAAGTACGTATCTACATGTATCTGGTCGGCCCCGTACCGAGGTATGTGCACGTTGCGTGCAGAAGTCAAGCCGACCGTAGTAGCTCTTCTGGAAGACAAGAAAAGTGACGACATCTCGTCCAGGGGTTGAAGATGCTGGATGGTCGGGAGGCTTCGAGTCTGGAACTGATTCGCCTCGACTCGACTCGGCTCGTGTTGGGCCTGGACTGCAGCACAAGCTCGGAACATAGGCATCAGCATCAGAGGACACTAGATAATAACCACATGCCGTATTCTATCGTGCAGATGGCCTACACACGATAGCATCATAGCTGCGCCTAGAGATCTCGCCCTCTCCGAGTAATGGACCAAGATCAACGGCATCCCGACGCAGGGGTCCAGGTCCAGGTGCAGCTGGGGGCCTAAAATAGCTCAGGGGAAAAGGGACGAGAGAGGATCGGCTGCAGGGCCTTGATGGCTGGGCCTTGATGGCTGGGCCTTGGAAGCCGTCCAGGGCTGAGGACGGACAGCGCAGCAGCACGTCACGCAGAGGGATGAGTGAATGCTATTTGTGCCATCCAACACCACAACACCTGCGATAAATGCGACACCTGTCCCCCTGGACATTGTAATCCTACCTCTTGTCCCTGTTTCAATTTTATCCTCCTGTGCCCACCTTAAGCCAACGTCACTCGTTCCATCGACTCGCTTAGCCTGCGCGATCTTCTATCCACCACGACTACTCCCAGTCCGTCTGCTGTCAGTGAAGCTATCCGCATTGACCTACAGCTTCTTTGTTCTCCAGCTGCTATAACCTCACGCCCGCCCAGCGGCCGCCCTCGCGCTCTCCCACAGCCCGCCCAACATGAATGGAATCACAGAGCCCGCCAAAGCAGCTTCTGCCGCCACCCAGACCACAGAGACCGTCAAGATGAACGGCACATCCACAACCACCACCACCGCCACAGCAGCCGCCCCAGACGCAGGCCTCTTCGGCGACGACCTCATCTCCCCCGAAGTCGCAAAGGCCCTCCCCGATGGATACAAGATCCGCGCTCTGCGACAGTCCGACTTCAACGCCGGCTTCCTCGACTGCCTGCGCGTCCTGACCACTGTCGGTGACATCACAGAGGACCAATTCGCCGGGCGCTTCGAGTGGCTCAGCAAGCAGGACGGCGGCTACTACATCCTAGTCATTGAGGACGGCGGCAGGGTTGTCGGCACTGGTGCCCTCATTGTCGAGCGCAAGTTGTACGATGCTATCCCTTTCTCCCCAAGATTCTATAGCCTTGTGGCCCAACGGTGCCCATAGTGGGTAGTGGAATGCACAAACTTGCTCTACTTCCTGTCCAAACTAGCAAGATCTAGTACTCATGCTAACATTCATCGCCACCAACCAGCATCCATAACCTCGGCCTGGTCGGCCACATCGAGGACATCGCGGTCGCAAAGGACCAGCAGGGCAAGAAGCTAGGCCTGCGCCTGATCCAGGCCCTCGACTTCATCGCCGAAAAGGTCGGCGCCTACAAGACAATCCTCGACTGCAGCGAGGCCAACGAGGGCTTCTACATCAAGTGCGGCTTCAAGAGGGCCGGGCTGGAGATGGCCCACTACTACAAGAAATAAGTCGCACTCCTTTCTCCGCAGTCCGAGGGCCTGCGCTCGTGTGTGTTTGCGCGATCGCGGGTCATCGTGACGGACTGGAGCGGGGAAACAAGCCGAGCTGATGGATGGCCAGCACCACGGACTCGAGGCTGTGATCGATCTTGCCTGCTAAATCTGATTTTTGGAGTAAACAACGGCCAGGAAGGGCGGAGCATATTCACCGGGCCCGTGCTAAGAAGGCACTGGGGGAATATAAGCCTGAGATGTCACGGTTCAGTGATGCGGTCACAGGTTGAGCCTTCACTGTGAACCCTATCAAATACCTTGCCCACATGGAGGTCATTTGCAGATAAAGGACAAGGGGGAAGATGCATTCGGTGTACACTCAGGTTAGAACGGCGTTTTGATATCTATTGTTGGACGCTTCTTGGGCACACACCGGCAGTCGGTCAACCCGATGCCTCTGGGTCGCCTGCCGCGTTAGAGAGAAGCAGAGTGAGTCTGAGTAATAGAATGGGGCCAGCTGGTAGCGCCAGGAAATGGCCGAAGCCGAAGCTAAAAATGCGACCATTTCGAACCACCGCAAGACCCCAAGTACGGGATAGTCCAATTGCCGTCCACTCGGTTCCCGAGAGAAACGAAAACCTGGGGGTGGCACCGGGCAGCACCTGGGGATTCCCTGCACCAGTTCCCGCTCTCACATGCCAGACATGCGGACAGCAGAGAAAACACCAGTACGGACAAACCTTCTTTCTGGGCCGACTGCATCGATGAAAGCTTGGCTGCATCGACATCAGCGCATCTGGGTGGACGGCCACATTCCCGAGTGCTTCCCTCCTTCCCGACACATGCCAGATCAGACACACACACAGCACTTGTCTTCTGCATAATACGTGTAACCATCGTCACGAGCCGGAGCCACCGCCGCGCTCGAGTGGCCCAGACGAGCCTCATGGCCCGTCCTAAGGGGGCAGGCAAGGCACCAAGCACGGCCTACTCCCCTCCTCTCGTCTTGTTCTAAACAAAAGCACAAAGCGCCAGAAGTCACGAGGGCTTTGGAGCCGCTGGAGCTTGGGGAGGGGAGGGGAGCAAGCGTCTCTCGCCCGCTCTGCCCATGAACAAAGCACACGTGAGCATGACCGAAGTCTGTCTGTCTGGTCTGGTCTGGTCTGGTCTGGTCTGATCTGATCTGATCTGGCCTGGACGGTCTGGCCTGCCACGAGCCCTCTCTAGAATCGTGTACCGTCTGCCCGGATGTCTGTCGAGCAGCGAACGTATAAGATGGTGTCCATAAACCTCCTCCCCCCTCCCCCTCTTCGCATCCCAACGCACCCTATAGTCTACCAGCTCCTGCCCACCCATCCCATCCTCTCGCGTCAGGAAGTCTTTCGGTCTTCTCTCGTCTGAACCTGTTTTGCCTCCTGGTTGCAAAAAAGATCGCACGAACCATTAGTCCGTGGCATTTCGAAACATCCATCCCGTCCGTCCTCATCCTGACTTGTCCTTTTTGCCCCGAGACTACTTTGTTGCCTGTCCCACACGCCTTCCCCGGGCCCGATCCTTCGGAGATCCCCAGCCCGTAAGCCGTACAGACACACACTTACACACACACACACACAAACATACGGTACCACCAGCACCAGCGGCAGTGACGTCCTCGGGCTTGTGCTTAGCTTGGCTCGTACTCACTTACTCAAGGGCGTGTGTCACCGTGGGCCGATCGTCTCACTTGCTCCCAATTTTACTTGTCTCATAATAAGCCCCGTATTTCCCCCCAGGTTCGGTGCTCTTGCCGAAAGTCAAAAAAGCAGACATGCCTCACAGACATCGGCCTGTCGACGTTGAGGATGACGAGGGTTACGTGAAGGACCTGTATCTCAGGCTGGACAAGATCCGCATTGCGTCCCTGCGGGCAGAGTAAGTCATTAATCTTCTTCCATGCGGCTTGGTCTGGCCTTTTGCAACTGATCCACTGTTTTTAAATCATGGGGAAAAAAATATCTGTTTGCCATACCATATCCACAATCCCCATTCATAATTTGCCATATCGTCATTTTGCTCTCTCTCTCTTTTTGCCCCGTTGCGGACTCTAGTCTTAAACCCGAGCACATTCCCCGGTCAGCAAGATACCCCGGAGCCAAGCAAACAAAACTCCACTCATTTGTGCATATGACCCGAATTATAAATCCACGATTTCGGGTCCCGGGCGCCTCTCAGCCGCATGGCCTCAACACTTTCTTGCTGCTCATCGTTTTGTTGTCGCTTGGAATTTCTCCGTCCCTGTTTCTCCTTCTCACTTCTCTCTGAGAACCTTTGCTGACACGATCTTGTTTCCGCCCCCCGCCAACAGAGCTCGCCGTGCATTGAGTGAACAGATTGCTTCTCGGCCACACATCCGCGTACGGCGCTGCACCGTGGTCTATCAGAAGCCGTCGGGCGAATTTTGCAAATACTATATCAACAAAATCGTCTCATTCAACACGACCTAAAACCCTCATCTCGATCTGAGCGCCTAATTCTTCCGGGAGAAAGGGCCGTTGTCGCTCGGCTTATTGCTCTGCGGTGGGAGGAAAAGAAAGAGGGAGAAGGACGGGAAGGGAGAAGGACGGGAAGGAAGAAGGACGGGAAGGAAGAAGGACGCCAGGCCCAACATGGCCCACCTCAGGATGCTTACCCCGGAAACCTCACCGGAACCCGAAGTCCGACCCTCAGGACTATGGCAGTCAAAGTCAACAATCACCACCACAACCGCCACACAACCACTACAAAAACGAAAACGCTCATGGCCCTTCACAACAACACGCCCAGTCAGCCCCCCATCATCCTCCTACTCCATGGGGGGTGACCAACCCAGCAGCACCAGCATCAAAGCACTCTGGGAGAATGGGTGGAGGACAGCCGCGAGGAAGGGCCTGACCCCGTTCCAGGACGCACACTACGAGGACCTGCAGCCCATCTTCGAGACCCTGATCGAGAGCGGTACCGACGACATCACTTCCCCCGAGTACACCCTCGCCTTCTACCCCAGGGCGCACGAGCTCGCGCTGAGCGCCGAGAACGCCCTGCTGCACCACGGGGACAAGGCCCTCGCCGCGGAGCTATACCTGCGCGCGTGCGCCGTCCTGCGCACGGCGCGGCACTCACCACCCCCCTCGTCCCTACCAGCAGCAGCAGAAGCAGCACCATCACCATCAGCACCACACCCCGCCTGCCCCGTGCGCGCCCGCGCCTGGCAGCTCCAGAAGTCCTACCACGCCAAGGCAGGCCGCCTCCTCCCCGAAAGCCCCCTGGACGAGGTGACGATCCCGCACACGCACGACGCGGCGACGCGGCCCGACCCCAACACGGCGTCGGGAGCCGGCGTCCGCGACCGGCGCCGACAGGGCCGCGACGGCGAGGGCCGCGACAAAGTCCGCCCGGCCCCAGATCCCCCTCGCCGTCCGCCTGCCCCAGCGCACCCTGTGCACCGGCGCCGCCTGCCCGGCCGTGCTGGTCGTCGCGGACGACCGGACGGCGCACTCGGCGCTTTGCGGGGACCTGCTTGCGCGGGGGTGGGGGTGTGTTGTTGTTGAGGCGCCTGGGTGTGGGGATTGCCCTGTTCCGTTGTCGTCATCGCCCGAGGGAGGTGACGCGGCGGCGGCGCTGTGGGCGTCGGTGCTCGAGTGGATGGGTGCCATACGCGTGTTCGACATGGCGCGGGTCGTCGTCTGGGCCGCGGCCGGGGCGGTGGACGACCCCGCCGGGCTGGTGGGCCAGTTCGCGGCTGCCGTCGGTGGCGCGCGGGTCCGTGGGTGTGTTGCTGTCGTCGGGGGAGGCTCGTCGGCTGTGATGGCGTCCGCTGGTGGCTGGGGATCGAACGACCGGGTTCTGGTCGTGGCTGATAATGACGAGGCTGGAGACAGACTTGTTCTTCTCGAGTATGGGGCCCTGGGCATGGGTGCTGAGGCGGCGGTCCAGTCTGTTGCTGCGGGCGCTGCGGCGGTTTACGACTGGGTGGAGGATCTCCTGAGGCTGGACCTGGCGGTCTAGCCGATATCCTGTGTATGTGTATATGTATGATTTACGGTGCGGATGGACTTGTCACCACGGCACGGCGTCACCAGCGGATGGGAGGTCTGGGCATTTTTTTTGTTTTTGATTCATCTTGCTTCTGAGATATCACACCGCGTAACATGCATTTCCTGCTATCCAAATGACAATGAATTTAACCAAACTCTTAACTTTTCCCCAACCCGCTCGCTACACATTTGCATATGTGAAATCTACATATTCACCATGACCTTGAGGACCAGGCCCCCCTTGTCGTCCTTGACCTTGCCCGCCATGCCGAACGCCTCGGGGATGCTGTCGAGGCCGTCGTAGCGGTGCGTGATGAGCTCCGCGACGGGCGGCAGCTTGGGGTTGCCGCCGGCCAGCAGCTCGATGACGCGCGGGTACGTGTTGGCGTAGCGGAAGACGCCGACCAGGTCGACCTCCTTGAGGGAGGCGGCCGAGATGGGCAGCGTCTGGATGGGGTTGCCCATGCCGATGATGAGGATCTTGCCGCCTGGTTGTGTGGACTGGGGGGTGATACAAGTTAGTCAGAGCTGGTCGCAAGGGAAAAAGAGAGAACATGACCCACGTAGATGGCAGCCTGCAGACAGCTCTCCACACCCGTGCACTCGAACGTGGCGTCCACGTCGCCCACTGCCTCACCCGCCGCCGTCTTCGCGCCCGCCACCAGCGCCGCGACCTCTCTCGCAAACTCGAGCTTCGCCTCGATCGTGTCGGGCCTCTTCATGGGCACCACGACGCTGGCGTCCGCGAAGCCGCGGTCGACGGCCCAGCGCACGCGGTCGGCGTTGATGTCGGCGACGACGACGTTCTTGGCGCCCAGGACCCTTGCTGACGGCACAACACAAGAGACCGACAGCGCCCGCGCCGAGGACCAGGACGGTGGCGCCGGGGTCGAGGCGGGCGCGGTCGCCGGCGTGCAGTGCGACGGAGAGGGGCTCGGCGAGGGCTCCCAGCTCGAGGGGCACGCCGGCGGGCAGCTTGTGGCAGTAGGCGGCCGGGTGGGCGATCTGCTCCTGGAGGGTGCCCTGGGCGTGGGGGAAGCTCTTTGCCGAGGAGCGGAAGGACATGGCGCGGCAGATGTTGTAGCGGCCCTCGGCGCACAGCTTGCACTCGCCGCAGGGGAGGCCGACCTCGAGGGCGACGTTGTCGCCCGGCTTGAGGCCCGTCACGCCCGACCCCACGGCCGTCACGGTGCCGGCGGACTCGTGGCCCAGGGTCATGGGCTGGCGCACCTGGATGTCGCCGTTGCGGTAGTGGCTGTAGTAGTGCAGGTCGGAGCCGCAGAGGCCCGTCGACTTGACTGCCACCAGGACTTCGGTGGGCTGGAGGGTCGGGATGGTGCGCTCTTCCTGTGCTGGTTGTTAGGCGGTGCATCATCGCCATCACCTCGGGGAGAGTCTGGGGCCACCACTTACCACGCGGAGGTCCTTTGCTGCGTGGAGCACAGAGGCCCTGACTGTTTGTGTCGCCATTTTGTGGTTGTGGTTGTGGTTGTGGTGGACTGTGGGAGGAAGGTGACGAGGTGTTGCTGCTGTTACTTGGCACGCTGTTTCAAAGGCAAGAAGCAAAGTGAGGGCTCACGATGGCAAGATGGGTAGTGTCGCGTGGGTGAGCAGACAGTCAGTCAGACAGAGACAGAGGCAGAGAGATGGATAGCTTCAAGCTGGGGACGAGGAAGGGTGTGGAGCTCTTAGGTACTGAGTTGACAATTGGATCAATGGCAGGCTAGGTAATTGCTCCGATATCGATCGTGGCAGAGACAACAGCCAGAGAGTCGAATCCAGGTGCATTTGCCCGAGCGAAAAGGGTCAAACCTTGGACCGTCTCCATTATCCCGCGGGGGTCTCTGCGCGGTGGACTGTCGACTTACACGATAGTGTGCATCCCATGCGGATTTGCCTCGGCGAGTTTTCCCCTTGTCCAGCTGTGCCAATTGTACCGGCAAATGTTTCAGCCATGGCCCTGACTAAAATTCAGAGACCTGCTAATGGCCCAAGATGCCCAAATAGTCCTGGGAGGCAGACAATTCCCGGTGGTAGTCTGTTCTACATTGCCTGCCTCTGTTCGCGTGGAGACAAAAAAAAAAGTCGGGTCGGAAAAGGGACCAGCGAACAGACGGATTTCTCCAAAAAATGGCATTCCCCAGACGACGTCAGCGGGGTTGTGCCTGGGCCCCTGGCGGCGTCCCCGCACATCAATCCATCTGCTGTGTCACTCAGACTCGCACAACTCCCAGCCGACGGGCGAGGGAAAAAAGTGGGCAATTCTCGCCGATGGTTGCCGCCCTCGATACGACGCGCCTGCATCGGAGCAGCTTAGGTACTTCGGTTACTGTTGTCCACGGCCGTGAATCATGAGATTGTTGGATAGATAAGTCGACTAATAAACTGGAGGCTTGCTTGGCCCTGCCAGATGACCCTTGCCTGACTCTTTCCCTCCCTCGTGCCGTGTGATGTCAGGAGTTGTCACGAGTGTCGAAGACGACTTGAAGTGTTGAGAGCAAACTTGAGATCACAGAGAAAAAAGCGGTAGACTACTCACTCACTTACTTAGAAGTCGCAATCTCACGATCGCTTCGCCGTCACAACCACAACCATGGCAACCAATGCTCTCTTCTCCCTCGAGGGCCAGACAGCCCTCATCACGGGCGGCACACGAGGCATTGGCCAGGCCATCGCCATCGCACTAGCCGAGGCAGGCGCAGACATTCTCCTGGTCCAAGTATGTCACGACACCCTCAACCATCTCCCTCTCAGGCTTTCACTTCCACGCATCTCCAAGCACACCAAGCACTGACAAGTGGTTCATTACCCAGAGAGACCTCAGCAACCAGTCCACCCTCCAGTCCATCGAAGCCCTAGGCCGCAAGGCCCAGATCTACACCGCAGACCTGTCCTCACCGACCGACGTGGCCGGGCTGGTGCCGCGCGTGCTGGCCGACGGGCACCAGGTGCGGATCCTGGTCAACTGCGCGGGGATCCAGCGGCGGCACCCGTCGGAGCGGTTCCCGGACGGCGACTTCGCCGAGGTCCTGCAGGTGAACCTGAACACGCCCTTCGCCCTGTGCCGCGACGTCGCCGCGCACATGCTCGAGCTGCCCGAGCACAGCACCACGGGCCGCAGGGGCTCCATCGTCAACTTCGGCTCGCTGCTCAGCTTCCAGGGCGGCATCACCGTGCCCGCGTACGCGGCGAGCAAGGGCGGCGTCGCGCAGATGACCAAGACGTTCGCGAACGAGTGGACCAGCAGGGGGATCACTGTCAACTGCATCGCGCCGGGCTACATCGCCACCGACATGAACGAGGCGCTGCTGAACGACCCCGGCAGGCTGAAGAGCATCAGCGAGAGGATACCGGCTGGCCGGTGGGGCACGCCTGAGGACTTCAAGGGCCCGACGGTGTTCCTGGCGAGCAAGGCTGGTGCATATATGAGTGGGCATACTTTGACTGTTGACGGTGGGTGGATGGGCAGGTAATCGTGTACATATTTGCGTTTAGATGTGTGTGGTCAATACCAATTAGATGCCAATTCAAATCAAGTGAAGTCACAGTATTTTATATGGCATGTGTCTATGTGCAAAGATCACAGAAGATCCGGGTTCTCTATTTCTATTCTACCTGCAGCTTCTCTAGACCTCCGATCATGACTTGTCCGGGAATCCAAAGTCAATTCCGAACGGAGGATACACAAAGCGCTGCACCTTGCCGTTCTTCTCCAGGTCCTCGCCGTACGCGTTGAGCTGCTTCACGTCCTCGTCGTCCAGCTTGACGAGCTTCAGGTTGGACTCGATGCGCGACGGCGTCACCGACTTGGGCAGCACGGTGCTCCCGCGGGGCACTAATTCGACGAGCGAGTGGTTAGCATTGGGCAAGAAAGCGAAAACACCACAATACGTATCAACAGCAGCAACTTACCATGCCAGCTGAGCAGCACAGCCGCGGGCTCGACGCCGTGCTTCTGCGCGACCTTGGTGACGACCTCCTCCTTGAACAGCGGGCCCCCCGTCGACCCGAGCGGGCTGTACGCCATGATGTGGATGCCCTTCTCCTTGGACAGGCTGACGATATCGTTTTGCGGCAGCGCCGGGTGGTTCTCGATCTGGTTGACGGCGGGGACGACCTTGGCCACCTTGAGCAGCTCCTCGAGGTACCGGCGCGAGTAGTTGCACACGCCCACGGCGCGCGCCTGCTTGCCGGCGCCCTGCGCCGGGTCCACGAGCGCCTCCATCTGGCGCCACGTGTCGGTGTGGTGGTAGCCCTGCTTGATGATGTCGCGGCTCCCGTCGGGCAGCTTGGGGAACTTGTCGTCGTTGCCCTCCGGGTTCATGAGCAGCGGCCAGTGCACGAGGAACAGGTCCACGTAGTCGAGCCCCAGGTTGGCGAGCGACTTGTCCAGCCCGACCTGCACGCGCGTGTTGTACGTCGTCCACACCTTGGTCACCACGAACACGTCCGACCGCTTCACCACGCCCTCCGAGATGGCCCGCGCCAGGCCCTGGCCCACCTCGGCCTCGTTGCCGTAGCAGTACGCGCAGTCCAGCAGGCGGTACCCGGACTTGAGCGCGTGGTACACGCCCTCGGCTACCACGCCCGGCGCCGCCTGCCAGGTGCCGTACCCGACGGCGGGGATCTTGTGGCCGCTGTTGAGGGTGAAGGTGAGGTCGGCCATCTTGTATGATCTGCCTTGTAGGTCGTGTGTGTATAGGTGTCTTGGTAGCTAGCTTGAGTGTCGAGGTCTGGGGAGCTCGAATGGGTAATCTGTGGTCAATTGAGTGAGAACAGAACGAAATCCTTCAGAAAAACAAGATTCAAGAGAGAAGACCAAGTAGACCAATCCAGACAGTAACCTGAGGGAAACCGCGACTCGCCCGGATAAATGCCCCTCCAAAGTACCCCTCCAGGAAATGTAATTCCAGTCCTCGGGCCCCTCCCCCGCGGGCTGCCAAGGCCTGGGGGTTAACAGCACGCTGGGAACCCTCTGCCGAAGCCCACCACGGTCCCAGGGACCCGCTGGAGGCAACCCAAACAGGCTCGTTTCGGCGAAGCTGCAGGCGAGGCGGAAAAAAGGAGCGACTTGGCGTCGTTTTTCCTTCGGTGGTTCATTGAGCCGACCTTTTTGGTGCAGTCTCTGCGCTGTTACTTGCCCGGTTCACTCTTCAAGCAGAAGGCGGTAGGTACATATTTCCAGCGCATGTGATTCCTGCACTGTGAATTCTTGTAAGTAGCTGTTGCTGCTGCTGGACATACATACCTACGTCACGCATTGAAGGGAAGCTTGATCGAAGTGAAATAAACGGACGGGCTGTCTGCCGCCGCCATGCATCTATTCATGGTCTTTTTGAGCATTATATCAAGTACGCCGTAAAGTCTTTCTATGCCTGGAGTCCTAAAAAGAAAATGCTGCAGTGCGCCGCGACCCATGGCAGTGATGTTGGTACTGTTACAAGTAGAAAAGTAGGTATCGAAACTCGCATACTGGTGGGGAACTATCCAGCGATCAAGACCCAAAGCCTGCGTGTCTCGTTAGCAAGATGCTCGCTGCAACGGCGAAAAGGGCAGTTTGAGGAGCGCGGCAGTGAGGAAACTTACAGGAAAAATATCATCATGACGCCAAACATCTTAGCCAGGAGCCATCGGTTTGATGACACACTGCTCCAGTACTTGAGCAACTCCCTCTGTGCGCCACCCACGTTGTCCACCACATCTTCCGTGTTGGCATCGATCCGCTCGATCATCTCGGTCTGCTCCGACACCATCGTCGCGAGCTGCCCGAAGATGCTGCCCAGCTCCGTGATGGTCTTCTCTATAGCCTCGATGGCCTCCCCGCGCTGTTGTATGTAGGTGTTCTGGGGCTGTGCCTCCTCCATCATCAGCAGCTGCTGGTCGCCCACGGGGTTCAGCGACAGCGTGTCCCCGCCCGGCACCGGCGTGCCCGTCTTGGGCGTACCATACAGCGGGCTCGCCGACTGCTGCAGAGGGACCTGGGCCTGTGTCGATACCGACGACAGGAAGTTCTCCTGCCTTGACCGGCTCGCCTGTATCGTCTTGGTGCGCATCTCGAGCGTCTCGCGGAAGCTGGCCGACACATCCGTCAGCTTGCCCTGCAGGAGCAGCACCACGTTCTTGTTGTGCTCCGACTCTTGCGACTTTCCACCTTGCTGCGACGACCTGACCACGTCCTGCAGGCCCGCGATCTGCTGGTTGAGCCCCGACAGGTCCTGTTTGATGACGAACGTGAGCTCGTTGATCTCGACGGGGTTGTCGAAGAGCGTCTTCCGCCGCGCGAGCTGTGCCAGCTTCTCCAGCTTGCCCATCGTGCCGCTGATGCCCCGGCCGATGTCTGCAGCTTTCCGCGCGAAGTCGGACCGGCGGGGTTGTCGGGAGCCATCTGCTTCTGCCTTCTGGGCGTCTGTGAGGAGGGATCGCCGTTGGGAGCCGACCTTTGCCTGCGCTTGTCGTCGTTGTGCTTGTGTCAGGATGGATTTGAACTGTGGGTGTTGTTAGAGTCAGTCACGCTCAGACGCGGCAGGCTCGACGCAAGGGCGACTTACCTCTGAGGTTCGGTCTTGGATGTTCGCGACAGCCATGGCTGCGGTGTATTAAGATGGTCGTGTAGGTCGTCGATCAGGAACGGCAAGGAAATCGGTCTCGTTAGAGCGTGTGTTGTCTCGTCGGGCCAACGAAGCGTAGCGATTCGGGTCGAGGTGATGCGATCTGCACAGCAGTCCGTCTCGATGGAAAGCGATGGGGGGTGAGTGGTTTCAGGTGTTGAGTGTGGGTTGCCTGTGAGTCGTTGGTCTCGATGACGAGATCAGGCTTCCAAGTTTATCAGGGTATCTTTGGCGATAGGAGATTTGAGGGTCTAGGCGGGCCGTGGACGAGTAGAATTGATTGTGATAAGCCGCTGGGGTGGATGAGTTGTCGAGTCGCAGGTCACAGGTCGCGGGTCGCAGGTCGCAGCTTGAGGTCTGTGGGTCGCAAAGAACGGATCTCGTATTAAAAAAGGCTGTTACGTTCCCAAATTCTAGTTCCGTGGGGAGGCCTGGGTCTGGTCTGTGGTATTACAATGTCGTTGTTGAGACGGCTGGGTTGGGATTGGATTGGCCGTCGAAATCAAGAGTGGGAGTGGAAGAAGTGAAGGAAATGGGGACCCGGGTTTGTTGGTGTTGGCAGATTAGATGAACGCACGTTTGCCTCACTCAGTCGCAGAAGAAACGTGGTGTTTGCCTTGGTTCCCAGCAGAACGGGGAGGGACATTGGCTCTACCCGGGTTGGGCGGCTGGCAGCTGGGCAGGCCAGTTTCATTGATGCCTCAGGCAGGCGGGTGGTCTACTGTGGCCATACATAGCAGGTCGTGTCCGGGTCTTACGCAATCCCGTCAGCCACACTCTCGGTTCCACCATTTCGTCCGACCAATTCGCCCCTTGCTGCCTCGGCTCTCTCCTCCCCGTGATCAGCAGGACATCCTTTTGAGACTACAATTGCATTCCATCCCTGTGGCACGTGTTGACAGGTTCCAAATGCGGACAGAATTACACCTTTTCGACACGATAATGGGGTCTTTCAAGGGCACTGAATCTTGGGATCGCCAGGGATGACCCGACAAGGGCCCTATTCCGGCCGCCGACCAGAAACACGGTACCCGTCGATCTCCCTTGAGACAATCTACGTCGAACCGCATTTGGACAATATCCTGGGACACCTAGAGGTCCTCAGACTCGCTGCCTAGGGCTATCAGCAATGAGGGACATCAATTCGATGCCAATTCTGGAAGCGAAACGTCCACGCCAATTTACCAATCATGTAGCTTGTGTTCACTTCCTCGCAGAGTGAGACAAGGGGAATTGAAGCTCTCGCAGCCCGATTAGCTCCGCGTCCTCCGGCGCTGCCTCCGAGAGGGTCAGGATATCTGTTCACAGCGGGAATCTCGGGACTGCTGGTGACATACACCAGTCTCGTGCCCTACTGTCCTTCCATATTATCCACCTGAGGAGGCAGAGCCAGACGGACTGAAAAGTGAGGTTCCCTGTGACTTTGTATTGTCGGACTGCTCCCAGGCACTCCATTTCCCTCCACGACTCCGATGGAGTCTAATCACGCTCTTGAAACCACGATCCAGAAGACCCGTCGTACATTTTCGGGCTGTATGGGCGCCTCCAAAGAGCTTTGTGAAGGTCAGCCCATGATCAGAAGAAAAAGACACAGTTAGTACCATTGGCCATCCTCGATTGAGCAAGCAAACGTTACGCCAAGATATTTCATCTAAATCAAGTCGATTCAGTCAAATGACACTAGAAGGCCTATCAACACAGTTCAATACACGGATAGCCTTAGATCCCCGACTCCATCACACTAAAATCGAATGGATGCAATGAAGTTGTGCCAAACCATCAACTTCTTGATATTTGTGCCATTTGTATTCACATCTCTCGATCTTGCACAGCTCCGTCCCAATGGGACAAAAGTATTGCTTTCACACCTCATAATAGGTCCCACAAGTTCTCAGCCGTTCAACTTAGCTGTTTTGATGGACTTCTCTACCTAGGTAACTAGTTGTACTGCAGTGCCTAAACTCTGCTCAATAGGTTGCATAAGCCTCCGAAACTGGCTAGGCTCTTCTGGACTTCAGCTTTACCTTGCGTTCCTCGTACCAAAAAATACCAGCCATGGCCAAAGCAAGGAAAAAGAACCAAGCAAAAGCCGCCTCAAGGAAGTAGACCAGGACCACGAGAATCCTACCCAGTGCTACATAGCGCAACTGTCCCAACCACCCTGTGGGTCCACGAACAGGAACGGCCAAATAATCCCTCGGCACATAGTCTCTAGTGAGACCAGCCGTCCGCCACTGATCGACATGGCGAATGTTGTGGCTCCACGGAGCCAGGCGCGCGAGTGGTGGGAACTCGGCCTGCCACTCGACATAAAACTGCTGCAACTCACCGTCAGGCCACAGCGCTGCCAGCTCAGAACAAAGCCACTGCCCGAGCCTTGGAAGTCGCCAGGGCACCATCCTCTGGAACCACGCCTCCAACACCCATGTGCACCGCATGCTTAGCCTGTCCATGAACTCCCCGAACATGGTCTGCTGCCTGACAGGGGGCCGTCTTCGGCGGTCGGCCATCAGCTCAATCCGCTGAGCGTCCCATTCTAGGGCCATCCTCCACCCGTTTGCATGGGCCACCATCAGGAGGGCGCCCGCCGCCGCGGTAAACGCCCAGTATTTCGGCCCATTTAGGTTTTCATGCGCGATTGTAAGGCTCGTCACGAGCGTCCCCGTTGCTATCCGCTCGATATGGAGGCCCGCGGTGCTGAATAAATGGCATGTGCACCCGTGCGCGGCAGCGAGCACATCTAGTACACCCAAGCGGGCTATGGGTACATCCATCGGATCGACGTTGAGCAAGTCGAGATATGTGTGACATTCGAATATGCTCTGAACAAATCCCGCACAGAGCGACACACTGTGGATGATCTGAAATACACAGAAGAGTACCACGCTCTGGTCTAGAGTCCCCCAAGGGTCGGGTTTGGGCGCGCTTGTATTCGTTGACACCTCTGTTAGGGCTGGCGAAAGTGATGCGTGGATGATGAAAGGTTGGACCAACTGTGCGACGATATGGACGGTCATCTCGCACCAGAGGAAAGAAATGAATGGGTTCAGTTTCTGACGTAGTCTCGGCGGGAGACGGCGGTTGCTGCGTGTGAAGTATGTGAAGACCTTGGCGGGACACCAGACTGCTGTCTCGACAATACAGCACCAGAACGCCTGGTGCAGATAGATTTTAATGGGTTGCATGTTTCGTGAAGATCTGGTTCCAGCGATGAGAAAGATGATGAGGATGGCGAGGGCAGATTGCCCCAAGCCGAACAATGTAGGCGGCATGGCGTTTAGCTTCTTGAAGAATGTTTCGCGATGAATTGTGGAGATTGTAAATCAACAATGTGATCGATGCAAAAAAATGATTATTGAGTTATTTGTTCGGCCTCATGCTTTAATATGGCGTTTCGTCTCTCTATTTTCGGCAATTCAAGTCGATCGCTTTTCCCGCACTTTATCAAAACAAGGGCGGCGATAGCGTCGTTCAGCAGGGTGCTCAGGAACAACTTAGTCGACTTTCGCGAGTACCACTAATCCGCCCTTAGGAAATGACTATCTTTGCCTGTTCACTTGATCATTCAGATAGGCCCTTCCTTCATCGACTCGCCAGATGCGTCGGGTCCGAACTAGGAGACATAAATTTGTAGCACTCCCACACAATCAGTCCAGGTGCATGATAGGAAACCAGAACGCTGAATCTTGTGTTAGCCGCAGAGTCTGGTTCTTAGCGGACTGCTTGGGCAGTGTTCGACTCCTAGTTGTGTGAACAAGCACTGATGCCCAAAACAAGTCATACGCGCAAGTGTCCAACTGGCGAACCTGACTGGTAGGTATCAAGGTGAAGTCATTGAGAACATGAAGTGATAAATACTAGTGTTTCGAACGGTGTTCAGGGAACAAAAGAGGCCGGGATGTATTGCCCTAGCCCTGGATTCTATGGCTATCCCACATTGTATATATCTTCTTCAAAGTCTTCTATGGAATTATTTGTAACAACGCAAGAACCAGGAGGCATTTTGACCAAGAATAACACCCTCTATGACCTGTCTCGCAAGTGGTTCTTCATTCAGCCCGACTCATCAATTTCCTCATGAAGTGTTCTGTAACTCCGAAGCAGAATTCTGGTATCGATAGTGCTTTGAGGCTATAGCCGTACCCATTGCACGTGTTCCTGACGTCGGATGAATGGGTATCTATATTATTTTTGTCAGCATCTGCGTGCACAGGCTCATAGCCTAGTGTTTCGTCACTTGTCTTCCCCTCACCTTGTTAGAACTATTAAAATCCCACCGACAACCACACAAACACCAAAAGTCGCCTCCAGCCCGCGGACCAGAACAACCGCAGTTTTGCCCAGGAACAACGTCATATCAGGCGGCACCCTTGCCCCCGGAGTGCCGGCAGTGGTCTCACCACCAAGTATGAAGTCCGTAGTGAGCCCTGCCCTCCTCCACAGCTCGACATGGCGGCGGCGGAGCGGCAGGTGGTCCCACAAGGCCGCGAGCGCCGAGGACGGGACGCCGGTCAGCGCGGCGGCGTAGAAGCGGCGGCGCTCGTCCTCGGACCACAGCGCCGCGACCTCCGGGCAGGACCACCACCCCAGCCCGCCGGCGTGCCGCCGCCACAGTACAAGTCGGCGGAGACACTCCTCCAGGGCCCAGACGAGCCGCAGTCCCAGCCTCACGAGCATCTCCCACGGGATGGCGGTGTTGATGGTGGTGAGCAGCCAGCGCCCGGCCGCGGGCGGTGGTGGCTGCCTGCCTTCCCTGAGCTCCCTGAATTGGAGGTGCAACTCCTCTTCGGCCGGGCGGCGGGCGTCCTCGTAGGCTGCCCACACGTTTAGGATGGTGGCTATGAGGATGACGGTCGCCCACGTGGCGAAGACGTAATCCCACGGCACGGAGAGCGTGTTGTGGGCGTTGCTGGCGGCCGTCACGATCGTCCCGGCCGCCATGCGCTCCAGGTACAGGGCCATGGCCGTGAACAGGTAGGCCAAGCATCCGTACACTACGCCCTGCCCGGCCAGGTAGACGTATACTAGTCTTTTGAGCATGGCATATGCGAATTCGTTACGGTCGCCGAATAGCGGGTCCGCGTCCGCCATGACGTTGTCGGACTCGGATAGAACCGTCGCCTGGAACGTCCTGAACACACCCGTTATGTCGTGGGCGATCTGGATGATGCAGAGATACAGCAAGCCATGTGTCACAACGGCAAAGGGGCCCTCCCGCCTTCCGTCGAGGGCGACCGACGTGCCGGCCAGGGACGGCGAGAGCGACGCGTGAACCACAAAGAGGTGTACCCACCGCGCGGCGCTCGAGCAGATTACCTCGCTCCAGAGCAAGCTGAGGAAGGGGGCCAGCCGCTGGAGTACCCGCGGTGCGAGCCGCCGCTGGCTGAGGTAGGTGATCGCGCCGATGGGGCATAGGACCGCGGCGTGGATGACAGAGCACCAGAATGCCTGGTGCACATGGGCCACGAGGCGCCCGGGGACTCCTGTGGGCGCGGCAAGTAGCATCAGACAGATGTAGGCGCCGGCGCAGGCTGATCGCCCGAACATGGGTTTTGTCGTCCAAGCCATTGTTGAGTTTGATGCATCGCAGTTTCGACGTGTTCTTGGTGCAAATGATTTTTGATGGTTAACAATAAGCGAGATGGAAAATAAAAATTTGACAATTGTTCGAGCTCAGGATATACAGATCATTAACTGCAATTCTTCTCATCCCCTTCACTTAAAAATCTGCTAGCCTTTTGACCATCTCTGTTGGCGAGCACCGGACTACCAGACCGCCCGCAAGGTACTCAGAGCCGCTGTAGAAGCCCCAACTGTCAGAACTGGATTCGTAAGAACAGAATTTCCAACGTACACAATCCCCTCTCCCGTGTGTTCGTCTCATGGTAGGTGGACACACGACTGCAATAATTCCCCCTTTTGTATCGGGGCCTTATGGAACGGGCAGGCTTTGAATATGTGTTGTTCGCACCTTCCGGGCTTCGCGAGCTGCATGGGCCACGTTCAACTCCCCCTCTCGTGCATACACGGCGTCAGAAGACGGCATTTCATCCGCGTGTGCGTCCCACTTGGCGACCTGAGAGTCCTAATCGTAGGCAAAGAGGACGATTGGAATAGAACAGCATGCACATGATGCTCGCACAGTCTTCTCTGTATACGGACCAGACCCAAGACGTTTGCCCAAACAAGCCTTGTAAATTGAGTTGTTGCATGAGCCGGTCTGGATAGAGTCGGCCACCACAGTGAGTGATATCGCCCTGCCAAAGCCGGCCTCACTTGAGAGTTAACCGCCCCCCAACTGACGAGATACGCCGATAGCCGGTTTGGCGGTTGGGGACGAACTTACATCAGGCATACTCATCCAGCATAGACGCGACGGTGGCGTGCCGCATGAGGCATAAAAGATTGAGCCTTGCCTCCAACACCGTGGCCGACCGACGCAGCGATGTCAATCCAAAGCATTTTACACGCTCCGCTTGGAGCGTGCTGAAGACGACCTGGTTTTCCCAAAGATGCTCGTGGGTATATCAGTATTCTCGCACCCGGTGGTCCACTGAATCACTAACGACCCAGCCAGTACGCTGAGATGACCATGAAGACAATCCCGTGCTTGACGGATTTCGGAGGCTCGAGGTTTGCCCATCGTTGCTGTCCTTGCCTCAATTTGGCCATTTCCATACTGACATGTCCGGCTTTCCGGGGCGAAATATTTGTCAACTCCGTCAAGCTTGCCAAACTGCCCTTCAGATGATAATCGGCATTCGTACGGCAGCACGTAGGCCGAAGAACCAGCTGCCCGTAGCTCCTGAATCTGCCAGAGGAAGTAACGGTGCTGCCGCTGGGAAATGACGAATCCGTTACGTGTGCATTCTCATTTCCATCGTGATCGATTGAGGAATCGGTGTCGCTTTTTCAAGCACTGCGTAGTTTCGTAAGTGATAATGTCAACGGGCATGTCCAGCAAAAAAAGGGGCGGAATTCGATGAAGATGAGTCTAGGATGAGAGCAGGGTAGTTCGAGCCGAGACCCTGTCTTGGCGCTGCTGCATTTTGTCCGACGTCAGAAAGACCACCAGAAACAGGAGACGCAAAGCGCCCCTCCAGCTCTCGCTTCTCGCTTGGTCGGAAAGCTGTCTCGCCTCTGCCCTGTCACGACATTGTTGGATGATTAGGCAAGCCCTCGCCTGTTGCAATGCAAGGTTGTGGGAACCCGAGACCGACGCGTTTTAATCATTAAAAGCATTGTGGTGACACCCACTTGCTGATATGCTGTAAGAGCCGTGCTTAACAACTGCGTGTCCGCCCGTGGTGGCACGCAACGCGAAGTGCAGGCCCGGTTTTGATAGTCATGCGGGTAAGGTGGCAGCCCCGCTGAGATGAGACACGCGCTCTCTCGTGTGGGTTATGCCGACAGCCGGCAGGTATAATCCCGCCTTGTCGAACCCGTCAGCCTCTGCTAGAGGGAACATCCCGTCCTTGTTTTAGTGGTCGGCGTTGGGCGTCATTGGGCTCGGGACGCGGGGGAATCAGCGGCGCCCCTAACGGTTGGCTGCGGTAGTGCCGGCCCAAGTTGGCAAAATGGTTGTTCCACGACAGTCATACCTAGATAGTAAGCAGGTTTTGGCCTTGGGCACCGACACAACGGAATTGCAGAAGGGGACGAATCAAGCTTAATCAAGCTTGGAGTCTCGAGTCAGCTTCCCCTATTGAGGCACGATTCCGGGCGTGATAAGATAGCTTACGGATCCGTAGTCTCCGGAAAGCCTGACGGGTTCGTCTAGATGCTGGAGTAACATCGAAGTGCCGTCATAGCACACGGGATTAGAGATGGACGCTACCAGTTAGCTGATGGTGGGCCGTGGGGAGAGCACGGGTGATCGCCAACGTGACAAATGCAGCAAGGTCACCACGAATCATGGCATTATTAGACCTCGCAGACAACAGAAAGGGTGGGTTGTCTGGTTCGTGATTACGCCCCAGGATCTGATCTGGGTTCACTGGCGCAGAGCGGTTCGGTGCAGTGCAGGACTGAGACTGCAGGACTGCAGATGACCAGGCTGTAGATCGCATCACCTTCCTCTGGGGAGGTTGTGGGCGGATCAGCAAGGCGGAGATTGGTTGCATGACAGCCCGTCATGCCAGTGCCAGTGTGCCAATGCCCAATGCCCAATGCTATAGTGTAGAACTACCTGCCGCCCGCATCCGGGATCCTTTGGCCATGCTTACCCAAACGTGATGTGGGATGGAAGGCGGGCGGGCGGGCTGGCGTGCGTCACGGTGCGTGCCGGCAACTTACCTCTCTTTGTCACCAACAGCGGAAAGGTTAATTATAGCATGAATAAGCGTGTGCGCCTTGGTTGACCATCACCACCCACCACGCGCCGCCGAGACGCCCGGGCAAGCGAGGGACAAGGCCGTCCGATGATGGCGGGCCGTTCACAATTGGAGAGGCCTGAGGGGGTGGTGATACGGCCGATCAAAAGGTCCAGAGTTGGCGAGGCCTTCTGGGTAAGCGCTGATCGTGGGATGGGCGGCTTCGGACGAGGCTGTGATAGGCTGTGGGTGGGAGGACAAGGCGGTCTGGTTGCCCACCTTGTTCTTGCGTTGGAGTTCTGGCTGGCTCGCTGGCTGGCTGGCTGGTTTGGAGAATCGACCCGATGTGCTGTTCTGGCCGGCAGGCAGAGAAGGGGGGAAGGGGGAAAGGGAGGAGCGAGGCAGCAAGAAGTGGAGAGCCCTGCAGGAGTGAGGCACGGTAGCATTGGTGATGAATCTTGATGGAAATAGGACAGGCCAACAGGACAGCAAGCAAGCCCATTCCCGGACAGGACGGCGGAAAAAATGTGAAGTGGCCTGCCCAACAGAGGCCCGGGCGGGGCACCGTGCCGAAACAAGGACGGACGCTGTTGCCGTGATGCGAGAGATGGGCCCAATGCCAGCCGGAAATGAGCCAAATGTCAAGGTGTCGGGAGCTGTGACGGAGAGTGACAAACGACGGATCCGTCAGTTCATTTCTAGATATCGACCAGGTCATGTACCGAGAATGGCATTGCCCTCCCAAGGCCGGTTGGGATGCCCACGCCACACCGCACCACGCCATGCCGTGTCACGGAGGGAGGAGGGGAGGAGGAGAGGATGAGGAGGACCGAGGCTCTCGGGGCTCCGAGGTCAGCAGGTAACTTGATGCTCTCGGCGTGTTCACCGACTAGCCAGCTATCCAGCCGGACATGGGGGCATTCTGCCAGGCAGATATCTGGGCTGGCAGCCGGGTAATCTAGATCTACACGTATTGTTATTGTGCGCAGCAGTCCAGTGAATGCAGCATCATGGAGCACCTGGGCCGGTGTCTGCCTGGTCGGTCCTGTTGGTCGTGCCTAAACACGAGCCCCAGCCATCCATCTTGGGCCTGCAGGTCGCCAGGGCGGCCGTTGCCTCGTCCTCGTCCTGGTCCTCGTCCTGGTCTTCCTCCTCTCGTCGGTGGAGGCGCCTACCTGGCCGGGCTGGGCAAGCTGGCAGGCCGGCGGGTGAGGAGGAAGGAAGCTTGGTCGGTGGGGAGGCATGTGTTCCCTGCGGGCATCGACAGATATTCTATGCTTGCCACTGGCAACAAGACGAGGGTGCAAGAGGAGGCAGACAGTGCAGGAAAGAGGATACGATGCGCCCATGCGAACCAGGGCAAAGTCGACTGCTGCGTTGAACTGGCATGGAAGGTACAAGCCAGGCATCTAACCGCAACGGCCCGTACAGTGCCAAGACCGTGCAGCAGTCCTGACAACCTTAGCTCATTCCAGGGCTATTAGGCTCATGCTCATGCTATCTGGCTCAGCAGATCTCGGAAACCTGGCCTGAGCTGACCTGGAGCCCTGTACATACCTAGGTAGTAACCCTGGAACCATGGGGGCTCCTCCCCTCCTGCCAGCCGCCCCCCCCCCTGGCTGGTGCCCGACAGCAGCCCAGGGCCCAGAACGCACACGCCCTTTTCGGGCCTGCCATGTCCAGAAGCCCACAGGTGGCCAGTGCCCCCCTTTCCGTCTCCAGGCGTGCCAGGGTGCCTGAGGTTCCCAAGCTGCCAGCATGCAACGCCCGCCAGTGGAGGAACTAGCACTGGGACCGAGTTGGAGGTCCTGCGTCCAGCCCACAGCCCACAAGCCCACACAAGCCCACCCAGCAGCGTCCGTCCGTGTCGTCGTGGTCCAGGTCTGGTCTGGTGGAGGGCTCCGCTTAAAACCGAATCCTTTTCTCAGCCAGCCCGCCCCCCTTCCTCCTGCATCTTCCCTTTTGTAACTCCTTCTCCCGTCTCCCTCCCAATCCATTCGACTGACCATCTCTCCCCCTTCCCTCAACTCGTCGTCTTGCAGCCAAAGACGGTGGAGTTTTGAGCAGGAAAGACCTGATTGAGGTTTTTCTTTCTTTCGCAGCGCTACTAATTTCCTGCATTGAGGCATTTCCGTCCGCCTCATCTACGTCTTCGTCTCGGTCTTGAGCCTGATCCTCTCTGCATTCATACGCCCTTCCGAGTCGACCGATCGCCTCTCTTCGTCATCCACCACCCTCCGCCCACCGAACCATTTCCATTCACACTCCCACACCCCCGAGTGTCACCGCCCGCCTCGAAGGATCTATCCTTTCGATCTGAAAGTCAATACGTGAGTCTCTACCATTTCTTCTCCGCTGCTCCCTCACGAGCCGGCATTGTCCCCTTCAATCTGCCTCAATTCGGCACCCGATCAGCCGCATCAACCAAGCCAGGGCGTCCGGCCTCACGACTCTCTTACCGACCTGAGGCCGCTCTGGCTTGCTTACCTGCTTGCCTGCTTACTTGCTTCGGCTGCACTGGCAATCGTCGGTTCCGGCTCTCCCTACCTTGTACCTCTTGCCCCTCAAGCTTGCTCCCCTAAAAGAGCTCGCCTGCTGCAACCAAACGACCTTGGCCACCCCCTCCTAACCCAAATCCATTCACACTCTGCAGTGCAACGCCTCCGTACCCTGATCCGTGCTCCACCACCAACCCTCTTCCTTGCACCTTTCTCGTGATTGCATCACACCGCCCTCAGACCTTAACCTATTTACGTCTTACTTGAGCATTCTTCTGACTTTAACCTGGAAAATAGTCTTTCAGCAACTATACCTCAGTCGACCCGACTACTTCACCACGAATACCAAGTAGCTCCCTTCCTCTTCGCAGGACGGAAGCTCTCCATCAAAATCCGACAAGATGACCACAATGGTACGTTGCTCGACCATCGCTCTCCCGACCAACTATGGAGTCAAGGCTCTCAAAATGATAATTGCGGGTCTTCGGCTGTGACGTCGTCCCTCTTGGCAACTCCGTGTCACACCATGGACATACGCAGCTGTGGCCTCCGATTGAAGCCTCTCCCGTGTTTGGTTTCGAACGCCAGCCTATTCATGTATTCTTGGCTAACATTCCATTTAATCCAGGATCTCAGAGTCGGTAACAAGTACCGCATCGGCCGCAAGATTGGCTCCGGATCCTTCGGTGATATCTACCTGGGCACCAACATCATCTCTGGGGAAGAGATCGCCATCAAGCTCGAGAGCGTCAAGGCCAAGCACCCTCAGCTTGAGTACGAGGCTCGTGTCTACAAGTCCCTCGCCGGTGGTGTTGGCATCCCTTTCGTCCGTTGGTTCGGAACAGAATGTGACTACAACGCCATGGTGCTGGACCTTCTCGGCCCCAGTCTGGAGGACTTGTTCAACTTCTGCAACCGCAAGTTCTCGCTCAAGACCGTCCTCCTGCTGGCGGACCAGCTCATCTCCCGCATCGAGTACATCCACGCCAAGTCCTTCATCCACCGTGACATCAAGCCCGATAACTTCCTCATGGGTATCGGCAAGCGTGGCAACCAAGTCAATGTTATCGACTTTGGTCTCGCCAAGAAGTACCGTGACCCCAAGACGCACTTCCACATTCCCTACAGAGAGAACAAGAACCTGACTGGAACGGCCCGTTATGCCTCCATCAACACCCACCTTGGAGTCGGTACGTAATCCAGTCCTTCCCCCATGATTACTGTGCTTGATCCCCGCTGACTTTGATACAGAACAATCCCGCCGTGATGACATGGAGTCTCTTGGATACGTCATGCTTTATTTCTGCCGTGGCTCCCTTCCGTGGCAAGGACTTAAGGCTGCTACGAAGAAGCAGAAGTACGACCGTATCATGGAAAAGAAGATGACCACCCCGACCGAGGTCCTGTGCCGTGGCTTCCCCAACGAATTCGCCATCTACCTCAACTACACCCGATCCCTGCGCTTCGACGACAAGCCCGACTACAGCTACCTGCGCAAGATCTTCCGTGATCTGTTCGTCCGCGAGGGATTCCAATACGACTATGTCTTCGACTGGACTGTTTACAAGTACCAGAAGAATGCCGCCCAAATCAAGCGGGACGAGCAGCAGGCGGAGGACAAGACCGGTGCTCCTTCCGGCCAGGCCAACACCGCCGCGGCTACCAAGGCCACTCCTGCCATCCAGAGCAACCGCGCTCGCAAGATGATCGCTGAGAACCCCGACGCCTCGCGTGGTGTTGGCACGAGCGATAGGATGTGAGTGCAAAATTAAGCCCGGCCCACTACATTCCTTGTAAGGAATCCTCCTTCGAGTTTGGTGTGCTTCATAACGCTGGCCGAGGGAACATGCTGACAAGAGTGCTGACCATCAGTCTGCGATAACAGGCTGCGCTCGGCTTCCAGAGGCCAAGGCGCTGCTGGCTCGGGTTACGCTTCCGGTTCCTACCAACGACCCAAGTGATTGCAACACGCGGCCGTCCGACACTCAGATTGTTTTATTGTGGAAAAAGATTGTTCATCCCTGAGCGACACTGGTAGATGGCACGCCGTGATGTCACGGGTCCTTCTGCCGGCGTTTCCTCACTTATGGTAACATGTCTTCGCTCAGGGATCGCTTTCACGAACGTCTCCACTCCACAGCACCCCCTCGTCATCCTGGGGAACTCTTTTCGTTCTTCGACGTATTTCGGTTATCACTCATGGCTCGGTCAATTCTTGAAGGGCGACCTGGTTTTACGGCATTGGGCCAGTAGATCCGGCGTCGATGCCCATCTGGAAACGGCTGAACGGCACGCCCGGTGCACCAATTGCTGGGGCACCGGCATGTGAGGAAGAAGAGTTTCGTTTATGAGATAGCAGAAGCACCACCAGCTTCGCCACTCGACGAACCGAACAGAGGCCCAAGTCCACCAGAGCTGGTTATCGGCATGACCACGATCGCTCTGGGCGTGATAAGCCCCGTCGTTGCGACAAAACGGCTACTACTTGTGGTAGCCTGCTTGCCAAGTCTTATTCATCGAGATTGCTCTTGTTTTCTTTCCTTGTCCTGGTTATCCTTCTCGACTTGACTCCGGGGACACGCTTCTGGGGAGGTAATATGGAGGGGACGTGTTTATTCGTGGGATCCGGACTTCTGCACAGGGGTACGCCACAATGGACCAGAACTGGGCGTCAGTGTCATTCACTGGTCCCTCTTCAACCCGTCAACTGCTTGTGACCGATGCCACCCGACGAGGACAACGACCGATTTCGTGGGCCTTGGATGAACTCGCGAGGAATCGGTTGCAGCAGCGTGGAGGACCCAGCAGTCACCCAGAATCCCAGTCCGATTTCATTCATTTCGCCACCATCCGCTCCCTATTCACTACCATTCAGCCTTGGATTCCTCCCATGATAAGAGTCCCTACCTCTCGCCTGTGTGTAAATCACCAATGTCCACACGACATAGAGATGCGGGTGAGAGTTGCACTGAGGATGCCTGTATATCATGGTTCGATCCGGCGGAATGGAGGACAATACACACCTTAGGATTTGCTAGTCTACCACTGAATCTAAAATTGCTTTCACAAATTTGTTCTTTTATTCATTGAGTGATGTCACTTGACATGTAGATCCGTTGTCCCTAGCCTTCATATGACTCTCATGATGACCCATATTGTGACTGAGTGTGGGTCGTGCCGAATGAAAGCGCAGACCCAAGAGTGGCAATGGCAACAGATGCAATCTGGTCAGTCATATCATTCAAACTTCTTAAAGGTGAATTGGACAGGCTGTGATAATAGTGCAGCACGTATGCAGGTAATCCTGGTATGAAGTGTAATGAGCTGAGCATATAAACATGATGTGCAACCACAGCTTGGTTGGACATGAGCCGTAGCAAAGTAGTAATCTGGCTGCTTGGAATATATACAGGTTGAAGATTATTGTCCACCACGCTGCTCTTGTCAGGCACGGTGACGCAGAGTGAGCACCCAACTCCGGCAGACATCATTACTCTCGTTACTTAACTGAAGGTCCAGCCGAGGACAAACCCTTGGGATAACAGTGCTGAACTGAGACAACGCAATCACCCGCCCCACTACCTCTCTCCAGCATTTCTGTAAGTGGTCTCGGGTACGTGCAGGCAGGCCAGTGAGAGGCTGGGGTGTGTTGCGGGTTGGGTTGGATGGATGCCCTCTCTGGGTTGGTGCATTGGTGGGTATCGAGATCTCTGTCTCTGTCTTTGGGGGGTGAGACCTGCTTTTTTGTTCGCCCGGTTGGGTGCATGCAGCCTCCTCAAGTGGTCAGTCAGTCTACTCATCTGCAAGAATCTCTACAGGGAAATACCCAGATGGTGAGAAAGGTGGGGGGGTTCTTGTCCTTGCGTCATAGATGCATGTGTGTATGTGCATGTTTTCAACCATCTGGGTAGGCAGACAGTAAGACAGTCAGACAGTGTACATTGATCTCTTAGTCCGTCTGAGAGAGAGACAGAGATGAGTGGGGAGGCGGCTCATGCTGTTGGATTGTCTTCCACGGGACAACCTATGATGGAATAAGTCGCCGTAGGATAAGCTTCTATTGGATAGCCTCCTATAGGATTACCTTCCATAGGACAACCTTCTATAAGACACTCTACTGTAGGATAATCTCCCATAGGATAGTCTACAGTGGGATAACCTTCCATCGGATAATCTTTCATAGGATAGCCTCCCATAGGATAATCTGCTGTGGGATGATGGGTTGTGGGATATCCAGTTTATCTACTACCCGACAACCACCCGCCAGGCAGCCTCCTCTGGGATACTTGCCTTGGTACCTAGGTATCTAGGTAGACAGCCTTGTGGGGCATTCCATGGTAGAGCTCTGGAGCCTGAGGGTGACTTCCCCAGTGATGAGCCTCTCCTCTTTCTTGCCTGGTGACTTTTTCGGATTTGGACCTTCCTCAGTCTCATGATGCAGTCAGTGGTCGTGTGACTCCCTCACGTAATGATGAACGGAGGTAGGTGCGACTGGACCATCCAGGTTGGTCAGGCCTCTTTTGTTGAGAGAGCCCGTGTGTGCGTCCCTCGTCTTCCTTTGTTCTCTCTACCCATTCCCACTCGTCTTGGAGAACAATCATCGCTAAGAGCATCGTCCCAAACAAGATCGGGCACACAGATCGATCTCTCTCGGTTACATCCGTCACCCCACTGTCCATCTGGCCACAATCCACATTCCGGCCTCGGCCCGCCGATCACAGCACGAAGAGGACCCTGACCCTTGACCACGGTTCCTTCAGCCCCATTCACGTCTCCCGACACCCCTCCATCTTCTTTGCAGTACAACAGTGTCCGCCCACCATGACCCCAGCCGCCTCCCTGGACTTGTTTGTCCTGACCTTCAACTGCGCAAAGAACATCATCGATGTCGACGTCTTCGCGAGACATCTGCAAGGTGCCCTCCGCCAGCATGGCCAAAGGAGAGAAGGCCGTGGCTCCCGGCCCAAGGACCCTGTCGAGCTGCCGGACCTGGTTGTATTGTAAGTCTTTCTCTACGGACGAGGGCTTTTGATGTGGTTATGCGGTGGTATTGACTGTCTCTCCCCCCCTCACAGCTCCCTACAAGAGATCTCGCCCCTGGCGCAGAGCTTCGTTGGTGGATACTTGTTGAACCCCTACCTCATGCCATTCAAGGAGGCACTCAACCTCGCCGCGACCGGGGTGGAGGAGCAACAGCTGCAACAAGAGCAAGAAGAGCAGACCAAAGGTTCCGCCTCAAGACGGTCCAGGCCCCAGCAGAGCCTACAACGCTCCACGTCCACCCTCCCGACCCTATGGCGCCGGCAACAGGACTACCCGTACAAGCTGGTGGGCTCGCGCAATGTCGGTATGACCGCAATAATGCTCTTCGCCCGCAAGCCCGATGCCATCCACCACATCCAGTTCGCCGAGTGCGCATTCGGTATCGCCGACATGGGAAACAAGGGCGCTGTTGCCCTGCGGGTCACATATTCGGGCGCTGGTTCCCCTGGCGAGGACGAGGACGAGGACGAGGACGAGGCTGCCACTGACCCCGCGGAGCAGAGGACCACCGTCATCACGTTCGTTGCTACGCATCTCGCCGCGATGGAGTACAACCTGAGGCGGAGGAATGCCAACTGGGCAAGCATTGTGTCTTCATGCACGTTTGAGAACCCCAAAGAGGTTGTGTCTCCAGAATTCCACCAGGATGCCGAGCCGGGCGCTAAGAATGTCGTCGACGCATCGACAAAAGACGTCACCGGGGGAAAACAGACGGACGGGGGCCAGGATATCCCGCCTCCAACCGAAGACGAACGCGCTCACCTGCTTAAACGCCGTCAGACGTTTAAGTCCATGCCCAAAGACGAAGCAAAACGGTTACACGACGCAAGCATCTTCAAGCCGGGCTCTCACTTCTTCGTTGCCGGAGACTTGAACTACCGTGTCAGCACCAAATCGCCACCTACCGCGGCCCCATTTCCCACACTAGACAACTACCTGCCTTTCTTCGAGAAGGACCAGCTCACAGAAGAGAGACGCGAAAACCGCACGCTTCACGGTCTTTCCGAAGCAGAGGTTAAGTTCCCGCCTACCTACAAGATCAAGCACCTGGGCCCAGACAAGTTTGCCGAGGCCGTCAACAAAGACGAGATCCAGGCCGGAGGGGAAGACGTTGTCCCGTGGAAGTGGGCTTCCCACCGCTGGCCGGGATGGTGCGACCGCATCCTCTACCTCGATATTCCCTCGTGGGTGAAACGACGGCATGGAGACAAAGCCGCCGTCGAGATCGTCGTCCACAAATACAACTCGATGCCAACCATGCTCAGCTCGGACCACCAGCCAGTTTTTCTTCGCGTGTCGGTGCCCCTGCTGACCCCGGATGAGTTGTCGCCCGGCGATGAGGACACGGAAGGTACAGGGGAAGGCTCCACGGAAGCTACCGACCCACGATTACACCTGCCTCTACCAGTTGATTTGGCTGCGTGGGAACGCCGTGCGAGCGCCAGAAAGAAGGAAATTACGACAGGAATGATGACCCTTTTCTTCTCAACAAGGGAAGGAGCGGTGGTCCTGGGCACGGTGGCTGTGGTTTCTCTCATGACTTGGTGGCTGTACCGAGGCGGCATGTAGGGCAGGTGCCTTTGGGCAGGTGCGAGGCGGTGGTTTGGCAGGCGCTCATAGATGACCCGGGTGGGGGGAGGGGGTTTGGCAGGCATAAGATACCCGATACACGCTAGCGAATAAAATACAGCGGTTGCAACATATAAGGTGATCCCAGATGAGGTTGTCCCAGATGAGGTTGTCCCATAGGAGGTTGTCCCATCAGGGGAGGTTATCCCAGGAGAGGATATCCCAGAGGAGACTATCCCAGAGTAGGTTATCCCAGAAGAGAGAGGAGATTATCCCAGGAGAGGATATCCCAGAAGAGAGGAGGATATCCTATGGGAGGGTATTCCAAAAGGTGGATTCCCACAAGAAGGTATCCCAGAAGAGGTTATCCCACAGGGTGGTATCATAACAGGACATGTGAGATTCTCCCCAGAGGATTAACCTGGCAAGGATAACCCATAGGTGGTATACGGAACAGAAACACGAGTATGTGGAAACCGGGCTGCCCTCATTGCCCAGGACGCAAGGCGAGGGGTGAACCCCGTAAGTATATAAGTGGTACAAAGATCCACATACGGCCGTGAGGCTACTTTTGGGGTTGCGCCTGTATCCATGCGTTTGTGTACCAGCCCACCGGGGGGACATGTACTCTCAAGTACCAAGTTAAACCAGTCAGATCGGATCTCTGCGTAACGAGGGCTGTGGTGCTAAGGTGGTGGGTGCACACGGGAGGGTCGGAGCGAGCCATTCCAAGGGAGGAGGAGGTGTGGGGGACGCAGTCGCACACACGCATACACAAAAACAAGCACATGTGTTGGATGAGGCGTGGTGGCAGAGGCAAGGAGAGGCCGCGGCTGGCGATGGCCGGTGGCCCCCCGTCTCGTGTGTTGTCATATTGCCCTGTACTGTACATGATAATAATGATGTTGATGATGATGATGATGATAAAGACGTATCATCGTGGTCATTCGTGCTTTCATGCGCTCGCCTCTAGAACTTTCATGCTCATGCTCACAGCGCTCACGGCGCTCAAGGGTGTGAGTAATCAACCCTCAACCAAATAAAACCAAAAGCGGGCGTGGGTGGGCGGTCATGCCACTCAGATAACCCACACCGCCAACATCTTCTGTGCTTTCTCTTTCTTGTCCCTCCTTATTCTCCGGAAGGGGTACATTTCAAAGCTTACCACCCGCTGCTGGACATAATTCCCCCAACTCCAGCAAACGCCCTTAGAAATCCTGGAAGTACCCGTCATATTTCTCCCTGAGGTCATCGGTATACTTGTCGCGAGTGGCGTCCTCCTCCGGGTATATGTCAAAGCACTGCGCGTCGCCGGGGAACCTGATGGGCGGGATAATGGGCCCCCTGTGGCGCCGGTTGAAGACGTCGTCCCAATTGACGCCCCGGAAGAAGGGGTGCTCCTTCACCCTCTTCGCGCCGCCGCTCACGTTGCCCAGCCTGCGGGACCGGTCCGCGTTGCAGAAGGACCGGATGAGATCCTGCGCCTCCGGCGAGATTGGCGGCTCTTGTGGGAAGATGACGGGCTTCTCGACGATTCTGGGATTTGCAGGTCAGTAACTGGGAATTGAACAAAGCGCGTGCCTGCTGGCCACGCTCTGCGGGGTGCCACATACTGCTTGTATATCTCAATTGGGTTCTGATGCCAAAACGGGGGGTAGCCCGTCAAGAATTCGTATATCAGAATCCCCAGGGCCCACCAGTCCACCGCTGTAGTATGCCCCTTATTATGAATGACCTCTGGGGCTAGATATTCGGGCGTGCCGCATAACGTATAGGTTTCTGATGCACCATCCCGTCCGCCGAGCCGTTTTGCGAAGCCAAAGTCCACGAGCTTTATATGCCCTTCCTCGTCCAGGAGCAGGTTCTCAGGCTTGAGGTCACGGTAGGCGACGCCGCCCTGCTGCTCGTGTAGGTATTCCAGCACCAGGACGATCTCGGCGGCGTAGAAACGCGCCATCTTCTCGTCGAAGCGGCGAAACTTTCGGAGATAGGAGAAGAGCTCGCCGCCGGGCACGTAGTCGAGGAGGAGGTAGAGCGACTCGCGGTCGGAAAAGGAGGCTAGGAGGTTCGTTATGAACGGGTGGCCGCTCACCTCGCCGAGGATCGCCCGCTCGTGCCGGACATGGTCGATCTGTTTGAGTTTGATCACTGCAGTCTGCTGTCAGCCACGAGATGCGGCGCTCGCAGAGAAGCTGCCAAGACAGGCACTTGGTTGCACGAACCTTCTGTTTTTCGTAGGATCTTGAGCGCAAACACTCTTGTCCGCTCGGCCTCGTTCTTTGGACTCGCCAATCGCACAAGACATACGCGAGCGAATGTACCTGAGATAGTCCCAATCAGCTCGACGAGTCTCTCCCCAGAGTGCGTGGAATTCTACATACCCGTGCCTAAAGTTCGCACCTTCGCGAAGTCGTCCAGCTGTAGTTTCCGCGACGTATTCGATGCATCATTGGGTGCTCCAGGGGCTATTACGCCGCTCATGGCTTGCGCCTTGTCTAGATTTCGGCTTGCACCTGCGTGGCCTACTGTCGCCGGCACCTGGGCCACTGTCGCGGCCATTCTGGGCTCTCGAGAGAACCACGGGTCTGATGCGTTCGTGAGAGGCCTTGCTTGCGCCGCTACTACTTGGAGAGTCGCACCGGACCAGTTGGCTGCTCTGCGACGTCAGACAGGGGCGACCGCGCCGGACGGGACCAACGTCTGCTAGAAAAGGGGCTGAGCGCGCGTGCGTCTTCTCGGCAGCCTCGTATACAAACTTCGCCCCGGGTCCGAATTGCGCGCTCGGAGGCTTGTGTGATTAGTTAGGGGGGCTACCTAGGTAGTACCGGTCTGTGTGTTGCGTTGGTCGCCGGCGCCGTTTTAACGGCGCTGAATTGTGAGACGTCGGGACGAGGACGAGGCGTTGTCCTGTCTTGTAGGACCGTTGACAAGCGGTAGGCCCGTTGAGACCTTGGGCGGCGCTGTTTGCGTTGATCAATGCGGGGGGGGGGGGGCTGAAGGATCAACAACATTTAATTGGCATTGGCTGCCTAGTCATCGCTTAGTTTGCTTGTTGTTGGCCGGCTCGTTCGAGAAGGAGTGATAGTCAGTGACGAATGCTGACAATAGGGTTTCGCAGTCGAGGGGCGGACAAGAAGGCCAAACAAGCAGGTGTGTCTGTAAAAGGAATTATGTAGGTGAAATGGGAGGCGAGCAGAAGTCAAATGCAACCCTCGGTGACACAGGCCTAGCCGGGGCAGAGTGGGTGTCCCGGCGGAGGATGCGTTTCGTAACTGGATCTGCGGTAGTCCTGCAAAATTGTGGATTGGATATTGGCGCTGAGGGATTGCGAGCAGCTGGATCTCGTGGCTAGACCGCTTGCGAGAGCCTAGGGAACCGCTGCTTACTGCTGGTGCTGGGCCAGGAATCGAGTGGCTGTTCGCTGCGCTTATCGTGCAAGAGAAGGGCCGGAACAGCGAAAGATTTGACGTCACGGCTGCAGATCGATCGCAAACCTAATTCTGAACTTCCCTCTTGAGCGGCGCGGATGAGGGACGGGCAGCCAGGGCGTGGGGGGAGCCGATATGAGATCACTCCTCTCTCGCTCTCTTTCTGGGCTGCCTTCCTCGGAGGCGTCGCTGGCCGGGATCCTCGACCTGGAATAGCGGGACTGACCTTCGGATCACTCTGGGGCTCAGGATGACATACGAGACAGTTGTATAGATGAAGGAGGAACCAGCGTGCTCAAGGCAAAAAAAGGGGGGCCACGAAGGGCACAGCTGGATAGTCCCGGCCTGCCGCGACTTGCCCACGAGGCCGTCGTGCCTAGCCCCGGCTCTTTTCTTGTCTCAAGACGGACGAGGCGTTCTCCCCAGGAGGATTGCGTGGTTGTCTTGTGACGTGAGCTAGCAGTGTCGAATTAATCAAGGCGTATCTTTGCCCATGTGAGAGGGGAGAGTGCTTCCATATTGAGTCTGCGTTACACAGTACGGCGCACGAGAAGGTCGCAGGATCATGTTCCTAGCTTGGGCAAAGACACCCAGAGCCTGGGCTGCTTGACGAAGTCATTCACGAGGACGTAGCATTGAATTTGTGGCCCCAGGCTCTGCGCCGGGATGCAAGCGTCAGGCTCTTGTTCTGGGGACAGATGATGGAGGTTGTATGCGGGAATTGGGTACAACATCAGGTGTGCTTGCAGGCTCGGCGCTTTTGAGACGCGCATCGGGCAAAGGTTCAGTGTCGCAGATCCAATTGAGTGGACGGATACCTGAGGGACATGAAGCGCGGGTCGAGCGTGGGGAGAGAGAGCGGTTGTGGGAACGCGCAGCCTCGGCACTTGCGCAGATTACTGTACATGTACGTGCGACAACGACAAGACTGCACACAGCAAGTCGTATCGAGGCCCACGACAAGACTGGAGCAGATCTGTGTCCGATGGGAGATCAGCCCTCGACGTCGGCCACAAGCCGCTTCATGGTGCTTCAGTACAGCGGGGCCTCGACGGTCGGCTCGGGAGTCTGCACTTGATCTGTGCTCGATGTTCGGCGGCGACAGACGATGCTGAAACGATTCGAGCTGCGGCTGGCCAGGCAGAGGGCAGCAGGCGTCCAGGACAGTCAGTCGACCAGAAGAAGGTCACATACGGTTGGCGTCTTGGAAGACGGGCGGGAGGCCATCATCAAGGCTGCCGTGTGTTTTTTCACCAGGTACAGGAACAGCTGAACCGTTGAGGCTGATGGCCATCCATCATCCACTGTGGGCATGAGGCGAGCCTGAGCTTTCCAGGTCGGCAGGTCAGTCGACGGCTTGGGCTTGGTCTGCGTATGAGGGTCCACATGAGACAGTGACCCCCTGGCTTGTTTTGGTTGCATTAGGGACGGCACTGCGGTAGTGTTGACGGGCAGACGGGTAGACTGGCAGACTGGTACCTGGTTGGTAGATTCCCTGGGCAACCGCGCCCACCCCAGCCCCATGTCACTCTACCAGTCTACCAGTGTGGCCAGTGTGCCAGTGGGAGACTGGTACCTACCTAGGCAGGTAGACTGGTAGATGGTAGACTGGCAAACTGGGGGACTGGTAGACTGGGGGACTGGTAGACTGGGGGACTGGTAGACTGGGGGACTGGTAGACTGGGGGACTGGTAGACTGGGGGACTGGTAGACTGGGGGACTGGTAGATGATAGATTGGTAGACTGGCAGACGGTAGACTGGGGGACAGATGGGTCCCCAGTTGTGTCAGGTTGGTGGTGGGGGAATGTGGCAGTTGCTTAGCGGATCTTAGCCGCAGACTGTGGTGGGGGGTGGAGGGGGAAGCTCGAGCCGGCTGGCCGACCCCTGGGCAGACAGCGGTCCCGTCTCAGCAGAGAAACAGTACGGCGTCTCCCCTTTGCATAATCGAGCCTACGTACTGTGTTGTGCGAATAAACCAGATACCCCATCCACCAAGACCACCCTTCGCGATACTTGCTCCACGACGACGAGTCCTGCCCCTCTCTCCTCGCCCTCGCCTCTCCAGGCCATGCTCTGACCCTCCCTTCTCTGCCTGGAACCCCTGGCGACCGACCGAGCGAGCTCCCGACCGTGACGGCATCGAGGGCGCCCTCTGCCCTCGCAAGCAGCCATGTTCAACCTCTCGAGCTTTGTGAGCAAGGCCCAGCAGCTGCTCGACCCCATGCAGGGCCTGAACCTCAGCGACTCGGACAAGAACCCCTCCAAGGCCACCCTGTTCCAGAACCAGTTCCGACTGCCCTCCTCCCAGCATCCCTTGTACGAGATCAATGCCGAGCTCACCATCCCGCCCTCCAACGCCACCCAGGGCGGTAAGAACGACACTGGGTTCCACTATGCCGGCAAGATACACCTCTCCGAGGCCTACATGTGCTTCTCGACAACCCCCTCGAGCTTCATGTCCTCGGCCACAACCTCCACCTCGCTGGCCTTCACCGGTCAGACCCACGGCGGTGGTCCAAGCGGCAATGGCTTCACATTCCCTCTGTCGTCCATCCGGAGGGTCGAGAGACTACACAGCCAAAACTTTCAGGTGCGCAGCCCGCGGTGGACACAGCAAGAGGTGCATGAATGCTGACGCTTAATGTAGTTTGCTCTGGCTATTACCACTTGGAACGGTCTAGCCCAGAACTCGGGCAAGGACAAGGACAAAGAGCCCCCCAAGGACAACAAGGAGATACGAGAGCAACGCATAACCATCACACTCGCCGGCAGCAGGCCGGCCTGCGAGAGGTTCTGCGACGGTCTGAAAAAGGGGCTGCGCGCCGGAGTCGGAAGTGTGGGAAAGCTCAAGAAGGTCGTTGCCGAGTGCTATTCGGAGTACCTGCTCCGCCCAGAAGACAAGAAGGCTGCCAGCCCACCAGACGCCGGCCTTGGCATGTTGTTTCGATACCCTGGTGACGCCAAAAAGTTGCGAGATCGAGCCAAGATGCGTCTTTGGGCAGAGTACCTGCGCGACAATGGCCGCAACACGAATCTCATCCGACAGCCCACATTCCACAAGCTCATCCGAGTCGGCCTCCCTAATAGGTTAAGGGGGGAGATTTGGGAGCTGACATCTGGCTCCTTGTACCTGCGCCTCGAGAACCCCACGCTTTACAGCGATACACTAAACAAATTCGAAGGGCAGGAGTCTCTTGCAATCGATGAAATCGAGAAGGATCTTAACCGAAGTCTGCCCGAGTACCCAGGATTCCAAAGCGAGGAGGGCATTGGCCGGCTACGCCGTGTGCTTACAGCATACAGTTGGGTCAATGCTGATGTCGGATATTGTCAGGCCATGAACATCGTCGTGGCTGCCCTGCTGATCTACATGTCAGAGGCACAAGCCTTCTTTCTGTTGTCAGCCCTGTGCGATCGTCTCGTTCCCGGGTACTACTCCACGACTATGTATGGAACACTACTCGATCAGAAGGTGTTCGAGAGCTTGGTCGAGAAGACGATGCCAGTGCTGTGGGACCACCTGGTGAAAAGCGACGTGCAGCTGTCCGTGGTGTCCCTGCCTTGGTTCTTGTCACTCTACATCAATTCCATGCCCCTGGTCTTCGCGTTCCGGGTTCTAGATGTCTTCTTCGTTGAAGGGCCAAAAGTCCTGTTCCAGGTTGGACTGGCAATTTTGAGGATCAACGGGGAGGACCTCCTAGACTCGACAGACGACGGAGCTTTTATATCTGTCCTGAAGTCATATTTCTCACGCTTGGACGAGTCGGCCCATCCCAAGTCAGAAAACCCCAAGCTTCGGGCCGTAACGCGGTTCCAGGAGCTGATGGTGGTGGCATTCAAGGAATTCTCGCAGGTAACGCACAGCACCATCACGGATCTGAGGTTGAAGAACAAGGACGCGGTTCTCAATAATATCGAGAACTTTGCAAAGAGAACAGCCATCAGGAATCTAGGGCCAGATGCCAAGATTATGAGCACAGACGAGTTGGGCGCGCTATACGACAGATTCTTCGGCGTGCTGTACGAACGGCAGCAGCGCAGCAACCTCCTTCAGCAGGAGCAGCAGCGGAGAGCCAAGACAGGCCGACCCAAGCTCGGCGATGTACACCACCAGGAGGCTGTAGAAAAGGGTAGGGTAGGCGTCGGGGCTCCGAGCACATCCGAGATGGATTACGACGCCTTCCGCGAGTTCCTTGCTGCCATGTCAAAATGGGCGATCTCGGACTCGCCAACAACGCCTCGTCGAGACACTTTCCAGGAGAAGGACAAAAGCCCCTACTTTGGCAGCATGCGGAAAGCAGATGTCTACACCGGGCCTTGGGGGACGGGACCCGAGCCTGCAGATCATGAGTTCCTTCAACGCCTGTTCAGACTGTGGGACAAGGGCTCCAAAGGCCAGGTCACCCTTCAGGATGTCGTCTCTGGAATGGCGCGGATCAAGGGCAAAACCGACATCATGGGCACCATCACCTACTTCTTTGAACTCTACGACGATGACGGTGACGGCAGAGTAGACCGAGAAGGCATATTGCGCATCTCCGAAGCATTGCTGTTCCTTTCACGCCGAGGCTTAGAAGGTAGCCTCAGCCCTTCAGCCTCACAAGTAGGACTAAACGGACTGCAGGACTCTGGCGTGAACCCGAACAGCCCAAATAGCTCGATGCCGGAAGCGACTGTGAATGAGAGATTTCTTGGCAGTGTTAGCGCTTTCATCCGACGCTGCTTCGAATATGCGGACCCCGACCACCCTAATAACCAAGTCCCGGCCGCCAAAAGCAGCAGCGCTGGTGCTGAGGACAATATGGCCGACCCTAGTGCATTTACGATTGGGGATGACGATGACGAAGAGGAGGAAGAGGAAGATCTCCTAGACCTAGAAGACACGCCCAAGGAGGGCAGTACCAAGAAGACGCCCAAGAAATCAAACATTCCCCCAGCTATCAACATCATCGACAGCAACAAGAACGTCACATCAGGAGAACCCGACGACCACCGGCGTGTCTCGAAGGCACAGTCTGAAAAGGCGAACGTCGCTCTCGATCCATCCAACCCCCTGTACATGACTCTGCCCACGTTTAGGATGGTCATCCTTGCCGATGAGCTCCTGGAACAGTTCTTCGAGTCCAGCTTCCCATCCTCGTTCCACATCATCGAAGGCCTTCCAACTAGTTCGGGAGCAAGCTCCTCAAATCTCACCACCTTCTCCAGCCTGGGTCAATCGGCGGGCCGGGCGGCGGCAGCAGCCATGGGTGGCGCACCCGGGGCAGGAGCTGGAGCGGGCGGCAACCGCGGCCTCCGAGGCGTCCTGGACGGCATAGTCACCGACGGCATGCGCGTGGCGGCCGAGGTGAGGAGGAGAATGGACGAGGCGCAGAAGGAGCTGGAGAAGAACGCAACCCCAGGGCAGAAGGCGGCGCAGGACGAAGAGGACGAGGACGAGGAAGACGCGGACATCGACGTGCACACGATACAGACGCCGACGGGCCGTGGCGACGCGAGGAGCATCAGGAGCGTCAGGACCGAGGACCGTATGCTCCTGGAAGGGGCGGACGCCGAGGCCGGGGGTGGCAACGGGAAGGGAGAGGGTCTGGAGGGAAAGGCCGGGCCGCGTGCCGACGCGGAGCCGAAGCCGCGCCCGCAGAGCGTCATCGAGGACAACGCGACCAGGACGGTCGAGTTCGAGGGCTGATGCGGTGATTGCACGGGCCGGGGCCCTGCGGCAATGAATGTACGTACCTAAGGGAACACGGACCACACGCGGGGGGTCTCATGGGGGATGGGAGCATCTTGCGTGTTGTGAGTTGGGTTCATGGCGTGAGCGGCGGTGAGCCATTTTCATTCCCATCGCTCCTGCCGCGTTGTATTCCTACTCTTTTTTTCCTCCGCGGGCATGTGAGGGTTACAGGGTTTCAAACGTGAAGCATAGACTACTATTACACCATGCTAAGAGAGCATCGGTCTCCCGTTTTCACCGTTCCCCCCCCCTCCCCTCCCCTTCGGGTCGATAGTGAGAAGATGAGCTAGGTACATCTGGCTCATACCGAACCCGTGCAGGAGGAATTCTTCTTTCCTCGACACATGTACAACTGGCGGTCAATCCAGTGTCCATCTGGGTACTGATCAGACAGCCCATGCAGCCTTGATCTGGGATGATTTCCTCTGGGATAACCTTCTCTGGGATAATCTCCTCTGGGATAATCTCCTACCTCCTATAGGATAGTCTCCTACAGGGTAGTCTCCTATAGGATAACCTCCTACCTACTTTGGGACAACCTCCTATGGGACAACCTCCTACCTGCTACGGGATCACCTCCTCTGGGATAACCTCCCCTGGGGTAACCTCCTCCGGGGTAACTTCCTCTGCCTGAGCGTGCTGTTGTTTGTTGTTGTACTCCAGGGGGTAAGAAGGTCGTGTTGGCATGGACAAGATCTTGACTGAAGTGTATCTGGTGGCGTTTTGGTCAGGTATGTGCCCGCAATTGCCAATTTCTAGGAGTAGTCTACATAAAGGCATGCTTTCAGAGCCGAAATCAAGCCACTGATCAATCTAACCCGGGAAATGCTTGGCCGGACCCAGATGTTGAGGTCGCGGCAGGTAGGTAGTTCTGTTCTTCCCAAACATTGTGTAGATTCTCGTTCTAGTTGGCTAATACGTTGAAATGGCAGGCGCAATATGGGTAATTGAGGACGTAGTCTTTCTTTTTGTTCAGCCTTTCCCAAGTGCTTCGTCGAGTGTTGTCAGTGGCCGTGTGTCTATGACACCTTACGTAATGGTGGTCGCCAATTCCAACCTCAGCCCTACGTTCCTCGACCGCGGAGTGAAGCCGCCTCTACACCGCGGTCGCCAACGGCAGGAGAGACAGCAGCAGATGAACGATTCTCACCAGCATTCCACCTCCTATGCTTCCCCCATATCCATGAAATTGATTGGGCTCGCAGGTTCTCACACAACTGTACACCATGTTGTACTCATGCCCCTGACGGCGGCGAGGAATGCGCCCTCCGCCTCTCCATCTGCGGCACTCCAGCCATGTCTCGATGGACTCCTCCGACAACATGTGTGCGCTGATGAGTTCATACGCGCTTTCCCATGGCCCAGTGGCACAGGTTGAAGCTACTCCGTCACGCCGGCTACGGTATTTGAGAGGCGCCCGTCTCTCGCAATCACTCTCCTTGGTCATGTCTCTCGTCACTCCCCTCTTGTGCTTTGCTACCCAGTTACTCACTTGAGTCGGCCCACGATCGAGTCAAATCATAGCCTCAGCTACAACCCCAGACCACTTTATCAAGTCTCCCGCTCCGCCCCCTCCTCCAACCCGAATACGTCTTGAGAAGGAGACCAGGCGCGTACTCCCCGGTCACGATGGTCTGGACTCAGGCGAAGGCTGTTGCCGTCCTGGCAGCGGTCGATGCTAGTGCCCAAGGCTTCTTCTCCGGCCTGAGCCAGCAAGTGGCCGCCTGTGGCCCGTCCAGCTTCTACGACATGGGCTGCTACGTTGCCTCCTCTACGCCCGTCACAGGCATAAGCGTTTTCGAGATCAGTAACTACGTTCCAGGAAATACCGCCGCCTACCAGAAGTCCCATCCTCAGTTCTGGGGCGATGTCCAAGGGCTAACCAACTTCAACGCCACCGTGACCCCTTTCACCTGTGCTGCGGCGTGCCAGGGCTACGGCTACAAGATTGGCCAGCTTCTGGCCAACCGCTGCACGTGCACAGTCATGCTTGCCACCACGGCCAGGACGACGTACAGCAGCGGTACCGCGCCGTCTTGTACTAGCTCCCGTTGTTTTGGTGATTTCGACCAATTCTGCGGTGGTGCCTCGGCTGGTGAAGGTGTGAAAGTGTCTGCGGACCCAAGCTTCCCCTCAGACGCAGACATTCGCATCAATAACGCCACTCTGGCGCTTGGCTACAAGTATCTCGGCTGTTTCAACCTGGGTAGTCAGGGCTTCCGGAACAACAAGGGTGCCACAACGAGCGCTACCAAGGAGGATTGCAACCTGCGCTGTGCAAAGGAGGGCTATCCTTACGCCTCCTTTACGGGCACTGAATGCGACTGCGGTGTCTCCTTCGGACCGGGCTCTTACCAGATCAACAGGCCCGCCGACACTTGCGACAACGGCCTGGGCGCCCGCGCCGTCGTTGTGAACCCCGACCTGCAGGGCTGCTACGTACCGCCAGTTCCGGGCTATGGAAACCTGGATGCGCAGAGCAATCTGGCCTCATATACGTGCGCTGCCGACGTTGTCTTGCCTAAGAACTTGGCCGTGCAGCCTCTGTCCATCACCAGCCCGGGCACCAACAAGGTCAACACCGTCCTGCCCGTCCGCCAACGCCAAGTCGGCTCGTTCTACATCCGCGGCTGTTATTCGTCTGACATGTCAGCTGCCTTTGGTATCCCCGTCCCTGCCCAGAAGCCCGGCGCCAGCTCCTTGGAGATGTGCGCAAACAACTGCGCCAACTTCCAGTACTTTGGCCTCCAGAACGGAGGCCTGTGGTGCGCGTGCAGCGACACGCTGGCGATCGAGCCCGACGCCGCCGACATGTCCGTCTGCAACCGCAAGTGTGCCAGCACCCCAAGGCAAAACTGCGGTTCCGGGAGTGGCCCCATCGTCTATGGCAAGTCCACCGTGGGGAACGCTGTCTGGAGCTCCATACAGACGACCTTGACGTTGAGCTCCCGGGCGGCGTACACGTGCGCCCCCAATCCCAGCACCACCTCGGGATCCAGCAGTGCTGTCTCGACTGATTCTACCTCTGCGACGAGCTCCCCGACTGGGACGAGCTCTGCCGCTGGGACGAGCTCCCCGACTGGGACGAGCTCCGCCACGGGGACCAGCTCTGCCGCGGGAACGAGCTCTGTCACTAGGACGACCTCACCTGCTGCCTCGTCTTCGTCGGCTTCCAGCATCCCACCCGTCGTGCCGACCTCGCCTTCTACCGGTCCCAATGTCCAGACTTCAAGCGCCCAAACGTCAAGCGCCGCCTTGCAGTCGTCGACCTCATGCGGTACCTGTGCTTTCACTGCTAGCACTGTTCCCTCCAGCACCTCCGCTGCCCGTACCACCTCTGCGGCCAGCTCTGCGGCCAGCTCTCCTGCCAGCTCTTCTGCCAGCTCCGCGGCCAGCTCTGGGGCCAGCAGTGTTGGCGGTGAGGTCCCCACGACATCACCTTCTGCCGGCAGCTCCTCTGTCACACTTCAGCCGCCGTCCGTCACTTCCTCGGCAACCACGTCCACTGCCGAGCCGTTGGAGACCGTGACGATCGCGTATCCTCAGCACACAGACTACGCAGCTGCCGCCGATGTGCCGGTTGGTGAGGGCATCAGAGCTTATATATTTCCCGATGGGCCCAACGGACAGCAGGTTGACGTGGTTATTGTGAACGAGGGCTGCTACGTCCTCCAGGACGGCGCTACCCCGTTCCTGGGTCCTCAGGAGATGAGAGTGGGCATAAGCGACCCCGAGGCTTGTGCAGAGGTTTGCCACTCGAGACAATTCGACTTCAACGGCGCCGTTGATCAGAGATGCTACTGTGGTGATGAGCAAGCACCGACGGACCCACCCCGGTTCTCACAGATCCAGTGCCCTAGCCCGAATTCCCCGAATGGCGGGAGGTCCAACCAGGATGGCCAGGACATCGTGGGCAGGTCCGTCGTTCACAGGGCTGCTGGTTATCTTCAGATTTTCAAGGTGCTCAACAGGGCCAGGGTCAGAGAAGTCGAGGCCCCGTCTTCCTCTACTACTTCCTCTATCGCGGAAAGCACATCCTCCCTTTCTCGGGAGTAGTGCCTCTGGGCCTGTTGTCGTTTCCACTTTGTCAACACGGGCAACCAGCCTCACGCCTGTTGTTGGTGGATCCTCGACATCGGTAACTGGTTTCCCTACCTTGTCCACATCGGCGGGGGCTTTCGCAAACTCTTCGACCGCCAGTGGTGGCCTCGGGGCGTCTTCAACTGCCAGTGGTGTATTCGGAAATTCGTCCACTGCTAGTGGTGGAGTTGGGGCGCCTTCAACTACCAGCGTTGGAGTCGAAGCATCATCGGGATCTGGTGGCCAATCCGGATCACTTTCGACTCCCAGCGGTGGATTCGGATTATCTTCAACCGCTTCTGGCGTATTTGGAAACTCTTCCACCGGCTCTGGAGGGGTCCGAACTCCCACAACACCTGGCGGCATATCACGATCCTCGTCGGCTTCTGGCGGCGGGCCTGCTACTTCTGGCGGCGGATCCGGAGCTTCTTCAGGTTCGAACAACGGCGGCACAATCATCACTTCCTCGAGCACGCAGTACTTCACAGTGACAACCGGATTTTCCGGAAGCTCTCTGACTGGACCCGTTACCAGCGGTGGCAGCATGAGTTCCATTCCGACCGGCAGCCTGGGCACTTCGCGGGCACCTTCAGCTTCGGGATCCGGCACTTCGCCCAGCGGATCTGCGGTCCCATCTTCCGATGTCTTCGTCATTCAGATCGGCCCAGCCGACCCCAGTCAGTCGGGTGCCCCAGGCTCCAAGGCGCGCCGGCAGAGCAGCAATGGCGGTTTCGTCGGCAACGCGGGTGTCAACAACCCGGTCGAGTGCTCGCAGGCCACCCAGTTCACCATCATCGACGGCGAGCTCTTCAGCGGCGGCCAGAGGGTATCGACGGACTTCGGCGTGAGATCGGCGCCACTGGCTGTCAGGCCCACCGTCGGGCTGATAACCAGGACGTGGGAGATCGTGGACGACGAGCTCCTCTGGGTCAACGCCGCCTTCGCCGGCGGCCAGGCTACCTTCTGCTTCGACACCGCCACGAGCAGGGTCTTCTTCACCACCACGGGCCCCGGCAACGAGCCTGTTGGATGTACGGCCATCGAACTGACGCCTCTCTTTGGTAAGTCGAGTCGCCTTTGTGTCATCTTGGCATACCCTGGCCATTCTCATCGTCCATCATGCTAACCGTGACCTTCTCACAGTGGCCGACTGTCCTGGACTCAACCCCGACAATGGCGTCCTCCCTGCTGAGGAGACACTGATCCTGCCCCCAGGTACCTACTTCCCGGGACAATCGCCGGCCGACAGGGTGTGTGTGGTTACCACCGAATACTGGACGATCGGCCAGTTCACGGTCGGCCCATATCCCACCGGCTCTTAGGTCGCCGGGAATCGTAAGGAACAGAACGACGATGTGGAGCGAGATGTTTTGATGACTTCATGGATATTTATTTCTTGTCTGAGCGGACCTTTTCCTGCTTATTTGCTCCTTGGGGCTGCGCATGAGACTCTTGTGTGTTGCATTAGTTCGGTAGAATTGAGATGGGGCCGAGGAGTCTTGGGTAATTATTTAGGATATTAATAAATGGTGCCTTCTTTCTTTTCCCATTTCAACCAAGTGCATACATGCTGGATGGACCTTGTAGCTTTGTCGTCTCGGACGGTTTTGCTCGGGTTACTGATGCTGGGGCCTGTGACTGCACAATTCTCATTTGCATATTCCTGTCTGCTACGATTGTTTCCAACATTTTTACCTTTCGAATAAGCCAGTATTGACTTTGCATCCAGAAACTTTTCATGGTGTTGTGCTGTCTCAGGCCAGTGGGTAGTTTGGATACCTGGGTGACTGCTCTACTACGATGTTCTCTTCAAGTTGTGCCTTCCTGGCCGGTGACGGCCTGAGCACGTCAACCCTAGCAGGTGCATTCAAGATGTTGTATCTGGACCCTTCCCTGTAAGCCAAATTCAAGTCCGTTTCTTTAGACCAGTGCTTCTCGTGATACGGAAGGGCTCACCACATTCTCCACCCTTCGAATGTCAACTCCATCTGCTTCCCAATCACCAGCACCGCCAGTTTCGGTGGCGTGCCTCGGTTTCTTGTCAACACTGTTGCTCTTCCCTCGCTGTTTTGCTGACTCTTGCTGTGTTGCTCGCCGTGTCTTGGCTCTGACCGATTTCTCTACCGTTGCTTCTTGCTTATAGATGGGGGTTCTTCTTTTTACGTGCTGTGTATTTTGATCTCCCCTTCTCGAACCGCCTTTTTCCTCACATCGACTTGAGCCCGGCAGCTGTTCCACGCGACCCGACATGGCTTTGGAAGTACTCGAAATACTCAAGAGCTTGATTTATTTCGCTGTAGCCTCCCTTGTATTCGTCGATTATGGAGGCAGAGCCCTGGGCGCCCGGTTCCTTATGACTTGGCACACCCTGATGTTGATAGCAGTGCGGCCAGGCGAAGGCTATGATCTGGATCTAAAATCCCAGGGTGAGTTACGGGTCGTCCACGGCTCTCGTAGCCTCAGTCATGGCTAATTTTCTCTCCAACAGCATCGATCAGATCCGTTGCATCAGCCATGGCCGAGGACATGATGTCCTTCTACAAGGGCAATGAGCCGGGCCAGACGCCTGGTCTCCTCCCAAAACCGTACTACTGTGAGCCCGTGATACGATAACCATCCGGGAATGCGGTTTGATGGCTGACAGGTTTGGACACAGGGTGGGAGGGCGGTGCTCTCATGGGGGCACTCGTCGACTACTGGTATTGTACGGGCGACACCACGTGGAACCAGATCACCCAGCAGGGCTTGCTGTTCCAGGTCGGCCCCGACGAGGACTACATGCCGCCTAACCAGACGATGACCGAGGGCAATGATGATCAGGTGAGAGCCTCTTTCCGAGTCTCCAATGTCACCGCTGAACATGCGGCAAGGGATTCTGGGGCATGGCCGTTCTCTCTGCTGCCGAGTACAACTTCCCCAACCCACCCACCTCCAGACCGCAGTGGCTGGCCCTGGCACAGAATGTGTTCAATTCCCAGGCGGCCAGGTGGAACACTGCCCAGTGTGGCGGTGGGCTGCGGTGGCAGATCTTCCAGTGGAACAATGGCTATTTGTACAAGAACAGCATCTCCCAGGCCTGCTTTTTCAACATGGCGAGCCGCCTAGCCTTGTACACGGGCAATCACACGTACGCGAAGTGGGCAAATCGCATCTGGGACTGGATGGTCGATGTCAAGTTCCTGCACGATGACTCGTACTACATATACGACGGTGCTCCGGTCGAGGGCAACTGTACCCAGGTCGTACCCTACCAGTGGACCTACAACGCGGGAGCATTCCTGCACGGCGCCGCGGCCATGTACAACTACACAGCTGGCACCGATCCGGTCACGGAGGCAGTTTGGCGGTCGAGGGTCAACGGGCTGCTGACTGGGCTGCGCGTGTTCTTCACGGGCGCAGACTACGACATCATGACCGAGGTTGCCTGCGAGGGCGTGCACCTCTGCGACAACGACGAGTTGAGCTTCAAGGCGTATCTTGCCCGTTGGATGGCCGCGACGACAAAGTGGGCCCCGTGGACGTACAGTACTATCAAACCGTTGCTGGAGGCATCCGCCGCGGCTGCCGCCGTCCAGTGCAAGGGCGGAGATAACGGCCGAATGTGCGGTCACATGTGGGCGAACAACAGCGGGGAGTGGGACGGGACCACTGGCGTGGGACAGCAGATGGCCGCGATGGAGGTTGTCCTTGCGACAATGATCCAGAAGCTGGACGCACCTGTGACAAACTCGACAGGTGGTACGAGCACTGGGAACCCAGGTGTAGGAGAGACGGGGATTGGGCAGGTCAATGCCCCATCTGCGCTCGAGAAAGTGAGACCGATATCGACCGCGGACGGGGCAGGTGCTTACTTCCTCACAGTTTTGGTGGTGCTGTCCCTGCTGGCAGGAATGACATTTGTCTTTCATGATGACGAGGAGGGCAGGGCCATTGGGAAAAGATGGAAGACTCTGCAAGATGACATGAAGCCCGGAGGGGTCTTGAGACATTTAGAGGAAAAGGGACCGAAGAAAGATGGACAGCAGGATCGAGGCGATGGTTTTGAAGACGTCAATCTCGACGGTCCATCGACTCCTGCATCAAAGCCTGACTGCGAGAAGAAGAAGTCGTCCGTGCGATCTGTCTCCTTCTACGGCAGCCCAGATGTGAGGCCTTCGCTGACGTTGTCACGGAGAAATGACTATCCGGACGAGCAGCCGTGGAGGAGAGCAGCTCGCCCAGGAGATTACGCCGGTGCGTTCGATCCCAGCCGTAGGAATGGCGCCGGGTTTGGCATCCTTGACACCCAGATGGAGGATGTCCCTCTGGGTTCCTCCACCGCTGGCGGCCGTTCCGATACGTCTGGGCTGAGGAGCTTCTGGAGCGACACTAGTTCGGGACGCACTCTGACTGAGAAGAAGCTGAGGCTGGAACGAAAGCCGCTGCCGGGCAGGCCCGGGCTGGGGAGGAAGATGACGGGTCAGGGGGTGGAGGATAGGAAGCTTTAGGGGACGTTGGTCTAACCCACTACTTCTTGGACTTTTTTGGAACCTTACTGTGCGGCGAGGGGCTGTTAAATCATTGTGAGTGTGTCAGTATCATGTTCATGTGAACTATCAGGAGGCACAGACTGCATTGGCTAGCTCACGGAGGTTGACACCGCATGTGCAGGTGGGAGTTTGCACACACTGACTGGATCAAGCATCTCCTTTGGCAGCGAAATGGGACAGATGATTACCTATGCGTGCACACGAAGGAAAGCTGCGGCTGTCCCCGAGACGACGGCCGCCTGAACCACTCATGATCTGATGACACGGAAACTGGAGCACACTGAGATCTTGTGTGACGTGCGATCTGAGGTGTCTCGAGTGGAAGCGCATACGGGTTCCAGGTAGAATGCCTGCGGGAGGCTGTGTCTCTGAGGCATTACCTCGCACCCGTCCGCCCAGGTCAGTGAAATGAACATGTTTGATGGGATATCATTCAGCTTATATAGCTCAACATATACAGTCCCGTGTATGAGAAGCACGTTTCCGAAGCCCTCATGTTTGGAAGCGAGGCGAAACATTATATCTCGGCCTGCTGGACGAGTTATGTCTTGGATGTTTGCTGGTAGGCCTCGTTTTCCCTTGCCCGGATCCTCGCGTTCAGCTCTGGGTGAGGAGATCAGAGGTCTCATCTGGAGGCAGACGAGAGGGACAGGGAGAGACAGGCACCCCTTTCGCAGACTGTCATCGCACAGCAGCAGCTGCTGCGGACGGTGAGGGGGAACACAGATCTTCAACGGGCTGTGCGACGCGGCCGTCTCCTCGCCTCTATCCCGTCGTCTTGGCGAATCCCAGGTGTTGAAAGATACGCTCTCATCTGCATTCATGTGCGTGTCTGTGTGTGTACGTATGGTATTGCTCTCCCTGCTTCAGGACAAGTAAGAAAGGTCAACTGGGGTGGTGGTTTGGCGTTTGGAAGAGAAGGCTCGAGGATTGGGGCATTGGGATCTGTGTGGCCGAGTGACGTCCGACCCCGGCGGGAGGCGCAGGATGCAAGATGCCGCGGTTTGTGTTAGCCATGTCTCTGTCTTCCTGCCTGTTTTCCTTGCCAAGCGCTGGGGTTGAGGGTAATTTTGACAATCTTTGACGAGGCCATGGCTTTCCTTGACGAAGTGACGGGTCAGAAGTGAGGGACGACAGCCAAGACAGGCCGCACAGCCCGCCCGTCCAGCTGGGAATATGTACCTGGCGGCCCCCGATCAGCCCTCGACGAGACGGCCATCATTCTCCCCATCACTCTTAAACGGCTTAGTGAACTTTCTGCCCCCATCTATTCTTATCGTCGCACAAAGACTTGGTGTTCTGCGGTCGTGGTCGGTTGGAACGTGACGCAAGGATTCTCTGGGAATAGAATGGTGGCAGGGACCGAGGGCTGTCTTTGGTAACTGGAGGCAGGACTTTCTGTTGGATTTCCTTTGTACCATTGGTTTCTGAATCAAATGGTCGAGAGTCTTCCTGGGGCCATTGTTGCTGCGTTTAGAGTCTACCACAGGCTGTCTGGATTTTCGAACGGCAAGGGGAAGGAACGAGCGAGTTACGGGCACGAGCACAACCACCTCTTGCGAGTTCACCACACTTGGATATCCACCAGGCCTTCACATCCTCTCGAGACGCAGACCTTGGAATATCCTACCCCCCCGACTCCCCATCACGGTCAGAGGCTTCGACGAAGCAAGTCTTGAGACCCGTCGACGTCAGGCCAACTGATAATACCACCTGGTAAGTCTTCCGTCCCCAATCTCAAGACTCTCCCCAGATTGACAAGACCAAACAGATCCAAGCCTGCCGAGTACCTTCTACCCGAAACCTGGCAAATACTTCCCCCTTCCCAGCACACTTCTCACCACACCCACCGACCGCAGACATGTCCCAGTGCGTCAGCTGCAACAACCAGCCGAATGACAACGACTCGCTCGGCGGCGGGGCGCACGAGGGGGCCGTGACGCCCATGGTGGTCGGCATCATAGCCGGCACCGTCGTGGTCTTCGTCCTCGTCCTGTGCGCCCTCTTCTACTGCGCCAAGCTCGAGAACGACAAGACCCGCCGCGGCCTCAAGGCCGAGGAGGAGGACGACGGCGCCGTCGAGGAGGGCGGCTCCCATCCGACATCTCAGCAACTACAACCATCGCCATCACCAACCATTGACGATGAAGGGGTGGAGATTCTCGATGGAGATGGTGATGATGATGATGAGTTCGGCCGTCACCATCGCCCTCGGCCAAGGGAGCCTGATGTAAAGTCTCGGCCCGTGGAGCGCCGCCCGTCCTCGGTTACTGTCGTCGCTGGGGAGGTCGAAGATGCTTGTGGCGGAGGGTCCGCCGACACGACCAGGCCTGCCGGCGGGGGTGGTGTGAAGAAGAAGGGGCTGTTCAGCTGGGGAGGAGGCAAGAAGTCAAGCGGTCGTGGTGGGTGTCTCTCATCCTTTTTCCCTGAACCTTGTGTGTGTGTGTGTGTACGTGTGAATGATAGGATGGGACGATGCTGACTTACCCATCCTCAATAGCCACCCCCGCAGACAACCCGCCAGTGACGGCCATAGAAATGGTCTGAGCAACCCGATATCACACGGCTGCGTACTTCAATGGTTACTGAGACCTGGCGTTGGTTTTTCATGGCACTCTGAGGCATTGTTGGTGACGAGAAGGGATTTTGACTGCATGTGAGGAGCATGGCACATGTGTTTGAGCCAGGTCGGACCTGCAGCGGTAATATTGGGAGGGGATTTGTGATTTCGCGCCTTGAGCTGCACATGTTCGTGAGACATGGAGGTAGTCATGTTGCTCCATTGAGAAACTGGTACCAGGAGGGAATGTGACGATATTTGCATGGCATTTCCTTAACCTTCTAATCCAGCACCGATGTCTGAGTTTACCTGGACGGCGCGAGTCTAGAGACTTCAAGACAAATGGCAGTCAAAAGCGGAAGCCAATGAATCATCTTTTCTTCATATATCGGGTTCATACATGTATTTGTACAACATTATGCCGACGCCGACGCCGAGTCTTTGAGAACACTCAGGATTCTGTGAGCTTGGGCACCGAAATACAGTCAAGTATGGCTCGGCAGCCTTCGAAAAGTGTCGATCTCTCTGAAAAAGCAGCAGCAGAAGTGGTAACACGATTAAACTAATGGTTAGCAACCTCCCGATTTCCATGACCATATTTTCATGTCATTAAATTCCAACTTATGCTCTTCGTGTTGGTAAAAGACAGCATCTCATCAAGGCATTCCTCCTTGCCCATACCCGATTCCTTGAACCCTCCGAAAGGCACGTTTAAGAAGTGCTTGGCAACATCGTTGACCCATACAAAACCAGCCTCGACTCGGCGTGTAGCTCTTTGGGCCGTAAGTATATCGTTTGTGAAGATAGACGCGGTCAGGCCGTAGGAAGTCGAGTTGGCAATCTCGAAGACCTCGTCCTCGTCCTTCCAGCGAAAGACGGACATGACAGGCCCAAATATCTCCTCCCGAGCGATACGCATGTCGGGCAACACATCAGCAAAGATGGTCGGCTCCACAAAGAACCCCTTCGAGAGACGTGCATCCTTGAAAACCTTGGGCACCCCGCCGCCACAGACGAGTCTTGCCCCCTCGGCCTTGCCGGACTCGATGTACCCCAGCACACCATCCTGCGCCGCCTTGCTGATCATCGACCCCATGGTGGTGTTGACATCGGTGGGGTCTCCCGGCTGGCACTTCTCCCGGACCAGCTCGACGACCCGCGTGAGGACCTCGTCGTGGAGGCTCTCGTGCAGGAAGACGCGCGACATGGAGCCGCAGCTCTGCCCGGCCCAGGTGAAGTTCGTGCCGCGCGTCACGGCCTGCGCGAGCTTCTCGGCGTCGGCGTCCGGGTAGGCGACGAGGCAGTTCTTGCCCCCGAGCTCGAGGAGCGTCGGCTTGAGCTGGCCCGCGGCGTCCCGCTGGATGGCCTTTCCGGTGGCCACGCTGCCGATGAGCGTCACCTTCTTGACGAGAGGGTGCGCCGCCAGCGCCCTGCCGCACTCGGCGCCTCCCGGCAGGACGCTGACGACGCCGGGCGGGAGGACGTCGGCCAGCAGCTCGGCCATCCTGAGCACCGCGAGGGGCGCCTGGTCGGGCGGCTTGACGACGACCGTGTTCCCCGCCGCCAGCGGCGCGCCCAGCTTGGCCCCCGCGAACATGAGCGGGTGGTTGGATGCGACGATGCGCGCCACGACGCCGAGGGGCTCGCGCACGGTGTAGTGCAGGTACTCGTCCGGGCGGAACGCCCCCGGGAGCGTCTCGCCGCGCACCATGGGCGCCAGCCCCGCGAAGTACTCGAGGCTGGCCCCCGCCGTGTGCGCGTCCATGATCATCTCGGCCACGGGGTTGCCCGTGTTGTGCGCGTCCACGAGCGCCAGCTCCTCGGCGTGCTGGTGCAGGACCGCGGCCGCGCGGCGCAGGTGGGTTGCTCGCTCCTGGATTGTTGTGTTCTTCCAGGCGAGGAAGGCCCTTTGGGCTGCCTGGACCGCGGCTTCGACGTCGTCGGCTTTTGCTTGGGCTATTGTTGTGATGGCCTCGCCGGTGCCGGGGCTGATGGTCTCGAGGCGGGAGCCATCTTTGGGCTTGTGCCATTGACCGTCGTAGAAGAGGTCAAAGTGAGTAGGAATTGCTTCCTTCAGGGGTGGTAGCTTTGGTGTCATGGCTGCAGAAGTTGGTTACTTCAGAGATGGACTCTGTTTTTGCGCCCAAATGTTATCGTCCCTCAATACTGCTGCGAGTTATAAGTGAGAAGGACGTCACTATATTCGATGAATCCGCAGCGGTTTCAGGGGCATTTGAGGCACCTGTTGATCACTCATATCGCTGCTCAAAGAGCTAGACAAATAGAACTTCGGAGGTCTACCTATGACTGACAGCTGAACAAGAATTGCCGAGAGGGAGAGCCCGCGAGGAGTAACATCCTAATGAGACGATGACAGATCAAAGAGCAGTGTTGACGTCTGTCACCAAGAGCAACTGCTGCGACCGATATCTCCGCACATGCAGGCGAGCCGTGAATGGAATCTGAGCCTATCGGATATGATTCCAATTCGTCCTACCCAACTGGACTGCACACTAGCTCGACTTGCCACGGCATTTCCGAATATCCAAGTGGTCGATGTTTAGTCGGGGCAATCGACGCGTGTGAATATTTCTACGTACCTCAAGTAATAAAGATGGATTCCGAGTCGCATGTGGAAGCGTCTTCGGGGTAGCAATTGTCAGAGTAAATGTCAACTCTCGCGTCAGCAAGCAAGACTGCGGTCTATATCCGAGCTGAGGACACATGATCCATACCCGGTACACTTTGTGGATGTTCGGCTGTAACATTTTATCACACGGATGAGAGATTCCCAGCAGTCACATGTATGCGATGTGTTGTACAGTGTCTAGAGCTACTGATGTAGCTTATTCGGCAACCCATCTCGTCCCGATTTATCCCCCTTATCCAGATATCCACAAATCCTCCCCTCTGGATCCCACTTCTTCCGAATGGCCATGGGCTTCTCCCCCGCCTCATCGGACCAATACCTCGTCTCCCGCATCTGAATGTCGTGATCCCCAAGGTACGTACCCACCGCATACGGCGTCAAGGTGGCCATCTGTTTCTTCACCCACGCCTCATTCTTCGCATCGTCCTTGCTATCCGGATGGATGGCATACAACGCGATATAGATGTCGGTAGTGATACTCAAGGCCATATCGTTGGAGGGAGGATGCCTCCTGCTCACGGGGTTCATGGGCTCCCAAAACGCCACGCCACAGTCGGGGATGTCCATGAAGGCCGCCTTGCAGACGCTGACCATGTCGGAGTCTTGGCCGAGCCAGACCGTGTCGGCTATGTAACGGTGATTTTCGGCCCAGACGGCCTTTTCTGCTTCTTCGTATTCCTGCTGGAAGGTCGTGTCCCCGCAGTCTTCGCTGAAGATCGCACCCTCAGGGTGTGTGTAGATTAGAGGAGCGAGTTTGGAGCGTGCGTCTTCTTCGGAGTCGGCCCAGACGGTACTTTGTACGATTAGGATACGACTGTGCTGGCCTCGTGGGATGACTGAGGTGGCGGCTATCACAATATCATGGCTGATGGTGGGGATTATCTGGGGCTTCCTGGTTAGATAATGTGCTCCTAGGCAGAACAAGAGGAATTCTCACGCTGACCATCCACCTCATGACCTTTTCATAGTGGCTAATGGGATAAATGTACACATTGCTCTTGTATACTTTGGGTGCCGGTCGAGTCTTGAAATAGAACCTCAAGACGACTGCAGGGAAACCTCGATACGATATCAATAGGAGACTTCTGTGCACAGATGCTCTTGAGGGCAGACTCACCTGGCCCAGAGCCACGAGCAGCCCAAAACAGGTCAGAGTTCTCAAACTCATCGCAGTGCTTGACCTCCGCATTCGCAGTGGCAACATCGAGACCGATCAGGTACTCGCACAAATACCCGCAGGACTATCAAGATTGTTCCCATGTCAGTCAGTCAGCCAGCGCCTTGCCACATCATGGGACCGAAATATTCCAAAGGACTTAGAGGCTTCTCACCCTGCTGTTATGACCCATCCCCCCCTGAAGCATGAAGCCCCCCAGCCCGACCCCAGCACAGTGCCCCGTCGGGACGAACCTCACCCTCTCCGCCACAAAGGCCGTCATCTCCGCACTCGAAACGCTCGTCGTCGTCGTGACGATCCTGGTCGCCTCGTCGTACCCGATGTGCTTGTAGTCCACCAGGTCGATCAGCACCGCGTCCTGGCGGATGCTCCAGAACGCCCAGCTGTGGCCGCCCGAGCGTATCGCCACCCGGGCGCCTAGCTTTTCTGCGAGCCTGATGCTGTCGACGACGTGCTTGTCTGTCCTGGGCCGCACCACGGCGGTGGGGTAGCGGTCTGGGAGCTCGGTGCTGAAGACTCTCGTGCGTGCTGCTTCGTAGGCGGTCTTGTCGCCGTGGTCCCGCCAGAATATGGGGAGGTCGTCGTTGTGGTTGACCATGACTGTCATGTTGGGGGTTTGTGTGTGTGTGTGTGTGTGTGTGAGATCGTGTCGTCAGGCGCCTGCCTTATCTGATACAATTTGGTGCTTTTGATTGTAGCTGCAAATGTGAGACGGATTTTCGAATCGACATAGCTAGGTACTTTCCCATTCTCGGCGACGCGCAGACGCGCATGCCAGTAACGATGTGGCGCATACATCGCGTCTGCGAATCACAAATGATTCCGCATGCGCGGCTGCGAGGCGGCGAGGCTCGGGATTTCCGACATTTGTGCCATGGAACTGTTCCGAGGCTGCATATTTCCTGTCTAGTACAACCTTCGAGGAAACAAATGTTCCCCTCGGAGGTGTTCCGAAGAGGTCTCAGTGTGTTAACAGGTCTCAAAAGACTGGTTATGGAAACACCATTTCCCACGACTTCGGAACGATCTTCAACAGAAACAACCACGAAGGCTGTTTCACGTGGTCTATACATCTTGATACCGAGCTCATCTTGGCAAAATCTGGTCCCAAACTCCCTTAGTCAGCTCAAGTAATATGCCGGTGATGAGCAGCCAGACTTTTACCCCCAATGACTGGTGTAGCTCGTTCACTTGTGTCCAAGATCCTATTTAATGTATGAGTAAATAGCACGTTCAAAGTGAGAGCAACGCTTTCCAATCTTCCAAAAGGCTAAAATCACTTTACCATTATATGCATCAGCAGTTCATATCAAACACGTCCCACCACTGTCCAAAGATTTCAAGCGAGAATGCCTGGTGTGCCTCATCAGACCGCAGACGGCGCCTCCGAGGAAGACGAGCGCGCCCCGTTGATATCTAGAGCACCACCGCCGGAAAACGTACCACCACCTATCTTCGCCGAGGGTGGGCGTAGGGGCTGGCTCAGCGTCCTGGGCGCCTTCGGCGTACAATTCTCCACGTTCGGCTACGCAACCTCCTACGGGCGTCTACGAGGTGTACTACTCCGAGACCCTGCTCAAAAACTACACACTCTCGGAAATAGCCTGGATCGGGTCCATCCAGACCTGGGCCTTGTTGTCCACCAGCATCGTCAGCGGGCCACTTGCCGACCGGTTCGGCCTGCAGGTAGTTCTGTGGCCAGGCACGGCCGTCTACGTCCTCGCCGTGCTGATGGTCAGCTTCTGCGCCGAGTACTGGCATTTCCTCCTCTGCCAGGGCTTACTGCTGGGGATCTCCGCAGGTATGATCTTTGTCCCCTGCGTCTCAGCCGTGGCGCACCATTTCCACCGGAATCGCGGGCCTGGCCATGGCGCTGGCCTCGGTGGGCTCGCCCCTCGGCGGGATCGTGTTCCCCCTGCTCCTGGGGAAGCTGCTCCACGGCACGAACATTGGGTTCCGCTGATCGCAGCGCATCGTGGCGTTGCTGGTGCTGGAAGTTCTGTTGGGCTGCACCTGCTTCAACTTCCAAGACTGACGCGGGCCGCCGCTCTGGCCCGTTGATCTTGCTGTCGGCATTCAGGATCCCCGTGTACACGCTGCAGGTGTGCGCCATGGTGTTCCTGTTCCTCTCCGTGTTTACTACTTATGTCTTTGTCGCTGAATATGGCGTCCGCAATGGCATGCCCAAGGAGCTGGCCACGTATATGTTTGCCATCATGAACGCGGGTTCTTTGATCAGTCGGACGTTGGGAGGATCTGCGTCTCTGTGCCTAGGACCGTTCAACGTTATGGTCCTCGCGGCGTTCCTGGCTGCCATATCGCTGTTTTCGTGGCTTGGTATTACCTCAGTGCCGGCACTGGTTGTTTTTGCCGCTGCTTATGGGGCCTTGTCCGGGGTGCTTATAGGGATCATGATTGCTACATTGGGCCATTCTGCGCCTCATCCTAGTCAGGTATGTAACCCAATCTTCCCTTTCCCCTGGTACTGTAACTGCGGATCTCATCATTTGTGTATGTAGATTGCGACTGTTGTCGGCATGGCCTCGGGCATCATGGGTACTGCTGCGTTGACTGGAACGCCCATTGCCGGTGCACTCATCACATCAGATGGCGATTACAGTCGTGCCATCCTATTCAGCGCCACGGCCATGACGATTGGAGCGTTCTTGTTCCTCGCCGCACGTCTCGCTCAGAGCAGGAAGCAACTGATCGTATAAGACATGATGCTTCGACGGCAGAGTGCAACATCTGGACGTGAACGAGTAAGCCACAAATGGCCCCAGCTTCCTCGGATGGAATCAAAGCAGAGAGATACACACCGTGCTAGAGAGGCTCACGGTAGTAGATGAGTGGAAAGCCGTGTTGAGGTAGAAAGATTCTGCCTACCGAATAGTACCGATAGACAAATATAAAGTAGGGCTCCAAGCTCTTAACAGCATGGACTTCAAGACGGCACTAGGAAGGCACCGTCTGAGGATCGAGACATTTATCCACTATAATTCTTTCGCTTGACACGAAACTGTACGTCACTAATCCTCTTTCTTTCAACATAGATGCAATCTTGACTACCTAGGGAGTCTTCCCTAACTTTCCTTTTAAATGTGTCCCAACCCGGTTAGTTAGCAACTCAGCTTTCATTGTCCTATGCCTTACCTATGCTCAGTGATGTTCAGTGTATAAATTATCTTGACCACCCCTCCGGCCCCAACACACATCGGAGCCAGCTCGTCCTGCTTCAAAATCGGTTAAATTTACTCTACCGTCACTACGTGCCAGGATTCAGTCACCGCTACCAGACCGATGGACTGGATACGCATGGGCAGGGTACGGAGGCCTGGTTCCTAGCAACTGGACTGCCTCTGGCCCAACAACTGGCTGCCCGTCGCCTATTTGCCAGATGCTCACAGCTTACTGGCTTGATCCCTTGTCCCCCTCTCCTGGTAGGCCGCGCTTGCTGCCTCAATCCTGTATTATTTGAGGTGGGCGCGGGCTCTTGTCCTGTTCCCCCTTCCTAATTCCTACCTCTAACAACTGCGCCTGTTCTTCGCGGCGACCTGGTTGCGCGCTACTATATCTTCCTCACCTGACCTAGTCTAACCATCCTGACCATGCCACTATGCAAAACGGCGAAGGACTTCCTCTGCAAGGGTAAAGAAGGAGAATCCCGAATGAACACATTTTCCAAACCTCCAATAGCATCGGCCCACGACCGGACTTCTTTTCCTTTCGTGGATAGGCTTCCCATGCTGTAGGTGCCGCTATTTGCACAGATTCTGAGGTTAGGCACCCATGTGGGAAATTCGTAGGGCCCAGGATTTCCATTCACAAGTGCGGAGTAATGAAAAAAGGTAAGACTGGCACCAGGTGTCCTCCGCATAACATCGAGGTTTTTTTTTTTTGCCGCAGAAGTTCTATGTATACTGATGCCACAGTCGCGTCCTCCTATCGTGGAACAATGTCCAGACCCGTGATTCCAAGTAAAGCGTATATGTGGTCCTTTGGATCGGTTGCCTGCAAGCAATTGCCCATAATGTCTTGTATGTATACCAATACAGCAGACCTGTCATTACTATGATCATAAACACATTTTCGGATTTCCAGGCAACTCCGGGTGTAGAGCAATCTGTTGACGGCTTGAGAATGCAGATGCTGGATTAAAATCTCAGATCTCCAAGGAAAGTTCTGCGGCTTGGACCAAGTTGCCCGGCCCACATTTGGGCCACCCCACGATTCGGGCCACCTTTTACATACTAAACATCCCTTTTTTAAAAACACTATAACTAAATCTAAAGAAATTCTATAATACCCATATTTTGCATATATAAATGTTTTTAAGCCTAGTTTATATAAATATTATTTTCTAAAATTCATATTAAATATATAGCTAGATGAAATATCTTAAAGTTAATATATTTAAAATGTTAAGGATTACTAATATAATGTAAGAAATACTTAATATTATAATATTAAGGTTTATTTATTAAATACTATATTTAAATTTTTATATAAATTTAGAAAACACTTATTTAATATATTAAATTTATATAATAAATCTACCTTTAATATATATAATATATATATAAAGATATTTTAAGCTTTTAATTCCCTTATATTATATTTTCGAATTTGTTAAGGATTTTTAAATGTTTATGTTTAAAATTTGTTTTAAAAATATATAATATAAGAAGCATTTTTAAAAATATTTTTATTTTATTTTATAGTTAAATACATACATATGGTATTATTCTTAGTATATGTGGATTTTATTCGAATTTAATATAGGGTTTTAAATAGGAGGCTTATTTTTGGTGTGTTTGCTAGTAAATGCGGGTGGCCCGAATCAGGGGGTGGCCCAAATGTGGGCCGGGCAACTTACTCCTTTGCTTTTTTGGCCTACTTATAAATATTTGCGAGGGTCTGGAACTCGATTGAGTTGTCTGCATAGAAAAGAATCGATTTTCCCGAAAAGACTATCTCTTGGAATATCCAAGTGCGCTTCCAGGACGGCAGATTGAAAAAGGACCTTAAATATCCTAATAGAGGCGAGTTACGAGCCATGTCCTTTGTTTCGGCCTTCAATCTAGCAGTGTGATCTCTTCCGGGAGAATGTTCATTTTCGAGCAAGGTGGTGTCCTTGGGAGAGGTAAACTCTTTGAAATCTTCCGGCGAAGTTAAGTCTTCGGAAAACGGCAGATCCTCGAGCAAGTCTAAGTTCACATCTTGGCCGTCTCGTTTGCTATCGAATCATCCACTTCCGGCTTTGAACCCACTTTCGGCCATGCGAGCTGCGATTATGGAAAGACCTTGAATGGCGGCGGGAAGTGTCGATGTCGGCGAAACGGAATCCAAGCAGCAGAACGTAATTGTCGCTAAGGAGTATAAATCCTTCATCAAAGGAACTTGATAGTTCTTCTCCTCCTTGTCTTTTCGGTTGATACAGAGCGCATCTGGTCGCTTTGTGCCACTGCATTTGATAAGGGCAGGGCTAGCCCCCCTAGCCCCACCACCTGCCCCGCAGCTCGGGGCTTATCGATAAGGGGGTGTCAGGCCCAACCCCGCTAGCCGCAGCCACCAGTCCTAACTGCAGCCGCGTCCGTGAAAATCTTGTCGCACATCGTCTTTTTTTTCTCTTCAACCAGAACAACGGCACCCACAACAACCAATCTCAATCTCGCACAAAATGACTATCCATGTCATTCTCGGGGCCCAATGGGGTAATTTCACACTGCCTCCCTTGCCTGGAATGCGTCCTTCCTCTGCGTCCGGCCGATATCGGCTTGCTCTCACGATACTAACGATAACCTCATAGGCGACGAAGGCGTGAGTCCCCGATCCGAACCCAATACGGCCCGACATCCGGACATTAACGATACTGTGTGTTCAGAAAGGAAAGCTGGTTGATATCCAGTCCCGGGAGGCGCAACTCTGTTGCCGAGCTGCCGTAAGTTCAACGAAGGCACCAATTCCGCCAACGGCTTCCACGATACCTTCGCAATCGACTATCTCTCGGTGGACTCCCTGCTAATTACCCTCAAGGGTGGATCTAATGCAGGTTAGTCTATCTGCCGTGAGGCAAATCTCTAGAGCGGCCTCAATCGGGGGCAGCGCTGACCGGTAGGACGGTTTCAGGTCACTTGATCAAGTTCGTCAAACGCTTTCAATCGATCAGTTGATTTACTTGTCATTTGCTAATGAGTCAAAGGGTGGATGGAGTCTCCTACAGGTAAAGAACGGGCCGGCGTCGAAGCTGTGGTTGGCTACTGACTTGTAGTAGCTTTCACCTCTTGCCCTCCGGCCTCATGAATCCGCGGTGCATGAACTTCATCGGCTCCGGTGTGGTCTTTCACATGTGCGTCATCACAAAATCCTCCGACTATGACCCGATCGATCGCCAGACAGGCATCTTATTGATGTCTCGCCTGGCTCGCACCCCTTAACTGAACAGGTCAATAAAACTGACTCGGTCCCTGTAGCCCAACCTTCTTCAGCGAGCTCAAGGAGCTTGAAGAGAGTATGTTGCAGGATATCCCAATCTTTTGAGCAGCAGTATGTCTAACATAGCTCAGAGGGCCTGACCGCGGTACACGACCGAATCCTTGTTTCTGACAGGGTCAATGTCCTCTTGGACATGCACATGGCAGTGGACGGTCTCGAGGAGAAGGAGCTTGGAGGTTCGTCCTATGGTTCCGATGCTCTCTTTAAAAAACGGCAGCTAATGAAAGCCTCAGACGCAGCTATCGGAACAACAAAACGCGGTACTGTACCCTCAGAACTTCATGCTGGGTTGTTCCTTTCTGCTGCTTTTACCCCTTTAAAAGCACTTCCATATATGAACAGCAGGGCTAGCGATTCTATTAAAGCAATGGGTTCTAACGTCCACCAAAGGCATTGGTCCATGCTACCAAACAAGCAGAGCGGTAAGAAGTTGGCTTGACGAGGGGTCGCACTGTGCGCTAACTTTCCCAGCGAACTGGCATCAAATTAACTGACATCTTCTATCCTGAACTTCTCGAGGAGAAGGTGAAGCGCTTAGCTGATGGTTATCAAAAGCGCTTTGGAGAACTGTTCAAGTACGACATCAAAGCCGAGCTTGCTCGTTTTGAGGAGTATAGGGAGATGATGAGAAAATACGTCGTGGACGGCGTGTCCTTCATGACATCCGCACAGCAGAGCGACACGAAGATTGTGGTCGAAGGCGCAAACGTAATGTTCTCATCCCAAATGCTAGACACACAGTGCTTACTTCAATAGGCACTGATGCTAGATGTTGATTATGGCTCGTACCCAGTAAGTCTGCGTTAACTTCTTTCTTCGTTTTTGTACCAGTGCTTACAATCAATAACAGTTCGTTACTTCGTCAAGTACCACGCTTGCTGGCATCATTGGTGGACTCACCCTGAACCCGAAGAACATTGCAGAGACGGTTGGAGTGGTTAAGGCTTGTATGTCAAGTGCTTCAAGGCTGTCATTCACTGCTGACTGGCAACAGATACCACCCGTGTCGGTTGGGGTGCCTTCAAGACCGAAGATACGGAAGAGTGCGTCTTTACTACGTTCCCGTAGCCACTCTAGACTAATTGAAAACCTCAGGATTGGCACCAAACTTCAGGAGATTGGACGCGAATGGGTGAGGCTACATGCACCTCAGAAGATTCGAGCTTTCACCGCTGACAAGACATAGGGGACGTCGACCGGCCGCAGACGCCGATGTGGATGGTGAGCTTTAATCACTTTAGCGTTTAGCTGCTGATCAACCTACTAACTGCTCTCAGGCTCGGTACGCACAACTTGAAAATCCTCAGGGATTGACGGAACTGGGAATGCAACTAACAAGTACATACAGACCTTGTTGTTGTCAAGTACAGCAACTCAATCAACTACTACACCAGCCTTAATCTGACAAAGGTAGGTCTGGTGTGCTTCCTACATATATGAAAATACTAAAACACTTCGTAGCTCGACGTTTTGGACACTTTCGAAACGATCAAGATCGCGATCGCTTATAAGGTCGACGGACAGGTTAGTGATGCCAACGAGATCATGATAGATGATAGTGACATTGATCGTCTGGACAGGAATTGGACTCTTACCCTGCGGATCTTAAGATCTTGGAACGAGCTGAGGTGGTGTACCATGAGATGCCAGGGTGGCAAACGCCGACTACCAACGCGAAGACCTACTACGATCTGCCCAAGAAGGCTCGCGATTACGTGGAGGTAAGCACTCGAATTGGGCTCGTATAGCGAACAATGGTACTGACCTCTAGCAGTACATTGAGAAGTTTGTGGGAGTCAAGGTACGTGGGCGCAAATACTGTCCAAGCCCGCAGTTGCTAACGTCCCGCAGATCAAGTACATTGGCACCGGTCCCGACCGTGAGGCCATGATCCAGCGCGCCTGATTGCGCCAGATGGAGGAAGCACCCGAGCCTTGGCTTGGATCGTGCGCAAGGAGTGTAGGGTACCCAAGCCATTTCATGACTCCAAGAAGAGTGTGGGTATTTACCTCGACGACCCCCTAGTGCCTACTGCTCCTCCGTACGGTCCTTCCGTACCACTTTTGCCCGTGATGCGTCCTGTGCATGAATACTCATTCTATCGCAGACGAATCGGTTCCTGCGCTCTGGGCTTTGCTGTGCTTGGTTCTGCGGTTGATGGAGCTCACATGATTGATGCGACATGGTATCAGGACTACACTGAGAAAACAACCAACTCCAATTTTTAATTTAGAAAGGGATCGTCACGAGCCGAAGACACCCTGCACTTTATGCTCCGTCACGTTACGCTATGCTCGGCTGCTCTCTTTGCTTTCCACAATGTTGTCTGACCGCCGCTGAAGAGCCAGGTCCTAAGCTTTCAACGAGCAATCTTTTTCTGCTGTCCTTGACCGCTTCTCCAACTTCTGACGGGATCTCGTCTCGCTTAGTTCCTGCGATCGCACCTCGCTTGTCGATGTGGGGACGCTCCAAGTGCGTAGCGTGGGAGGGATTGAGTAGATCCAGTGAGTGGAAATGATACTAAGCTCTGTGAGCTTACTATTAGTCCGGTTGAGCTGATCTCTGCAAAAGTCGCTGTCTTTTGAGTGCTTTGAACGTCCGATCAAGTCCAAACTTTTGCCGGAATTGAGCGCAAAAGTCCTGGAGGTCAAGGTTGCCATAGTCTCGAACATTCTGCAACTCGGCCTCAGACCAATTCTCCTTCTTCAGCAGTCCCAGTAGTTGAGTTCTCTCTATGATCGCGCCATGGGTACGCCCAGAGCCGAACTTCTCCTGGAAACGAGTGGGAAACTGAGGTCGAGGAACTCCAGAATCAAAAAACTCTCCCAGAACATTGTCCTCTCCCAGAGTCCACGGTTTTGGACTGCTCAGCTGCGATATATCGATCTTTTGCTTCGTAATGCAATGACGGACTGTTGCCATACTTCGGCCTTCTGGATACTCGGCTTCTAACCCATCGTAGACCTCCTTCCACGTCGCGCATTTCGGGACATGAGACTGCAGAAAGGTGTGCTCCTCAGCAGTCCATGGGATTCGATTGCGAGAGGAAAGTCCTGAGGTGTCCATACTCTCCAGTGTCGCAATGGTCTGGAAGACTTGCGTTGATCCCTTGTCGCCAAACCTTATCTTCATTGCACTGCTGGCTTGGTGCCAGCTGTTGCAAGAGCTCAGTAATGACCTGAGATGTTCCCTCTTGGCATCGCCTTCGTCCTTCAGGTACGTGAATGCTGCACTCTGCTTGCGTGAAGAAGTGTGCCGCTGCCTAGACACCGCAGTCGGATTCGGCTCCGGCGAGACTGGTCGCAGGGGAAATTCGACCTGCTCCGGAGCCTTAGGCGGCCCTGACAGCTTTTGCGGCGCCGCAGTTGCCGACGGCAGGGCGTCTCGGTCTCCGTGCGCCCGCGCGGCTCTGCGAAGCAGCTTCATTTGAGTCAAGAGATTGGGAAGTGCGGTAATCACCGAACCGAACGTGAAACTTGGCTAGCTTTGTCTTCAGCGGGATTGAGAGCTCCATCTAATACTTCAGGTAATGAAACTCGGAGTCTTCCCAACGTGTAGCCCTCCTGGTACCAGAGTGTCCCTGTAGGGTTGGGTATGAGGGAGGAGACGATGGACGGTGGTGGTCAGCTTCCCCCGTCGCAGCCTGAACATGATATCGGGCTTCTTGAGCTGCGGAAGCTTCGTTGGCCTGCCGAGAAATAAACGATGAAGCAGAGGGACGCACAAGTGCCAGGCCTGGGTAAAAGTGACCTTGCTCAGCCATTGCTTGTTCCCATAGCTGTGTGATCAAGACCCCGTTCAGAGAACAGAATCCTTTAATGGTATGTCCGTCCATGCTCTTGTATGTCCCTTTCCACATCTGCCAAGGCGTTATTTGCTAAGAAGAATGCCCTCGTCAACTCGGGGGACAGATCTGGGTTTAGGAACTTGCGAGTTGAGCATCGGGTCTTGTAGTTGTACGGATGCGTTTGCTGAAGGAAAACACTTCCAGAGAGCCTCTTCTGCAGGATCTGAGAGGCGAGCTCAGCCTGGGCAGGCAAGCTCCCTGTCCTGAGAAGTTCCAATACCCAGCTGAAACGGTGCTTTAAATCGGCTGAGCTTGTAGCACGCCATGATTCACTCAACTCGATGAAGAGACCTGTCCAAATCGAAGAGTCCCCGGAGTTGGACCCACCAAGACCATCGTACTGACTCTCGTGGTGGTCACGCATCAGTCTTGCCAAAATGCGGAGTGTTGACGTCCGATACTGGGCCATTCCGCAAGGTGATATGTAGTTGGCACCGACCTTGATGATGGAGGGAGTCTGCTTCTCCTCATTCAGAGCTGTGACAGCCAGTAAGTCTTGGCTGGCAGCAACGGTCTTGTATCGGCTTGCTTCCGACGGCCACTCATAATGACGAATAGAAACCTTATGCAAGCCCCGGGTTTCCTGATTCTCGTTGCCCAACGAGTCTGAGCTGTTCAAGGGATCAAGAGAGTTGGCCCTGATTCCTGCCTGAGAACCAACTTGAGAGTCTTGGCTTGATCGCACATACGTCCACGGCGGTAAGGGATCGGAGCGAGATGGATCCACGATCTTGCTTCCATGCCTGGTCAACATTACCACGATTCGCACCGCCCCGCCAAGAAAGACCAAGTTGCAAGGTATGCCGTCAGCTATCAACTGAGCGGAAGCATGATGCCATATCTGGACGATATCAGACCACTTGAAAGTTGGAACACGTACGAATTCTGAGGTCATTGTTGAACGGTAATGCTCAAGAGCATGTGATCGGGCAAAATGTAGAACAACTGCGAGGGACCGCAGAAACACATTCCTTGGCAGGTCTGAGAGTTTTGCGGCTAGGCGCTCAGGGGGCGTTTCTGATTCTGCTTAGCTGAATACTGTAAAACTGCAAGGGATGCTTAACTAGCTTACCTGTGATCTTTTCCCAGACATCGCGATGAAGTAGCCGAGGCAGGTACACAGTCCAGAATTTGGTGCGAAAGAGAGAATGCTTAAAATCAGCATACCCAGTTGTTTTCAACAGTTCACGAAAGTCGTATGATGTTTTGTGACCGTCTTCGAGCCGTGGGATATGGTAGAACAGATCGTTCGAATCCAAAGGGTCCATTACAAGTTGCGACTTCTCCAAATGATGCTTCACCCCGTAGACTTGAGCCCATACGCTTCGCCATCTGCTGGATTGCCTCGAGATGAACCCTGAGTTTGGATTCTCCGCCAGTGCTCGGTACAGAGTCACAACTTCAGCCGTGGTTTTGTGTAGTCCGCCGAGCTGCAGTTGTGACACCAGGAAGTTGAACTGGACGCAAGTCGTGCCTTTTGCCCCATGTACATAGACATCATGTTCGTGTTCCTTCACAGTCTGAATGAAGACTGCTACCTCTGGAGGAGACCAGGAAGCACAATACGAAAGCCCTTTCATTTTGTTGTTCCCCTGTGTGAGAGGGAGTGCGCAGTTCAGGCCTTCATGAAATCTTCGAGGCACGCCGGCCGGCCTTAGTGCTGCGAACCCTTCTTTGGAACCAACCCGTAGGCTGTATTCTTGGCCCTCCAGTTGGCTCATAGTGTCGACAAGGATCATACCAACTGTCTCAGCGAGCGTGAGGATTGACAGGAAGTGACGCTGTGCTTCTTCGCCAAGCTGCGGAACAGGATACGGGAACAGAGACAGCACTGTTATCTCTATTCCGGTAATATCAGTCTTCGAAAGTCGCTTGTGGACATGCAATGCTCGCTTCACAGTCTTAAGGCCGCATTTGCATGACTTGACTGAGGTACAGTGCTGTTCTCCTCGAAGTCGGATGCCAACAGCACCTGAGGCATTAATTGACATGCTCGCAGCTTGACCAACATAGCGGGGATCCTTGACTGGATCTTGACTCTGAGTGCGGATTCCATGCAAGAGGTATATGCCCAACACGTTAGGCACAGCCTTCGGCCTCTCACTCAGCGGGAAGTACTCCATTTTCGCAAAGAGTATCATGGTGAGCAGTTGGTTGCTGTCCCACGGCGTTCCGGCACTGGTAACTCCTGACGAGGGTGCAGCAAAAGTTCGACCAGACGCGGGCGCAGGTGATTATTATCTTTGCACCATTGTAACATATGCCAGCAGAATGGAGCTTGCTCGAAGGTCGTGTCTCTATACTTGAGAGCTGCATTGAAAACAGCGTCGACAATGTCCATGTACCAAATGTCATGTCGGCCGATGTTCTCTGCAATAGCCTCGGGCATGTCGTCAGGCACTGTGATGTACTGTCTTGACACTAATATGTATCTCTTACTTGGAGTCTGTCTATTAATTCTGTACTACAGCCGTGATCTTTCTTGGCGCCCTTTCAAAGCAGGGAACCTCTGGGCCGATCGAATCAGGTGGTCGACGTCCGCCGTGTTGAGCAGCTCCGGACCTGCTTGGTCCAGACTCGTCAAACCAGAGAGTTTCATTGAGACTTCAATCTCGTCTTTCAGAACTGATACATCATTAGTGCCCATTCGCATAACCACATGGTTGTTTTCGAGAGACTCTGCCTACTTTGGATGAGATGCTCAGCACCTTGCTGTCCGTATACAAGGGAATAGAGGAACGGCCGTCCGATACCGACAGCAGTTGCACCAAGAGCAATGGCTTTGATGATGTCTGATCCTCTCTCGAAACCACCGTCGACATAGACTTCAAGCTTTGAGAAAATCTCAGGGCACTTGAGTCTGAGCTCGAGGAGGTTCAATATAGCTGGCTGGGCACTAGAGTAGCAAGCGTGAGTAAGTTTCTGCGAAATGTGTGGCTGGATGGTGACACATACGTATCCAAAGATCGACCGCCGTGGTTGCTCAAAAGGATGCCATCAACACCGTATTCTACGGCTAGCTTTGCGTCTTCGACGCTCTGGACACCCTTCAACACAATTGGCAGACCCGACTCTCCTCTAATCCAGGGCAGGTCAGACCAAGTAAGCGACTTGTCGATATACTGAGCCATCAGCCGCCCCAGACCTGCCCCTTTCTTGTCGTTGCTCGATGTGGCGCCGCTGACGGCAGACTGGACTGCGGTTTCTGTAGCTAAACGCTCGTCCGCCTCGCGTTTTCCCGGAACTGGCGCATCGACTGTCACGAATATGGCTTTGATCCCCAGGCTCCGCGCTTTCCGGAGGATCTCTGTTGTTTTGTGACGCTCAGAGTTGACGTACAACTGGAAGAAGAATGGTTGTTGCTGGTGGCCGCATTGGACAATTGATGACAGGGGGTAAGATGCATTGTTTGATATCTTGATGCCAAGCTTTAGCCCCAGGCGTTTAGAGGGTCGGGAAGGTAGCAGATGGCTGGGTCATGGGTGACTCACACATTGTATAATATCTTCCTGGCCGGCCGCTTTTGCCAATGCCAGCTCACCGTCCTTGTGTGCCAATCGTGCCATCGCAGCTGGGCTGATGAAGAATGGGGCGCTTGTCCTGTGACCCAAAATCGATCGTGTCTGATCTGTATCCGTGACATTTCTTAACACTCGAGGCTTGAGCATTATGCGCCTGAGAAATGACTTGTTTTGATGATGCGTAACCAGGTCGGTTGCCGCGCTACTGTAGAAGGCCCAGGTTTTCCGTGTAAGTATTCTGCTCGCAACTTCTTCAATATCTGCTGCGCTCAAAAGCGACTGGAGCGGTGGAATATTGGTCTCGGATGAGATCGCTGCTGTGTCCTGGTCTCGCGAGTCTTTGACTTCTTCGAGAGCTCCTTGAGGCGGCACATCGCTGCTGGCTTCAAGGTAAGCGCCTTTGAATTTGTCGGCTGGTAAATTCTCCTCTATAATTCCGGGTGCATGTACTTGGTCATATTCAGATGTTGCATTTTTACCAGCCACCGAGAGAAGAACTTTTCACGTTTACATGTCAGTCATTACTCTGTCTTAAACGTCTCTGAAGCCTTTCAAAATTCTGAATGACCTCATTTCCTGCATGAATTGGGGAGGAAAAAAGCTATCAGCTGGAAAGGTTGAACTCACTTTTGGCGCCTCCGGGATGTTCATCCAAGAAGTCGGTGAGATCCCACACCTTGGAATGCACAGCAACCCAGCAATCGTTTCTCGTGCTGTGTTTCTTTAATTCCGCGCTGGAAATCTGCAATTCGCTCGTGGTGTCCATTTTGTGGTGGGGTGGATCTCTGTGTGCATCACCTATTCCGGTTGGAAGAATGTTTGTGAAAAGCTGGGCAAGTTGAGATTACGCAGGTACAGCACCCAGCGTCGTGTCAAATCTACTGCTGCTGATAGCCTGAATGGAGCCTGCTCACAGCTTAGAAGGACCAATCGCGTCCACCGTGGCGGCCGAATTACCGGCCAAACGTCTGATCGGCTTTCTGCCCGAACCATCGGCCGAGCACGCCACCGAGCACGTTCCGACTCCGCACCCGCCCGGCAATGGGCCGAAGCGCATCCACAAACAGGCGAAGCCGTGCCGCTGGACGTTAACTACGAGCATGGATTCTGAGTTACGCTAGGCACATTGAATAGCTGTGTTTGTCAACACTCTCTCCGAATTGCAACAGGGTCTCAACTCTGTGACAATGGCTAAGCCTATCGTGCTTCACATCGGCGACCCGATCAAGTACAACCAACAGTTCTTTGAAAATGAGTTCACCAAGCGATTCGATGTGAGACATAATGAAGACCTTGACAGAGCCTCATTCATACAAGCCCTAAAGAACAAGAAACATGGCGACTTCTCGGCTATATTTCGACCACACTTCCAGACGGGTGGGGAGATGGGTCAGTGGGACGAGGAGCTGATATCTCTCCTCCCTTCTTCGCTCCGGATATTTGCCTCAGCTGGTGCAGGGTACAACTGGGCAGACGTAGATGCACTCGGTCGCCGCCAGATATGGTACGCAAATGGAGCCGGAGCATCTGACGAGGCCGTCTCAGACACTGGTCTCTACTTCATCCTCTCTGTCTTCCGAAACTTCACCAGGTCGCAACTCGCTGCGCGGACGTGCGACCCGGAAATATTCAACGCCACGCACAAGGTTATTGCTACAATATCAGCGAACCCTCGAGGCCACGTGCTTGGGATTGTCGGCCTGGGAAACATCAGCAAGAAGCTCGCCTACAAGGCGAAAACAGCGCTCGGGATGAACATCCACTACTACGATGTCATCAGAGCTACAGAAGATGTAGAGAAGAGGCTGGAGGCCACTTTCCATCCCACGCTCCACAGCCTGCTCGCCACAGCAGACTGTGTCAGCTTGCACACACCTTTGAACGCCCATACGCAGGATTTGATCAACGACAACGAATTTGCGGCTATGAAGCAAGGCGCGAGGATCATCAATACGGCCAGAGGCCAGGTGATAAATGAAGAGGCTCTGATACGGGCCCTGAAGAGCGGCAAAGTATCTGCAGCTGCTCTGGACGTCCATTATGAGGAGCCTCAAGTATCGAAGGAGCTCGCTGCGATGGATAATGTCACTTTGACTACTCATATCGGGGGAGGGGCATTGAACACGAGGATTAACTTCGAGTTGAATGCTATGAAGAATATCCTCATGGTTGTAGGAGAGGATGGGGCTTGTATTGGCGAGCCTTCGACTCCTGTGAATAGAGACGTTGTGAGAGCGTCGGCAGCCTAGAACATATATACTCAACTTTGCCTGTCTTGACCAAGCTTGATTCTACCACTGCAATTGTGCAGTGTTTTCTTCTCACCAGAGGTTATCCACGATGCTCCGCAGGAAGTCCAAGAACGTGAGCAAGCAATTTGCGGAAACGATTATCGCAAGCTACTCCCTGACGCAATACATCATGGTAAATCTGCCGTGCAGATCGCGAATAATCTGGTGAAACAGCGGTTCCCTGATCTGCCATACTGACAAGAGCATAGACCTTGTCCCTGAGATCCGTGCACTCCCAGCCCTGGAATATCTCTACGAGTGTCTGAAGCTTGGGCGTCGGCGTCTCTGGATGCCTCCAGTGGGCTCTCTGCCAAACCATGACGAACGCCGGGCTCCGCAGGACGTCCGTGACAAACTCGTGGTGTGCTAGGCGGTTCTCTTCCTCGATCGTTTTAATGGTGAGGTACAGCCTGTCGAGTACGGGCCAGTCAACGCTTTGGGAGCCACACCATACCGTGAGCCTATTTGCGTGAATGATCTCCTGGATGATCCACATGCGTCTCCAGTACGGCCTTTGGCAGAGATCTCGGATGGCTTTGCCCTCTTGTCTGCCCCATATGGGGCGAAAGTCGTCGACCTGCTGCTTGAGAGGCCTTGTGCTTTCATTTACGAGGAAGTCCATTGCCAGGCGGCTGTTCTCCGATTCGCGACCCAGCCAGATGTAGACGCTCGAAGCCATCGAATAAATATGCTTCATCAGGCCGACTTGGTGGTTTCGCTCACGCACGTTGTCCTGGTCAATGCAGATCGCGTCGATCCAGAATAGTCGAGGTTTCTTCAAAGTCAGGCTTCGACAGTGGAGGAACCACCATAAATTCTCCCCGATCTCGAAGTCGTCTCGTCCATCCACGGCAATTTTCCGTGTCTTGGTCGGCTTTCCCCAAGCATATGACAAAGCAGTGTACTTCGGACATGACTTTATGTCGGAATAAACGAATGAACCCTTGATCTGGCCCTCGTGGGTAGTTTTTGCCAGACGGAAAAGTCTAATTTGACCTTGTGGGCGACTTAGTGGCCGGTATGGTGCCTTGCCTGGAGCTGGTGGGATGTACTCCGATGCCAATCCCGATCGGGTGTGTTGTTCATGACTGGCAAGGAATCTGATCTGCTCTGAATCTCTCCGATAGCTTGAACCAGATGTTTCGACACTGCTTCTCCTTCTGTCCAGCGGTTGTGTTTCCATCGCGAGTAGGACCTTCCTATTGAGTTGCTCCAGTCGTAGTACACCGTCCTGTGGGATGTCGTTGAGCTTGGTGGCCACAACCTTAGATTGTTCGGAAACAGAGTCTCGGGGAGACAGAATGTCGTAATTGTCCGAATCGACGAACTCCTGTGCGTAGCTCCATCCACGACAAGTTTCCTGTGTGATGAGAGGACTGCTATGCCTGAACCTCGACGTATAACTTGTTTTATGGCATCTTTGAATATGGAGGTAGTTCTCTCGTGGCTCACTGTGTCTCCTGTTGAGATCCCAGAGGACTTTTGAACACTTTCCGGCGGGTTGCCCCTCGTGTTCAGGGCCGAGGGGGCACGGGACCACAGCCTGGGTCGGGCTGGGGGTTTTGAGGGCGGTGTTCCATTCGACATACATTTGCTCGCTGATACCGGCCAACGAAAACCGGTCGAAACCTGTGAGGGAGCGCGGAGTAGATTGTGTCAAATCGTAGTTGTAGGTGAAGCCTTCCATTTGTTGCGCGAGAGACTCTGACGGCAGCGTTTGCCGGCTCCTCTCGGCGCCATGAGAGTATCCAAAATCGAAAGAAGGACGCATGATTCGGTCGTCAAGAGAAAAGACCTCGTTCAGCAGGGCTTCGAAAGGCTGTGAACACCATGAATCCCAATTTCGGATTCGATTCGTCTGTCAGACTGATGCACCGTTGCTTATACCTGCATGCATCGGTGTTACCGGCGGCTGTGCTGCAGCCATGAGTGGGTCATTTCTACAAATGGGACCAGGCTACGCCTCAAGGCAGCCAACATGCGTCTTGAATTCCGGGGTAGCTTTTTGCAGGTGCGTCATTCCACCTTCCACGCCGCGCCACAGCCAATAAGTGGAAAAAAAAAGGCTGGGGCCCCCGTGCCGGTCGTCGTGCTTACGCTCCGAAACACCTCAACCAATGGTCGGCAAAACACCTTCCCGATTCATTCCACGGCTTGTCCGGTAATATTTTGCTTCACGGCACGCCCGAGCCTTATTTTCCTGGCTTAAAGCTATTGGCACAGGTATCTTGGGCAAAATGGCCTCTTTTCGTCATCACTGAAAGTTGCCAGATCTTCGCCCGTATCAAGTCCCCTCATTTTTCGCGAGATCAGCGGACTTTCCCATTTCTGCCTCTTCATGTAGTTTATTACCCACGTCATAAGGATTCCGAAGTAGATAGTTGTCTGCTAACCGCTGTGTGGAAGACCACCGATCTACAGAGCAGCAAGATTCTTGAGCTTCCAGAGAGAGGGCGATCTAACAGGGGTAAGAAGATTTTTCTCGATGCAGGCAACTTATTTCTTCCCTATATTAAACGAAGCACCAATTAGTGATCTGAATCCTTGGAACCATTTTCACTGTCAACCATTCGGGTTTGTTGACAGCGCTTGAGAATTCCGTATCGAGACCACAGCCGAACTCCTCAATACTGAAAGACTGCTCATCCACATCAAGTCCACAACGAAATCAAAACTGATCTATGCCGTTCGCTGATTCTTCCGTTTCCGACCCGACCCACTCTCCTGTTTCCTCTTCCTCCGCCTGGGCTCTTTTGCAGCATTCAGTGGCGTAAACAGACTCAATGGGAAGACTTGTTTACCCATCTCATATAAAGACTTCAAACTCTCTCGCATGATTGGTCCTCGAGCACCCAAGCCGAATAGTAGCGTGTGGTTGACCTTGGCGAGGAAAGCCAAGTTCCAGTGCAGCTCCTCCTTGTCCTTGTTGCCCAGGACCGTACAGAACTCGTCGACGGCATTCCTCAGTAGCCCATCGCTACTCAGCCGAAGAAATTCCGAAAGCACATCAAGGTAAAGTGCCTGGATTGGTGGGGACTGATCGAGGACGTCGAAGCAGAAGTCGACATAGACTATCGTCGCAGCCCTACTCCTGTAGCTGGCAGACGTAGAGCTGGGACCTACGATCAGCGCACTAGTGTCAGCCCCAGCTTTCAAGAACAGTTTGAGGATTCCTTCTTCGAGTAGGAATGAGAGAACCCGCGTTGCACTTTTCTGCTCTGAAATCCACCAGTGGCAGATATATGCAAAAAGTTCACTCCAGGGGCTGATGCCTTGGCAGCCACCTTCTTTGTTCGGATCCATGCCACGATTGTCCAGTAGACAGGCCAAAACATCAGTTCCTTTCCCTCGTTGTAGTTGAATATTCTTAGTCGGCTCAGGCGTCAGAAATCGCAGTACCGGCAACGTCCCGATATTCTTCAGAAACCCCGGTTCAGAATCCAGCTTGTTGAGAAGATAGTCGAAGAGTCCAAATTGTACCAGTTGCTCTCGCAAAACTGCTTGCTTCATCTTCGAACAAGATCTGGGATCAAACGTGCAGCTGCTCCCTGAGAGCATGCATAGGAGACTGCGATCAAGTTCGTCAAGGAGGGCACGGTGGCGGATATCACCGGCCATGCTAGATTCGAACTCACTGGCAGAACTCAAAGTTTGACACAGTAGCCGTTCAAATTTGGAGAAGAGTGTTTCAAACTCAAATTTACCAAAAGTTGTTCGTGAAATTTGAGTCGGGGCAGGAGAAGTTTTGATCATAGCGATGTGAGCTTTGAGAATGCTAAGGGCCGGACAGAAGTTCAAACGAGAATCAGCCTTGGCAATGAGAAAGTCGTAGATTTCCCGAGTGTTCAAGAAGTCTCTAGCAGTCCTGTGAATGAAGGTTACAGTTCCATCCTCAGGATTGACCTCGAGAAGTCCGCGGGTCCTGCTGTCGAGGTGCCAGGATGTGTTGCTCCGTATCTCCTCGATCTCGCCCTCATCCATTTGTCGAATCGGATGATTTATCGAGTAATTGCTGTCCTCGTATTCCTGGAAGTGGAAACTGTAAACTAAGAAGCTCAAGTGGCTTTCTGTTGAAGCGTTGGCAATTTGGAGCGCCGTTGACATGTGGCTGTGATAAAAAGGCTCGACGGCTTCGAGCATAGTCTTGAAGAATGGTTCAAGCTCCGACGGAAAACTCTCAAGGCGCCGATGCAGGTCCACAAATGCATCTCGATTTGTGAGTCCTTCTCTCAGGAGCTTCGTGACAAGAAACACCCAAAGGAAGACTCCGTTGGATTTTGCCACAATTTCTGAGATCAACCACTGCCCTTGAGAATGTTTTGCGGAGACGGCAGCCCATCGTGTATGCTCTTCAAGCCGACTTGAGACATATTTATGTATATCATCTTGCGTTAAGTCCTGCATGTAGATTTTGGGAAATTGATGCCCGAATTCTTCCTCGAAAATATTCCAAGGACGGCTCGAAAGACAGAACTTCATGTTGCCTGACATTGCAAGCTCTTTGAATGTCTGACAAAGTTGAATGCGGTCTTCGTTGTCACCGCTATATTCGTCCAAACCATCGATGATGAAACATATTTTGAGGCGTCCGTCGTTTCTGGTCACAAAAGTCTGCAAAGCTTCACGGAGCTCCACTAGCGACCAGGAGCCCGCAAACTCCAAGTTATTCCATCTCTCCACGCATGTTGGCTCGATCAGATCTGGAAATTGGCGAAATATGTCGTAAAGCAGGTTCTGGAGAAGACCCTTTAGAGACTTCTGCATAGAAGTCCCGGTTATCCAGAAGTAGTGACTAACGATTGCTGCCCTGTGGGGTTGAGCCCACTCAGTAATTAAACGGGACGTGATGCTGGAATCTGCGATGTACTTCATGAGAGTTGACTTCCCTGATCCAGGCCTTCCGGATACCCAAAAGATTCCATTTCCCTGTTTAAGCCAAGCGCCAATGCTGGGATCAAGGGCCAGGTTCTGATCGGTCGTGAGTGCCCATTTGAACGTCTTCACGTGGGCCTTGGCAATTTGTGTATGCCTTACAGGACGGCTCTCGAAGGTGAGGCTTTCCAGGATAGCTTGCTGCTTTTTCACATCCTGTTCTGAGAGGGACAATGACTGCAACTTCTCCTTCAAGCCGCTAACGTCGCCCATTGTGAAATCGGGCCGCCCATGTTGTGGGCTTCCTGCCTCTCGTCCTAAACGCAGCCGACATTGCAGTTCATTGATACCGTCACTGATCTGAATGATGGCCTTTGCTTGATCTGCCTGCAACAACAGACTCCGGCGTTGTAAATATCCTAGCCGCTCCGACTGAGCGCGGCTGCAATAGCTACACAGAGCGTCAGTCAAGCGTTTGTGTGGTCCTGCTTCAGTGGGCCTCGTACTCACTGTGCCAAGGTACAGATATGCAGTGTCATCGTTACTTGAGTTCGGGAGAGTCGTGCCTCAAGCTCATCGACGCTGGACTTTTTCCAGGCCTTTTTCAGAGCAACTGTGAAGCTGTCCCATTTCCCCTTGGATCCATTGTTTGTCCTGAGCTTTTTTGTGATCCGGAGAAGTTCGTTCCCATCAGTCTTGCACACCGCGCAGAGGCTCTTGACTGCAAGAAAAACATTGGTGACATGATCCTCAACGTTATCCTCGGCATGACACTCGACATGACCCTCAGTATGCGACTTGCGGATTTTATGATCGGTGCACGATTGAAGACCATCGCACAAATGTTGCAGTTGTTCACAAACTGTGTCAAGTCTGGTGACATCGATACTACATCCAGTAGCCGATGCGCTGATTTCTATGGTTCCTTTGATGAGACCGGATGCGAATGAGACGAACGAGAAGACATTGGATGCCAGTCCCAACGCTGTCAAAGGGTCCATGATGGCCTTGATAGTTTGAAAGGTTCTGAGACGATGCTTCTATCTCAAAAATGGCGGTCAAGCAACCAGTATTTGGATGGCAGAGCGAGGAATTTATGGATGTGGGAGAGTGAAATGGGTTGCTAAATTCCAGGCAGCTGGGCGCCGTGGACTACACCAGTGCCGCAACCCTTCTGAAGTCCCCCCTGATAATTAACACAGCCTCAAGGCTCCAACTAGGTACGGTTGCACAACAGCACATGGGCCCTAGCAAGCCGCTGCGCCTCTTCCGGTTTTACTGGCACCAGAATTGTCGGACAGCATGCAGGCCTCTCGTCTACTACTGGCTGACAATGGCCTACCCTCCGTACACAACATAAAAGCCTGGCTCGGTTCAGCTTGCCCACCAGAAAGTAGGCAGAAGTGACGTACGACACACTTGCTTTTTCACGTGCGGTCAGTCGGGCGACGTGGTTGCTCGGAACACTTTGAAGTCTGCCTTGCCTAGCGGCGTGTGATTTGACTGGTCTCAAGGCATTTTAGGCCACTATTTCTCGAGTATTGGGTCAGCTAGTGGTTTCGTGATGCGACCCCATCGTGCATAACCGAACATGTAGCAGCACTGTGTAGGACAAAAGTTGGGTGACTGCGGCAGCTGACAACCCGGATACCAGGGGGTCCTTATGCATTCCCCAAAGGTCCGCAGTGAATCACCAGACTACTCGTGTTGAGCTCAGCATTGAAAACTTGGCCGATCGCACTTTAATTACTTGTCAATGATGTTCCTGCTTTGACATGAAATACTCACTAGCTAGGAACCGGGGGCCATGATGGAGCCTCCCAGAACCCAGGCCCTGGTAAATTCCCTTACAAGAAGATAGAAGATCAAATTTTTGCGATATTGATTGGATTTATCGGATTTGGGACCGTCCTCCTTCTCACCTGTCTCGAAGCCGTGTACGAGTGAGTCTCATGTTCATGTGCAAATCAGGAAGTCGATAATCTGCTGCAAATGGATGGGAAAGACTCAACGCAATTGTACTTTTGAGGAAAATCCAGTAAAGATCTGAAACAGTTCATATTCCGTCGAGACAGCATGACAATAGCGTGCTAAGCTAAACCACTTGCTGGGCGCCCACGCATGTAGCGATCCCATCACTCTCAACCAACGCAGCCGTGCCTCCAGAGTTGCCAGACTGCTGCACAGTCTGCCTCACCGCGGTCGTGCACTTCGCAGTAACCCCATCCGCCGCAGCCGCAGCCACCGTCGCGTTGGCCGACAGCGCAGCAGCAATCGCCTTCTGGGCGTCCGCCGCGTTCGGGTGGGCAGCGGCCGCCTTCGCCCCGAGCGTGAAGATGGTGCCCTTGGCGTTGGCCTCGCCCTGGAGGTCCGCCGCCTTCTTGGTCAGGTTGACCGTCTGCGCGAGCTCGGCGAGCTGCGCCAGGTCCCCCTGTTCGGCCTGCGCCGCGACGACGTTGGCTGACACCTGGGCGCCTGCCAGGTGGGAGGCTATCTCGGCCTCGGTGGCGTCGGCCACCAGCATGTTTGTGGAGAAGATGCAGCCCACTGGGTCGGCGGAGTCGTCGCAGATGAAGCCGTCGCCGGTGGGGTCGCCGACCTGGTGTCGTGTGAGCGGTGTTCTCCAATGACTGGAATGATGAGGCCTCTTCTAGGTGTTTCAAGGGAGAACTCACAGTGCCAGCAGGGAAAGTGCCGGTCTGGATGGCCAAGTTCGGGTCTGCCCCGACAGCCTGAAGCTGAGTCGCAAGGTCGAGAACAATCTGCTTGTTGCCGGCTGCATCAGGTGAGGCTGGGTCCTGATGCTGCTTCAGAGCAGCGATTTCAGGGTTGGCGGCGGTTTCATCGCAGGCCTCGGAAGCGCCCCCGACGGGGGTCGTATTGCGCTCGAGGGCGCGGAACATGAGGGCGTTTGCCATGCCTGCCACGTTGTTCGCAGCTTTGGCATTAGTGAAGGCCTGATCGGCAATGTTCTGTTGGAGGCACTTCAGATTTGTGACATTGCCTGCACCGCTCTTGGCGCCTGCGTCGCCTAGCAGACCAAACACGGTGTTCTCGATCTGGAGCGGGTTGTTGAGTTCCAACATCGCTTGAGTGGCCTGCACGATGGCCTCATGCGAGTGCTCCTGTGGCGCCTCTGCGGCTGAGAGGCCAGCGAAGACAAACATAATGGCGGCGGTCTTCATTTTTCTTGGTGAGTAATGGTGCTGCTACTCTAAGCGTGATAATTCGAGCAAGGCCTGCCTTCAATGTATTGTAAGAAATATGAATAATTATTGGAAAAGACTGGGGTTCACAGAACTCTGGAAGAATGAGAAGTGGGAAGCGAATGAAGCGTCGGTGGACCAGAAAGCATCTTCGGTGATCCGGAGGCCGGGAACGGCCATCATGATATTTAAATAACACTATGGAGGATGTATTTCAAGCACCCTGCGTACTCGCCCAGAACTGTCCTAATACTTTACTCCGTCAACAGACATTTCTGACATCTGACGCTGATGCCCCGGAGGCGCCGGCGAGGTTCACTTTTAAGGGGGCTGCGTCTCAGGTATCTTGGACAGAACTCAGTCGGGGGAAGAGAGAGTATATTTGCAGATCCGTGCGGGAACCGCACCAGTCCTGCAGTTCGTCAATGAAATTCAGACGGGATGCATTCGGGAGCGGCCGTTAAGGTTCTCTGCTGAAGCATTCAGACGATTCAGTACCTCTTGGCGGGCTTGTTCTGGAACACCTCCTGTGTAGCTTTTAATGCGTCAGAGGATCTGATACATCCTCAGGCTCTTATGGATCTGTCAAAATACGTCTGGTTCGACTCTTTCTCAGACCAGAGTGCGTCCTGGATAGGGGCCAAGCACGTGTCGTCTGATTCTCAGCCCTCGGGCTCCCCTTAAACCCGAGTACGAACTCGTTCTTTGGAAACAGGGTAACAATCTCAGATGATACTATGGGGTTTGATTTGGTCCCATATCTCTATGAGATTAGCTTTATCTGGCCAAGGTGACCGTCAGATTCATCCGCTTCATCCGCTTCATCAAGGACCGAAATACACGAGGAACCTTCGCGGAATGTACGCTGAAATTGACCTCTTGTGCGAGTCGCCAATGACGGTCTAGTTGCACCCTATAAGCCTTTCGTGTGTGGATGGCCTTTGAATCGTATGGTATAGCGTTGAATTTAAACCGCTTGGAACGTGACAGCCTTGTCTTCGTGCATAGGCCGAGTGAAGAACTGGAATTCTTTGAGGATGGTCTTGGATGCGCCTCGCTCACTCAGAAGATCGATGGTATCCTGATCCTGGTTTCCAATGGCCGCTATCAGAGGCGTCTGCTTGCTGCTGTCGCGCTGATTGACATTAAGTCCAAAATCTAGTAATTTCTTCGTGATCCTATGCTTCAAGCAAGTCTGCAGCAAATACATAAAATCCAGGTTCGGAAGCGTAGTCAAGAGACTGTCTGTGACAGTGGTGTTTCGATGACGAGCCCTCGAATCGGATTGCTTATAGTCGCATGATACAGATGCTGACATTCCAGTTGTTGCCATCCGCCCCGAACGTTCGATTGCTGAAGTCGACGAGGACATATCAATATACTGAGGTAGGCTGCAAAAAACATTCGAAGTGGGACAAGGATGTATGGTCTGCAAGGGCAGAAAGGACGAAGTTTGATACTTCTTGTGAAGGATGATGTAAAGGAGAGATGACAAAAGGCAGCGGAATTTGATCTGAAACGATAGAGGGCAAATTTCGAATACTGAACAACTGAGTTCGCAACAACTTGAAGGTCTGTAAGAAGCAGGACTAATAAGTACCCGAGTGTATATAGGGAGGCAGCCAGTCAACCGATGTTATGGTGATTATACTAGTATCGTGTGGAACGGTTGGTGAGAACTAGGACTCAGAGCGGGGTCCGGCTGCCTGAACGAGCCTTCGCTTGCTATCTCGCAGCCAACATGTGCAGGAAACACATCGTTCAGGGACCCACTATATCAAAGTACCTAAGTATTGAAATACATATAGGGAGGCAGTCAGCGTTTTGCAGCTGCAGGCATGCAGTTCTGCATTTAATCACCCCGCACCTGGCCACGTCAACCCAAAAAACATGTCTTTTCTTGTCCCAAAATCGTCAGACGTGAAAAGATATTAGCCCAAGATGAGCTTAGGGATTCCAGGACTGGTCCTTGGTGCAGTCGGCATTTTGACAGCATTCAAGGGAGCCCTCGACACGGCACTGCTTATTGAGTCATTCTTCGACGATGACAAGGCAGGCTGTGGTTACTTGGCCCTCAGATACCATATTGAAAAGACACACCTGAGTTTGTGGCGCCAGGTGTGCAATGTGGACAATATGTCCATATGCGTATTACGAAATAAACCTACTCTACTACAGGAGACTGTTCTGGGAATTCTGGGCGAGATCACCCGGCTGCTCGAAGAAGCAGAGAAGTTGGTTGAGAAGCATGGTATCGCAAAAGCCAGCATACCTTCAATGCCCGACGCGAAGGGCACTTCGAGACCAGAAACCGATGTGATCATGGAGCTTTCGACGACCACCGTCAAGCCAAAGGCGAGGCTTCGGTGGACCATCAAAGGAAAGGCCGAATTCGAGGAAAAGGTCTCAAGGTTGAGGCAGCTTATCAACGACCTCTACAGCTTTACCATCGGTGCGTCAGGGTCAGAATCCATCCATCGAGCTTTGCCTTCAATGGCTCTCAGTTCCATATCTAGCGGAGAGTTGCTACAAACACTTCGTGAGCCCAACATGGAGATTGATGCTACCCTGGCCCTGTCAGCCAGGGTCAAACTACTGCAGACGGAACTTGCTCAATCACCAGACGGCTACGTGACGGTGATTTCGAGCGATCAACTTCGTCTGTTTTCTTCCAAGTTTGGTACCCTGAGATCCTATGGCGTTGGGTACATTTCCGTGTGGGTGGAATGGGGTCTCGTCAGCGACGGCAGTATGGATGGGGGCTTATTCGAGCAGCAGTATTTCGAGAAGATCATCCAGCCCTTGGGAGCGTGCTCGGATTAACTATTGCGGTACTGATAGTATGAAGAGAAAGAGAAGCACCGTTTGGGGCGGATTCAGCTCTTATATGGATAAGATAACATTGTAACCAGGCAGCATTTTTATGTGATGCAAACATAAGGTGGAAGAAATAACTTATAATAAAAGATAATTTGCTATTAAACATCTACATGCCATAATGTAATAAACTCGGAGTTCATTCATATTATTTCATACTGACTTTCTACTTTTACAAAGCATCTTCTATTATAATACTTACGTTTGCCTTAACCTTCTCTTTCTCGTCTCATTCGCAGAGTGCTTGCCTTTCAACCCGGATTGGCCCTAAGTGCCTGATCATACTCACATCAAGCTTGACACTGTGGCTCGTGGTCATTACTAGCCCATCAAGAGAAAAAGCGAATCATAGTTGAGCAGGTATAGAGACACGAGTTGTATCTTCGCCAGGAACTATCCACGTATCAAAACAGTAACATTTCACACGATTTCAAGCCCAGCCGACAAGACCAGTGACCAGTTTTCTCGGTGCACGAAGCTCCTCCTTCCTCGCCTTGAGTTCGTCAACGTCCCAGTTCACCCACAAGTACTTACCTCTCAAGAACTCACCCTCGGCGCTCGCTACCCAATTGACAAAGTGCCCGGCCAGGTCAGCTACAGAAGCGGTCAGCCATCAGCCAAGAAGCGTAGATGTATGGAGCACTTGGCGGTAATTAAAACACTCACGCTCATCAACAGGCACGCCCAGTGCCCCAAGCCCAGACTTGGTCAGCATGTCCGACTCAACAACCCCAGGGTGGACGTTGTAGAAGCGGAGCCCGGGGTTCTCAAGCTGGAGCGTCTCGACCACGCGCGCCGCACCAATCTTGCTCCCAGAGTACCCGGAGAACCCTTGCAGCGTGGGGTTGATGTGGGCAGCGCCGGCCGAGATGTTGACAAAGACACCACCGGGGCGCGCGGAGGCGAGGAACTGGCGCGCGAGCAGGAACAGCCCCTTCACGTTGACCTCCCAGGCCCTCCACCAGTCCTCGGTGAAGTCGCCGGCGCGGCCCTCCCCGCCGGCGCTGGCGGCGATGGGCCCCACGGCCGGCAGGTAGCCCGCGTTGGCGACGACGACGTCCACGGGGCCGCCTGCGCCGGCGAAGGCGCGCGCGACGTCCTCCTCGCGGGACACGTCGCCCGAGACGGTGGAGATCTTGGTCGAGGGGTAGGCGGCCCCCGTGCGCTCCGCGACCTCCTGCAGGGTCGCGGTGCTGCGGCCCAGGATGATGATGTGCGCTGCTCCTGCCGTCGCGAAGGCCTCGACGATGCCGATGCCGAGGCCGCGGGCGCCGCCGCTGACGAAGACTGTCTTCCCGGCGGCGGACAGCTCGGGGCGGGATGGTGAGATCGAGGGGTAGGATTTTTGGTGGTACGTTGAGGTGAAGTTTGTCTCCCAGATTGGTTTCGACATGATGAAAGTGGGATGATGTGAAGTGTGTGGGAGTGTTGTTGCAAGATGTGTTTGTGATGCCACGAACAGAAAGGGCTCATACGACGTGGAGGGGACAGAGCGAGGCCGTACTGAGCAGAAAGCGCTCAGTAGGGGATAGGAGTTAAGTTAAGAAGACGAGGAATTAAGGGAAGGAGTTAAGGGCAAGATGTTATCGGCGGTTTGCATGTGGCGATGCATGCTTAGTTGTTCCTGAATTGCTCCACCTGTACCAATGACTATTAGCTCCGAAAGGTGGTCCCATAACCTTCTTCCACCCTGCATGTCAGCAGAAACATCTGACACACGATACTACTCAAGCCAACCGAAGGAGCAAACGGTCTCCCTAGCCTCAAACTCAACAGAGATGGCGTATATGGCGTGCCAAGTGGAGGGGGCTGACGTTGCCGGAGTGGATTCCAAATCTAGCGGACAAGAGTGTCGCTTGACCTTGATTTCGGACTTGTGACGCCTCCACTCCAAGGTTTGCTCATACATTACGTGCTGCAGTGAGCCGCTCTAATACTACCTATCCTCTTCAATCCGGGTTATCACTATGTATGTGCCAACCCAAGATGTTCCAGCAACAGGACGTTGGTGTAGAAGTGCACAGCTCACCACGTTAGCTGCTTGCCGTCATTGTCCCACAACTTCCCACCATGCGAGTCCTTTGTAGCAGCATCGATGACCTGCACAATCCCATCGCAGGACTCGTCGACTTCAATGAACGCCTTCTCGAGACCCAGCAGGCGAGCACTTGCGTTACCCATCTCTGTCTGGACGAAACTAGATAAATCGAGAATCAGTATCTAAATATCATCACGACAGAACGTTCCAACATATGCTCACCCAGGGTGGAGGACAAAGGCAGTCAGGGATTCCTCCTCTCCATTGATCCTCTTCGTGAGCCAGTGGACGGCGGCCTTGGATGGTGCGTACGCAGCATTGGGGAAGGGAGCCTGATCCTACAGCCAAAGCTCCATTAGTCTCTCGCGTTCAACATTTCACACCCTGTCCACACCAGACCGGTATCAGGCAGCCTTACCTGCAACTGGCCCGCCGACGAGCCCATGGTGACCCATTTAGGCTGCGCGGACCTCCGCAGCAGCGGGAGCGCGGCCTGGTACAGCCAGACCACACCAAAGACATTCGGCGTGATGTGGGCCTGCAGGTCCGCGACCTTGAGCTCCGACACCGTCGGAAATGCCCTGGCGACGCCGGCGTTGGCGATGACGAGGTCCAGGCGGTCGATCCCCCGCGCGGAGAGCTCCTCGACCGCCTTGAGCGCGTCGGCCTCGGCCGTCGAGTCGATCTTGACGACGAGCAGCCGGCTGTGCTGGCCCGCCGGCAGGTCTGCGAGGGCCTTTGAGGTTGGGTGGTCTGGGTCGCGGACGGCGGCGATGACGGTGTGGCCGTCCCTGGCGAGGTAGCGCTCGACAAGGCCCTTTCCCAGCCCTCTGTTCGCACCGCTGATCAAGACTATTGAGGGGGCCATGGTGAGGTGTGGAGTTCGCTTTGTGGGGCTTGAAGACCGCGGTTCTGCTTCGCGATATGTCCCATCGAAACTCATCACACTTGTGCAGGACTCATGATTCCAGTCTTTTCATAAGAGTGTGGGAATACCAAACTGAAGGACTTCCGCGTGCTGAGAAATCAAGATGGTCATGTTCGCGTCTCTCGAGGTCGAAAACGTTGGTGGACTGTTGGGCTCGACGGAATCCTAGCCAAGTCGAGGTGACCTTATCTGCGCAGAATCCTGCTGAACATAGGTTCCAACACACATATGCACCTTGGGTGTTTGTTCTAGTCCGCAAGGCAGTGCCGCTTCCTGCGGACGCTTTCTCGGCGGTGGCCTAGCTCCCGCTTTCTGCTTACATGGTCCGCAAAGTCCGGGATTCTTTGTCAACGGCGTCCCCGCCGTTACGAAAGTTCATTGCATAGTCTACTAAATGCACAATTTTGTCCTGTGCGGTATCTTTGGGAGCCTTCTCAGGATGTGTTACAACGGAGAACCAGGGCAGTGGCAGCAGTGATCCCTGGTGGTGGTGCAGAACCTGTGCCTCGATCACGTAAGCTGTGCGACGTGTGGAATTTCACCAGACGCGGAGAGCACAACACACTAATAGGCCAACATTGGTCGGCCGCTCATGTGGAATCTCTGGACACCTGGGTTCCAACGTAGAGCTTCCAGGATATGCGGTTGTATGGGCGCAGTAGGTTGCAGCTGACGTGTGACGGATCGGGCAGAAGTAAGCCAAAAAAAAAAGTAGCGAGATGGTGGAGCGGGGTGAGAAGAGAGAAGAATAAATTGTCATCAGTGTGTCCAGGTGGACGGACTGGAGTTTTCTCTTCACCTGCGAGTGCATGGTGGTATCACCTTCTGCGGTGGAAGCGAAATGGCATTTGCTTGTTCAGAAACGTGCTATTGCTTTTCTGGATAAAATGCGGGAAAACAAGACGTGCATGATTTGCTTCTCGGCGGTTCAGACTGGCAAGCTCAGTCGTGGCCGGAATGCATGTGGAAGCAGTTGCTTGGGTCATGCCAAGGCCAATGCCGTCTTCCACAGCACGGCTACATGGGTGAAGACTAGTCTCGTGCCTATGGGGATGCTAATCACCATGCAAAAGATGCCTTTGTTCTCTAGCTGGGGCACCGTACAAGCTTTCCTGTATGCGGGGATTGAGGGCAGCGGCTCAGCGCTCAAGCTTCCTCTTATCTCGGCTTGGGCTGGGAAGCAAGATATCGTAGCAACGTATCCTGGACGATATCAAAGTATCTGCTTCTACCTGGGCAGTTCAGAGACACTGGAGGAACTAGTGCAATTTGGCTGAAATAAGGATGGTGGTCTGAATCCTGGAGTTGGGGGGGGGGGGGGTTCTCCCGCAGTATTGCTTGTGTCAGTTGATGGGACTTCCTGAGAACAGGCATGGTTGTGGACGATTCAGTGGAACCAAACCTATAAATACCATGTGTTATCTGCGTTCATTTTCAGCCCTGCTCAAAGACAAGTTGGGCTTGGCAATCTTTTCTTAGGCGTCGTGTTATATGGCGCTGGGGACTCCTGACCGTGCTGAGATATCCACGCCCCATCTTGCTCCTTGAGAGCTTTGGGTATGGGAATATGTCAGTCAACTTGGCAACGAATGGGTGATCTCCGACCAAGAATTACACGATGCAACACAAATGGACCTCCGGGGCTACGGAATCACACACAGCCATGTGGAAATGTGTAAATATCGGATATTAATCCGCTCAGGATAATAAAGTTGCGAGGGCAGTGCCGAAACGAGAGTTAGTGCCGATGGGCGTCGACCTGCATGAGCACACGAGGGCCCCCTGCAAGACCATGGACGAGGGGCGCAATCCAGTATTCTACCCGACCTTCTCGATCAAATTCGCCAGTGCCATAGGCCTGTGATTGTGCCTTGCCTGTGCCTGTCGTTCATCGGCTGGTTTGGGGGGCCCAACTCAAAGCCGAACCCCAGAAAACAACCACCACTCGCTGACTGACTCGTATCCGACCGGCCCTCCGCCCTTGTCCCCCGCACTCCAGCCCAGCCCAAGCCCCAGGCCCCATGCTCCAAGCCCGTTGAGGCCCAGAAGCTGGAGTTAGCCTGAGTAGTGCGCGCGGGTGGGTGTGTGTGTGAGAGAGAGAGATGGAAAGGAGATCGACCTCGACCTTGACCTTGACATTACCCGACGACGTCGTGCACCACACCGGCATCTCTCCCTCTCTCTTTGATCCGAATTCTCTTCATCAACCTAACCTAACCCGACTGCTCCATCCATAACCTTTCATCAGAGCGACGCGGCATGGCTGACACGGACGCCGCTGCCGACTACTGAGCTCTGCGGCTCATCTCTTGCACTGCGACGTCTCTGCCCGCTCCCCGGTCGTTGATGGATCTGGCGCGAGCTTGTTCGTGGTTGGACCGCTGCGAATCCTAGTGGGCATACACGCACACATATACATACGTGCATACATACATACATACATACACACTCACTCGCTCACTCACACGCGAGCGTCCACTTGGCCATTCTCACACCGACGTCGACATGATGGAGACAGAAACGAGCCCCGGCCGCATGGAGGTCGAGGGAGAGGCCGATGCCGATGCCGACAAGAGGTCCTTCAGAGACTTCTCCGCCGCGGCCGCTGACGGAGACGAGTCGAGGGAGCACGCCCGTCCCAGGAAGAGAACACGACGGGCCTGTGACAAGTGCTCTTCGTCGAGGACCCGGTGCGATGGTGAAAACCCCTGGTGAGTACAGACAGTCTCGCCCACGGCCACGCTCTACCCCATGGGCAATCCAGCGCGCGTCCCATGGCTCTGCCTGCTATGCCGCGACTGGACCTCACCCGGCTGACCCTGTATGCTTTCCGATATCTCCAGTCGCCGCTGCGAAGGTATGTTAATATCTGCTCTGTCCTGTCACAGCATCCGCTGCTTTCTCTTGTCCTGTTCTCGACTGGCTCTTGACTCAGTCTCTCGTCCCGATCCTTGCTCCTCCTGCACTCCTCCGGCAAAGCCGTCTGCCCTGCCAGCGCTTGGCCGTGGCTGTTCCCTGGGGTTGACCCTTCGTCAGCCTTTCCCGTTCCGTGCCCTGCCCTCCCCACCGTCCCGTCCCGGGCTGCTCGTGGTCAGCGTGTTGATGAAGCTTTGTGTTTGCGCCCGGCGTTGCAGACTACGGCTATACCTGCCGCTACAACCGCGAGATCAAGAAGCGTGGCCGTGCTCCTACCACCTCCTTGGGAAACCATGCGGCTCGCTCGGATTCAACCGGCTCGACCACCCCCAGCGCCAAGGTCAAGCGCCAATCCTTGGGCGCAATATCGCCTTCGCCTCCGGTGGCATCGCCGGATACAAGCCTGCCACCGCTGCACTTTCCCCAGTCTAACGAGCGTTATAGGGACAGCATCAGCCTGTCCTCTGCTCACCCGCAACGTCCCTCCTACGACGATGGCCGCGCCTCCATCTCACACATTGTCATCCAGCCGTCCCCTGCCCCCGTGCAGTCCCCCTCCTACCTGTCGTCGCCCGCCTACAGCAACACCCACACCCAGATACAGCTGTCCTCCCTCCTAGAGCCCAGCGCCGAATCGCCAGTCCTCAAGAAGACCCATGAGAGCCCGCCCCAGATGTCTGCACATGCTGGGCGCACCAGCGACCCAGAGCCCCTGGTGTCCAATGCCAGTGTGGGCTATCCCTCCCCGGCAAATGCTGGCTCACCTCCCCAGCGTGCGCCCAGCAACCGCAGCAGGCAGTCCTTCAGTAACTGCCTGCCACCTCTCCCCCATGGTCGGGAATCTGTCAGCACGTCCAACGGCCGTGAGGGGTCCATCCCGGAGGTTCAGAAGCAGCACAACTCGCTGTACAAGGCGCCCTCGGCCGACTGTCGCTACAGGTGCCTGGACCCTATTCTTCCGTATCTGAGGGACATTATCCCGGCATCGGTGGCTTGTGACCTCCTCGATGTCTACCTCACAGAGCCTGGTAGCTCTCTGTTCCGCTGTGCCTCGCCATATATCCTGACTCGTATATTCCGCAAGAACTCACTACTACACCCCACGCACCCACGACAGACTACCCCGGCCCTGTTGGCGACGATGCTCTGGTGTGCTGCTCAGACGGCCGACATAGTGCTGCTTCACGTGCCGGGATCCCGAGCTAAAATATGCAACGCATTGTATGACCTAGCAACCGCTCTGATATCGGACAGAGATCCGGACCGGTGGCGAAGGATACATGGTAGGTAGCCCTGTGCGGACCAGGCTGAAGTGTGCGAGCTGACAATGATCAGGCGGCTTGCGGGGCGAGAGCGATCAGCCACAGACGGGCTATGAGTACTCGTCAACCCAGCCCCTGCTGACCGCCAAGAACGAGCCCGCCGGGGTCATCGACGATGTGCTAACGTTCATCCTCTTGTCCATCGCGGTCTCCGGGGGCGATTTCAAAAGCGACTGCTTCAAGTGGTGGAGCAAGGCGGTCCGGCTGACCCTCTCGCTGGAACTGAACAGGGAGGATGAGCGTTGTTCGGCCACTGTGTCTCCATGCGCGAACCCTCTGTGCTCTTGTAAACGCGAACAGGAAGCATTCTCCTTGCCCGGTATGGAAGCTAGAGAGGAACGAAGGAGGGTCTTCTGGTTGATTTACTGCCTCGACCGGCATTTGGCGTTGTCATTCAACCGCGTTCTCGACATCCCGGACTCCTACTGTGAGGTCTATGGTGAGTTAACTCCCCCGAGTAACAAGGATCCGGCACGTGATCTAATGAGCGGTAGCTCCTCTGCCAGAGAACATCTGGGAGAACCTGGACACCATAGCACCCAAGGACATTCCGCCGAGGGTAATTGGTGCTTCATCCATCATCACCGGGACAGGCTTCTTCGAATATTTCCTGCCACTAATGAGCATCCTCGGCGACATAATCGAAGTACACCATCGGAGGTTCCACCCTCGCCTAGGCATAGTCGACGACACACACGCCGTGGCCATCATCGGCGACCTCCTCGCGAATTGCGAAGCCAGCATCGACAAGCTGCGGCAGGAGATCGAGATTGTCGAGTACGCCGCGCCAATGCCCACGCCGGGGGCCGGGCCCAGCATCAAGGACCTCATCTCGGGCTACTCCAACCTCCCGCCCCCATCCCAGGGGCCCCCACCGACGACCGTGCCTCAGCCGACGGCAGCAGCCACCCGGGCCAAGGACCGCTCGCGGCTGCAGCTGGTGACGGCCTACTCGACGCACATCCTGCACGTGCTCCACGTGCTCCTCCACGGCAAGTGGGACGCGATATCCATGCTGGACGACGACGACGACTGGATCACGAGCGCGCGGTTCAACAACTGCGCGTCGCACGCCATCGCGGCGTCCCAGGCCGTGAGCCAGATCCTCAAGTTCGACCCGGAGCTGACGTTCATGCCGTACCTGTTCGGCATCTACCTGCTCCACGGGAGCTTCATCCTGCTGCTGTTCGCGGACCGCATGCCGCGGGTGGGGCCGAACCAGAGCGTGGAGCAGGCTTGCGAGACGATCATCAGGGCGCACGAGGTGTGCGTGGTCACGCTGAGCACGGAATTCCAGGTGAGCACCTCCCCGTCAAATCTTGTCGTCCCGCTGGATCCAGTCTATTTTGTTTGGTACAAGGTAGGCTGACACAGGGGCAGAAAAACTTTCGCAAGGTGCTACGGTCGACGCTGTACAGCGTACGTGGGTCGAGCCCCACGGAGTGGGAGGAGCACAAGGCCAGGCGCAGGGCTCTTTCTTTGTATCGCTGGACGAAAGGAGCCAAAGGGCTGGCGCTCTGATACATTCACCTACTGGATCCCACGATCTTGTGTGTACGTCCAAGAGCACATGGTACCTATGGTGTAGATGGATGGGAATATGCTGGAAGAACGTATATAAATATTCTATATCGGGGAGGGGCCACATGGGTTGGGAATATGATACCAGGCACAGGATGTCATTCTCACTATCCGCCTTTTAACCGTGCATTATTACGAGTGAGACCAGGGCAAGAGGAAGGAAAGAGAAAATGAGGAGGAAAAAGGTAAATGTCCACCAAAAAGAAACATACAACACCGGGCATTCGCTGGTCGTCACCGACCCAACTACTACTCCGGCGGTTAGTGGCTTGATTAGGGGAGAGCGGACGGGATCCCATATTTTCCACTACCTGTGGTCGTATGTGTTTGGAATGGTGGGCTTGCAGCTTATGAATGCATCATACTGTGTGAACAGACGATACGGGTGAGCGGAACTGGCAATCAGACAGGCGGCGACTTGGAGACGCGGTGCCTGGTCCGTGCACGCCCACCACCCCGGTCACCTTCTTGGTCGTGTGGAGGAAGCTCTGCAGCTGCAACGTCAAAGCTCCTGTGCCAGTCCAGTGCCACCCACATTGTCGAGCTCCCACTATTATCTGGCGACCTCGCTCTCGATCCTGTCCTACCCAAGGCAATCGTCCTATCCGATTGCGACTCACACGGCATTGCCATCGCCAATTAGACGACCGTCCCACATGGAGTAAACACAAAGAGCCACTGATTCCCTCGCACATCCACAAACCAGGCGCCGGTCCGCGCAAACCGGCAAGATGCTCCTCCCATCATCCCTCACGACCATCACCGCCCTCCTCGCCCTCCCCGCCGCCGTCCGGGCCGTGTTCAGGGATGAGGTCGGCGACGTGGACTTCCACTACGAGCTTCTCGGCCTGCCACAGCGCGAGACCACATTCTTCCACCGGCCGCGGCCCGAAGACAAGGCCAGCCTGCTGTACACCCTCAGCGACGTCGGCGTCCTCGGCGCCGTGAACCCCAGCAGCGGCGGCGTGGTGTGGAGGCAGCTCGTCGGCGGCAACGCGACGCACGGCGGCGGGCACCTCAGGGCCGGCGACGGGGAGAGCTGGGTCGCCGGCGCATACGGCAGCGCGGTGCACGCCTGGGAGGCCGTCAGCGGGCGGAATGTCTGGTGGAGGGAGTTTGCCGGGGAGGTCAAGGACCTCGAGGTCATGGAGGTGACCGAGAAGGGCCGCAAGGACGTCCTGGCGCTTTACAACGAGGACGGGTCCACGACCCTGAGGAGGCTGAACAGCGCCGACGGCAGCGTGGTCTGGGAGTTCAAGGAGACGAGCAAGGACCTGCCCCTGCAGGTCAGTACCAACGTCGAGAAGGTCTTCGTCATCAGCCTGCACGGGAACCTCCTGTCGTACAGCCTCAAGGTCGCCATCCTCGACACCCTGACGGGCAAGCGGCTGGACGAGATCAGCATCGGCACCAAGGGCGACGTCAACGGCGAGGGGGACGTCATGTTCGTCGGCGCCAACTCCGCCGCGCCCATCGTCGCCTGGGCCGACGACTCGCTGACCAAGCTGCGCGTCAACGTCCTGGGCACCCGCAACACCCAGGAGTTCCCGCTCGTCGCCGACACCACGTCCGTGGAGATCCACGCGCCCCACCTGGCGCAGTCGCAGCCGCACTTCCTCGTCCTCAGCCGCACAAAGGTCGGCACCAAGGCCGAGGTCTACCACGTCGACCTCAAGAGCAACGCCATCAAGCGCGCGCACGAGCTGCCCCACCTCGCCGGCCCGGGCGCCGTCTCCACCAGCTCCGACGGCGCCAACGTCTACTTCACCCGCATCACCGAGAACGAGATGACGCTGGTGTCGTCGGGCTCGCACGGCGTCCTGGCCCGCTGGGACGTCAAGACCGGCAACTACAAGGCGGGCGCGGTGCACGCCGTCTCCGAGGTCATCAAGAAGCCGGGCGACGAGTTTGCCGTCCGGTCGGCGGTTGTGACCGATGCGGACGACTGGGTGCTGCTGCAGAACGGCAACCTGGGCTGGTCTCGCCCCGAGGGCCTGAGTGCTGGCGTCGCCGCTGCCTGGGCTGAGATCCCCGAGTCAGAGGACCTGGTCAAGACTCTCGAGGCAGAGGCCCATGATAACCCCTTGTCTGCTTATATCCATCGCGTGACCAGGCATTTCGACGATCTGCAGTACCTGCCGGGTTACCTTTCCTCGATCCCTGAGCGGCTACTTGGCAGTATCATCGGCACCGAGGCTTCGAAGAAGAACACCCTGTCTCGGGACACCTTTGGCTTCAACAAGATCATCGTCCTTGCCACAAGGAGGGGCAGGCTCTATGGTCTCAACGCTGGGGACCATGGGAAGATGATCTGGACACATAGGGCCTTCAACCTCGCACCTGGAGAGACTTGGGACGTCAAGGGTATTGATGTTGATGACACCAAGGGCCTGGTCACCGTCCGCGGCTCAACAGGTGATTATGTCATTGCCAAGACGGACACTGGCAAAATCACCGAGACCACAGAACCTGGGTCCCGACCAGCTGTACTTAGCACCGTGAAGGTTGACACTCCTTCCGGCAAGTTCCTGCTGTCTGTTGGCGCTGATGGCAAGGTTGGTGAGATCCCAGCCGCCTTGGCGCCCAAGCAAACCGTCGTTGTCCATGCTGCCAGTAATGAGCTCAAGGGCTTGAAGTTCGTCGTCGATGGCACGCAAGCTCACGAAGAGACTGTATGGACCTTTTCGGCCCCAGGCTCGCAGCGCATTGTCGATATTGCGACCCGGTCACCACACGACCCTGTCGCGTCGATTGGTCGCGTCCTCGGAGACCGAACAGTCAAATACAAGTATCTGAATCCCAACACGGCAGTCGTCGCCACTGTTGATGACGCTGCTTCGACTCTCACGACATATCTGCTGGACACTGTTTCCGGCCAGATCCTCTATTCTGCAACTCAAGAAGGGGTTGACACTGGCAAGCCCGCGGACTGCGCTATTTCTGAGAACTGGTTCGTCTGCTCCTTTTTCGGCCAGTACGAGCTTCGCGACAACGTCGCGCAGAGCTTGAAGGGCTACCAGCTGGTCGTGTCCGACCTCTACGAGTCCGACCGCGCAAACGACAGGGGCCCACTGGGAGAGTCGGCCAACTTCTCGTCGCTCAAGCCCATCGATAACCCCACCGGCCCCGCGGTGCCGTCCGTCGTCTCGCAGACCTTCATCGTCGCCGCCCCTCTCGAGGCGCTGACCGTCACGGAGACGAGGCAGGGCATCGCCACCCGCCAGCTGCTGGCCTACCTGCCCGAGACGCACGGCATCTACGGCATCCCCCGCCACGTCCTGGAGCCCCGGCGCGTCGTGGGCCGCGACCCGACGCCCGTCGAGGCCGAGGAGGGCCTCATGAAGTACCACCCGGCCATCGAGGTCGACCCGAAATTCGTCGTCACGCACGAGCGCGACGTCCTCGGCGTCCGCCGCATCGTCGCCGCCCCCGCCGTCGTGGAGAGCACCAGCCTCGTGCTCGCGTACGGCGTCGACGTCTTCGGCACGCGCGTCGCTCCCAGCTTCGTCTTTGACATCCTCGGCAGGGGGTTCAACAAGGTCTCCCTGCTCGGCACGGTGGTGGCGCTGACGGGTGGCGTCGTGGTGCTGGGTCCGATTGTGAGTTTTCTTACCAACCCAACCCACCTTAGCTCGTGCAACGTTGCGAGATATTTTTGCTGACACGAGTACACACAGGTCCGGAGAAAGCAGATCAACATGCGTTGGAAGCCGACGCAATGAGTTTAGATTATAGAGGCGGCTGGCGCACTGTAGAGATTTCACAGGCTGTTTAACAAATTTTTAGCATACCATGAATGAACAAGCAATGTTTTTTTTTTTTTTTAAGATTACATGGAACGTCTATGATCCCCACGCGCATATTATCCTCAGTCTACGGACGTCGAAGGTGACCCTGCCCTCCGCAGAGACCTTCCCCTTGCTCTCACACTCGTGCCGCCGCCCGCTGATGGAGGCCCGCTTGTCTCTTCGGTGTCACTATCAGTATCCCCGTCACCTCCATTCTTCCCACCTCTCCTGCGACCAAAGACAACCTTCCCGCCCGCAGCCACACCCTTCTTCCCCTTGGACGTCCGAGACACGCCGCCGGCGCCGTTGCTGTTGCCAGCCGAGCCGGAACCGTTGCGCTCCTTGGTGAACTTGACCCTCGGCGCCCTCTTCCTCCTCGTCTCCTCCCTCGACCCCCTACCCCTCTCTTCCCCCGTCGAGTACCCGTCCCGGCCTTGGAGCACCATCTCGTCCACCCGCCGGCTCAGCGCGTCGAGCGCGCCCTTCCACCCATCACCACCACCAGACTCACCAGCAATGTCCTCCCGCCCCCTCTCACGCCGCCGCCTCTCGACCTCCCCGTCCAGCAGTACCGCCAGGACGTCCCGAGCGTCTAGCCCCGCGCTGCCACCGCCCCCGCGGTCCCTGTCCCGGTCCCGGTCCCGGTCCCTCTCCACGAGCCCCATCATCATCGCCTCGCGCCGGTGGCTCGCGTCGGCGTCGGCCATCTGCCGCTCGGAGTCGCGCCGCCTCTCCCGATCAACGAGCCTCAGGATGCCGTCACCATCATTATCATCGTCGCGCCGCCGGCGGTGGCGGCCGTGGCTGCGGCTGTGCCCGTGCCTCCTACTCCTGCCATTGTCATCGTTCAGGTGGTAGTGCGTGTGCGGCTGCTGCACGTCATAAGGATCGGTGGCGGCTACGGGCAGCACGGCTGCGGTGGGTAGAGTCTGGGCCGCCTGGACCGGGGCCGTGCCGCCCTCCTCGACCTCCTCGATGGTCCCGCCCGGGTCGAGGGCGTCCGGGCCGCTGGTGGTATTACCATTGGGCCCGCCGTAGCGCCAGGGAGAGTTGCGCGAGCCGTCCGGGCCGTAGGCCCAGCTAGGGACGTTGCCGGTGCGCTGTGGTGGGTTTGTTCATCCGTCAGCATGGGCTTGACAAGCGAGAACGGAACGGAAGGAGAGAGGGACAGTGAGTAACAATTGGAAACAGCAAGGGGGATTGAGCAGAGACGGCCAGTTGTAACGCACCCCGGGACCCCAGTACTCATCCTCGTGGTGCACCGTCGGCGTCGTCCCCACGCCGCAGCCGTCGTCACAGCAGTCAGCGCCATCATCGCACCGCCGCCACCGCTGCCGCTCGGGCGGGTCCCCGATCAGCCACCGTCCGAACCGCGGGAGTATGCACCGCCGCGGCGACCGGGCGCGGCGGTGGCGTTGATGATGGTGATGCCCATGCCCGTGGCCGTTGCCACACCCCCTTCGCACCCGCTCGCCGCCCTGGTAGTGGAACCGGCGGTAGCCATACCGGCGCGGGTGCTGCTGCTGCTGGACCTGTGTCTGCAGCTGCGGGAGCACTGTCGCCGCGCTGACGAGCCCCGGTCCTGGTACGAGGCCCCCTACTAATCCTCCTACTACTCCTCCTACTCCCCCCGGAGCCCAGGGTGAGTACCCCGGGTATGTAATCACGCCTCGCGGCCAGCGCCACCGCCTCCTTGCACGGTGGGGGTGGGGGATGCGGTAGTAGGTGCTGTCGTCGCTGTCGGAGGAGGACGAAGAGGCAGAGTACGCAGAGTCTGTGTCAGAGTCCGAGTGGTAGTGATGGCGGTGCCTGCGCCGTCCGGGTGGACTGAAGACCACAGCGCTGCACGTGTTTGGTGATGAGAGTTCCATGCGACGATTTTTCGATGACGTTGTGGGCAATCAAGGGTACTGTCGTAATATCTGCCAGCTTAGGCTTCCATGCGCTGTATGGCTTGATCGTCAAGGGACTCGCGGACGTGTGCTCGACTTGGAGCGCGTATGCCTCGCCGCGTCCGCAGTGGAAGACGCTGGAGCAAGCCCGGCGTGATATTCGACTCATCGATGCATGGAACCAAGCCGCTCAGCCATCTGACGTGGACACATCGAGAAAAGTCCTGCAGTTGACAAACCCGTCACCATCTAGCCGGGCGTGTTGATTGTGTGGAGCGGAAAGCGCCCATCCCCAACCTCCATTGTTTCCGCCAGGCCTGCCGACCTCTTCGCCCTGGCTCAAAGAGAGGTAAGTACTTCCAATAATTCTATGTGCGGTACGTGGATAGAGCGGTGTGTCCTTGTTTGCTTGTCCCATCTCGGCGAGTGCGAGCCTTCGGCCTGGACGAGTCGATCTTCCCGCCTCTTCATCTGATTCTGCCTCAGCAGCGAGCAAGGCAAGCACACTTTTCTCTTTGCTTCGTTGTTCCCATGAAGCACTAGGCCGAGTATCAAGTCAGGCCTGGCTGTCCAAAGACAGCGTAGCAGCAAGACTTCGCCGTCTGTGCTGCCTGGGCTGTCCGAGAACCTGTGCTGTCCGAAGAAATGTTCCTAACCCATCCCATGTGGCCTCAAGCTCAATCCGATGGGATGTTGGTGGGCCTATTTATATGTGCGTGTGCATCTGACCTCCACTCCAGGCCGTCGCAGCCGACAAGGCTCCTCCGGGCGTACGAGACATCTGCCGATAGGACGAGGGGTAACAAAGACGGATGGAGGTGGTACACGCTGAGGCCGGGCAAACATTCCGGCTCAGACTATTATCTGAGGCAACGATGGGGTGCGATATGACGTGTCAGCGCGAGGAAGCGAGTCAAGAGAGGCGGCAATGCTCGTCATCTTGCTTCTGCTTCAGCCCTATTCTAGAGTTCTGGAAGCCATTTCGAACCCAAATACCACTCGGCCGGTTCAGCCAAACGCAACGGTGCAGACATCGCATCCCACTCGAGTCGCATCACCCACGTATGGCATCTCTCACCAACGGTGTTCACCCTTGTTTCCAAGTCACCACTACTAATAAAGAGGGCCATGGCACACTGAAAGCTCGCTGTAAAGGGATAGGGGCCTGGGCCACTTTCATCTCGTCGCCTCTTCGGCACTCAATGCACTTGCAAAATCCACGCGGTCTCTATCGCTCGCGGTCAAGGCTTTTGTCATCAAAGCTGTGATGAAAATAAGGCTGTGGTGTGATTTGCACGGTGCTGTTCACATACATGAAAGAACCATAATGAACCGCGATGCTGAAACTTCAACTTGAAGCTGTTTCTAAACCCTTTAGACACGCGTTTGGCGCGACGGATACCCACCTCCGGCGGTTGGTGTTGTCAAGCCGTCCCATGTCACCTCAAGCGCAGCCCAAAGAAACTTCCGGACCAACACTGGCCTGTGACCCGGGAGGCTTAGCTTCCTCAGAGGGGACCCTATAGGTTGCTAGATAAACCTCGAGCTTCGACCGATGTGGACGTGGCCCGGGCTTGCGGGCTGCCTGTGGCTGGTGGAGATTGCTCGGGGAGTTGAGCTCCTCGGCGCAACATGTGCTGTGCGCCGCCGTGTTATAACTCGGAAATAAGTGGTAAGAGAGGCCACTCACGCGGCCCGATCATTCGCATTCCACAGGCAACAGATCCAAGGGGCCAGGACAGATGAGGAAGGTTTCGCTAAGGGTTGCTGTAGAAAGAGAGAGAAATGTGATATGAATGACGCACAACGTCCCTTGTAATGTTCGCGGCGTGTTTCTGTTGCGGTAGGGTTTGTGGGATTGTAGATATAACTCGAGGTGCACCCAGCTCCTATAATAAGAGATAATCAAGACGTCAAAGCATAAACTTCGTCACACACAACCTCGCTGAGGTTTCAAGCCTCGATGGAATGGTCTGGACCACGGCGTGGAGTTGCTTGCAGTAGTGTCCTGCAGACGGAGCATACTGTTGTATCCAGCCCATTGGGCTGGTGCTCGGACTTGACAAGGTGAGGAGGGTGTTAGTATGCGGAGCCTGACGAAGTCAAATCAAGAAGCAGGGCGAATCGACTGGGTGCCCTGTTCGGTCCGGCATAGTCGCGGCGTGAGAGTAGGCTTGGTCACATTGCTCGGCTCGATGTCTGCCGGGTGAGGAAAAGAGTGGTTGCAATTGCTCGCAGGGGCCAGTGACACATGGTTTTGCAGGGAAGCCGATCGACTGCCACCCCCGTCACCGGTCCAAGGTGCTGAGGTCTGATGATGAAGGGGAGGCCTTGATTGAGCATAAGACCCCTCGGATGCCTGATCGGCATTGGAGGTCGTCATAGGGAAGACCCCTGGCTGGCCTTGTCTGCAGCCACGGCCCTACCGTTAGATGGGCAATCCGTGTTTGGAGCTATTCCGGCTGTCAAAACTTCCATGGCGACCCAATGTGAACGAGTGCCAAGGTATTGACCTCGGACGGTCGTCAAACGCGACTTGCAGAGGTTCCTGGCAGCCCATTTGCTCTGGGTCTGGAGCTGGGAGAGAGGTGTAGCACGAGACACCACGAGCGGTGTTTCGAAAAGCCCGAGGAAATGACCGAATGGCGAGGGGTCGTTTCATCAAGCTGCGTGTGTGTCCGGGACTCGAAGAGGTGCCAGGCTACCGAACGGGCAAGACCATTGGGTGGTGAGGGCAGGGTGCGTGGCATGTTCTACACTGTACCTGCGGATGGTCAGAATGACGGCCATGCTGCCAGGATGGGACTGACGATCTGATATATATGTGGCTGCATGGTTTTGGCAGATGTGTGGTGGACAGTACCGAACTGGCGGGTTCCGGATCGGCTAAGCACATTAGGTGGAAGCCATCCACAGCCATTGATCAACCTTGCCGAAACTGGCCTTCGGCGTGGTTCCAAGAGTAGTGGCTGCACTGTGGGATGATGCTCTCGATGTAGTTATAAGACGTGGTTGGCCGACCAATTCTCGGGCGGTTTCGCATATGTGAATACTGTCGGACAAAGGCCCAGCCCTTTCGAGGTTGGGAGGGAGCCGTTCAACCGGCGGCGGCGCCAGCTGCCGGAGTTCCTCCGCGGACTACTCTCCGTGGACTACATACGCCACGAGGTACCTGGCTCAATGGTCTTGGCTGGCCATGGGTCGGTATACGGCGAAGACGCCCTGCTCACCTCACCTGCTCACCGTGGTGTCGTGCGACGGCGCACGAGTCCAGGCAGAAGCGAGGTTGTCGGCGCTAGGGACTTACGCCGAGGCTCGCGTGTGCAGACTCCAACTCCAAGGCCTGGGGGGGGGGGTTTGCTTTTGGCCAAGTCAACTTGGAGGACTGACGGTCTGAAGTGTCTACTGCGTCGACACACGAGGAGTCGAGAAGAGACAGGCCAAAACGGGCTGGGTACCTCAGGCAGTTACGTGTGTCTGTGCGGTTATCTCTGATGTTTTCAGATCCGGAACATGTACCCAGATTAACTGGTCTGTGCTCTGTTCTCTGTGCCCCGTGCTCTGTGCTCTGGGTATTTTGGACTTACCGGAACATCAGCCGAGCTGAGCTTGGGGCACAGGCCACGCACTTGAGAGACAAGCTCGACGCTACTCTGCACATAGGCCCACATCCAACTCCCGCCACTTTCGCCCTGCGACAGGACGACAGGGCTACGAGGCGACAGGGCGACAGAGGCCCCCGCATGCCCTGCAGGCGCAGGTCTTGAACCTCGTAAGGGGTGGGCCGCTATTGAGGTAGCGATGGTCATTTACGAGCATTTACTGTATGTTTAGCGAATGCACAGTTAAAGCCCATCTGTCAGAATGGAACTTGTCGAATACCTCCATAGATACTGCTCGGTAGGCTAGTGGTACGTGCATTGAAATCTGAAGTCCCTTGGGTGGGTTACTCCGTGCTGTGCCTAGGCTAACCATGGCCTTGTGCAGCGGCCCCATACCTGACATTCCCGCGCCTGCGGGACAAGTCGCCGGATCCACTTTTCGCATTTAGCCATTCATTCTCTGGTCCGTTTGTCGCATTCATCCATCCTGCCCACCCGGGACCATCATGGGCAAGGACGGTGCCTCGATCATCTGTCAGACAGAAAAGTAGAGAAAGATAAGTGCAAAAGGAAAAGGAAAATCAGAATCAGGTGGAAAGGACAGCCCCAACAAAGGGGATGATGCTGCGATGCGATGCATGGAAGGCAGGCATGCATTGTGCCTCGGTGAGATGTGAGATGAAGGTGTCTCTGATGGTGTGCTGCTTTTGCCCGCCATGCCCCCCTTGTGCAACTCGCCTATAGAACGGCGCAATCAGAGCAAGATACACTACACACTTCGTGTCTCACCGGTCCCCTCCTCGACCAGACTTGCCAGCACCGCCAGTCCGCTTGACCGGCGAATCACCACAGGGCCGCGAAAGCTTATCCCCGCCCTGTTATGGATCAACCTCTCTCAACACACCTACAGCTATTCTTCTCTGTCTCGCCCTCATCCTCCTCTCTGCTGCGCCTGCTCGCTCTACTAGAGTGCATACTTGCATGGCACAGGGCTCCCGACAGCGAGAATCTCGGGCGGATGCGGGACAAACGGAAGTGCTCGCGGTCTCGCGGCTCGCGTCAAGCCGGATTTCGTCGGTTGTGCAGCGCACACACATCGAGGCAGGTTCTACCTGGATAACCGCGTTGGACCTGTCGAATCGCATCCAGCCCCAGCATCGACAACGGACAGACAGTGATAGCCGTATTGCAGGCCTAGAGCTGGCAGGCCGTTATTAACTTGTTGTCACCGAAGGGCTGAGAAATTGCCGACCACTGCAAGGGGTGCCTTGCAGTGTTTGGGGCCCAATCTCAATCTCAACGTGGGCGTGATTTGCCCTGTTTCGAGTCCTGATGGGGCAAGGCGCCATCGGGCTCCCATCTGAGACAGGGCAGGGCCTCACCCCCCGAGTCTGAGCCAGCCCCATTCATCACAACCCCAATACTGTTTGTAGTTACGCAAGTAGGTATGTAGGAAAGCTTGATTGACGCGTGGATCGTCTAGTTCCTGTTGCACTTAATAATTTGTTGAGCTCATTCCAGGGGGGCAGTAGGGTCTGTCTGTCTGTCTGTCTGTCTGTCTCTGTCTCTGTCTGTCGGGACTGGATATGACGAGCATCGCCTGAATGGGCTGCTTCCTGTGGGTGGGCGGGAGACAAAACGGCCGAACTACTGCAGCATTGGGGAAGAGCTAGCTTCCTAGCTGCTTCCTTCCTCTGCAAGTGCACGGCAGTGGGTAAAGTGCAGCCCAGAGACAAGGCCGGGCCCCCATCCCCCCTGCTCCTGCCAGTAGTGTGTCAGGGACTGATAAGGCCTCTTGATTGGCCCGATAGCAGGTCGCATGGCTCTCGATCAATGATACCCACTTTCGAGTCCCAAGTCGAAACATGACACCTCAACCTCTATGTCCACTGCGCCTGTGCAATAGTGGTGACAAAAGTTTCCCGAGATGTTTTAGGGTCGGCTATCTGTGATCCTTCTGGGGCGGGCAGGGAAGAGGATATGCACGGACTAGACAGGCAATGCAGGCAGGACAGGACAGGACAGGGCGGGGAGCGTTGAGCAGAAGGCGTCTTGTCACATGCTGCTGCCGGCGGGCCTGGCTGGCCTGGCTGGCGGTGGGAAAGCTTGATGGCCTCCGGACGCTTACCTAACGGACGTCGACGGTCTGGACCTGGGCATGCGACCGGAACGTGATTGGGCCGGCGGCTCATCAGGGCCCCACATCGTGCGAAGGGCCTGCGCTAGCGCAATACGCTAGACATGCAAGAGCTGTCAATCGTGCCTGTCCTGTCCTGTCCGGCCTGCAACAGCCTGCAACCCGTCCAGCCTGCATTGTGTTGGTCTCTATCGGACTGCTGGGTATAGGGAGGGAGGGAGCAACTCACAGCAGGTACTGCAGCACGCAGCAAAACCCCACGCGCACGCCTTCCCTGGTGTGTGGCTCGTCTGCTCTTTCGTCAGAGTCCCGTCAGAGTCCACAACAGTACAGTACTTCAGAATCATCAACATCATCATCACTTTGCCAACAGTTTTGATCCAGTTGGCCCAACCCTTGATAACAACTTGAAGCTAGCAGGCCTTCACCTGCACATTCCACCAGCAGCGATGAGCAGCGAGTCCGGCATGGAGAAGCAGTGTACATATCAGTCCCCTGCATTCTGTCTCGTCCCAGTCATGGTCAGCGACAGCACGCTGCAGAATGCACTTCACCAGCAGCAGGCTCCCTGGATCAAGTACGAGCGATAACCGTCAACCGTCGACCATCAACGGCTGTCACTCTCTCACTCGCTGGCTGGCCGGCTGGCCAATCCCTCCAGCCGATCCTGATTGACAGCGTCGCGTCACACAGCCGGGAACACCAGCCCAAATTCAGACCAAGAGGCAAGAGCCCGGCTGGGTGGCCGCTACTGAGACAGGCATCCTGGCGACATCAAACAACGTTTCCCCCCTGACCTTGATGGCCACCAACCTCTACAGTACTCAACTTGACTTGCGCTCAAATCGATACCACAGCACAGTAATCCAAACATCCCGACCCGAGTCGGGCCTGCTCGGCCACCCAGTGACGAGCTCCCACTCCCCAGCTTGAGACAGCTCCCGCCCGTCCGCAGGCGATAGCGTAGGGCCAGGACGGAAAGCCTTCCCCGGCTTATTAGCCCTCGTCACCTGGCGGGGCTAGCACGCAGCCAGTCAGAGGCGCCGATTGCCTCGATTGTCTCGATTGCCCAAGCCCCATGCCCATGCACATGCGCTCATGGCTGCTGCCATTCGAGAGAGACTGACACTTTGCCTCTCTCTCTGATTTATCATCGCGCCCCGGTGGCTCGGCTCGGCCTTGTTCATTCAGTCGTATCAGCCCGCCCGTTCGTTCCGCAGCCAAGACCCGGGCAAGCCTGGTCCAGTGCTGTCGGGGCCTCGCATGTGGTGAGTGTATGCGCGCATGCGTGTGTGCGTGCGTGTGTGGGGGGAAGGGGGACTGGGGATTGGGAAGTACTTTGGTGTGGTACGGGTTTGGTTGGTGCGATGTAGAGGTGGACGCAACCGGGGTGGAAGGTACTGCAGGTAGGTGGTCTAGGTACCGGACCGTGTATCGTATGTCTTTTGGCCTACCCTCCCTCGCCTATCCAAGGTAATAAAGGTCACTAGGCAGGTCGGAATGGGCAGCACGGGACTGGGCATTGGCACTGGCACTGGCACTGGCACTGGCACTGGCACTGGCACTGGTTCTCAGTGCCGAACCGAGCAGGAGTCGCCCAGCACTAGTAGGCATCGCGTTGCTCCTGGGCTTGGCCAAACGTCCAAAAGTTGACACCCAGCATCGCGGTGCTCGGCATGGTTAGTTCTGGTCTCCTTGGTCTCTGAGACGGAATGGGAGGGCGGCAAGGCTTTTCCTTGGAGGCCCTCGACTCGACCAACCATCCACCCCACTAACCCCGGCCCATCTAATTAGGGATTACCTAGTACTCCGTATACTATCTACCGCTACATGTGTCCAGTGGGTGGGCTCCCGCTGCGATAGACAGTCCTTCTTCCTGTGGCATTCGACCCTGCAGGGCCATCTTGCAGCAAGTCGAGGCTTGCGCTCACCTCAACCCTGTTTCTTCTCGTGCTGCTGGGGTTGTGACAGAAGGAAGGAAAAAGACATTCTGCCAAGCCATCGACATATGTACGTACCGAGCACAATACAGTATCCATGTACATACCTAGGTACACTACCAGCGCATGATATTATTAGGTACCTCCAGGTCTAGGCAGCCTGTGCTGTAGGAAGGCGGTAGGTGGCAGCCGGCAGCCGGTAGCTGGAAGTAGTAAGAAAGTGACCGATTGCAGCGAGGAGCTAGTTGCAGCAGGTACAGTACCTGCCCACCTACCTACCTACCTGGCGAACCCCCCGCGCTCACCCCCAGGTCCAGGTCCCAAGTGCTCCAGTCCAGTCCAGGTCCAGGTCCAGTCTAAGTCGCAGTCCAAGTCCCAGTTCCCAGTCCGTCGAGGTCCAAGTCCGTCTCCCTCCTCATCCCGCTCCTCCTCCCTCCCTCCCTCCACACACCATCCTCGCCCACATGCTGCAGTGTACTGTACACTCACACGTCCGCACTCACACGCTCACACTCGACACGCCCCAGTCTGCGGCAACCCCCAATCCCATCCCATCCCATCCCACCAGATTCCTGTGTTCCTCCTCCATCGAACACCACCCACCCCCCCCTTTCGAGGCTCAACTCAAACACCACATTCTTTTTCCTCCCGCTCCCTGAATTTCCTACCCACCTCGACAGATTTGCATTTGTTCCCGACACTCAGCCAGTCTGCCAGTCAGTCAGTCAGTCAGTCTCTCTCTCTCTCTCTCTCCAACCTCTCCAGTCTCTCCCAGCCAAAACCTTTCCCTCACGCTGGCATCCTTTTTCGCTGTCTTCCCTTTTCCATTCCTCCGCGCGCCCGCCCGCCTCGCCTTTGTCCCCACCACTTCCGACAGCAGCGCAGCGCAGCGCCCACCGACCCAGACCCAACCCAACCAACCCCATTGTGTTTCTCACCCTCGCGACCGCGTCTTGGCCAAACCGGCGACCCAACCTCCCGGACAATCCCATCTCATCCTCCCGCCCCCTCCTTGTTGTAACCTCGACTCGGCCACTGCCAGCAAGCACTTGACCACTACCAAACATTTCATTCCCACGGCATCGCGACCTTCACGACTACCGTAGCTTCAAGCCCAGGCACCGCGACCTGCTCCACATTTTGACATCTAGCCAGTCTGATTCGATCAGCGCGATCGTCGCCCTCCGTCGTCGCCTCCCATAGGGTCCCGTAGGGCTGTGCTGCATGCATCGCGACTCATGAACGGGGATCCAAGCACTACCGCCGCCTCTTCTGGCGCGTCCCTTACTGGCCTGCAATCGCAATCGCACTCACTTACCCAGCCGCCGCGGTCGCAGTCGCAGTCGCAGTCGCAGTCGCAACCGCCATCAACGTCGTCATACCCGTCCTCTTCCCTCCCCCTGACCACCTCGAGTCGCACCAGTCCCTTCGCGCCCACCACCCTTGCGCCAACAACCCTCTCCACAACCTACACGAGCTCGAACGTGATCGCGCCTCCGGCCTCATCATCCATGGCAGCCGTCTACTACCAACCGCATCAGCCCATCGGCCCACCCCTCTCGGCAGCGACACCATCGCATCCATCGTCATTCGCGCAATCCTTCGAGAGGGATGCGCCAAACCCCATCGGAACCCGTCAGCCCGCCGTTGACCATGCCGTCCTCGTCCAACGATTGCCTCCTGAGACCACCGAGCAGAACCTGCGGGTCATGTGCATATTCTCCGACGAACTGCTGGACGTCAACATGCTTGGCGTGACAGCAGAGCCCGATGGCGACTACTGCTCCGCTGTCCTCCGGTTCAAGTCCTTCGACGGCGCCCAAGAGGCACAGACTATACTGAACGGGAAGAAGGGAATGCGTGTCGACCACCTCGGCCTCAGAGGACCTGTTACTGGTGACAGGAACAAGTCCGGTCCATCCAGCGGGGCATCTTCGACAACCTCTCCCGGGACCGCCGCGACACAGCCGCCACGTTTCGATGGCACGTTCTCGCCGCTTGAGAAGACCTCGCCCTCGATCAACGGCAACTACGTCACCAGCGACTTCCCCGGTGCGAAGCCCAATTACAATTACAAGAACTTCTTCTCGCCACAGTCGCCCATCGGAAATCATCTTAGCGAGCAGCCTCGCAACACTGGCAAGAGCCTGATCAATGATGCCACCGACGACGACGACGACACCGGAGACATCCTCCAACTTCCTCGCGCTTTCGGAGAGAACGGTTCTGTGCCAGCCCAGCGCCGAGCGACTGCCCCCCAGATCCCCATAATGGAGAGAATGGGGTCCCTGTCCCTCAACACAGGCCCGCCGAATGGAGCGCCCGCGTCTCAGCGCGGGCATGGACAGCCCAGCACGTATCAGCCGCACTCGGCCCACCCGAACACCATGTCCCCTACAGCTTTGAACGGTACCAACGGGCATTATCAGACGGGCCCGGTACAATGGCGCACGCACGTTCCGCCTCCTGCGAACCCTGCCGACATGAACCCCCCTTGCAACACCCTCTACGTTGGCAACCTGCCCATGGGCAGCTCAGAGGACGAGCTTAAGGGCATATTTTCCAGGCAGCGCGGTTACAAGCGATTGTGTTTCCCGGGCAAAGGCGAACGGACCCATGTGCTTTGTCGAGTTCGACGACATTTCCTGCGCCACAAGGGCACTCCATGACCTGTATGGGTATCCGCTCACCACCAGTGTGAAGGGTGGCATCCGACTGAGCTTTTCAAAAAATCCTCTTGGTGTCCGAACCCCTCAGCCCCCTGGGCAGGGCCCATCGGGACCTCTAGCCGGGCCCAACGGGCTCATGAATCACTCGACGAACGGGTTTGCATCCGCCGGGCCTCCTCCTGGACTCGCCGCGCCACCAGGCCTCAACGGGAGCCGTACGACCGGGCCGTACCCTGCTTCTGCCGTGCAGAATAGTTCGAATCCGAGCTCATCTTATCCGCCTTCGACCATGCCTAATGGGTCGAGCGCGTTCGGCAACAGTGGCGGTGCACCTAGCTACGGAGGGAATGCGTGGGGCTCTAACAGCTACTTTACCTCTGCGCCGATTGCTGCGCCCAACGGCATCACCTCTCCTCCACCGATGGCTGGGGCCCCCAACGGATCTGCCGGCTTCAACACGTACAGACGGGGCCAATTCTAGTGGCCATGGACCCAGGCCATGCGCTAATTTCTGGTCACCTACTTGCTCATCTCGTCCTGTCTTCTTGAGGTTTTCACATTATATCTGTTGTCTTTGAACGTATGTTGGTTTTTGTTTGCGGCTTTGCATTGGCACGGGCTGCACTTTATTGGATTGCGCATTCACCGCCGCGCCGTCCCGTTGACGCACGTCTTCTCACAACACATCACATGATTCCCCCCCTGCAATTTAGCAAGCACAACATGGAAGGAGTTAACAGGGTTTCTTTTTCTCTACATGTTACTCAGGACGAGTGCTGTGGGTCTGACTTCAGATTACACGGACATGATGAACGACTAGAAGGGGTCCCTGGCTCCTGGGCTTTCATCAAGACACTCGGTATTGGGCGGTCAGGCGCATTTGGAGAAAGGGGAGCCGACTACGACACCATCACCCAGCAGCGTGTACCGGCGCCATCTACAGCATGGACAGAGTCACGTTGTGCCTTCGGAGACGATGCATTTTCATAGAGCAGGGTATGGAGTTTTGCTTCGGGTTTCGCATTCTGGGATGGTTTGGTGCACAACACCGTACGCGTGCGCACACGCACACGCGCTTCCGTACACATGTACGCAGCTGCGGCTTCGATTCGAATCTTTGAGGCACGGCGAGTACCGCAGATCGGCAACGAGACACTGTCGGTGCGGGAGACGACATGACGGGGAAACCTGCACGATAAAAGGAAGCGAAAAGCATTCTAAATACTATGGCATCATCATCATTCGTTCATTTATCAAAAGCAAGGAAAAGAGTCGTGGGAGGTTGGGTCTCAACTCATCATAATCTCTCAGGAAACGTCTCATCACATTGCTCGGCGCGGGGGGGAAAACGCATCTTGCAACTCAGCAACTACTACACATCTATCTTGGCGCCACCATCCGCAAAGTCCAGGCCTCGCATGGCCGGGGCCATACCACCGCGGATTATTCCAACTTTTCATTATACCCCGTTTCCCTTTCGATTCTTTCCGACTGGTTTGAAAGCCCTCCAGACGGGGCCTTCGGTTGCGTCGGTAGCCGACTTTGTGCACAACCAACTGTACACGCATTTCCCAGGCGCTATAATACAACGACGACTTGGTTCGGGAGCGATGCCGCTGCAGACCTTTGCAGAAGTGAGGCAGGACCCGGTGGAAGTGTTGGCAACGAGGGCCACCGAAGGTCCGTCTGGGTGACGAGAAAAGCAGCGAGAGCGAATTGTCGGATCTTATTTCCTATCCCTATTACTTTTTTTCTTCCCCTTTCATGGTGCGGACTTCTCTTTTCCATCATTCAGATTACCGGACAAATCACCACATACCCCCTCCTTGGAAGAAAGAGCGTCTGGGATCACGTGTAGCGAAAAGGGCGTTTTTCTCTTTTTTTTTAAAACCCATCTTTCATCAAAGACGGGTCGGGAGCATTGGGGCTGCTTCAGACGGTGGAGCCTTGCCAGCGCAGGATGTCAACATGGGGAGGGTTGGTCTTTTGAGTGTTAGCTTGGGTGTTCTTCATGTAATTTGGTCGAGCGAGGAGGATGAGCGCGATCTTGGACACTGGGACGGGAGAGCAAGGGCAGGAGGGTTGGACATGAAGCGTCCCCACGCCAACCCCATCGTTTTCGAACGCCCGCTCGCCTGTCAGCCTTCAGAAGCCAACCAACCAGCCAGCTCGGCTTTTAATCTCGTGTCTCTCTTCACACACCGATCCCAAGTTCTGGTACGAAAATTATAGCTTTTATCACTTTCTATAGACGGGGCGGGAGGGCTATGTTTTCCTCTTTATTCTGCTTCTTTACTGTTCGTCCTGAGCGCGAGTAAAGAATCGAATCGAATGTTACGTTGGTTCTGTTCACACACGCGCGCGAGATTGCCTCGTGATGTCTATCGCTGTGCTTGCGTGAAGCTTGGGCCCGGCCTGTGAGCTTTCTCGAGCTCCATCTCGAATGCCAAACGTTCGATGTCGTCGCTCAGATGCCGCCATCGTGATCCTTGCCGCCTACAACCTACCTACCTTGGGCCAGTACGGGTCCTCTCACCGGGCAAGAACCAGATCATGGTTCTCGTCTTGGCCCGGCTGCTCGCCCTTGACTATCTGGACAGTCACGACGATGTTTCGGTGGTCTCGATACACGCGGTATGAGTGAAGGTGGCGGGTAGTGAGGCGAATTTCGACGGAGGAGCCCCCAGCGTCGGATTATACATGAGTGGAGGAGCTAGGGTCACGGCCAAATAGAGCAGAAGGTCTGCACGACGGCGACGAGATTTCGTGAATTTTCGACATCCTTGTGGGTCCGTGATCGTTCCAGGCTACGCGTCTGTCACTCGTTGAATCCAAAGGATGTCATGAAGTCGGTCGGGGTGGAGGATGGAACTCTGGTCACTGCGGCACAGGAAGTGCCTGTGTATAGCAGAAGACAGTACCCATGTTGAATTATTTTTTTTATCGTCCTGCCTAAGTGCAGGTGTTGCTATGTGGGACAGTTTGGCAACATGGTTGATACATCATCACTGCATGCTTCCCATCCAAGTAGGTTTAATCAAGAACAGCAACCTGTCGGCCAGTGCCCACCAGCTAGCGGCTGCCGTCATCCCCCACCCCATCCCGCATCACACCGTAGCAGGCTCGCCGTATTAGTCCCCAAGAGGAAGGAGGTCGTGGTCGTACAAAATGCATAGGCTGGGCGGGCCCGGCAGTCCCCTGCCCTCTGTGCCGCGGCAGCAGTCGTGGGAAGAACCAGTCCAACCCGCAGGCCAGATCAGGCGTGGACGTGTCCCGGTCCGCCGTGCTGGGACCTGTCACGTCCCCTTTCTGTCCCGGGCTCGACGGCGGCGGCAGCAGCAGCAAAGAACGACCAAGCCCACCCGGCGACACACGTGCATCAGTTTATTTCTCCTGCGTGTGTGTCTCGCTTCTCTCTCTCTCTCTCTCTCTCTCTCTGTCTGTCTGTCTGTCTGTCTGTGTCAGTCTCTCATTCTGTCCTTCCCTCCTTCCTTCCTTCCTCTTCCTCCCATGTCTCCACCTCGGCTGTAACCCCGACAGGGCACACAGACACCACCGGCGAACGCCCTTGGCGACGCACGCAGCCGGCAGGAAGGAGCAAGAGGGCAGGCGGGCCTGCAGGCCTGATGGGTTCGTCCCAGGCGGTATGTGGGTCCTTCCTTCCTTCTCCCACGTGGGTGGGCCGCCCGCGGAAGGGGCGGCATGCGGGTCCCCCTTGCCTCTTATTATCCCCTGCTGCTTACTGCCAAGCGGATTTATGTGGGATTACACAACAAACCTCCTGCAGCATGAGCCGAGTTGAAAAGGTGACAAATCCAACAGCATCATCGTCACCCTCCTGTGCGACGTCCGCAGGGCCTCGCTGCACAGATACTTGTCGCAGGGTTGCGTTTCCGGGCCATGCCGCTTCATCCTCAATGGGCGGCCGCCGAGCGAAGGGGGCACGCAAAGAGCGACGGTCGCCGGACCTCACAGCACACGATACTATTTTGTCCCCCTTGTTCCTGGCTCGGGAATAAGGCAGCGCTTGCATCGGTGAAGGGTTGGAAAGACGCGCTAAATAACCGTACTCCATAGAAGGCGCACATCTTCGGGGCTGGTATCCGGGTGTGGCCCTCGCGTGCCGAGGATAGCGTTCGGCCCTTGGGAAAAAGCGGATCCCCCTTTCCCACGTTTCTTGATCCTCGGCCGGTTCTTCCCTCGGCTCGGGGCGACGGCATCCTGGGTGCTTGCCCATGTCGTGACGGACTGGACAGTAGATCATGGCCTGGTTGACATGTGCAACCGCGTCGCCCGCGAAGTGTCCTGTGGCTCCCCTGCGACGGGATCGTGAGCTGGAAGTGACACGGGTGATGACCAAGAACAACCACGAGATCATACTGCAGGCTTCATCAACTATCATTATCAACACCAGAGTACAGTAGATAGACCGCCAAAGCCAAAGAGAAAAAGAACCAAGCGCTTTTGAAACCCAAGCGCCAGAGCCATAAATCATCAGATCCCGCTTTTTTATCCCTCAACACCTTGCCGAATCCATTGTTGCCTTGAAAATATCCTGTTGCCTGTCCCAACCAAGCCGTAACCTCTCAGAAGTCAAACCTGAGCACCTGGCCGTTGTCCTTGAACGCCGACGTGAGCTGGGCCACCGCCATCGCCTTCGGGCCAAACCACTGCAGAAAAGGTCACGTCAGCCGCCTGCCCCATGCAAGATGAAAACCACACACAAGTCCTTGTAACGTGAAAACCAGAAAAAGAGAAAAAGAAGGGGCAAAGCAACTCACAGGCGGCGCAGTCTCCCGCGATATCTCCCCCTTGACGCCCATAAACTCATACCACCGCACCTCATCCCTCAGCCTCAGCTTCTCGTGGAACCCAAGCACCTCCCGCGCGTCGTCGACCCCCCACTGGAACCTGGACCCGCTGGGCTTGAGCACGTTGGCGCGCTTGGTGTGCGACACGGCCAGGCTGCCCACGGTATCGAAGACGAGCTGCCCCTGCCCGAAGTAGTCCAGCAGCCCCCGGATGACGGCCTCGGCCTCGCCGGGGGAGAGGTAGGGAAATAGGCCCTCGGCCACGACGAGCGTCGGGCGGTCCGCGGGTATGTCGCTGTACCACCTCCCCTCGGTCACATTAAGCGTGCGCAGCGAGTAATCCCCCACCGGCCGCAGCCCGACCCCGTCCGCCTCGTCCTCGTCCTCGTCCACCACGTTTTCCGCGCCCCCCATCATCAGCCTCTCCCTCAGGTTCGCGACGAGCGGGCGGTCCACGTCGACCCACCTCACCAGCTCCCCGTCCCGGCCCACCCGCCTGTCGCGGCTGTCGAGCCCGCACGCGAGGTGCAGCACCGTGACCCGGCGCCCGGGCCACGAGGCGAGGAACTCCCTCGTCCAGCCGTCGATCCGCGCCGCCCTCCCCGCGACATATGCGACCCACCGCGGGTCCGTCCCGTACGCGCCCTCGAGCCACCCGACGTCCTCGAGGCGCGCGAGGACGGCGCCCGCGCGGCGGCAGCCCAGGGCTGGTGTGCGGGACTGCGCGTCGAGGGACTTCCAGAAGAGTGTGATGAGGAGGGTCTGCTCCACCTCCTGCAGCGTGACCTTCTCGCGCCGCCGCTGCGCGCGGGAGGACGAGGTGGTGCTCGCGACGGACCCCGGCGCGGAGGCCACGGAGCCGCTGCGGTCGGAGCCCCGTGAGAGCTCCGTCGACCTGGAGCCGCGCCGGGAGTCTGGCGAGCGGATGTCGGTGATGGGTGTGTACCCTGGCATTCTTCTCGTGTGGGTAGGAGGGGCGGGTGGATCTGCGGCAGGATATATCGTCCGGGTGGGGATGTATATCTCCGTGGATGATTATTATCCTTTGGTTCTCCGCAAGAAAAGACTTTGAAACGAGTGACTTGAATTCAAGAGAACTGAGGGAGAAAAGAAAAAGGCCACTCCCACCGTCGCCAGGTGAGGTGAGCTCGGCTGTTGGGTTCTCCTTTATGTGCAGCAACCCAACAGCAGTTTGCCCCGGTGGGTCAACTCGACACGGCACTAGAGCTTTTTGTCCTGCGCCCTCTCGCCCCCCAGGCATCGTGGATCCCCCATCCGACGGACGATCACCATGCTTCCGCGCGGTCTAGATCGCTCCAAGTCGCGGCTGCCTGACCGAGGCTCCGTCCTGGGCCCCCTTTGCCTGAGAGGAACGGCGCTGCTGGGGACGTGGGCCCGCGACCCACTGGAATAAGTGGTCATCCTGTTCGTATATATAACATGTCAGCTTTTTTTTTTTTTTTTTTTTTTCCTCTTTTTTTTTTTGACTCTCTCTCGTTTCTTGCAACGCTAGGTGACAGGGGCGGGATTATGTCCCGATGGTTTGTGTATGGGATTTGACATTGCAATCGGGACACGCAGCTCCTCTCTTTTCATATGTTGATCATTTCGTACAGACGCTGGTACAGAGCCGGGAGGGACACAAACCCCCAGCCGAGACAGAACAAGCCTTCCCGTATATACATGTGGGCGACAACAAACAAACAAAAAAGAGTATTATGCTCATGTCTGGATTAGATATGTGACGTCAGAAAGGGCCGTCCCACACTCAACAACAACGTTCCCACGCCTCGCCGTCCTGGCCATGCCTCATCCCCAGCCCCGGACAAAAAAAAAGAACATCCAATCAGTCGCCCATAACGCCAGTCTGGCTTAGCAGCATCGCAAGAAGCAAGGAAAACGTGGACAAAATAAAAGACGCGCGGGTCCGATTACCCGTTGATGATCCGAACCCATGATTTTGAATACAGTGAAAGCATCGCCAAATGAAACCAGGATAAAGATGCGTGTATGTGTGTGTTGGTTGTGTTGAGAACAACCGCTCGCCCAGATGCCGGCTTCGCCAAGGCTGGACTTCTCCCCAGCTGCCAGATACCCAATCGTTGATCCAGATGGGTCTCGGGGCTGAGTGATGATAGAATTGTAGCAGACAAGAAAGAAGAGATTCGAGTCACCCTTGGACATGAACGCGGTCAGCCAATGCTACTAGTAAGGCGGCCTGCTGACGTTCCCCAGGCTTCCCTCTCCCACCCGCGAGTCGATCCCCTTGAGCAGCGACTGCAGGTCCATGGTCGGCAGCGCCTCATCCCGGGAGTGGATGCTGCTCCAAGTCGACGACCGGACCGTGTCCCCGCCCCTGCTCTTGACGCTCCGCTGCTTCGGGGCCTTGAGCGGCGGCAGGGAGTGTGGTGAGCTGAATTCGAGTGATGCCGCGTAGTCTTTCGTCGCGGTCTGCGGTGCAGGATGCGAGGCCCCCGCGAAGTCAGAGGGCAAGGGCGGAACGGGCGGTACCCCCTCGCTGTCCTCCTCGTCGTCAATAATCGGCGCGGATTCGCTCGGGGGGTTGGAATTCAGCGGGCCCAGGGAAGCACCGTCCGATCCCTTGCGCTCGCGTGACATGGACCGGGATCGCATATGCACGGGTGAGCAACCGTCGGTCTGCCCACTTTGCGACTGTGCGGTGGCAGGTGGTGGGTTGAAAGACATCTCCGAGGTTGACATGTCGTAGCTAACGAGGCTGTCTTCGCTACTGCTGACATCGCGTGCGCCGGCTGTCAGAGGCGGGGCGGGCATCTCGCCAGAGAGGATCTTCTTCATCTGGCTGACGGATGTGGTGCCCTCCTCCGGGGTCGAAATCCCGTCAGGGTTGCGCGAGAGACCGCTGCGGACACTACTCTTCCGCGCCCTCGTCTGCAATGGCGCAAGCATACGTCCCCCATCCGGCGCGGGCTGGGACCGTGGCCGCACATCGTGGTTGCTACCGGCAGGCGTGTGCTGGCCCCCGTCCTTATGCCCGTTCGCCAGCGCGCCATTAAGACCGAGGCGGTTGCGGTGGGTCCCGTTCGTCCCGGCGCGAGAGCCGTTGAGCGAGGCCGACTTGCTGGCAGCCTGGACCGTTGCTATGGCTGATTCGCGGGACCAGTCGAACAGCATCGCCTCCTTGAAGCTGGACGGGATCTCCCTCTCATTGTGTGTCGGCGAAATCATGCTCCCCGCAGAGCCGAGGATGGGCTGGGAGAACGTACGTCCAGGTGACCCAGCCGGGCTGGTGGGTGGCGAGAGTGTGGCCTCCTGGTAGCTCGTGCAGATGCAGTCAACGAGCGACAAGCGGTCGTCGAAAGGAAGCAGTGCCTCGGACTCGGCCTCTTGCTGCGATATCTTAGATTGCTGCGAGACCACGCCCGGCATCCCGATCTTCTCCAGGGGTGGCGCTGGAACCTGCACGCCGTCAACCCACAGTTGCTTGGTCCTCCGTCGGATAATCTCGTTCTGGATTGCGCGTCCGACAAAGGAAGCGTCGAAATCGAATTTCTCCGTCAACACCCAGAAGTAGCCATGGCACAGACTCCCCAGGCGCACCTTCTGTAGTGGCGTTTCGGCATCCTGGATGTCTTCTTGCAGTCGGAATACCATAGGCAGGCCAAAACGGACCGCGTTGACTCCCAGGCGGTTCACAAGCTTCGTAAGCAGTACATGAAGGAGAACGACGTCCGAATCGAAGTCCAGATACTGCAGGGCATTGTCGTAGATGGCTATGTGCAGAAGATGCAGGAACTTGCTCTTAAACTTCTTGGACGGTCGTTCGCGGTAAGAGGCAGCTGACCGTGCCCGTCGGGCGTCCGTTGGCGTGGCAGGCTCAGGTTGCAGGCCGGATCGCAGGTCGTCTTTCGCGATCAGGTCTGTCTTTCTCGTCTCTCGGTCCAGCCACGTCAGAAGCGCGTCCACGTAAGCCTTTCGGACCTCCCCATCTGCGTCCTTGAGCAGCCACTGTGTGCCCTCCCACTTCTCAACGGGCACCGGGTACCTGGACAAGCTGATACTACCGCTCATTTTCACTTTCGGATTAGCAATCTTCAGGATGCCCTTCACTGCCTTCAGAGCTGTGAGCTTCGCAATCGTGAGGAAGAAAGGCGACTCCGAATGCTGGTCATCCGATGCTTTCGTGTCGGTGTCAGTTTGCTCGCCCTGAGCCGTCGAGTTCGCCGTGGGCGCGTTCTTGGATGGCTTCAGCCGAAGCAGTAGGGCCGAGACCATGTCGATGATCTGTTCGTTGTAGTAGACATGGGTTGCCAGATCCCCCATCGTCTGTTGTATGCGCCCCAGTAGCTCCTTGCGCGCCCCGCCCGTCGGGTCGCCCGGCATCTGCACCAGCCGCTTCATGTGTTGCACAAGGCCCAGCATTATATCCATCACACTCAATCCTATCAAGTTCACGTCCGACCGGAGAAGGGACCCAATCATGGCCGTCAGCACGATATGCTGCCGCAGGGTCTCCTCCTTGAGCTGTATCTGGATCATGGTGTCCATAGCAGTGACCAGGATCACGTATCGCTCCTGCATGGGCGCCCACCGGGAGACAAGTCCAAACAAATGTATCGCCCACCCGCTGTCCTGACCGTTGCTCGTCCTGACCACCGTCTCGTCCTGATGAACCCGCTCCTCGATGAACTTCAACAAGGCCGTGGTCGCCGTGTGCATTTGCTGTCTGTTGGGCACGACGAAGATCTGCTTCAGGCACTGGATGGCCAGGACGCCCGTCTCCTCCTCGGCCAACTTGTCGACATCGCCCGCCGTGCCTGACAGGGCTATGGGATTCGGGTCTCCGCCGGTCTCGGTGGTGCGCACCGTCGCGTTACTGTTCCTCCGCTTGAGCAGATGATCCGTGTTCACCTTCTCCTCCATGTTGGCCCGCTGCAGCAACACGTCCAGGAACCCCTCGTTGTCAGTCCACAGGTTCTCCAGGATCATGGGCACTATGACCTCGAGCTGCCGCCCGGCAACAGAGGATAGAGCATCCGAAGAGGCGATGCTCTTGATGGCCTCCAGGCCCGCGTTCCTCCATCGTACGGCAACCGGCTTGCTGGTCTGATTCTTGCCCTGTTGCTCCCGTGTCGAGGCCAGAGCCGCGTACTGTTGAATCACAGCCTCGTACTGGCGGAGGTAGGCTTGATCGGCAAATAGGGAGGAGGCGTCGTGGTTCGCACAGAAGGCGTCGAAGGTGGGCAGTGAGGACTCGACCAGAGTTATGTCATTTGACCGTAGGATCAGATCCAAGATCTTGAGCACAAATCTGGCGAATAGGGGCAGGTCCTTTGGGCTCTTCTCGATCAAGGCCTCGAGGATCTGGAGCGTGACCTGGACATTGCTATATGCAGGATCTATGTCAGTTTCGTGTCTATGTGCATGCGTGCATGAGTGCCTGCTCGACGCTGGAAACATACCCAATGCGCTGGTGCCAGACATCGCTGGCGGTCTTCTTCTCGAGGAACTCGCCGACCTTGTTGATCTTTGTCTTGCGGGAGATGAGGTAGAACAGCAAGTAGCTCAGCTCGCTCGAGTTTGGCTTGACGCCTATGGTGGTCTTGTTGGTGCGCGGGTAGCACTTGAGCACGAGGACCTGGTGCTTGGGGCGACACTTTTGCTGGATGGACTGCATTGCGCCGACGGCTGGGGCAAGCTACCCGATCGAGCTCGAGTGCTGGGAGAGTAGGGGCGTCCTCGCTACCCTTGACCAGCCACCGTGGCCTCGGTGGGCTTATTCGTCGCTGGGCTGCTCGCGTATAAGGCGTGTGCGTGGGTGGTGGTGGACCGGATACGAGGGCGGAATGCACGGCGCGTCAGGACAGGATGCTAGGGGTGGAAGGCAGAGGAAAAGGAGTGACAGAGCAGGGACATGAAGGAGGGTGAGGAAGAAAAAAGAGGACGAAGGGACAAGGGAGCTGGATTATCGCGGCGTGGAAGCGGAGGTTGTATCACCATCTGGAGGGAATTATAGGGAAAATGGGCCTCCCCGTACCGCAATAGCAGGCAATCTTACTGTCACGGGCAGGTTGGAGCTGGAATTGCGGATGGAGCAGCATCAAATCTGATTTCTGGGATCTTGGGAGGCACAGACCGCTGGCGAGGCTAGGCTCTCGGGCTTGCACGGGCCACGTCATTCCAGGAGGCCGTGGCAGGACCGGGTGCTGCTTTCTGGGGGGAGCTGGAAAAGTGACTAATTCTCCGAGCTGATCTCGCATTTCTGTATTTACACTATTTTATTCCAGCATTTCGCCCCTGCATCATCAACAGCCGGTCGCCCTCAGACTCGCGCTCGCCCTTGGCTTCTTCCTCGCCGCACCGACAGACCGGTCGCAGTGCCGCTCTGGTCAGCTACAGATAGCTATCTACTGCCGCGTCTCATGCTCGATCTGGGTCCGGCTGACTGCCTGACCCTCTGACGGCCTGACTGCACAAGCTCCCACCTGCCGCTTATTGTTCTTATTTCAGGAGAAGGATCTGGTGGCACAGCAGAGAAGACCGCAAACGACGTCACACCCGGATTTGTTGGGGATTCTGGGAACGGCGACTAGCAAACTCACAGTCTACACAAGCACATGCCACCAATCCTGTCGAAGCGCGGCCCAAGAAGCGAACCATGTTGCCTGACTATCAACCATGTGGGCAACAGAATACCCAGCCTAGCACGTCTAGGTAGTCCAAATGGTGGTGTCCAAAAAGATGAATGGCGGGCAGAGAGCGAAGCTTTCCCCAAAAAGCTACTTCCGTCACTGGCTCGCAACCAGGGCAGCCAGGATCAGCTCTCCCGGCCGGGAAACAATCGTCATGAGCTAGCGACCATCTCCATCTCCAGATGGAGCTGCATGTCTTGGTCCTCACCTCCAGAGGACAAGACACGTATTAATCCAGCCACTCAGCCCACTGCAGCCCAGAAAGTCGGTGCTACTGTGGTCAACCCCACAGTAGGGTGACAGCATCATCGTCACCTCCCATTGCTAGGTACCTAGCCGGCACTAGCTCAAGCCAGCTGTGGCCCAGAACTTTGCTCCAGACCAGCATTCCCGATATGTGGGACTACCTGGGTGCCTGGGTACCCATCTATCTGGTCTGCCTACCTCTACGATCCTCCCTCTTCCCAGTAAACCCCCTTCCCCTCTCCACCCCGGACCTGGAACAAATGCAGGTCCTTTTCTGAGTTGAGTGAGTGAAGGGTAAGTGAAAGGGTGATCAATTTTCACGCGCCGTGGTTCGACTTGCCCATGGGCAGTAGCCGAGGCGCACATGCCAACCAGGCCGTTGGCGCCGGCCACAGTGACGACCGTGTTTGACTTATCGCATGTCTCCCGGCGTTCCGGAGAAAGGACATCTCGGGGCTATGAGGTGGGTCGTTAAGTACATCGAATGTCTCGCGTGGGTAACATGACTTTCTGACCTATATATATTACCATAGAGGGAATCTGCAGACCTTGTCCTAATATTTATCGGCCCCGAGGGCTTTTAGCCGCAAGCTTCGCACGGCAACGTACGCCCCGTGCCGCCGCCGGCCAACCTGTCAGCGGACCCTCTCAACTGACCCCGGTGGAGGAGCATCGCCGCCCTGGACGACTTTTGTTGGTATACCTGCGCGTTCAGTCCACATCGTGTCTGCAGCATTCGGAGATATTCTGCATTATTTCTCTATGGCTATATTGGCCCCAACTGTCACAACCCACTTCGGTCAGCTGGGTTGTTGATCCATAGCTACCTTATCAGGCATCCTGACCACTGCTGGGCTACAGGTGTCCGGCCCAGGTGAATGGAATACACATGTGTGCAATCAGTGTGTAAATGTGCATGGGTCCTGTGATTGTGTCACCCGGCTCATCCGTCATAGTATAAAAAAGACCGTACAAGGGTCTGTAGGTTCTAAGTTCGATCATTACGGCCCCGCTGCGGCCCCACTGCGGCCTCTGACTGTCCACGAATTTGTGTTTAAGCACCACTAGCAAAGCTGGCCAGGGGATATGGAACAGTTTCACGGGGAATAAATCCAGGTAGAAGCAACTCTAATACGTTGGAGGACCGCATGTCAATAGATGATGGGATTTGACCCTAACCAACGTCCACTTCCCTCCTGCAATTGTATCAAGCTTGCTTCCGCTCCGTCACGACTCGCCAAGACCATCATGAATCCACCTGATAGCAGACGCACTCAGCAACAGCAGGCCCCGAGAAAGGGCAGACGTCTGCGCGCCGCTCGTGCCTGTGAGAGGTCCCGTATCAAGAAGTACAAATGTGACGAGGAGCTGCCGTGCTGCCACTGTGCAAGTAAGTTGTCGAATAATAATTGACACTCCTGGAACTCGCCAAATGCGGATAGGGTATTCCGGATGCCTTGTATGGATGGCAGATTGTCTCTGCCAACTCCCCTCTGTCCAGACCCTCTGTCCAGAGTGCCAGCTAATAGGCTGCTAATAACGACCCATTGACGAATTAGAAGCCGCTATGCAGTCTGTATATCAGAACGGATCAGTCAGGCGGCATGATGACATGTCGTTAGAGTGAGTTACGAAGCTGCCACCAACTAGTACTACTCCTCCTAATGCACAAGACTTACGCTACAACACCACGACCACCATTCCGGATGTATACGTACCCTTGAATCACAAGTTCGCGACCTCCACGCCCAAGTGAATGCTGTCCGGGCCGCCCTGCCTCTCCATGGGTCTCCTGCTCCTGCTCCTAGTGAAGGTGCCTTCACCTCCGCAAATACAAATGTCGTCAATTCCGACACTTACCTCGGCGACGGAGAAAAGTCTTCTGTGGCCCAGCCTGGAGCAGCTTCGAGCTCGACCATGTCAGTGACGCATAGATGTCGGCGGGGACGAACAGTACGAGGACCTCGTGTCACCAGTCCAGGAGGAAGACACCGACGTCGACCGGCAAACCAAGGCGATCGAGTTCCACGATTTCCACATCGTCCATCGCCCTGCTCCGGGACCTTCAGATGTCCCTAGGCCGCCTATTTCAAGGTAGTCAGCAACAACAACCTGGAGTCTCTTTTGCACGACCCCGTGGTGGCGGTAGTAGCAGCGAGCAACGACAACAGCCTCTGCCCTTCTTGCCGGGCTCTGGCGACTCTCATGGGCGCTTCAACCTCGTGTCAGAGCTGCGTAACACGTCCTTCACCCCGCGGGCCGGCACCGAGGGCAACACGACGATGCAGCAAAGGAACCTCTACGTCAAGGAGGCACAGTACTTCATCGACGCCTACTTCCAGAACTTCCACTTCATCCACCCCTTCATCGACAAGGAAGTCTTCGGCCGGCGGGCGGCTGACATGTGGGCCGTCGGGGATCCGGCCAGTGACATGTGCTTCTTCTGCACGTATCTGGGCCTCATGTCCCTCGGGGCGCTCATCGGGGAGTGGGAGTGGGAGGAGGACCGCCTGGAGGGGCTGAACAGGTTCGAGTGGAGCCGCAAGTTGTTCGACGAGGCGCTGGCGAACTTGGCCGACTTGCATTTTCCTGCCAACTTGGACACTGTGCACTGCCTGTACCTGTGCGCCAAGGTCTGCCAGAACGAGCTCAACCACAACATGGCCTACTTGTACTCAGGCTTTGCCGTGCGCATCTGCCTCACGGCCGGGTTCAACCAGGACAACGGCGGTGGCGGATTTGGCACTACCAGCAGCAGCAGTCCATCCTCGTCACAGCAGATATCACGCACCTGGTGGGGCCTCTACTCCCTGGAGATGGAACTCAGCTTCGCCCTGGGCCGCCCGGATACTCTGGGGCTAGATGAATACCACGACCGGCCAATACCGCCCGTCGACGACTCCGAGTTCGCCATAATCCCCCTGATGGTGGATTTCGCGCGCATCGTGCGCCGCATCGCCATCGGCATCTACCACTCCCCCACGTCCTGGCAGCAGAGGATGGCCCGCGCGCATCAGGCCTGCCTGTCCTTCAACGTCATCATCATCTTCTTCTGGTGGGCTGGCTGCCCTGCGCCAGCCCAAGTGGTGTCGGCGCCAGAAGATCATCACCGAGATCCGCTACCACCATGTGAGGATGTCGCTGTTCCGGCCATTCCTGTCCATGCTGACGAGGAATAACTCTGGCACGCCGCCGCCTGCTGGTGTGGCCGAGGCCGTGGACAAGTGCATCGCCTCGGCGAAGCGGACCATAGAGGTCGTCCACGAGGCCATGATTGCCAACAGCTTCTTCCGCACGTGGTGGGACAACGCGATGCACATCCTCTTCGCGACGGCGGTGCTGCTCCTCTACATTAGCCGCGACGGGCAGCAGTCCCAGTGGTCGACTAATGTTGCCCCCCCAGGTGGATGTTGCGTGTGGAAATACTCGAGGCTATGGACGAGTGTATGGTGGCGAGGAAGTCGGCAAATATCATTCGGCATATGTTGGCGCAGGTCAAGGGCCAGCCGACGCCGATTCCGAAGACAACGGCCGAGTTTGATAATAACAGGAACGTTCAACCACATCTGGACGAGTCTATTGCGGCGGCGGATAATGAGGGCTCGGAATTCTTTATGAACGATGCTTTGGACTTTGTGAGAAGACCCTTTGCTTTGAGATCCAAATGTCATGTGGATCAGTTTTACTGCTGGGAGGGTTACTGACAGAAGACTCTCAACAGAATGTTGGCTCGAATTTCTTGTTTCCCAGCTATCTTTTTACCAACGACCTCTCTTCTGAGGGTTTGTGAGGTTACGGGAGGTATTAGAGAGTCTTGGATGATCGATATGGGATTCTAGAAAGAGGAAGGTCTTAATTCAGGGAGAGCCCACAACATATGAAATAAGCTTGTATAACATCCGCAAACCGTCATTCTTCACCTCTGTCGAAACATCGCTGATACCTCTCCTCATATCTGGTCCGCGGGAAACGTTGGACTCCCAACGTATTCTCCATTTCGAATCAGGATTGTATCGACCCCATCGTGAGAAGCCGCCACATAAATCACCTTGGTAAAGTGCGCGTTGCTGTGGTAGCTGAAACGCGAATGCCTCGGAACATCAACCGTGTCACCCGTGTACAGCTCAGCCGGGCGATGTCCCTCGACAGAAACACTAAGCCGGCCCTCCAGAACCGTAAACGAATTCCCAAACTCAAAGTTGGGCGAGTCATGCTTGTCCCCGATGATGTAAAACAACTTCTCAAAACCACCCGGGAACACCGTCTCGAACAGCTCCGTGTCATGGTCGATGACCTGCAGCGTGTGGTTCGTGTTTGGCGGGCACGACCCGAAGTCGTGCTGCGTCATGACCCGGGCCTGCTGCTCGGCTTCGCCTCCGCTCTGGGTCCACAGGTGGACTCTCCCCTTGATGGTAAAGAAGTTTTCATAGTGCTTCTTGTGTAGGTGGGGGTGGACGACCAGGTTTTTGGAGGGCGGCGCGTTAGTCCCGATGATGGTGAACTCGCCCCCGGAGAGTTGGTCGTGACGGGGAAGCGGAAGATTTGGTTGCCTGTGGCTACGGAGTGGGCAAGTGAGTTGCTGCGGATGAAGTAGGGTCTGGGGTGGTCCGGTGGCGTTGTGAGTTCTAGATCGAGGAGGTTGATGGTGTTAGTGGAGGAGAAGACAACGGGCTTGGTGGCGTCGTCTTGGTGCCTGCACCCGTTACCGAGGGGGCATGATGATAGCGAGAGTAAGGGAGAGAGGACCTTTTGTGGGGTAATCATGGTGAACGAAAGAGGAAGATGAGGATCGACGGAAGTTATTCAGACAGACGAGATACAACGCGAGTACAGACGTCCCAGTTTTGGTGAAAGCTCTAGAGAACGTCTCATCAGCGCGTGGACAAGCGCTTTCGGCGTAGGAAGGGCTATTAGAAGGTCCAAACAGTGACAGAGAGGATCCATCAGTACGGCGGTCAAAATGGCAACAGTCTAGCGTCTCGTCGTCGGAATCCGGCGCCGGTCAGATGTTCAATGTTGGCTCAGGGAAAGCAGAAGTTCCATAGTACCCCCTCTACAGCTATCGTCCCGTAGTGTGTGCGAATGCCAAGTGAATGTTGTTTTGTCCTGCCAGAGGCGTATGGCCTGCCTCGGACTTGCCGAGACACGTCAAATCGATCTGTGTTGGATCAGACAAAGTTCGTAGAGCTCGGGAATCCCGAGACCTATGCACAATCCTTCCCTTCCGAGGAAGTCAGCTCATCTTCACGCCTGTGGTTGGGGAGATCCAAAAATATTGATCAGACCGGAACGTCTATAGTTCACAAAGAGCGGGTCAAAAACGGTCTAATTAAATCTGCACTACGCAGCTTGTAAGAGATGTGAGAGATCCATTCGTCTCAGGAGTCTCAATAATTCTTCACCATGGCCTTTGGCAGGAAGCAGTTGCAATGGGCCATAGCCTATGGCGCGGAAATACTCAGGGGTTGTTTCCCTGGCATGGCGTCCTTCGAGGAAACCACTGCTGCCAACTTCGAGTCTCCCATCACTTGTACCGAAGGCTCTCTGAGCAGTCTATTGCCAGACGGCACTAGACTGTTGCTTTCCCAAAAGTTGGAAGACAATTCTACCTTCCATGTCCCCGAGTCCGAGATCGCCTACACGCAATCGCCTTCGGGTCTGAAGGCCCTGTGTGCGCTCCAGGTAGAGGTGACGGGCGATAATGACTCCAAGTACAGCTTTGGCTTGTTCTTACCTGAAATATGGAATGGCAGGTTTCTGTAAGTTGAGAAAAGGGTGTCTTCAACAACAATGGTGATAAACATACGGCCCGTATGTTGACATCTGCAGTGGTGTTGGAAATGGTGCATTCGCTGGGGGTGTGAACTGGGCCGATATGGTGAGTCGCCAAAGTCAGAAAACCCATTTTGTCATGGTCTATAGCCACTATGGCTCAAAAATTTGTTCATGATGGATCATGACATGAAGCCAAGGCAGCAGGGGCTCAGTATGGATTTGCCAGCATGTCCACAGACACCGGCCACCACTCAGGCTTCCAAGACGGCTCCTGGGCCTGGCGAAACCCGGACGCAATCGACAACTGGGGCCACAAAGCAATGCATGGCTCCGTCCAGGCAGCAAAGAGCATCGTCAGGGCCTTCTACGGCAGCAACGACAAGAAAGCGGATACATCGTCCACTTGAGCAGCTACTACAGCGGCTGCTCCACAGGCGGGCGCCAGGGCCTGAAGGAGGCGCAGGAGTACCCTGACGACTTTGACGGAATCCTCGCCGGTGCACCAGCCTGGTGGTCGACACGCCTCCACCCGTTCAACCTCGTGGCGGGAGTATTCAACTTGCCTGTGGAGGCTGCGCATCATATCCCGCCTGAGATGTTCCCATTCATTACAGCCGAAACTTTGCGACAGTGTGACCCTCAGGACGGAGTGATTGATAACATCATCTCTTCTCCCGAGACTTGCTTGCTGCAGCTCGAGACTCTTCTATGTGGCCCAAAGTCTGATGCAAGTAAGTGCCTGAAGGCGCCACAATTGGAGACGCTGCATCGGCTATATAACGACTGGACAGAGGCCAAGTCAACTTTCTTCTTTCCTCATTTGCTACCGGGCAGCGAGTGGGAGTGGAGAAAGCTGAGTGGTTCGGATAAACCCAACTCATTGGGTGTCGACTACGTTAAGTATTTCCTCAACTTTGGCCCGGATTGGGAATGGCAGGAGGGCTATAGTCCGAGTCTCCTTCGAGTTGCTGAGGAGATGGACCCGGGCAACGCGACGGCCGACATTTACGACTTGTCCCCTTTCTTTAAGCGAGGCGGGAAATTGCTACTGTACCATGGCCTCTCGGACCCAGGCATCCCCCCTGGGAGCACTCTGTACTTCTACAACCAAGTTGTGCAAACTCTTGTGCCTCGTGGTTTTGATGTGAGCGACCATTCTCGCGTCTTCTTCATTTCCGGGATGTTGTAAGTCATACAATCCCACTCGCCACTCTCTACGTGTCACCTTCTAACCACCACATCATAAGACACTGTCAAGGCGCTCCAGAATCCAACGATGCCCCGTGGTACTTCGCCGGCGCCAACCAGCCAGCAGCGCTCAAAGGTCCCGTCCCACATTCGGTGCCTGGCTCTGCCGACGCCAAACATGATGCCATGCTGGCCTTAATGGACTGGGTTGAGAAGGGCCGCGCCCCTACTGAGATCATTACAACGAAATGGGCTGACGATGGTCCTCGGCGCAGGGTCACCAGCCAGCGGCCGGCATGCATGTACCCACAGGTGGCCAAGTTCCAGAATAGCAGCGGCTCCAAGGGTAGTCGTGCTGATGTGAGGTCTCCTAAGAATTGGGCGTGCGAGAATCTGTGGGGTTAGGCTACCGAGATTCAACCAGAATGAGCACGGTTTGGTCTCATCTGCGTTCAAGATGGAGTGTGTGACACTGGAACCCGCGTGTTCATATACCTACCTAGGTAGTCTTCTGTAATTTTGCTTTCAATATTAATGGTGGTGATGTGTTTTAGGTGTGTTATCCAGAGGATAAAGCGGTGTCTTGCATCCATAATTAGCCAATAGTACTGCGGCCGTGACCCAGATTCTGGCCGTTGTCCTCTTTCCTGGTCCCAGAACTTCTGTCCGGCCTCCCGACTTCTGGCTTATGCGCTTAAATATAATCCCGCCCAATAGCATGAATTCCTTTATTCACCAATTGAATCACACATTAATGGCCAACAGATACTTAAGCAGGGTCGTCGAGGTGCCATTGTCTGGATTTACTACCTAGGTACCGAACTAAATGTGAGTCGAAGTGAGAGTTAAGTAACGGCAAACTGTTATCTATAATATTCCGCAGGATAGGCTTCAATCCACAGGAATGGAAGATTCTATTAAAAGCTTGATTGACCAACAAACCTTAGCTGCAATTCGGTAGTATTATCTACAGTGATAGATTAAATACCCGAAAACTCTGAGTTATCATAGTCTGGAGCAGCAGCAAGACGGCACCTAAGGTGTGACCTGCATAGAATGATGACGTCGGTCTTGGCTTGCTCCTCCGATGTATGACCTTGGCCCTGTTCCCAGGTGATAGCTTCGATCTTTTTATCAAGGCCACTCTCGCCTGGCTGAACAGTAAGAACGAGTCGGTAGTTCTCTGTGTTTGTCCAGGCCCGACGAATCGAGATATGACCACCCTGGCGCAGATCTTCTTCCGTTGGGACTTTGGCCGGCGGAGGCTCTGTCATTTCTGCATCCGGCTCTACCGTCTCGAGGTCTGCCAACAGCTGTTCATCTGTTGGCACTTCATCTAATGCCACCTCCCCTGTCAGCACCCCATTTGGCACCCCATTTGGCACCCCATTTGTCGTTGCAATCTTTTCAGCTGATAGCTCATTTGATAGCTCTTGATCCGTCAAAGGAATAAAGACCCATCTGTCATCCATACCCCGAGCGATTAAGCCGCATTTTAACTTAATGAAGTCTTCATCATTAAGAGGTAGACCCCAAGCTGCCGTTGCGGGTTTCTCAATAAGCTGCATCTGTAAAACGTGTCAGCAATAGGGTCGAAATACTTAACTCTAACTTAAGGTGGAACACCGACCTTTGAATCTGGGCTAGGCTGGTAAAGAGGAGTGCTGCTCGTTTACTCGAATTGTCTGAGAGGGGAAGCTGAACGGAGGAAGACGAAAGCCGAGGGTCAGGAATGAAATGGCTGATGTCGGCCAAGGTTTTGACTCGGCGCTGTGGTTGAAACACCGGTCGAACCAGAGGTTGCCGCCCTTGTAGGAAAGAAGGACAGATCACTTGTCTGCTGGTATTGGAAATGGGTGGTTTAAATAGTGTTGGATGGAAGGCAAACAGCTGTGCCGCTTCAACGCTTTGCTTTACTCAGGCGAGCAAGCGGGGCTTACTAAGGGGTGGGGCAGCAGGAGCGGCGTTGGTGAAAAGCCTGCAAATGAGCTTACACTGAATCCTGGCTGCCTTATTTATCTCCACCAACAACACAAATCTCGTGCAGCTGACTTGCCGTGCCACAGGGCCACCACTTTGGCCGCATACAACCATGCAGACCATGGTCTTGATTGGTTTAGCACCCCCGCCAGAATGCCCATAGAGTGGATTTGAGGCACAGTATCACTACTCAGTTTCCAGCGCAACGAGAATAACAACAAAACCCGCAATGTCAACTCCCAACAGCTGGTCAACCAGCGAGCGGGCAACCAACATCTGGGCTGCCAATGACAGGCCCACCCACAACAGGCTGGCTTTCACGGAGGGCCGCCGAGGCAGTGACAGCTGCGCTTGCCGCTCGCTGTCCCAGCAGCTTCCGTTCTCCTAGGGTATCCGAAACCTCTACTCGGTATATACCAGCCATACCGCTTTGTGTCCAAGTTTAAACAATCAACTATGAAGCCTGCTAATAGTCGGCCAGCATCTGATATCGCAAAGGAAATTCGACATGGTGACCGATGGGCCAGTCTCCTAGAAGCTTCCACCTTTCTTCAGGCTGGATATTGTTTAATGCGGTGGGCGAGGCGATGAGTACCAGGCGAATCATGTGCACACAGGGACGCGGCTCTGTTCCAATTTCTACAACCCAAGCCCGTGGCCTGGCTCGCTGCTTGTAGCCATAGTCGCCCCACGGATTCCGAGGGCGGCCCCCGCCCCCATTTGACGATAAAAATAACAGCATCTTCTGAACCCCCAACAGTATTCTCGTCTGGCTGAGAGGGTATGAAGTTATAAAAGTCGTTTTTCCGAGTCTACCAGACAGGAAGTTGAATATTCATTATTTAATTCATCATTCAATAAGCATCGAAATATTCCAAGACTCCTGCAGCATTCACGACCTTTCAAGAAAACCCTTAAACAACTTCAACTTTTTGGTTCAAAGATCCCCAAAGATCCCCATTCTCCAGAAATCTTTAGAAGATGTCCACCCTGCCAAACCCTATCTACCGAGCTGATCCCCGTGGCCCCGAGAAGATCCTAGCTGCTGGCGGCTTCAAGAGCTGGGGCTCAGATCAGACGATCACCATCATTGAGCACGTAAAGAAACTATACAACAAGCCGCATAGGCAGGGGCAAGACCCGTGGATCTCCACCTCAGGCAAGGCTTCAGTCGGTGAAGGACCAGTAGTTGATAAGCCCTGTTGGGTTTACGTCATCAACACAACCACTATCGCCTCAAGGTTCACCGAGGTTGCACCAGTCTTTGCGGCGGCGGGAGAGAAGTATGGCCATGCCAACGAAGAGGAATGGGCAGCATACCGCGAGATTCCTTTGGCATGCATCACTTCCTTTTACCAGATCAGGAAGGACGGTAAGCATTCAGCGTCCTTCACCTGGGCAAGCTGGGAAGCAGCCCAGAAGGCAAAAGCCGCAAAGCCAGCATCGGGATCAGGAAAGGGCTCGGGGTCGGGGTCGGGTTCCGGACCGAAAAAATGATCATATTTAAACACGCTACGGTAAGGAGATTCTCGTTGGGAAGGAATCGGGTACTCTGTTCAGTATGGAAGATGTCTCGGTCCCAGCACCTGTTGGGATCGAATAATCTTACGTAGTGAAGGGGAAGAGGCTGTCCAAGGATAATCGGCTGGACCGCATATTCTTTTGTTGAATCGACGGGAAGCAAAGGCCTGGGGACAATCGGCTGGACCGAATATTTCTGTGCGGGAAACAGATAGAATCAGGATAGAAACTAAGCAGCTTAATTAAGTGCTAAGTTATTTTATAAAGCTTCCCCCTTAATAATGTACAGCTTATCTAGAGCGGGACATACGCAAGAGACAAATTTCTTAGTGTTACTCAATGCAGTGGACTTCTGATCAATATCTCGTTTAGCTGAGGAAGAAGAGAGGCCGAGAATATCGAGGCTCATAGACGGCCAGTTGCGTTGCCTCCACTGGGCAGCCAACCATAAGAATGAAAGCCCGGACCGCGTCACAGATATTACAGATTATTCTTGGAGCACTGAAACGGAAGTTTGGCAGCCAAGCCCGCTTTCCGGCCCCGAAGCCAGAGTCCTGAGGTCGGGAAAGCGGCGGCTGAGCCACCGGGAACCCGGGGATAGGACTCTGAGTGTCGGGGATCACCGGTCATTGTGTGCCATGGACGGCGTGTGTTATGATCTAGAACAAGGCAAACACAGCATGGACGTAGCTGGGAATTCCTGAGGATAGTCGGCGCTTGGCCAGACTGACACATTAGTTCAGTAGCAAGTAAAGGGATACATTCCAGCGATAGATATTAAAGCCATGTGCAAAGCTTAATTTAGTAATATAAACTACATTAGGATAGCTATATAATGATGAGATAGCTTATTAAGATTAATAAATAGTGCATTCCCATATTATGCTTTTAAATATAACTTATACTTTCTTATATCTTATATGTCAGGGCCGTGGGGCTGATCGTGCGCAGGGGCCCTCTGGGCCCGTCTGGTTGGCTTATCTTATCAGCCCAACTGGCCTCCAAAACCACTTGGATCTGCCCTTTCGGCAATTCTTCCTTTTCCTTTCTTTTTTCTTAGGCAAACCTAGTTGTAAATCAACCATTCTTCACTGTCACATTATGCCCTTGTTGCCATTTGGACGTGAGGACCGTCTTAAATTTATTATAAATTTATTATAAAAGCGATAAATTTACCATAAAACTATAAATTTCTTATAAATTTATAGGTAATATTATGGTAAATGCTTAAGGCATTAATATTTATGAATTAAAACTAGCCCTTATTATTAACTAGCCTTAAAATAGGAATAATTAAGACATTATTATATTAACGATCAGAATTAACCATATACTATAAGGATCCCACCATAATAACGGTGTAGAATCTGACACTTACCTTACCTTACCTTTAGCATAGTTAGATTTTAACCTTGTGACTATTCTAGATATAGGGGCAGCTCAACACAAGGGATGAATATTCAGGTAGCCTTATGAAACGGTGACCAGCTTCCCCGTATGATCTCACTGCAAGGCCGACATATGCCTACCTCGGCATCTTTTGGTACGTGCCTACATAGAAGCATCTACAGTACTTTCATGTCATGCATATGAGCCCGCTCATGAGGCTCCTCGTATTCGGATTTACAACCAGGCGTATCCGCATTCATATGAACCCGAACTCGCGATAACGATAAGAAGCCACTGGCGGGTAGCTGGCCCATACCCAGGTACATTAGACTAGACCCTGAGGGACGAATTGAGGTACGAGTCAGTACTTGCGCTCAGCGGCAACTCATGTGCAGCGCAAAGTAGCTCACCGTCTCCCAAATTGCTGAAATGAGAACCAGAGCTAGCGCACGTCGACACTCGGCGCAGCAAGGGACCTGTCCAGCAGACCCCTGTAAACAGCCGTCTATCAGTCTGCATGGCACGCACGGGTAGAAAAGTTCCCAGTGCCACACCGCACAGCATTCCACTCATTTCTCCATGCAATTGTTGCGCTGTCCAGTCCCGCCTGTCTTCTTCCTGAACCCAATCGACCTGGTGCTTCACTATTCGACTGTATAGACTTTTTAATACTACTCAGTTCAACACGTCAACAACCGTCAACATGGGTGGCAAGACACAACTTCAGCTGGAGAAGGAGGACAAGGAGCGCGATGCCGCTTTCAACAAGGCCATGCACGGCAAGACAGCCGCCCAGGCCAACAGCGTCGCCACCATTCTCTTCAAGAACCCAGAGGCCAAGCAGGCCGCTCTCGACGCCTACTTCAAGCACTTCGACAACAAGAAGGCAGACAACGAGACAGCTGCCGATCGTAAGGTATGTCTCGCACCCTTCCTAGGTCCTGCCACCAGCAGCTGCGGTGGAGCAACAGCCTCGAGCTACCCCTTTTCACATCATGAGCTGACCACCGATTCCCTCGCAGGCACGAACCGACGAGTACGCCACATTGACAAGACAGTCAGTACACCTCCGTACTTCCGAGACAGTCTTCGGAACATTTCGCTGACACATTCTGCCCAATTGCAGCTACTACAACCTTGCTACCGACATCTACGAGTTCGGATGGGGCCAGTCGTTCCACTTTTGTCGTTTCTCCGTCGGCGAGCCCTTCTACCAAGCCATTGCCCGCCATGAGCACTACCTTGCACACCAGATTGGCATCCAGGAGGGCATGCAGGTCCTTGATGTTGGCTGCGGTGTCGGCGGACCTGCACGAGAGATCGCCAAGTTCACCGGCGCAAACATCACCGGTCTGAACAACAACGACTACCAGATTGACCGTGCCATCCACTACGCGGAGAAGGAGAAGCTTGCGAACCAACTGACCTACGTCAAGGGTGACTTCATGGTATGCGCCACTCCTTGTCCTTACCGATCGCGTTGCCTCTGAGAACCGCCATGACTGACCCACACGCAGCAAATGCCTTTCCCCGACAACACGTTCGATGCTGTCTACGCCATCGAGGCCACCGTCCACGCGCCCAAGCTGGAGGGAGTCTACAGCGAGATCTTCCGTGTGCTGAAGCCGGGCGGCGTGTTCGGTGTTTACGAGTGGCTGATGACTGACGACTACAACAACGACAACCCGGAGCACCGCAAGATTCGGCTGGTGATCGAACTGGGCAACGGTATCTCCAACATGGTGCCGATCCAGGAGGGCCTTGACGCGATGAAGGCGTCTGGCTTCGACCTACTCAAGAACGAGGACCTGGCACAGCGACCCGACCCCATGCCGTGGTACTGGCCGCTGTCGGGCGAGCTCAAGTACCTGCAGTCGGCAGGCGACTTCTTCACCATCTTCCGCATGACCAAGTTCGGCCAGTTCTTCACGCACGGCTTCGCCGGCCTGATGGAGACCCTCCGCGTCGCGCCCAAGGGCACGCAGAAGACGGCCAACGCGCTCAGCGAGGGTGCCGACGGGCTGGTCGCCGGCGCGAGGCTGAACCTGTTCACGCCCATGTACCTGATGGTCGGCCGCAAGCCTTCCAACTAGGGGTTGCATTTGGGTTGCGGATGTGTGTGTGTTTTGTCATGAGTGTGGCTAGCGAACACATGTTCAAAAGAGATACGACGTCTGACGCAGAGCAAGAAAAGAAATGGCGCATTATGCCTGTATATACATGTACTAATCAGATCTAACGGCGCGCTGTCTTTGGATGGGGGCCTTTCATCTTACAGGCGTTCGTTCATATCAGGCCTTTATAGACGGTATGATAATATGAGCTCTTGATACCAAGAAAGAGTAAACGTGATTCATCTTGACTTGGTCTCATAATTGTCTCGACACGGAGCTGATGCACATGTCCGGAGTAATACAGACTCAGTCATCGGCCTTCTCCAAATAAATGTCTGTTCTCGCAAATGCTCGCTCACTCGCCTTGTTCGGTGCCCGTCGCCCACGGTCTAGCCGTTTGGGGAGCTAGCGGGGCCCGGCGACAACCCAACAGAAGCTTTTGTTGGTCGGTGCTCCCAGCTGGGAGCTGCTGGGCGACCCACACTGATTGGCGACTCGGCCATCTCAACGGAGGAGGGTTCAACGTCGAGGGAATTTTTCGACTTCTGGGCTGCAGCTGGAGCTCCGGAAATCTCCTGCCTTTTTGCTGGCGTGTTGCGAAACCGCGATCCCCTCCCAAACACCCAACTCCAGCTCCAGCTCGACAATCCTGCCCAGTCGCCCGCCCGTCGTGAGCACCGCACGTTGTCGTCGGTCGTTTCTTCTTCTTTTCTCTTGCCTCCCCCGTGTCCCATCTTTTGTCCAGGGCAGCAATCCAGTTGCATCCACCTCCCTCCGCCCAAATCTCACCACCACCGCCGCCATCATGTCCCGCTTCCTCCGACCGGCAGTCCGACTGGCCGCCTCCGCCAGAGCTGCTCCTCTCTCCAAGACCTCGACCATCCCATCAGTATCCTCCAGAATATCCCGACCAGCTTCTGCGTTCCTGCAATCGAGAACATATGCCTCCGCCGGCACCAAGGATTACACCGTGCGTGAGGCGCTGAACGAGGCCCTCGCCGAGGAGCTGGAGGCCAACGACAAGGTCTTCCTGCTGGGTGAGGAGGTCGCCCAGTACAACGGTGCATACAAGGTCACCAAGGGCCTGCTGGACCGCTTCGGTGAGCGGAGGGTTATCGACACCCCTATCACCGAGTCCGGTTTCGCCGGCCTGGCCATCGGTGCTGCCCTCAGCGGCCTGCACCCCGTGGTGAGTATCCCTCGCGACCGCATCGCAAGACCTGCTCAGTGGCTAACAAGGAGCGCTGCTCCTGTCTAGTGCGAGTTCATGACCTTCAATTTCGCCATGCAAGCCATCGACCAGATCATCAACTCGGCCGCTAAGACCCTGTACATGTCGGGCGGCATCCAGCCCTGCAACATCACCTTCCGCGGACCCAACGGCTTCGCCGCCGGCGTGGCGGCCCAGCACTCCCAGGACTACAGCGCGTGGTACGGCAGCATCCCCGGCCTTAAGGTCGTCTCCCCCTGGAGCGCCGAGGACGCCAAGGGCCTGCTCAAGGCCGCCATTCGCGACCCCAACCCCACCGTCTTCCTCGAGAACGAGCTGCTGTACGGCCAGACCTTCCCCATGAGCGAGGCCGCCCAGAAGGACGACTTCGTCATCCCCTTCGGCAAGGCCAAGATCGAGCGCGCCGGCAAGGACCTGACCATCGTCTCCGTCTCGCGCTGCGTGGGCCAGTCCCTCGTCGCCGCCGAGAACCTCAAGAAGAAGTACGGCGTCGAGGCCGAGGTCCTCAATCTGCGCTCCATCAAGCCCATCGACCTCGAGGCGATTGTCAAGTCCATCCAGAAGACCCACCGCCTGCTGGTCGTCGAGTCCGGCTACCCGGCCTTCGGCGTCAGCGCCGAGATCCTCGCCCTCTCCATGGAGTACGCCTTCGACTACCTTGACGCCCCCGCCCAGCGTGTCACCGGCGCCGAGGTGCCCACCCCCTACGCCCAGAAGCCGAGGAGATGTCCTTCCCCACCGAGCCTCTGATCGAGCAACAGGCTGCCAGGCTCCTCCGTCTGGTCTAAGCACTGAGAGGAGGGTGTGAGATAGGAGCAACGCGGAAGGAGGGTGGATGTTGGACGGAGATCAGAAGGGAAGCTACGTTACCGATTGTCATATTAGCTGCTAGTGGCGATGACTTGATATATCCGGGGTAAGGGTGCCATTAATGCTATGCGATACCTTACCTGGCCTGCATGATAGACGAAAAACAAAATAACTGTACTACTATGCTACTTCTTGGACATTGTTCCGCTCACTCCTCTTCTGTCGCGTAGCCGGCCGTCTTCTGATATGTCCTCGTGGACTTTCGATGCCAGATGTTCCGTACGATGCTCCTCTGAGTATGCACGGCAAAATACTCACTCAACCCAGCTGGACTGTTCACCCAGGCATGCCGCGTGCCTCGTCCATCAAATCTCTCCCGTTCTCGTTCATAATTTTCAGCACCTACCTAGAACTTTTTGAGAACTTGCAGAGCTTGGAAGCTAGTGCATACAGGTTTCTAATGCGATAATTAGATGGACTTAATCGCCCCGATGAACTCCGTCGCTTGCCTTTCTCTCGTTCTGCTGCCCCTACAAAGTTCCTAAAGATATTGATTTACAAATAACTTTAAACCATGGTTATAGTCTGTTGCTTCCAAGTATTCACCCAATCCTCACTTTTCATATCTCTAAGCTCGAGATATCCCACTCTTTCCCATAGGCCAGCACTAGATTCCGTGGCTCTCCTGAGTATTAGACACGAGAAAATGCTCTGATACGAGTCTATGACGACGGCAAGGTGCTTCTTATCAATGAACTTGCTCTTATCCAGGTCAGTTACAAGCCCACCGGCTGACTCCGAGCTCTTTAATGTAGATACCAAGAAATCGTCATTCGCGGATGTGACGATCATCACTGGACAGGTCCCCGTCTGTCTTTCATCTTCCCTGACATTATCGTCAAAGCGTACTGTACCAGCTTCATGATACGGAATGTTGTCAGTGGGAGCCACTCGTTGGGCACTCCGTTCGAAGCGCTTTGTTAGTGCCCTGATGGTAAGTTGAGCCGAAGTGACCTGGCCATACGGGTTGACGGGATCTACCAGTTCAACTTTGTGGTCGACAAGCTCCGCAGCCCATTTACCGGGAGACCGGAATCCCGCGAACCCAAAAATTATCTTCTCATCTGTCACAGCCCAGGACCACGACGGTGCCCGGTACTCCTTTGAGTGCGTGGCACAAGGCCCTACCGAGCGCCAGATGAGACCAGACGTGATATCACAAGTCCAGAGCCCGGCGATATACTCGCCTCCCACGGCGGCATGCATCTGCGATGTGAGTCCCGTTAAGGCCAGTAGCTTGTCCGAACCATAGGAAAGCTTGCGGTACGAATATTTGGAGACAAGCGTGTAGTACTCGGATAGTATTTCCTCTCGAGATGGCTTGCGGGTTGAATGGATCTGCCTCATGATTTCCTGGTATTCGGTCGTCGTTGTACGCACGCCAGGGCTGCGAGGAAGGCCATCGGCTGCCTCGTAGCCGTGTAGGCATTGCCAGTACAACTGCTTCTTCCCGCAGAAGAGGCGCCGTGGTGACAGGATGAGCTCCTGTAGACACCAGCCTCGGATGGCCAAAGGAGACATGACGTCCAGCTTCCAGAGGTCCTCGTCTTCTACCTCTTCCAGCATCTGAACTTCCACGAACTGCTTGGGATCTCCATGGGGAAAGATCGGGACGCTTACTTTGTTTGGCTTTGGGCTGCCGGCTGATGACTCTTTCCGCGGGAATATCCCATGCTTGCTACCGGGAGACGTTGATGCGTATATCGTCACCGCAGCATTTTGATAGACAGCTGCCATAGTGGCCGATTCGACCTGCCAATCCAACGCCGAGTCCTGGAGGATACAGAGGGAATCGATCCACAGATACCGCACCCCGAGCTCTCGAACGAGTTTCACCGTATCCTGAAAATTCGCGGCAAGCTGAGAGACCGGAAGGTCTTCCAAAAAATCTCGAATCGTCTTTTCGCTGAGAACCGGTGTAATAACGCCGCCCCAACAATGACTGAGCGCGGCGTATTTCCCAGTGCTGCCCATGGATTGGACGATCCGGCATGCTTCAGACGCACCCTCGGCCTGAATATCGAGTACGCGAGTAGGAAGCCTAGGCAGCTTGTTGAGACGGCACTCAGGATGGGACGATAGGCAATCGTCCAGCCACCCTCGGGACAGTTGGTAGGTATCGGGCGAGTCAAGATCTCTGTCGATGTCGAATCGGCCGATGCGGTGTTTGCCGACATATACAGGGCAGTCTTGAAAACGATTTTTAGTTAAGCTTTAGGGAGTTAAGAAGTACGATAGAGTGTTATCGTACCACGAGAAGTAGTCAATGTGAGGAGTAGCTCAAGCCGCCACTCATGCAGCTCATCGAAGTCCAACACGGATCTATCATCCGGCCCCGGCCCAACATGAACCATCAGGGTGTCGAACACTTGGACGTCGTCAACCTTCTGCGGGGCGTTTCGCATGTGAGTCGTGTGGATGCTCAACTTGACGCTTGTTGTGTCACTAGGTAAAAGTTGTAGGGCCGAGTGCATCGTGACCCCCGCACCAAGTGCAGGATAGGCTGTCGCTTTGAAGCCGTCCACGATGAGCTGACATAATTTGCATCCTTTCTCAGCACTGTGTTCCAAGTCGGCGAACCTTTCGTAGTGAGGGTAGTATCGTGAGTTGTGCGGCAGGAGGTTTGAGAAGACGGGCTTGGAGAGCTCGACAAGGTCACTGATGAACAGGTTTTTGCAGAGACTACAGTAGTCCGCCATCTGGCGTGGTAAGCGGGACTTGAAATGGGTGAAGGACTTGGTTTTTCAATGGCACTGTGGTGGGAAATCAAACGACGAGCGATCTGTATGATTCGACGACAGCTTTTCAGAAGGCCTGAGAAGAATTGTGAGCACTTTCGTAGGTCCCGGCCAGTCGAGCATATATCGGCAGTGACAACCTAAAGCTCTGAAGGATTCGGGCCCACTTGGGGGCCAAGCAGATGCCTAGTTGTACATGTCGCGTAGATCCCAAGTGTGCCCTGGCAATGACTTCCATTACCGTTTCCGTGTATAAGTTTATATACCTTTTCAAACACCATCCCCTTATTGTATAAGTACAATATCATTGTGGGTTTATTGCTTGAGTAAGAGGTATGTTACGCTGGTGTGCTGCACAATTTTGGGAGGGCTGCATCAGGCCTCAGCAAGTAACTTCCATTAGCTGAATTTAGTAAAGTGAGCTATATAAATTACACCGTAGCATCGATGTCTCACCTCTGAAATAGTAAGCGCTAACTGTTAACCGCAACAGGCGCGACCACTGAGCAATGCAGCAAGACAACATGACTTCCCTTTCACTAGAATCAACAGCGATCAGTCCACCATCGATTCACGACCCGGTTTCGATACTGCCATCCCCATACGATGGTGTCCAAGGTCGAGACTGAAACCTTCCACCATGAAGAGCTCCCTGATGCCAGCACCTATATCAGGCTGGTTAAGATAATCAGCGTTTAAAAAAAAAATAAAAAAAAACACGGGACATCCCAGTCCACTGCAAACTCACGACATGGCCGAAGGCGACTGCGCCCAAATACACCGCCATATCGTACACATGGGGCGATCCGAATCTAATCGCTGTCATACTCGTCAATGGCAAGAGGATGGAGGTGCGGCGCAACTGCGAGGACGTCATCAGGCAACCATGTCGGATCAAGGGTGGCTTCTTCTGGATCGACGCCATATGTATCAACCAGGCAGACAATCACGAGAAGAGCTTTCAGGTAGCCAACATGGGCGAGGTCTTCAGAGACGCTCTCGGCACTCTCGCGTTTGTTGGCCGCCACGAGAATAACAGTGAGATTCTCTTCAAAAAGCTGCGCAGACATAAAAGCTTTTGGAAATCCTTAGACGTGTATAGTCAGCCTCACCCTTGGCCAGAGTCGATGCGCGACTCTACCATAACCGAGTTGTGCAATGCGTTCGGCATGTTTTTGAAAAGACCCTACTTCCAACGGGTTTGGATTTGCCAGGAGCTATGTTTCGGACGGGATATTCAAGTATGCTGCAAAGATATGCATGCAGAACTGTCATTCCTGTGGAAACTATACCAGGCCTCCGAAAGTTGGAATCTGAGCTCCATCAGTTTACCGGAAAATATCAAGTGGAAAGACTTCACGGCGATGCTGAATGTCAGGTCCCTTTTGGAATATGGAGTCACGCCGATGTCCCGAGGGACCTTGCGGCAAATGACAATTGTTGCTGGAAGGCTGCAAAGTGAAGACCTTAGGGATCGGGTGTTTGGGGTTCTGGCTATGATCGATTGGGACGGCGCGAAGCCAATTTAACTAGACTACAGCAAGGATCCATTTGACCTTGCCGTTGAGGTCTTGCACCGGATCGGCCATGTTGACTTTGACAATCGTTTCCTTCCAGAACCGATCAGGGTTGCACAATTGCTAGGACTGTCAGCCAACCCATCGGCTCGACTGGCCGATGAGATACAAGAACGACAATCAAAGCCTTTCGAGGCTCCAAGGATGTTTCCAACAAGCATGGGCCAAGAGGTTGATTCAATCCCTATGTCGAGCTTATTCTGGGCCAAAGGTATCTACTTCTACAACGAGAGCTGGCAAATTCAACCATCCTCTTCGACAGATGCTGTTGACCAGTCAGCATCTAGACCCGGGAGTAAAGAAACTCTGCTTCCCTCTCCGAATCTTCAAAAATGGTCCAAAGGACACGTTTGGGACATGCGGAATACAAAAGTGCTTTTACCACAAGAGGTGCAACCACAAGATTGGGTGTTAATACCCCGTCTTATCACACGTCTTGACCAATCAGCTCATTTAGCATTCATCGGATGGAATATTGATGATCATCAGCTTCAGATTGTGGGTAAAGCACTCGTCTTCGGATGGAAGTGTTGGCCAACAAAGTCAACATGGACGAATGAGACTACTAAGCTGGAAGTGTATCTCGATCCTAGGGATGCAATTGTCCTGGCTCACAGCCACAACTGGAGAGATATGGCCAGAGGACTTCTGAGCAAACAGGATGAGCCGCACATGCTTGAAGTTGATGGTTACTTTGAGACAAGGCTTTGTGGTGAAGGAAGTCACTCCTATGCTATACCTATAAAATCATCATTTTCACACGAATGAAATTAGTGCACCTAAACCAGATCCTTAGTTTACTGTTCCTGTTGCTGTCAACTCAAGCGCGAAGATGTCGAAATTTCTATTCTGCCTTTCTCTCTTGAATCTTGAGCAGTACTGAGACATAAATCTCACAATTGATATCATTTAACCAAGTATCTTATAGCTCTATGCCTGGTTTCCCTGGAGTGGATTTCATGTTGGGCTTAGAATATCAGCTCTGGCCTGAGAAGTCTTGCTTTCTTGTTATTCTGAGTCATAAGCATCTTGAGAGAGAAATTAAGGCTTTCATATCTCCTGTCTGTACTAGTATGACCTTGGGAGGAGAACTTGTGACTGATTATGTTCTTTGACGTGTCATGACCATTGGATTGCTGCTACTACCAATAATTATTAGACCCTATGCTTGATGATCTTAGTAGCTGCCTACATCTCATTCTTTGATTCAGAGCTATGACAAGCCCTATTATTCTACCATGTACAGATATGTACATCTGGACCTGGCATCCAATGTCACCGGCTTAGTACTTTCTTGGAGGGGCCCTACCAGAAACTACATATAGCGCTTCATTGGCTGTTATGAATTATTCTTTCGTACTTTTGAGGGAGCTTCGGCTAGCGTAATAAGTCTCACACATATGGCAAATGAAGAATTATGGGCTGTTCGGCTGGTGTTGTATTATGCAGCCACTGTTTAATCGTATGCCGAGTGAGTATATGATCAAACATAATGGGCCATGAATCAATGTGCATTGCAATGAAGACTTTGATCCTCTCTTTGGAGACCTCTGTGATATTTGGAACCCATGTTGGTGGCTTTGCAGGTGAAGAGGTTGATGACATCGCCGGCCGTCACGCCTTTCCACACCTTCATCCCCTGCCAGCCCCATCGCCCGGGAGACAGACCCAAGGAACACTGGCTTGCGACGACAACATCTCTTTTCGACAGGCAATCATCAGAAACCAAGTACGTTCGTATTCATCCTTCGCTGCTCATATATAGTTTCCCACCTAACGGAGGTCTTGGTAGTTCTGAGCGCATTTCAAGCCTCGCTACTCCATCAAGATGACAAGCCTCAGCGTTCTGGACAGCGATGCTGTTCCACAGACGATGTCTCCGCTCTTCACTCGACTCCCAGCGGAGCTGAGGCTGCGGGTATACACTTTTGTGTCCGTGGGCTGTCAAGCAACAGTCTGGTTTGACGGCGAGTTCGGCGAGAAATGGCGGGCCTGGCGGTCGTGGGGGCGCAGGGAGAGACTTGCGAAAGACGGGCAGTGCTGCTATAACCATTCTGGAGGAGGCTTCGCGCTGCTCATGACCTGCCGCATGGTCTACATCGAGGCCTTCCAGACATACTGGTCAGAGACGGCCCTGAGCGTGACACGTAGCCTGCAAACCTCAGGCTGGTATCGTGGATGTGAGCTGCAGCAAGTCTGCGCTCGCCTCCCTGTTGCGATCAAGGCAAACCTAGGCCACCTCCGAAACACCAGGCTGCCAAGAATCGAGAACGACACGCCGACTGACGATGATACCATCTGGGCCCCAACCCTCCTCGAGCAGTTCCCGAGGCTGGTGACCTGCGCGTTCCACGGTTGGCCCCCGTTGCCCAAAGTGAGAGATCCGCCGTACACTTCGGGGTTACCTGACAGCGGAAATGTTGCTTCGGTCTACCGCGGAGTCGGCCCCTTCCATTTGAAGGACGGAGAGAGCCCCAAGGCGTACCTCGAGCGCAGATTCGGCATCCAGCAGTCTTGCCGTATCATATTCCTCTCAACGACAAGAGGTTTTCCGCGCAAAGACCCTCCCAAGCGCTATGAGCAACGCGTAAGTCTTGTTCCCCGGGGGCCAATGTATGTGTCCCAGATGGAATAAGATGTGCTAATATACTTGGTTATTTTCCCAGTATCAGTACTTTAACTACGCCACGGGGTTGGTCTTTCAGACCACCACTCCCCCGCCGTATGGGGATGGCTTCGAGGAAATCCTGAGAGCAGAGAAAGGTTCGGAGTGGAGTTACGAACGGTACTATGATTGAGGATGCCGAAAGAGTCTGAGTATAGTTTAGACAATGGACTCTCTTGACCGCTCACAAATACCATGATAAGTCCCACGCCGCGACGGGGTTGGCATGACTCTTCGGTTCCCCACCCTCGGAGACGTCGGATGGACTGAGGATGGCAGTAGCTTGAGGCAGGGGCGGAGTCCTAGGCCAATGAATAGACTAATTGTGTAAGATAGGCGGTGGCCGGAGAATTACTCTAGAATAAGAGTCAGTAAGAACGATCTTCCTATTCTTGGTTCTCGGCTCCACCATCGTTGTGGGACAACTGAAAGTCCATAGAAGGGAGGGATCACCGCTCGTGCCGCGATAATCGAGCTGTAAAGTCTCAACACATTGTGCAAGTCTCGTTGTATGCAAGTCCCAGTGTGTAAGTACCCGCACGTCGGTACACCTGGGCACCCGGGATGATGCAGTGAGTCCACTGCTCGCATAGAATAGAACACGGACATTGAAGAATTTGACGACCATCCCCCTAAGATGAGCGATCTATTGTCTATCAAACCGCGGTCTATAGCGCTGTCTACCATTCAAATTCCTCAAGATAATTGTCCCACATCTGCCCATATGCGAAAGATTTAAGCAGACAGGGTCTTGGCATCACCCTCCTTAAGCTTGCCAGCCCCAACGAGGCGTTCCACCTCGCCCTTCCACACGCCCTTGATCTCGTCGGCGACCTTGAGGCCGTTGAGCTTGCCGGCCAGGGCAGCGATCTCGTCGGGGTCGATCTTGCCCTGGATGAGCTCGACGTCGCCGAGGACGGCGTCGATCTGGGCGGCGGAGGCGTCGCCCGAGGCAAAGTAGTTTGCGTCCTTGACGGAGCCCTTGAGCACACGCTTGTTCTTCTTGACGGCGTTCTTGGCCGCCTCCTTTGCCTTCTTGGAGCTCTCGCGGTCGGCCTTGGCCTTCTCCTCGGCCTCCTTGGCAGCCTTCTCATCTGCCTCCTTCTTGAGGCGGGCATCCTCTGCAGCCTTCTTCTCGGCAGCTTCCTTCTCGAGCTTCTTCTTGTTCTTGGAGGCGTTGGCCTCCTGCCTGAACCTCTTGATGCGCTCGTCGCCCTTCATGCAGTCGTCGAGCATGTTGCGCAGGCGGGTGTTGTCCTCGATCTTTCTCTTCTTGCGGGCGTTGGCGTTCTTGCGCTCCTGGTGGCGCTTCTGGTCGCGGTTCTCGTTGTCGTCGGGCACGTCCTCGTCGAGGTACTCGAACGTCCTCCAGCTGTCGAAGTTGTACCAGAAGTTGTAGAATTCCTCGACCTGTTCCTTTGAGGCGTTGGCGTCGCCGAACTGCGGCACGGGCTGGACCTTGGAGAAGCGGCCCTCGGCCTTGAAGACCTTGCCCCAGGCCTTGTAGAAGTCGACCTTGGAGCTCTGCAGCTGCTTCTTGGTTGGGGGCTCGACCTCGGCGCCCTCGTCGACGGAGTCGTACTGGCGGCGCTTGACGGGGTCGAGCAGGACCTCGCTGGCCTTCTGGATGCACTTGAAGAAGTTGTCGTCGTCGCTGCGGCCGCTGGCTGCCTTCTTGTCGGGGTGGTGCTTGAGGACCTTCTTGCGGTGGGCGCGCTTGATCTGCTCCTCGGTGGCCTTGTAGCGGTACTTGGAAATACCCAGAACGGCGTAGTGGTCTTGCTCCTGTGTAGCGGGATCGCTATCAGCATGATGGTGCTATGTCAAAGAAGGGCTGGAGCCGTGTCATACCTTCCAGTCCTTGGCCTCGCGCTGGAGCATCATGGGGTCCTCAGGCTCGCTAATCTCGCCTGCATCCTCCTCCTCGACGTTCTTAGCACGCTCCTGGGCCTGGATGCGGTCATCCTCGGAGAAGGTGCGCTTGTGACGGGCGCGGCGGGCGTGGGCGAGGAAGTGAGGGCCGACGGGCTCGATGGAGCGCTGGGTCGAGGCAGTGACCTTGCCGACGGGCTTGAAGTCCTTGTCAGCGGCCCATCCTCCGGGGAGGACAGGCAAAGATCGAGAGACGAGGGATGCGTTCGTCATCTTGTCGAATTTGCGTGTGGTGGTGATGGACGGTCGTCGGGGGGTCGCAGAAACTTTTTCTCAGCTTCTCCAAGCGAAAACCCATCCCGCCTTTTGGCGCCCCACTATTTTCCCGCTGCCTGCACACACCCCTTTTTCTAATGCACTCACGCCCCGGCGCCTGGATCTCCCCCAATTAGCCGCCAACGATCTTCGGGTTTTAACCATTGCTCTGCGACCACGGACGTCGTCTGCACACCTACATCAAGAGCCTACTGTCGACCATTGTCATATATACTGTACTTGAAATGGGAAGCCAGAAGTCAGCCATCGTTTCAGATGGGATACCTCAACAACCGCATCGACATTGGCCTCGTCCTGTAGCGAGGCGTTCCCAGCGTCCACCTCCGTCCTGGGTTTGCTCATGAACAGCTCTTCTGATGTTGCAGCTGGCTTGCTCTCCGTCAGAGGCTCCAAGCGATGGATTGCCCCACACTTGGACGGCTCATGATGATGTACCGAGTCGCTGGTTGACCTGTGATGCGAGACAACCATCGTCTTACGCCGGGCGTGTGCTGTCCAGCTCCTCCAGATCTTGAGAATTCTTGCGTGGGTCACGCCTGACTCGAGGAAGAGGCAGTCGATGGTGCTAATTTTGCTCTCTCCATCCCACGGCATCGAAGTATTAGAACAAGCATGCAAACCTGCAGCATATGCGATCAAGAGCTCACGAGTCGAAAGGCATCAGCCCCTTTACATTTTTGGTCACAGTCCAACATGCATCCATTTACTACTGTGACATGCCAGGTTCATCCTAGCTGGGTATCAACAAGCCATGACGGGCGCCCGGAATTTCATAAGGAAAGAAACCACCCGGAATTTCATAAGGAACGTCGTGTTAACCAGCGCCCGACCGTCTATCATCATCGGCCTATCCATCCTGCCTTCGTCAAACCGTCTCCTTCCAAATGGGCAGGAATATGAAGAGCAGTACACCGCAGAATGCGGCTGCCAAACCACCAGACCAGCACTGGAGAAGAATTGTTCTCTGCAACCTCCGCAGCACCTTGTCCTCCACCTTGAAATTCTTGTCATGCGCCATTGTTTTATTCATGAATGCCCTGTACCGTCTCCACCAACTGCTCGGTCTGGGCGCAGGCTGCGTGGTCTGCACAGCTTTTCCGTCGTCGTCAAACCGCTCCCACGGCAGTGCCTGTCTTCGGGACAGTGACAAGAGAATGAAGCACATCCCCTGCGTTCCAACCAATATCACAGCTGTGCCAAGAAACCAGAGCGGAAACGAGTAAAAGACCTCCCACCGACTGTGTGCGCCGATGTGCGGGTACAGACCACGCAGCAGCACGAGCAGGAACCCAGCGAGCATGTTGACGATGCCGATGACGGTTCCCACGCAGATGGTCTCGTACGTCCCCGTCGACACGCCTAGGCTAACAAAATTCCGGTGCGAGCAGTTCTTCATCACCTCGTAGATGTGGTCGGCCACGGGCTTGATGAAGCGAGGGTCCGATGACTTCTGGAGGTTGTTCAGCGCCCGCTGGCGGAGGGTGTGCGAGATGTTGAGTTCCTTCTCCGCGCCCGCGAGCAGGTACGTTGCGATGGCTGCGTCAAGTTCTGCCCGGTTCTCCGTCTGCGGCGCCTTGGACTGTTTGTTGAACAGTGGGAGAGGTACGGCCGAGTTCCCCTTCTCCTCATCGATATCAAATGCGCAGGTTCCGTCGCGAGCGGTGCATGCGTCTCCGCTGCCTAGGCGTTGTCGTCGTTTTGAGCTGCTGCCCGACATCAACGACCACCGGAACAGCCTGTCCGTCCATTTCGGCTCCGGCGGGGCTACTCGGGCACATGGTGCTTCGGCTTTAATTATGCTGTCCGACAAAGAACTTATCGATTGCTTTGCTGCACTACGTGTTAGCAGTCGAGTGCGAACTGAACAGCCTGGCCCATGGCGCGGCTTGGAGTCTTACCAGCTACGATCTCGGCTACACTGGACATTGCCGAGTACGTTGTCTCCGAAACTGCATCGGCATCATTTGGCAGCGAAGGCAGATTCTTGATGGGCACCGCGGTGGCGGCGGCGGCGGGCTCGTCCTTCGACTTGGGGTAGTTTGCCTCATAGTTCTTGAACCTGCAAGGATGGTCAGTAACGACCCTTTCCACGATCATCGACGAGACGCCGAGAAAACCTACCAGAGATAGAACTCCAGGTTCTCCGAGGAGTGCTCAACGTGTTTGAGATACAGGTAAAAGTCATGGAGAGACATGGGACTGCATGTCTTGTTCTCCAGGACTCTGTCCAAGCCAAGCCGGCTTGGTATCGATGTCGAAGGCCGGCTGTCAAGGCTTGGGGTCCGCACTCGATTCGGCCGAATGTCCTGGTCGTTGAGCTTGCGAGTGTAATCGCGGATATCCCTCCATCCTGGCTTCCTGTACCACACTCTCAACCAGCCCGGCAGGTCAGGCATCGTCCTTCTGAAGCGTCGCGAATGTCGCCGTATTGATCGCGAGTGGATATCGTGGGAACACTCGGAGGTGGTTTGTCACGGGCGACTCATGAACAAAAGGGACGCGGGTGCAAGTTCGGAAGAGGAAACTGGCTGATCGCATGGTGCCCCGGCACACAAGCGTATATATCGGCAACGACACCGAAGGATTCTCTGACCTTGTTCCTGGTGGTGTGGAGGCGTTGGGATCTGCACTTCGATCCTTCACTTCAAGTGTAACCAACAAGTGGCGCTGCCCTTGTGAGCATGTCAGAGGAAGCCCCAGGAACACCAACAGCTGTAGACTGTAATCGAGACTCCATCCCACGTGGAGGAACAGGCGAGTCAGGACAAGGGTGGCCGGGACCCATTTCACCTCGCACCGCATCCAAACCTGGGTGGTTTGCCCGACACGCGAGTGACGAGACTTCCCGATTCACTTGCAAATCCTGTTGCTAGTCACCTGGCTGAGGCTCTGCCCGAAGGGAATTGCAGCGGGTAAGGCATGTTTCACTTTCTGTTTCCCTTCCCACCCACCCACCGCAGGCGCGGAATGTCCGCGTGGTGGTGGTCCTCGCGCACCCCGCAGGCCGTCACACAGCATCAAAGATCGCGGAATGCTCGTGGATTTCTCCGGTGGTTGAGCTACTCACTTACTCACTCACCACGTCCCTGCCGCACACCCACAAGCAGCCCCATAATAATCGCCATGGGTTGCCATCATCATTGACAGGGCAACATTATCGATCCGTCACCTCAATGGTCAGGATTTCTTCCCCTCACAGGGCACACACTGCCTAGGCTTGGCCCCTCCATCTTTACTCACACCTTGCTGCTGCGTCGCCCGCCCGCAAATTGCTGCCCACATTCGGCCAAAAGTCAGCTTCCTCGCTAGGGCGGGAAGTTCCTCCAGGATCTGAGCTACTCAACACGGACAGGTTCTACTTGGCACGATCTGAGATGCCCACACGCAAGAGTGATGCAGCTAGTGACGGTCCTGCAGTTGTCTAGCGCATTGCCGCGGCTCCATCACGCTGCAGATCCGCGCGTTGCACCACATTGCGCATTTGGGTTGGCCTACACCTGCAGGTCGGTGGCCGGAAACTCGCGCCCAATGAGATGTTGGTTTGCGTGGGCAAATTTTCTTCAATTCCTTCCTAGCTACACCTGAACGAGCAGTTCGTGTCATCATCAAATTCCTCTGGCGTTGGTGCCAGCCCGGCCGGCCCGATCAGCACACCCTCCTTCGTGCCACACTGCACGTCGGCGGCGCGGCTCGCTGCTAAGATTGGAACACACTAAGCGGGCCTCTACATATACTAGCGTACGGTGATCCCTGCTGACGTTGGCTGTCGCCTAACCCGTCTCGAGACCCGTTTCCGTGGCTGCTCACCCTGACGAGGACCTATCGGAGATATATACCACTGAGGGCAAATCTCGAACATAATTGTCATTGAATCTCCCAATCCGCTTGCAATGATGCGGGTTCCTGGCTAACTCCCCAGTTTCTATGCGTCAGTGCGTCAACGACCGCTGTCGCCGCCGGGACGATCTTCGCGCCGCCGCAGGATTGGCCCAAGGAATTGAACAAATCTTGGTAGCGTCGCCAGTGTGCCCTTCCCCCGGATCGTCGCGCCTCAATTCCCCACCCTGGCTGTCAATAGGCGCCAGAAGGAATCTGGACGTGGTGGATCTTGATATCCAAAATGTATAGGCTGCGCGATCTTTAGCCCGTTCGTGGCTCGTGCGGGCAACGTTGCGTCGGGCATGGGCCGCGATGGATTCGCTTGCCCGTGTTATGGGGCCGTTACCAACAGGCCTAGCCACCAACGATCTTTGGTAATTATACTTCCAGTACTGTGCCGTAAATGTGGTTCGGTTTCTGGCAAAAATGTCTGCTAGCTGGTGTCGGATACCCACTTTGTTATTCGAGAGGCTGTTGGGAGTGTTCCTATTTTGAAAAGACTTGTCTTTCAGAGCTGAGGCGCTCTGTGACTCCGTCTCTGGGAATGATCGCTGTTCAGTTGTTGGTCCAGGCGGACCAGAATAGTCCATTGCTTTGCATGAGCCTCTGCCGTTGCAATCATGTCCACATAGGACCGCAGACCGGCCCAGTGTGAGGCGCGGCGTAGGAGCGGTTAGCCTTTTCTCGAAACCAATTATTACGTAGTCTCAATGATTCATAATTTTGAGTCTATAGAATGAGCTCAGCCTTGACAGCTGGTCCAAAAAATCTTGTACTGAGTGTGACGGAAAGCTGAGACCATTGGCAGAAAGATCTGCCCTCAGACCTCGGTGCGCCTTCAGCCCAGTAATCACGCCGCTGTTGGCCCGACCTGATGGCCCCCAACCTCATCAGCTGGGCCTGCCACTCAGTTTCTGAGATAGCAGGGCGAATCGGCCCTACCGAGAGGCTTTTGTGTTCGACGTCAAGAATCAGGTATTATTGTCAAACGCCAACAGCATGTTGATCTTGACATGTAGCTGATGTCGACTGACGCACCCACGTACTGCCACTTCCAGAGTGATACAAGCCGAGGCGAAGATGAAATCAGTCGTGAGAGGCATCAATAAGATACGCCTTGCTTAAGTTTTCATGACCCAAGACTCAGCCGATTCGGCTTCATCAACCGAGTGTCGGAGTAGGATTTAGGTTGTTGGTTCTCATTTAGGCACATGCAATTCGTTTTGTGAAATCCTAATCATTTTGAAACATTACATCGAAAATGAGCCCACATCATATCGCCATACGCATGATCTTCTAATATTAAGCTCTATTTTGCTGTTACTTTCAAATGAGTCGTTTTTGGCTGTCAGTGCAAGACAGAAAGACCCAGTCACAAGAATCGCGTTCGCTCAACGATACAGACGCCCAGGCTCAGGGTCACTCACCTCGTCATCTGACTTCGATGTGAACGCACAGTGACGAATCGCAAACTCATCTACCTCGACAACAGCCCACCTTATCGGCAGCAAATAACTGTCTTTCACTTCCTCAGGGAGCACATGGCATGCGGCGCTGATTGCACGGCTGTTGGTGGAGACCAGGCTCATTGGCTCAGCGTACTGTCGGAAACCAAGAACAAGGACAGCGATGATCTGGGTCAGCGCAAGGATCAGAGCTGGATTCACAAAGTGTTAGCACAAGTGACTGAAATTTGCGTTGCGTGCCGAGACTTCTCTTACCAAAGAATATTGCCATTGGGCTGTAGCCGGTTGTAGAAAAGGAGTTGATACGATCGGGCGTGCCGTCCGGGTGGAGGGCTGTGATCCGCGCAAGGAACAGGCTCTGAGAGAGCAGCCAGCTCATGATACCCGACGAGATGAACAAGGGAATGCCATAGCGAAACGGCAGGGAGATGGGGTAGCTCGACCGCTGCGTGTCGACCGGCTCAGACACCCGCAGCGACTTGCGCGTCTTGTACATGTTGCTGAACTCAAATTGGACCAAGAACGTGGTTAATATGCCATTGTAAAGGAGATAGAACGTGGATGCCATCAGCTGCGGGACGTTGGCCAAGATCACGTTAGAGATGAGTCCCCAGGGGTCCTCCCTCGGGAAGGAGGTGTAGATGAAGGTGTAGTCCTGAAGCTCGCCGAGGCCCATGGACCAGTAGGAGGACAATGATGTGCTGATATCACGGCGTTTGAGGCTTGGAATCGGTAAGGCTAGCAGAGCCGTCAGGATTCCTACACCGATGAGACTCCTGGAAAGCAACTTTTACGTCAGTGGAATGCGGGTAGAATTGAATTTGGCGAGACAATCACCTACCCGAGAATAAACCACAGCCAGCGTTCTAGGCTGACCGCATGTCTCCATTGATATCTTGCTGAATACCACGGCCGGGGCCATTGTAGGTCAGGCGACAGCTTTTCCGACCGCCCGAGTTTGCAAAAGAGCAAAGGCTTTCGGAAATCATGCATTGTTGCTGTGCTCATACCTTTCGTCGTGTGATCCGGCTCTCTCATGAACGACGCGATGGAATCCCCAAGCGTACAAAGCGGCTGCTGTTCTTGGGAAGCACTGGGTCTGCTGCCGTTCTTGGCCGCGGCTTTCCGAGCAGCAAGCCATATACTAAGCATGACCAGCACCTTGACAAGGTTTGAAGCACAGCACGTCCACAGAATCCAAGGAGAGTACTCCAGCTGGCAGCGCTTCTCGGACCACGGAGGCCGTTGCACCAGGCAGTGATCAACTTCGTACCTTGGCTTTCCGACGAACCACTTGGTCACCAGCGAGGGTGGCGATGTCAAGATCATTGCCGGAGGGGGGAAAGTACCGTTAGTCAAAGCCCACAGGTTCTTTGCCCAGTCGTCGTGTCTTGGGATGACAGAGACGTACAGAAGCAGGCTATCAGTGGGTGGATCCTGGACGCTCTGGTTCTTGACGAAGACGAAGCCATTTCCTTGCGGCCTGAAGTAATGGCTGTAATAATCGAAGCAAGCCGACACATTGAGCCGCATGTATGCTGAATCGGCGTCGTTGGCGTCCTCGCGCATGGTCCCGATGACGTCGGTGTAGTTGTTTGGCGGGTTGATTCGGTTGTCTTCCACAAATGACCAGTCTCGCCGGGCCCGCTCTTCGGCCGATGATACGCTCCAAGTGGTGTCGTTGAAAAATGAGTCCTTGACGACAGCAATTGTGTAGTCGAACGAGCTTGATGACTGAAACACAGCGGAGTTGTAGCTGTAATAGGAAAATGTCAGATTCCCGCGCGAAAGTCCTTGAGGTCGTTGCTTGGCTTACAGCATATTTATCGGAAGAGACGTGATGCCCAGTATGACCCAGGAAATACGCTTCCAACCTTTGATGTAGAGGAAGTTTCGAGGACTGTGTAGCCCAATATCCAGCCAAGTCCCTTTCTGGTGAGCAATATCGATGTCTGCACGCGTTGGTGCTGACTGAACTTGCATGCAAAAGTTCGACGCGGACAACATCAATGTCGATAAGACGCTGATGAGAAGATGAAGCCAAAGATTCAGCTTGCGGACGGTGTCACAGTCGCCTTTATATAAGAGGCCGACAGCTTCCACACTTGGGTACTTCAAGTTTGCGTAAAGTGTAAGACTGAAATTGGTTACAAGAACGGCCGAGACAAGAATGATTTGAGCGACGAGCGATCGACTTCTTTTGGACACCCAAGTTTGCCCTTGCTTCCATGAGGCACTAACATCGATGCCCAGGAGCCGGGTGGTCGATAGGCTAGTTGAAGAACGACTGACTGCAAAGGCCGCAAAGGTGCCAATCCTGCGAGCCATCTCAACGAATCAGTCTGGCCTAGGTAGTGATGGCGCATGTGATGGAACTTCAGTGCATCTTTGGCTGGACTGGTTGACTCTCTTCTATAGAACGAGGCCGGATAATGCAACCCTGACCATTTCTGGCCGCACCCACCGCCACGGGAAGACACAGCCTTTTCATGAACAGCCTGAGGCCAATTAAGATGCAAGTACTGAGCCCAAGGCTCAATAGAAAGATGACTCCCGGTCCGGCCCCCACGGGTGGTCGCCGTTGTGAAGCCATCTACCAAACACGTTCGAGGGGACTAATTGGCCATCACCGCCGTGGGGGCGCGACATGGAGCCACTTCAGGCTGCTCTCAGGCCTCGCCACCAACGTCAAGCTGCCGAGGCTCACCACAAGGTGAGATTCACTGGGGGCCGGGTGCCTGGCTTCGGTCTTGACACAAGAATCTCATTCGCTGGGAAACGGGGCCGGAGGCGCATCGATTGGACGAGCGCAGGCAAATGAGTACGCGGCACACCCAGCCTCAGGCTGATACCTGGTGGTGGAGAAATACGGCCTTTCATTCGGTCTCTTCGGGCCGAGCATGTTTCCGCAGTATTCGCCCCAAGTCTTGAAAAGGGGTTTCAGCCTGGAGGACTAGCAGTTCATTCTCCCGAAAACTTGAGGGGACGGGCTACCCATCTTGCAAAATTCCAGAAAGCCCAAACGTGGTTCAAGTCCGTTTACGACAAAAATGTTAGTAATTTCATTTCTGTGAAGACCCCCAAGGCCGCCCAGGTATATTGAATATCAGTAGCGACTAGATATTGGCAGTGAGATTGTAAGAACATCAACATAAGCGACTGATGCCTTGGGGGACGACGGATGTGTACAAGCTTGAAGCATTGCCTGTGTTCCGTTCATGTCCTGTTCCGTTAGTGAACAAGCATTCCGCCAATCCTTGCCTGATTTCTGCAGTGTGTACAAAGGCTCAACATCGGCAAGACGTATCCAAGCACCTTTATAGATGACTTGACGGTTGACGGGATTCCCGCCCATCCATCGTTTTTGGCAAGTTCTGACAAAAACTCACAGACACTCTTTGCGACTATAGACAACTAGCTTGAGAGCGTCCTTTGTCCCGTCCTATGCCAACATGCCTTCAGACTCTTGATTTAAGATGCTCTCACGTCGCAATATCCTACTGCTGCGAAGATACATCACACCTTGAAAAGAGGGATACAGACTTGAATACACGAGCTTCATAAAATCGAAAATGCGAGCACAAAACACATCAGTTCTCTTGGTGGCCTGCATCATTCTGCCGCTAGCCACGGCTGTTGGGCCCAGCGGTCCCACTCAACCAGGCGCACCAGCAGACTGCACTTCATGGTACTCTGCAAAGAGTGGAGATTCAGCCATTACGGTCGCTTCCAGCCAAAATGTCCGGCTCGAAACATTTTTGGATGCAAACCCGCAGTTATCCGGCGACACTTTAGCGCTTGAGGAGGGCTATGATTACTGCGTACCGCTGGGGTCTCAAACAGTAGGTCCTGCTGGCCCTGAGCACTTTGTTCCATTCATCAATGAAGAAATCTTCGAGATTGCCGGTAACAACTAATACTAGCCACCGACCCAGGATTCCAGTGATGATACTGCCAGTAGCGAAACAGGTTCAATTGTTGAGAAGGAAAGTGAGGCCGACAAGGGTTCAGATGGTCTTGCTGAGAGTGTCGGAGCGGCTCGCAGGGATTTGGAGGGAGCCGAAACGGTCGAAACGGATAATTTAGTAACAAAGAGATATACGGGAATGGACAGGCTACGTGATCAAAACCGGAAAAAACTAGGTGGACATCGGTGACAACACCTGGCTTCTTCACGATGACAGAGTTAAAGCCAGTGACCGGGCTGCCGCTGAAAGGTCCCAAGACCATAAAGTAGATATTCTAGTGCAAGACAGACGGCTCCTTTCTTATGGAATTTGGTAGCAAGGCAAGATTGTTTATAATTATTGTGCCATGCTCAAGGTCAGACGCAAAAGTAGGTGAACATATAGGATCTGGTTTAGAAATGCCTCTGTTACATGCGGCAAAACCCAAACTGGTTTGCAATTGGCTCAGTTAAGGATATGCTAGGGCTGTTTATTCAGCCAGTTGTGCCATCGAGACAGCTTTACACCCCGTCAATCCGATATGCAGTAAGTGAATTACTTCAGTATTAAAAATATAGTGCAAATAGTGCACCGCTTATTTATGCACGTCAGGTCTATTCTCTTGTTAGTGCTGGTGCGAGTATTCTGCGCATTTCAAAATGCTCGGCGGCTGGACAGGGCCACTTAATTTACTTCGTATCATGTCTTAAACGAAGTCTAGATACACGGGGAACTGAGTTGCCACAAAGATCTTTGAAGATAATTAACTGGAAGTGGAGTAAAGAACGAGAATTTATTTTTGCGACTGCTTGCGTTGACATTCTGTGGGATAAAGAACAACTCACTTGTTGTTCGGAATGAATCTGAGGACAGGGGCCCCTGAAAATACGTGAGACCTATCTGAACGGCTTAGTTCTCCGCTTTGCCTTGAACTAAGTCCTGATTTGGACAAAAGAGAAGTTAGGAATCGTACCTGTGAATCCTGGGGCACTCTGAACGTTGTCCCAGAAATCTTGGATCCGGCGCATGCTCACATAGTTTTCGAGGCCCTGAAAACTGTCCCGGACATCAAATGGCGGCGCCATGGGCGCAGCCGCTGTAGCTGAAGGAGGGAAGAATGTCAGGTGCTCAAAGTGGAGACAGTCCAACCGAGGCCTACGATCAGCAAGGCGTGTGCGCGGGACAGGGCCAAGCAGGAAATATATGTTCCGCGGTAGGCCCGGACGGGGCAGAGCGTTGGCACCCGGACGGAAGATTTCGTTCCAGACCGGGTCGACGGCTCGCAGCCTCGCCAGCGCGGCGCTGACCGGCTCTACGGTCCCGAGACTTAAGTCACCAGTAATATGGGCCACGAATGCGATTGCAGGAACTATAATGTTCGGCAATTCGTTGCCTAAGACCAGACTCATCGCCATCATGGACGGGCTGGCCAAAAGGACGTTCTCATCACCACCGAAGAACACAATGTCGGCACCTGGGTCGATGTGGGGGCCAGTCAGTCCCAATCGTCGGAGCCAGGGTGTGTCGAAAGTGCTACCCATCGTCTTGGAGGTCACAATTCGGCTGCGGTGACAGGTTGCGAGGAGGCTAGAAACAGGGTCAGTCTCGGCAAGACAAAAGTGGTTCGAAACAGGCCAACCTATGCTGGCGTCAACATTGTTGAGGTTCAGAACCTGGTGTGACAGGCGCGTGTCAGGCGCACTGTGGACTCGCAGGAGTGCGACTCGCGGTTTGCGGTTGGGCGGGAATGCGTGTTCCCACACCTGGATCTGAAGCTCTACGGGCAGCCTGAGGAAACAGGTGAACTTCGGTCGCTGCTCGTGGTTTGAAGAAGATGGCAAGCCTTGAGACGACATGCTGAAGGTGATTTTATGCGTGTTTGTGTGTCTGTGAAGTGAAGTTTCAAGCGTGCTTCTGCATGCTTCTCGCAGGAATAGGAATCCTTCAATGAAGTAGCAGAATGAGGCCTAAATATACTCGACGACTTGGACAAGATTTAGTGGCCGAAGATTATGACAAAGACGTAATAATGAATTGTTAGGAGATTGACATTGAGTTGTTAACAATGCCATTGTTGAAGAGGACATAACAGTCATGTCTGTACACAAAGGCATTGTGGCAAGTACAGTCTGATAGAAGCGTAAATTTTAAGAGCTTCCGAGCCCCATACTTGTCCAGTAACAGTATTCTTTGTAATCAACAGAACTCGTTAATGATCGCCGTATTTCCATGGTCGGACACAAGCTGGACTAGCTTACTGGAGGTTGAAAACTGATATGATGGTCATTACGCTGTGATGTAAACTATTCAGAGATAGGTTCAAGGTATCTTTTGAGGTAGACAAAATCCCCGGCCACTGGATCCATTATGGTGGCATAGTGTGTGGACTCATTGGTAATCGGCCACGCCTCAACCCATTTGACCAACTGAGACTCTGTCACGCTCATGGCCGTGTCTGCATCTCCACGACTGGCATCCTTCCTACGCCGCCGAAATGCCTCCTCAGCTTTTTTCCACTTCGACTCGACGCACTGTTTTCTGTCTTGAGACTCTTCGACCAGCTCACTCATGCCCGTGACGGCAAGCTTGGCGTTATCACTATCAGTCGCACCGGCTGGATTGTTGTCAGAGCTCGCGTCATGGTTTGTGATGACGATGAACGACGAGGACGTGCTGGTGTGGGCAGTCACGCGGTCCTTCTCCATCACCAGGGTCCGATCGCCGTCGCTGAAAGTCAGATATGCTGCAGTTGAAGGTAATGACGGCAGTCGTTGCTGGATTGAGGAGATTGTATCGACGCGTCCATGGCCGTCGCTGGAGTCGGGAGGAAGCAGGATGCTTCGCAGGTTAGAGCTTATGGAGGGCCTTCGTCCAAGAAGCACAAGCAGTCGGTGATATTGGAACTGCAGATTGGACATGTGTGAATGGCTGTCGTTGTGATACGGGCGGAAGTTGAGAGACATGCTCAAACCCGGTCGGACCGCAGTGAGTGCACCGACAAATCCGACGTAGGTGACGGACCGGGCGATGACGGGGCCGCCAGGCTCGTTGACGAAGTTGAACTGCACCACGACTTCGCGGAGGGGATCCATCGCCCAGTCCAAAGTCCGGAAGTGCAACATCCGTGTCTGCCTGGAACTGCCCGCTTTGCCCGTCTTGATCCTTGCACCCCCGCTTGTGCACCCCATGAAGAGGTCCAGTAGTGTATTCAGGCAGACAAGAAGGTACATATCGACACCGCTTGCCTCACTGATCCCTCTGATTTCCTCGGTCTGTTCCTTGCTGTGCAGCCGCCTCAACAACAGCCTTGCGAGGCGAGTCGTCGTTTTGAGCGGCAGGCCGAAGCCGGTGACGACATCTTCGAACAGCTCGGTCAGATGTGGGATCTTGTTCCGGAAGTCGTGCACAAGCTCCGTGTATCTTCGAGCGGGAGGGCGGGACAAATCAATTGTGTAGATCGGCACTTCATCCATCGCGTCTTGTAGAGCCTGGACTGAAGCGGCACTGGCTAGAGCGAAACGCGGAGAGCTCATGAGGTTCTGAAAGGGATCTGCGTATGCAGTGACGTTTCACATGGAGTGAATCACTCCGTGCGATGAAAGCAAGAGCATCGGAGAGACTTGGGTGACACGGTGACACACGAATAGGCGGGACCTTCCTCTCAGCCTCTAGGACGGATGGTGGTTTAGGCAGCGGCTGCACGTGACCAGCCGTACCACATAACTCGGTGCCTGCCTGTACCTATGGCTCATGTTTCAGTTGCGCATGCTAGGCATTAGTCGGGATTTCAAGGTTCTACTGTGTTCATGTCGCCGAGAACGCGTCCCAGCAAATGCCAAACGCCAGTCCCATGTTGTCGACAAGCTGCAAGGTGAACGACTCGTTGAGCCGTGTGTGATGATCGCTTATTATTGCGGACATTGCACAATTGTACTTGCAATATCGAGATGCCCGGACAAATGTCCCTGGTGCTCTGATCCTCAGATAAGATAGCATTTGAAGATTCTAAATTGAAACAATATCAGATACAGACATCAAGTTGCCGTTCCGTCTTGTTAGCGATGTGGAGCCACCCTCAGGCCCAATTACGTAGAATGCAGAGGCAGAAACGATAAACTGGATCAAAACTAAGGATGTGCACTCCATTGCAGGACGTGGAAAAGGGTTCATGCGTGATATCTCAAAATTACATGGACTCAGGCCTACATGTCAATGAACATGACCATATAAGCCCTTCGAAGCTGCATTGGGCGATTTCTACTGTAGAACTATGTAGTGGAGGGATCGCTATATATAGCGGTAGGGGAAAGGGGGAAGCTAGAGCCCAGAAGAGGCATTGGGCGAGTAAATCACTACGGTAGCTGCGGGAACACCGTGCCCCTAGCATTAAAAAAATCAGCAATGAGATTTCCCGTTTCGATTCCTCCAATGAGCGTTTGTGTCATGTAAATGGGCCCTTGGGAGTGTTGAATCAACGCGATTTGCGTTCGAGGAACGCTCCGTCCAGACATAAATGCACTTGCAGTCCCTGCAAGAAAGTGTGCAACGTTTAATTGGTACACGCAAGATACCATACACAACAGTTCCATTCGCTTCCACTCACCAAAATGGCTTTGTCATACTTTGCCGTCCGTTCTCTCCAATTACTTTCGCTCAACCACCCCGTCCAATGTCCGGTTGTGTTGGATGGCCGCATTACCCAAAACACCACTCTCTCGGTGTTCGACACCAATGCCAGCCGGTTCAACCCCGGATACAGCAAGGGCCAGAACCTCTCATGGTCTCAGATCCTCGAATTCCCCGAAGTAGCACCATCGCTCTTCGACGCCTCCACGCCCGAGAGCTTCAAGCCCATCGAGGTGACCATCGACGACAGGTCCATCTTCAACCCCAGCGGCACCAACCCGCAGCTTGGCTTCAGGAGGGCCGGCCTGCTGCTTGGCAACGGATCTGATGCTTCAAATGAGGGTGTAATGACGTTCCATTGGAGCTCAAAACAGGATGCCGCCCGGCCGCTGAACCTCACCCACGAGTACCTCACCGTGTGGCACGAGACCAACGACTCGTCCGGCTCGCAGTTTGCGCTGCAGCTCGGGCTGCCCCTGGGCTCTAACGATACCTCCGAGGCCGCGTCTCACAGCTGCAAGATGCTGCACCGGAACAACACCGTTGTGTTCACGTCCCCGCTCAACTTTGAGGAGTGGCAGAATTTTGCCGTCACTGTCGACATCCCAAATGAGTGCGTGTTTGAAGTGCATTGTGTTTGATACTTGAAAGCTAACAATTAATTCTCAGTACAATCCAAGTCTACTTCTCCGAGGGCGCTTCCCCGCTGGAGGCTGTTACTGAGGTTCTGCCGAACGACAACAGTGGTGGCGGCGCTCTTCAGATTGGTTTGCTCAAGAAGCCCACTGAAACCAAGACAGTCGTGTTCGACGGGTTTCAGGAGAGTCCTCTGAACGAGGGCCAGATTTATGGAGGCTTATTTGTGGAGAACAGCGCGGACAGCTGCGTCTCCCTTGGATCTCCGAAAGCTTGATAGTCTTTGAATTCTTTTAAGAGCATTTGGCCCTTTTCCCGGTAGCACAGTTGACTGCAAAAGCGGTATGTTGACACTTGGCATGGCCCAATGGCCTAGGAATTTGTACTGTACATGATTGTAGGGGGGTGATCCAATTGCCAAAATGAATTTGGTACTGTCCATAAACAATCCAACACCTTCTTGATACCCAACTATTGACTAGTCTGTCACTGGTTTCCAGTCTACCACCAACTTCACATTATGGGATTCCATGAATTACAAAATGTCAAAGAACGTAACGGAAGTTCTTATTTTCGAATTCAGTCTTATCCTGCATTCCAGCTATCACTTTGCTGCTTATCAGCAGCTCCATATGTGTGATCACGATATCGGTTGATGAAGAACATATAAGCTGAAAGAGTTAGCCAATGTTTGACGCGAAATCATTGAATTCTAGGATCGACGAGGGAACGATTGTCATACCGAGCAGAAGCAAGTTGGAAACTAGCTTGACGAGATATGCAACTAGGAGGCCTACTGTGGCGCTCCTGTAGTACGGTGCCTCGGATTGCTTCACGATGAAAGGGCCAGAGAAGCTGCCCCAGCAATTTCCCGTGCTATGATTCTCATATGTGAGCCCTCGAGCAAAGACTGATATTTCGTAACTGACCTACAATATCATTGCACTCGCGAAAGACTTATGCGTATAGCCTGCCATGTTTGAGGAGATCATTATGAGGCCAATTGTGTAGCTCACCGACTGGGAATTGACCAGCCAGAAACACACTAGCCGACCCCATTGGTTTGATCGCGGAAGGTATGCCATCAGCGCTGCAGATACTGCGCATAGCACGTTGACTATGGCGGCTGTCAAGAGACGAGCTATGATGAACTCTGGTGAGTGATTCGATAGTAAGTGTGGACCTGGGCCGGGTCAACTCACAATGGCGAACCTTTAAGATCACTGCGCCTCCAATGAACAGCGTCACAACCTGAACAGCGTCGCCAACCGACTTCAGCGCCGTTGTTATAGTCGTGGAGAAGCCCATGTCCCTAATAATGACCGTTGAAAAGGAGGTGACGACTGCGTGGGGGAAAGAGCCGGCGAAGATAGAAATGGACACAAGTAGGACTTTCAGATCGTAGAAAGCTAACATGGCCTGTTTCTTGTCCAGATATTTGTTCTTGATCCCTGATTCATTTGCCGCAACCCTCGACACAGCGATGATCCTCTCCCTGGGAGAAAGAAAACGAGCAGCTGACGGGTTGTCTGGTAGAAAAGATAGCACCACGAAAGCCCAAAGACATGTGGCTCCACCCATGATGTAGAATATCAATCGCCATCGCTCATGCACGCCAGGAGGTAGTTTGGATACCCCCATAGCGACGTACGACCCGAGGATGCCGCCCCAGCCCACTGCAGAGAACCAGACGCACTGTCTTAGCAGTATCTCTCGCCGCGTGTACCAGAACCCCGTCATAAGGGTCAGACCCGGGGTAATGGAAGCTGTGAATATTCCCACGAGGAAGCGTACGGCCAGAGCGCTCCCGAATGTCCTGCACTGCGTCATGAGAATGGTCAACAAGCCCATGCCCAGGATGCCGCAGGTGAGCACCTTTTGTGCTGGGAATCGACCGATCAGCCAGCCGCAAGGGTACTGCCCTAGAAAATATCCCACATAAACCATCGACGTGAGATAGCTGAATTGGCTTCCGTGCAGTTCAAGAAATTCCTGGTATCCGAAGAGGTTGACATAATTGAGGGTTGTGCGGCACATGTGTTGCAAGGCCTGGGTGATGAGGAAGATCGGTATAATGACCAGATCAATCTTCCACCTTGTGCGCCGTGCTTCGGAGCCTGAGAACTCGAGATTGAGGCCAGCGATGTATTCACTGTATCCAACGGAATTTTGGATCTGTTTCTGAGAATCAGGAGCTTCAGCCTCAGAGGTCCTTGATGGCTGGTTGTCGAGCTCGAGATCTGCAATGGTACCCGTGTGGTCTCTGGAAGAAGGGAGTGCCATTTCATAGAATATTGAAAATTTCCAAAATAACAATGATCAAAAAATCTAGATATTGATTTCAAACAGAGGAAAACAGTTCGTGGGTATTTCGGAATTCGCAGCACACTTAAGCTTCATGGAGGCCTTTAGCAGACGTGTTTATCAGTTGAACGTGTCCAACCGGGACACTATGAGGAAAGTCCTCTCACGCCAGCATAGATCACGTTGAGATGCTATGCGGTCACCACAACTCTTATATCATCGGTGTAACGACGGATGACGTATTGGCTATTGGTGTGGGAGTGGTGTGTAGTACCACAAGATCACCCTCGAAGCCACACGGCGCACAGAGCATGTCGCGATCTCTAGGTCGGAAGGAAGTGATATCCCCCAACAGGGGTATATCATGTTAATGGCTCGGGATTTCAAGTTACCTTCAACGCTCTATTACGTTTGAGAATGTCTCGAGTCCAATGGTTGTTGTCAAAGCCTATCTATAGCGGCAAGGTTGTGAGCATACATGAAGCCATAAGCAACGTGCCCAGCCTGAGGAGGCGGCCGATGCTGCCCTAACGCTGCGCACATATTTAGATAGTCTGTTAGCCTTTTGGGCTTTGCATGATCGTTATGCGTATCACGATAAGCTAAACATTCCGAGAGTTTGTATTTGTCAAGGCATGATGAGCTTGCACCGATCTCACACGCTACAGATACCTGAGCACATACTCGACGGCGATACATATCATTTTATACTTACAATCTTATCAATAAGAATGGCTTGTTTGATGATGGAAGGAAAACAATCTTGCTTGCCCGCGCGGCTGACCGACCTCGAATCCCATCATTAGCCTCGACCACTCGAAAAGAGGGTCAACTCTAAGGACTGGCGACGAATGTCCGGGCGAGACGCCACAGAAGCCATAGTGTCGCACAAGTCACCATCACCTTGCGTTGGTGTGTGATTGAGTCAACCAAGCTTCTCCCTGGATCACCAGCCCGCAGCATCCATCAGCAACGCCGTAAGACTTTGGTCCAAATCCCGCGCGATCTTGTCCACCCGATCATTCCTAAACTGGCCGAGGGTGCCCCTCGGCCTGTCGTACTCGAACACGGCGACCCCTTCCCTCTCCCTTAGCAGCACCCTGATGGGCGCATACAGTGAGATCCCCAGCTCGAACGAGTTCATTTGCGTGGCGGTGTAAGGGTTGCCGATATCGTATTGCACAGCCTTTTCGGTCTTGTTGAGGGTGCGCAGCAGGTTGCCGAAGTTCCGGGGTGGGACGATGAACGTATTGAGCGCAGGTAGGCTTTCCAGTGCCCGGAGCGCCCCGGCGACATCCCCGGCTGCGAGAAGCGTGGAATAATTTGTGTTGATAGGTGGCAACGATGCCTCAAGTGCGGCTCGTGTGTCTTCGAATGTGCGATTGCAGACTATCGTTGTGTGCTCTATGCTCACGATCTTGGTGGACTGTGCATGATCTTGGATCGAGGTTGTCTGACCCTGAGGAACTAGCAGGGCGAGGAACAGCCATGCTGATAAATGCTGAGGCCAATGCATCCTGATGAAGGTCAATCGATTGAATCACTATGAGGTGAGAATTTTGTTGTAAATGAACGTTTTCGTGTGTGGTGCTGACGAGAAGGACAGAAATCTTCTCCTGAGTACCTACGGTGAGAGGGCACACTCTTGCGCTGAGAGGCTAAGACGAGGCAGTGGGGCTAAGGAAGGATTCAGCGTCAGCGATTAGTCCAGTATTCTCTTCAACGGTGACTAGGACTCCCCGGTGATTGGTCCGAGAAATGAATATCACCTATGGCAATTACGTACCAAGACATGGACAAATGTGTACATTCGAGTTGTCGATTGGCGACTTGCTGGACTGCCTGTGACTGTCTGTTGAGTAAGTGAGCATGCCGCTCTGTCTGAGTGCTCCTCATTTGAAAGCACTATTCAGAACGGCACGGCATATGAATTTCGAAGTGGAATATCTACTGAGCCAACATTACCAGCAGCGAGTGATTGCGGGAATTCAGCTGCAGGCCCGTCATCAATTTGCAGAGTCATGCTGAATTCTCAAGGTTCGATGAACCAAGAGTCAATTCAATGCGAGGGGGCGATGGAAGAGGCAATAGGGCTGCGAGGATGCTGAGCGACTACCTTGAGTTGGGTTGAAGGGCCATAGAATCATTTGAGATATTGAGCCGCTCATGTTCCCCTCTGCACGAGGACAAGTGGGGCTAGAAGACTCAAACGGCTTGCTCAAAAAGGCGGTCATTAGCATGTAGACACGGGGATTAGCGCCGACATAGAAAGCATGGTGGTGAGAAGCAGGTTAGGGAAAGGAGGTAACTGTTCGGAGAAGGGCCAACCATGTCTGCCCCGTCCCTAAACTGGGGCTATCCTGCAGCTGAGATGCTCATCTGGCGAACGCCACATTGAATTTTAAGCAGCAAAACATGCTTATCGTCGAATCATGTCGGGCCGCATCAGTACCAAGACACCAAAACTGCGAGATTAGCCGGGGTCAGAATCCCTTAGGCAGTCACACTATCGTTCTGTGGGACAATGTCCCCAGCATGCGGCTTAAAGTCCACGAGGCAAGGGAATACAAAATTCAATCGTTGACCCGTCCTTGGTCCCAGGCAGCTCGACAGGCATACGAAAACTCGTCTACCCGCCTTTCGTGATGAGGATTCTTATATCGGCCTCGCATCATCCACTCACTTTCCTTCTTGCGGTCGCTTCTCTCTTGGTAAATGCGGTATCTGCTATCACCTTTGCAGAGTGTAAAAAGACAGTAACTGGATTTTTAAATGACTCAAATTATAGGAATGGCCAGATCTTCTTTGATGGCTACGATGTGGCTTACCATGGGCCCCTCCATGGGTTTAGAGGAGATGCCGACACGCGCCCAATTGCACTCACAAAAGATGGCTGCAACAAGATGTGTGGTTCAACGCCAAAATACTACAGTGTAACAGACGCCTTCCAAATCCTTACAAACTGGATATTTCCAACCTTAGCACTCATGAGCCAGCTTCCCTACGAGTCTCTTTCTTATAGGAAGATCAAGAACGCCGAGGCTTTCGCCAACTGGATAGGCGCGCCAGCCGCTGCATTGACAACTACAATGTGGAACATCATGATGATCGCGAGGTGTCAGTCTTACCCTTACCTGTTCCATCTGCGGGACGATCAGGACCTGATCAAGGATGCGCTGTACATCCTGAGCTGCATCAACCAATACCAATACCCGCGTCGACAGGGACAGCAAGCCCAGGACCGACGCAGAGACACTGCCTTACTCAGGGGTATCCTATTCCACTACGTCAAGAAGAACAGCCCTGAGCTCTCTCAGCCCATGCGCCAGAGACTCGTGCATCTCACCAAACACCTCGCCTTCCACTTAAGGCAATACAGACGCAAGGGCGTTTATCCGATATACATCAGCATAATCTGGTTCGGCATCGCCTTCGCCTTCTCAATCGTGATTGCATTCGCAACACTGGGCGACAACTCGACGGCTCACTCACTCGCGCTGGGGCTGCTCCTCTCCTGGGTCCCGGTGGTGGTCTTCGCCTCTGTGGTCGACCGGAACCCGACCTCCGACACTCGCTGCCGAGTACTGATTGAGCGCTGGATGTTCAACATCGACCTCCTCTTCGAGCAGGGCGTGGAGGCCTGGGTCCCCTGGCGAGCTCCGGACGGCATGCACGACGGGGACGACACGGATGACTTCGAGATTGGGGACTTTATGGGCCAGGGCCGTACACTGCGGTACTGCGGCGTCACGGATACTGTGTTGGACAAGATTGCGAACCGCGGAAAGGCCCCGATTAATCTTCTTGCTTTACTCGATATGCAGGACTTTCAGAGATTTCAGAAGTCTCTGACGACCCGGCCGACAGGATGGTACGTTGTCTGGATAATCAGCCAATTTGTTGTGAGCACCAGCTTTGGGATGGCATTCATGGTTTCGTTCAACACCCCTACGGTTGGCTTGGGCTGCCGGTCGCTCATGTATGTCATCTGGTACGCGCTCACTCTTCCTTCGTGGATCCTGCTTGGTATACAGCAGGAACCGTGGGTCAAGATCCGCAAGGCTATGATGGTGCCCAACGCTCTCGCCGTGGTCATGATCGCGGGGGTAATGATAGTGCACGCCATCGGCGGGTTGAATAATTGCACATGCAAGTCAAGCGTCTTCGGCCCGTCGAGCTACGGAGGCTACATGGATTTTGAGAACGGGCAGTTCTACCAGGAGCATTATGACGTGCGTGTCTGGTGGGGAATAGGCACTGGTGTGGGTGGTGCGGTTCTTGTTCTGTCGCTTGCTTGGCTCGCTTGGAAATGGCACAAAGCATCAGGGCTTTGGAAGGTGACCGGGGATACGAAGTTGACGGTTAGCGAAGATATGCCCTTGCAGTGGCTGACGTGATGAGGTGTGAGTTAGGAATTTGTTGTAATGTTAATTTAGACTTTGAGATCTGTGATGGCATCTTAATTAATGTTCTATAGTAGCACTAATGTGTCCGAGTTTTTGGAATTAAAGACCACTTTGTACTCTGTGAAAGGCATCATGACTATGCTTTTGATATACAGGACCACATATTACCTGAGCGCCAATCTCATACCTACTCGGACTTTGGAAACAAGTCCCTGTACTTCAGAAGATATTCCCGATACCCTTCAGGCTTCCTTCCCGTCAACTTCTCCACGGCATCCGTTGTCTCTTTCATGTGACCCCAAGCAACCATCTGGCCTGAGCAAAGCAGATCGTACATGCACAGCTTGCAAGGCGTTTTTGAAAAGTCCCCGTACACATCGTATGGCAGGCCTTTCGCTTTCCACCACTTTTCCAGCTCCTCGTCGCTCAAGTTCTCGAACTTCCCCTTGTAGCCACTCTGGCTCGCCATCCACTCGAAGATCTCCCTATTCGTCACGGCCTCGGGCCCAGTAACGGTGTACACCGTGTCCGGCTCGCCCTTGCCCATCAGCAGCGCCCCGAGCACCCGTCCGCAGTCATCCCTCGCCACGAAGGCCCCCTTGACATCAGCATCGTTGGACAGCCACCTGTCGCCCGCGAACCCCCAGCTCTGCGCGTGGAACTGGGGGATGTTGTCCATGTACAGGTAGTTGCGCTGGATGTTGTACTGCAGGCCGCTCGCGCGGATCAGCCCCTCGGTGTAGGCGTGGTCGCGCGGCAGGAAGGGCATGTCCTCGCCGCCGTCGCCGAGGTCGGCGCCCACGAAGCTCGTGTAGACGATGCGCCGCACGCCCGCGGCCTTGGCTGCGTCGATGACGTTCTTGTGCTGCCTGCGGCGGCCCTTGCCGATCAGCCAGGTGGAGACGAAGGAGACGGCCTCGGCGCCGGCGAAGACGCGCACCAGGTGGGTCGGGTCGTCGTAGTTGAGCATGAGGATCTTGGCGCCTTTTGCCTTGGCCTCGGCTACGAGGTCATCGTGGACGAAACCCGGCTTGTGGCTGGTCAGGACGAGCTCATCGTCTGGGCCGGCGAGGGATAGGGCGTGAGAGGCGGCTACGCTGCCGATGTTGCCGTCGCAGCCTGTCAGGACGTATTTGGGCATTGTGGCGATGGGATGATGGGATCGTGGCTAAGAGGACGGGGAGTCACGAAATTGGACCAGTGGTATGAGACGATCACCAGTGCAGTACAACTAGGGGCGAGCCTTCAGTCCGTGCCTGGAAATAAGATCGAATGGAAGAGTGGAAGACCCCATTTTATATAGATCACATTCACGTGAACCGATCTGGTGGGAAAATGACACGAGATGGGCCTCCTTTTCCCCGTGGAGGACCTGGGTGGGCTGCTGCAGTCTCATGAGCAATATCGGGCCTTGGAAATCGCGGGGGGAGCTCCCTGCGGGTGACAGTCATGCCACTTTTTGCGGATCTCATGAGGTAAACAAAAGTCGCGCGACGAGAGCCGTCCGGACTTCCATTCAATGATTCAGAGAATGCTTAAAAGAGATAATAACCGCGAACGATCCGACGGCACATTCGACTGGTCGTTTGTCGGATTACATTGGCCGAGGTGCCTGTCGGGTGGATGCTGGCTTTGACCCGGCTCACTCTGACCCTGCGGCGGCACTTTCTACCGGCCTCATACGTCCTCTACAACGCAAAATGCCACGTGGAAGAGATCCTGGGGCGTCCACTGACCCCCAAACCTTTCGATCTGCCAATCTGAAAAGATATCCTGCCGGTAGGACACTGTAATGTCAGTTCTGCCTGGTAATACCACCCGTCCGGGAATCTAGTGATGCAAATAACAGCGATTTAAAACTGGAGCTCCGGTGACTGACACGGCTTGGCATGACATCTCAATAGCTTGGCTATTGTGTTGCAGAACGCTTGAGTGCCGCAACCTTGAGACTGTGGTTTCCGGAAACAAGGCGGGCTTGCCGTACCGCGTCCATCGCGGAAACTGATCTGGACACTATATTGCAAAGAAACCTCCCCAGGCGGCATGTTTTATAATGCAGTGCGTCCGACAATGATTGTTTCGCGAGATGAAAGCGACCTTTTCTACGAGATCAAGAATCTATTCTCCCTCCCACATGCACTTCTCAAAATATCTAATTACCTCTTGCCGGTTCTGGGGTACGACCGAAGAGATATCAAGCCGTTTTCTTCATCATCAGCTGGGATCTTCGTTCTCGAAACTGGTCAATTCCTGCCCTATTTCAGCCTCGATGTCAAATACCAACCAAATTAGAATATGAATGGGTCACTAGCCATCGTGACTGCCTGGTCATCTTCACCGAGGTTGACAGGCTTCTGGTATACCCGGCGATACAACCATGTAGCATTAGCGGCGACGGAAGATGCAGGCTAGGGCTCTAAAGTTACCCCCATCTGCTACGCTGGCCAGGATGGTCATAGTGCTTACGCTGTCCAGCAGCGTCATCTCTAAAGTCCCTTGCATGATCCAATCATTGATTGCAAGAAGGCTCTGGACCGAAGACGACATTCTCCCTAAATCTCCGTCCTCCCAAACAACACGCCTTCCATAACCGACAGTCGCAACTTCGCTACTCTCTATTTTGAAGGTAGGAATGCATCCGCTATCGTTGCAGGACTTCCACAAGAAGAATTTAAAGATGGATGTCTAATGGCTCTCCTTCTAAACACCCGACGCCGGTTTGACGACCAGTAAGCTCAAGGGTGTTCTAAAAGGCTGTACTAGTAGGGCTTACCGACCTTGCAGCCATGTCAGACTCGGCAAAGGGGTGGTTCGATGAATGCAGGGAATCGATTGAAGCCTTGCGAAGCTTAAGAGCAGCTGAAAAGCTCGAAGGACTATAAGACCCTCCAACCGGCTCTGGGATATGTTGAATTCATACTTTGACCACAGGCCGACCCATCTTGCCCCCGATAGCGAAGAGCACTCGCAGACATGGCTCAAAAGGATGGACCGTGGTATAAGAACGACGGTGCCAGAGATGTGGTCGATATCTGGAACGATGCCATTCGGCAATATCAAGGCATTGGCGGCAAAGATCTGAAGGCTGGGTACGATCAGTTCAAGAGCTTAAATGCTATGATTGACTTTGGCTGCAAGGAGATGGAGAGCTTCCACGGTTTCCGCTACGATGGCACCAAGGTCGCCAAGCTGCGAGGCCTGTTCAAAGAAGGCATGTGGCTTATTGAGGGAGGGATGCAGCAGGTGGTCGCCGCTGCGACTCCGGCTTTTCCTCCAGCCGCTGCAGTTGGGACCGCTCTTACCTACATGCTAAGTGTGAGCATTGTTCTATCTCCGTGCGCAACGCGCTGATCCATCTAGAACTGGCTGACCTTTGGACAGGCTTGCAAGGAGATGTCGGCGGACTACGATGTCGTAACGACTTTCTTCGTTGACCTCACAATGTTCCTGCGGCGAATGAAGATCCTCGAGAAGCGACTGCCGGAGCAAGGGGCCTTTCATGACTGTGTTTTCGATGTCTTCGCGTCGCTGTTGAGGATGTGCGCAACGGCGACCAGGTACATCGAACTCAAACGATTCAGTAAGCTCTTTCATTGCAACAATCGATATGCTGTTCCATATACACAAATGTCGTCCTGACCTTCTCGCAGAGAAATGGGTGACCACCTTGTTCAAAGGGGGCGACCAGGAGCTAGTAGCTGCGAGAAGTGGCATGGACACGGCAATGAACAATCTGCACGACGCAACAGAGAAGGCAATCCTGGGAAATACTGTGGACCTCCAACGGTCCAGCGGGGAGACACGTGAGCTTTTGCAGCAGATGGAACTGGAGTTGCAGGCGAATTCGGAGGCTTCAATGAAGATTATGGAAGAGCAGTTCTCAATGATGCAAGAGATGGCTGAGAAACAGAACACCATGTTCAACGACGTCAAGAAGCTCCTCGAATTTGAGATGGACCGCCGCCGGAACGAATCCCTCCCAAAGCAGAGCGGGACCAAATCATCTGGGAATGCTAAACCACCCACATCCAACAGCGTGCGCCTCGCCCTCGGATACAGCACAGATCCGGAGAAAGAATACCAGTCCCTTCGGCACTCCCTGATACCAGAGACCGGAACATGGATCTTCGAGCAGCCTGAATGGAAAGCCTGGACTGAGCAGGGCGAGGACGACGATGTCTCGCCCATACTCGCCGTGTCAGGACCCCGTGGGACTGGCAAAAGTCACCTCGCTGCGTCTATTTATGACCGTCTGAAGAAAGACGCCGACGAAACCACATGCGTGGTCCACTTCTACTTCAGGGAAGACACGAAGGACTTGGAAGAGTTCTGCAACGCGGTGAACTGGGCTGTCGTCCAGATCGCAGAGCAGAACGCCACTCTTTGCGACAGAATCAACAAAGAGATGGTCCGGGAGGATCGGAGATGGAGCATCGACGACTCGGAGGACGTCTGGGACAACTTGGTCAAGCCCTTGTTCCCTACTAGTAAGACGCCAAAATACCAACTGAAAATCGTCTTTGACGGGATCGACGAGTTGCCAGTGATGGTTCAAAGAGACGAGCTATTGGGGTGCCTGAAGAAGATTAGGGATGTCAATATTAGCAAGGAGTCGAACGTCAGTGTTATCTGCACTCTCAGAGATGCTAGAGGCGGCGAGAACGACTTGTTGACACAGCTTGAGGAAATTGGTGCGACATCCATCAGTGTGACGAAGGAGAAGCAGGCGCCTGATACCAAGGCTTTGATTTGGGCCCATCTTAACAGCGACAATGTGCTGAAAACATTCGACCCATACATCAAGCAACGGGTTGCGACCAGGATCGAGGAAACCGCCGACTGTAAGTTCCTGCAATTGATCCGACACATATGCCACATCTAATATGCTTGCAGGTATGCTTTACGCTGAACACATGCTTCGCCACTTCAGCATGATTGGGCGTGCGCCTCTTGTCTTAAAGCAGCTAGAGCATTCGATGCCAAAGAGTCTAGAGGATTGCTACGACCGAATCTTGCACGGACTGGAGCAGAAGACGGCCAGCTCGCAGCTGGGAGCCCTGAAGTCATTGCTGGCGTGGCTGTCCTTCTCGGGTCGACCGCTGACACTCGCCGACTCACTCCAGCTGCTCAGAACCGTGTTCAATTCCTCTCTGGACCTGGAATCTGAGCTCCAAGGCAATCAGCTCGCGAGAGTTCTGAAAATTGCTGGACGTGAAGAGCGCCAATCGACTGATACCGACTCAGGAGGTCCAACCATCAGCACCGATGACGACCCGGATGCAAAATACGACGACAGCGATCTTCCCCTCAAATTCCAAGGTCGGTCTATGCGAGACTATTTTCGACAAGCACGAGACGCCACCGAGGATTTGAGGACACCCGCATCTGTGGCCCACCGGAAGATCTTCCTCGTCTGCTGTGACATAATTTGCGGGAAGATCAAGGTGCAAGACGAGAGCCTGAGAAGCTACGCAGCCCGAAACTGGGTCCATCATTTGAGCTGGGCCAACATCACGCTCGAAACAAATGGTGATAGCGCGGCGTGTCTTGAGGGGCTCGGCAACATCATGACCAATGCACGCGGTGCAGCATCTTTCTTTCAAAATCACGGGGTCGACTACGAGGAAGTTCATTCAGACTTCGTGGACGAGTTGCCTGTCACAGACTTCGAGAATGATGGTCTCATCTCCTATATGGCTTACTGGGCAAGTGTGATCTTAAACTTAGCCACGAGCAATGACTTCCTCAGCCAAAGCACCGTAGCCTGGGCAGAAGAAACGATCGAGGATAGGAGAAATGCGTTTGTGCCTCTCGCCAAGGCTCACATCGCGGAATGGCTACAAGTAGCAGATGTTGAATCCGCTTCAACATCGTACAAGTTCTCAAGGTCATGTATTGCATTGGTAAGCATTACGGCTGCGTTTCCTTTCTCATTACAGGGACCCATGTGAGGAAATTTACTAAATCATGTATGTGACCTCAGACAGGCCAAAACTCTCTGTTCAAAAAGACTCCTGGCTCGGAGGAGGAACGCAGGTACGACAAAGAGGAGATTCTCGGGTTGTCAAGAGCCTTTGGCGATGCACCAAAGGCCGCGAATGCGGCATGGGCCATAGCTGCGATTCTTGAGCATTCCAGACATTACGACGCGGCCTTGAGAACCATTTCCGACGCAATTGATAATCTCACCGACACCACAGAAAACTCAGAGAGTTTCAGAACCCTGCATCTCCTTGCTACAGTACAGAGAAATCTCAAAGACTACGAGGCCGCACAGGACTCTATCGCGAGAGCGATGTCTCGGCCAGACGGAATTTCTGCCGACCACCTACGACGCGCTTACATCACGCAGGCTGAGATAAACACTGATCTCGGAAAGACCGATGATGCGATCGAGTCGTACGAACAGGCCAGACAGGCGAACTCGACCGAGCCTCTCAGGGGTGAAATCTTGCGCAAGGAATTCGATGCCTGGAACGAGAACGACAAGGCCGTGGATCTCGTGAAGAACAAGTGGACGCTGCAGGAGAGGCTTGAGTGGATGACTTGGAACTACGCCGACGACAGAGAGCACCACACGGACTTCTTATTCGCCGCGATCGACGCGAACGAGCAAGACTACATCGTTGAGGTATACCAGGAAATCATCGGCCTGCTGGACCACTTCGGCGCGGGAGTGCCGCTGAGGAACATCCTCACGAATTGGTACGCCATGAACGGAGACGTCGACGCAGTCAGGACACAATGCCTCGCCGTCCTCGACAGCACGCTGAACAGCAACAACGGCGACCTATACCGCTTCACCGACGAGGACCCGGCTTACGCGATGTACCGCGCCCTGTGCGTGCTGACGGACACCATCTACGAGCAGTTCCGGGCCACCGCGGACAGGGCCGAAAAGGCGGCGCTCTTCGAGGAGGCCAAGGGGCTGATGAGCCGCCAACTAGTCCGCGCCGTCACGCTGCAGAAGTCGTGGCAGGTCCACTACAAGGTCATCCTCGCGAGGATGGCGCGCAAGCTGGGGCCGTTGCACGAGTTTGAAGACATTCTAAACGAAGGCTTCAACGCTACCGTCGACGCTCTGATGGACGACGTCGCGTGGAACGACGAGATGAACCTGGACCTGTTGTCAATGGTTCTGTCGAGTCTTGATGGCCTGGAGCGCGAGGCGCAGATTGCGTTGTCTGCTCGGTTTTCTGATCTCGAGCCCGACGACGAGGGTACCGCTGCTGCGGAAGGGGGAGACGGGGCGTCCACCTCGAGTGGAAGTGACGACGAAGATGAGGACGAAGACCCCCTGCCGGAGGATGAGGGAGACCTCACAGGTTACACTAGTTATTGCGGCGGCCCGCGTTGCAAAGTGACGTGGCGGGCTTGGAAAGGAAGGAAGATGTACCAGTGTCTCTACTGCTGGGATACGATGCTTTGTGAGTCTTGTTATGAGAAGAGGATGGGATTTAACGCTGGTGTCCCTATTCCCCCTGGTGAGAATTTTTGTGGCCACAACCACAAGTATTTGGGCCCGGTTGATGGTTGGAAAGGGATCAAGAATGGAATGGTATTGATTGAGGGTGAAGAGCCGTTTGCTTTTAAGGACTGGCTGGTTGGATTGAAGGAGAAGAAGTGGCCGGAGGCCTGGAACAGGTTTTGGATGGGTTGAGATGCACCCTCGATTCATTGACATAATGATGAAGCCCAAGATTTCAAATACAGTACATGTTGCCAGAATTATTTATCGTTCGTACCGACTTTCCAATTCCCTCTCCCAGCCGCTTTCTATAAGACATTTGCAAGGTAGTAATGGCAACACTCCGTTACCGAACTCATCGTGAGGAAGATGAAGGGGAGCTGCTGTGGCGCTCAAAAGCAGCCTCGAGCCACTTTCCTGTCCTCCCGTCTGGCAATATATGCGGCCCTAGCAGGCATGGTTTACATGAAAGTAGTCAAGGGATCGGAAGTCCATGTTTAGAGCCTTCTGTTCACAGGCGAATAGCTTCCCTCACGGCCAATAGTGTTGCACGGTACTTGGGATTGAGTTTTGATCGGAGCCATATTTGACCTCACGCGAGCGGTAGGCGACGCATATTGTTTGGGGAGAGGCACGGAAGTGAGCGCAAGCCATCTGGAATGACTGCGTCGATGGCCTCGAGCGTTGTTGCCATCAGTAATTGCAATTGCATCCTTTCGAGGATGTCTTTCGGTTCCTTCGATTCCGAACCACACCGTCTAGTGGGCATAATGTACATGCCGTCGAGCTTTGATCCTCGCACCCCAACCACGCCCTCTTCTTGCAACTCCGTCTTCTACAAGCCTCTCTGCTTGATGCGGTGCATCTTCCATCCGCCTTGTCTTGCTGAAAGCGAGACCCATCGAGCCTCTTCCGCTGAACTCTTTAGCCCAGCTGCGCAACCTCCGCTTGTCCCTTGGCCCGGCTCTCCGCATCGAGCTCCTTCTCCGCCTGCTGGTAGTACTTGGCAGTGTCGACGCCGTGCTGGTTGTGGTTGACAAAGTTGAACCACGGGACGGCATCGAAGAAGGTGGCCGAGTACCTCGACTGCCGCGCCGCGACGCCCTGCATGTGAGGGCTCAGCGTGCTCACGCCGTAGAGGGGCTCGCCGCGCTTGACCTTGTCGACCATCTCCCGCATGTCCAGCTCGACCTCTCGTGCGTTCTCGCTCATGCCGTAGAATCTCACTGTGAAGATGCGCCTGTCAGCAAGCGTCCGTTTCGTATTTCCGCAGGCCCGTCCCCCCGATGTTGTTACCCCTCCTCTGATGTGTGTTCGGTCCAGCCAGGCGTTCACGTACTGATTGATCGTTGGTAGAAGGACAAGAAACCGCCGCAGATTCCGATGAACCCGGCGAGTCGCATCACGCGCGCAAAGGCTCCTCGTCCAGCGTACGACGGTGCGAGCCTCTCCATCGTCCAGAGCAGGCCGGGGCCAGCCGCAGCTGCGACTGCGCCGAAGGCGTAGTCGGATGGCCGTGCATAGGCAATCACCCGCTTGAAATGTCTGTTTCCATTGCTCAATCAGAAAAATCGTTTCGCCTCGAGCGGGGGGGTTCGTCGTACGGGTCATTGTCTATGAGCTTTGGCCGGGGTTAGCAATCGGGCGGTTTCCAAAGTCAATTGGTGTCCATAGCTTACGGGATACTCAGTCTTTATGGTCTTGCTTGGTAAGTACGTCTGCGATGTTGGGTTTGCCATGGTTGCGACGGGCAATCTTGTTGCCAGCGGTGTTGTGGACTGCGATCAAATGCCCAGGGCGATCGATTGTCAATTGAAGCTCGCCGAGTGGACGTCAAGCTTGAGAATCGTTAGCGCCTGAAATGTGAGGCATCAATGGTTCCTCGACCCGACCGGGCGGGCTGAGCCGATGGCACCCACAGGGATCAGGGGCAGCAGGGGCCATTTCCAATTAAGCTGCAAGCTGCGAGACGCGTGCAGCAGCGACCAGACGCGTCTCCCTCTCAGCAACACCATTTTGAGCCTGTCTTGCGATAGAACAACTCTCAAGAGACCTGCCAAATTTGGAGACAAACATCAAGTCATCACACAATGCCGTCAAAAACAGACTCTAGGAATGCTGAACCAGCAGCAAGCAATTTCGACGACCTGGACAACTACTTCATGGACGGAGATGTGGACGATGACCCGTTTGCGTCCCCCAAACCAGAAGACAAGTGGAACAAGCGAAAAGAGCCAGGCGATGGGCTGGGTATCGACGAGGAAGTTTCAGTCGCGAAGAAGACCAGAGTGCCAAGGATCAGACTCGACCAGGACAGGTACGTCCCACATGCAACTCTGGCTGCCTCGTTCGTACGGGTTTCATGCTAACGACTCGGCAGATTACTTTCAGAAAAGGGCATTCCTGCACTCAAAAAACGAGCAGGGAAACTGAAGCTCAAGGGTAAAGGCCATGAGGTAAGTGTGAAGCTCAGCGGCAATCTCATCTGCAACATTGGCTCACCACACCTATTGCAGTGGGGCGACGCATCGCGCCTGATGTCCTTCTACCAGGAATGGCTAGACGACCTTTTCCCCAAGGCCAAGTTCCTAGATGCCTTGGCAATGGTGGAAAAGGCAGGGCATAACAAGATGATGCAGAAGATGAGAGTGGACTGGATCAACGAAGGGAGGCCCAAGTCGAACGTCACGGCCGACGGCGGAGACGACGATGAAACTGCAGGAGAGCAGCAGCAGGAATTCGAGGCGGCAGCACCGCGACAAGCAGATCGGATCGCGCCTATTTTTGAGAGGACTGCAAGCGGTGCTCGTCCGGGCACGCCACCGGTGGAGGACCCGTTTGAGGACGACATCTACGGCGCAACTCCGATGGGTGCAAAGAAGAATAACATGGCGGCGCAAGCAGGAGGTGAACCTGATCAGGATGAGCTTGATGCGCTCATGGCAGAGATGGAGCAGGAGCCGAGTGTCCCAGCGCGACCGACTGGCGGGGCAGCCAAGAGCATATTCGGCGATGGAAAGCCGAAGGCGGCAGAGAAACCAAAACCGACCGAGCCGGACGATGACGATCTTGATGCCCTCATGGCTGAAGCTGAGGCTGAACAGGGTCCCACGAGGCCGCCAGCGGCTGGTGCATCCAGTTCGAAAGCACCTCCAGCGGAGTTCAATGACGAAGAGGAAGCCATGGCGGAGATGGACGGGCTCTGGTGAGGCCTTTGAGGAGGAAATGTAGCGAGTAATATTGTAATGAGCTCATGAGCATTGAACCTTCCTTTACGCCCTGCTGGCCTTCTTCCCTCTGAGAATATGCTTCATTCGCATGCAGGACGATTGCAGTCGTCAGCAAATGGATGCTGCGAGCCCACGGCAGTCTGCATCAGCATTTGTTGGACCTGGCCCTGGTTTGTCATTCCCCCGAAGTAATGTAGAAATAAATATCGCGAACAAAAACCAAAACGTTTTCTTTGTGACTGGTGGTCCTATTTCTTAAACATCTCTCTTGTGAAGGGCAGACGTTTGTGGGTGTAATGGAGGGAGCTGGTATCCGTCCATTTGATGTCATCAATTGAGCTTCATTCACTCCCACGAATTTTGGTGGGGCCAGTTCATCCCACCTCCAGATCACACCCAAACTTCTACAGTGGCTCAGGAGCTTCCAATCAGCACACCATACCCACGAGACTGTCCCTTGCCTTTGTCTGGGATATGGTTGCTTTTCAAAGGCTGGAAAAATGACAAATTCAATAGCAGAAGCTCTCGAGCAGCTTCACCTGGCTGAGGAATCTGCCAATGACGACGCCATCGACGACATCCTCGAGAGAACAGCTCCTCACAGCGAGCGCAAACCAGACCTAGAGGAGCTGAAGAGGCACCTCGAGCAGAAGTATCTGACGCCTTCACAGACTTTCTCGACGGAATGGCTCAATAGGCTGCAACAGTAGGCTCCCCTCCTTTGCGAAACAGCCCGCTGACAGGCACCATTGCTGACGGATACACGTTTCCTAGGCGATGGGACTGCCCAGTCGACTACACCGACCTCTTCGGCATCGCACCTACCCAAACCCGCACCGTAACACGCTTCCATCGCAAAGGTCTCGAGGGCAAGGTCGTCGGCTACAAGAATGTCACCGTTACTGCCAACAGCGCGACAGCAAAGAACTCGACCTCCCTTACGCGGAAGCCCGCCTCCCGAGCAGACTTTGTGCGTGGCGCGGCTGGCTTCTTCCCGTTCGCTCCAGGTGGTCTGGACGGTATCGAAGCTACCGCTGCTCTGGAAGATCAGGCGCTGCGGAACGAGGGGTACCTTGACGTGTCCTCGGGGGCGAACAAGCTCGAGAGGGTCATCACGCTTGGCGAGGAGGGCAGACTTCTAGAGGTTGCGCCTGGGTTGTCAAGGGGCATCGATTTCTCCAAGAAGAAGAAGACAAAGACCGGTGAAGACGAGGCCAAGGAGGTTGAGAAAGAGCTCGACCAGGAGCCAGATCAAATACCTGACGGAGCACAAACGAATGGGGAGGCTGCTGTCAACGGCGATAGTGCTACCCCAGAGGATCAGACGGAACAAGAGGGTGATGACGATGAGGATATCGACGCGATTCTTCCCGTCGAGTTCCCTGCCCTGGAGCCACATGGAAAACTCGTGGCATCGAGTGCTAGAAAGGCTGGCCGTGAGTGGGCGCACATGGTGGACATCAAGCGGGAGATACCCAACTTCCACGAGCTGGTACCCAACCCGGCGAGAGAGTGGCCGTTTGAGCTCGACACTTTCCAGAAGGAGGCTATTTACCATCTTGAGAATGGCGATTCTGTCTTTGTTGCCGCACATACCTCTGCCGGAAAGACGGTCGTGGCTGAGTATGCCATTTCGCTCGCTGCGAAACACATGACAAAGGCTATTTACACTTCACCCATCAAGGCGCTCAGTAACCAGAAGTTCCGCGACTTCCGAGAGACCTTCGATGAGGTCGGAATTCTGACGGGAGACGTTCAGATCAACCCCGAGGCAAGCTGCCTTATCATGACAACGGAGATTTTGAGGAGTATGCTCTACAGAGGAGCTGATGTTATCCGCGACGTTGAGTTTGTGATCTTTGACGAGGTGCACTACGTCAATGACGCGGAGAGAGGAGTGGTCTGGGAAGAGGTCATTATCATGCTTCCCGACCATGTGTCATTGATCCTTCTATCTGCCACTGTGCCGAACACGCACGAGTTCGCTTCGTGGGTAGGGCGGACTAAGAAGAAGGACATATACGTTATCTCGACTCCCAAACGACCAGTACCACTGGAGCACCATCTCTGGGCAAACAAGAATATCTACAAGATCGTGGACTCGGAGAAGAAATTCATTGAGAAAGGTTGGAAGGATGCCAACGGTGCTCTCCAACGCCGAGATCAGCCCAAGGCCAACGACACTGCGAACAATACGCGTGGAGGCGGCAACCAGAGGGGAGGCCGTGGTGGACCCAACCAGAGAGGCGGCAACAACCAGCGCGGAGGTCGTGGAGGTAATAATCAGCGAGGAAGAGGAGGTCCTCCACGAGCGAGCCACAACCCAGGACACATGGGCCGTGCTGGCCGTGTAGGAGGCTTTACATCAGCTGCCCAGGACAAGAACTTGTGGGTTCATCTTGTGCAGTTCCTCAAGAAGTCGACCCTGCTGCCTGCGTGCATTTTCGTTTTCTCAAAAAAGCGATGCGAGGAGAACGCCGATGCGCTGAGCAACCAAGACTTCTCTACGGCTCAGGAGAAGAGCCACATCCACATGATAGTTGAGAAGTCCCTCGCACGACTGAAGCCCGAGGATCGCGTGCTGCCACAAATTATCCGAATGAAGGAGCTTCTGTCACGCGGTATAGCAGTCCACCACGGTGGCCTCCTACCAATAGTCAAGGAATTGGTTGAGATTCTCTTTGCACAGACTCTGGTCAAAGTGCTTTTTGCGACGGAGACGTTCGCCATGGGCCTCAACCTCCCTACCAGAACAGTGGTTTTCTCTGGCTACAGAAAACACGACGGTCACTCATTCCGGAACTTGCACCCAGGCGAGTACACTCAGATGGCCGGTCGAGCAGGAAGACGTGGGCTCGACACTGTCGGATCCGTCATCATTGTCCCTCCAGGCGGTGACGAAGCACCTCCCGTGGTTGACCTACAGAAGATGATTCTCGGTGAACCCCAAAAGCTTCGATCACAGTTCCGGTTGACTTACAACATGATCCTCAATCTCCTCCGGGTCGAAGCTCTCAAGATCGAAGAAATGATTAAGCGCAGTTTCTCTGAGCACGCGACGCAACAATTGTTGCCAGAGCATGAAAAGGCCGTCAAGATATCAGAGGCTGACCTGGCAAAGGTCAAGCGAGACTCTTGTGAGACCTGTGACGTTCACATGGACGAGTGCCATCAGGCCGCGCAGGACTACCGCAGCCTAACGGAAGAGTTGTACAAAGGCATATTAAATATCCCCATCGGCAGGAAGATCTTCTCCCGCGGGGCTCTGATAATATTCCAGAAAGATGGCATCAGGACCCCTGGCATCTTGCTAGCAGATGGGACGGGTCTGCAGGTTTCTGCGGATGTGGGACCTACGGTGCACGTCCTTGAGATTAAGGCGAATAGAGACAGTCGCGACTCGACTGACATGCTCCCTTGCATACCGGCCTTCCGCCCGCTGTTCCAGGAACTTCCGAAAAACAAGAGATACATCCAGACAAAGGTCATGCATGTGCCTCTCTCGGACGTTGAGGTGGTCACAGGCCACCAAACGAAGGGGATCATACCTGAGATCTTCCAAGGTGGCGATGCTGGCAAGGCTGCGAAGGATGCGATTCTTCACATCTGTAAGACTTGGCAGCAACCTCACTTCGACGAGGCTGATCTGCGTCGGATCAAGAGCATGAACTTGCAAGAGATTGTGCAGAAGAGAAAACAGGCCGAGCAAGTGGTCACAGGCTCCGACGCTCTGAAGTGCCCTCAGTTCCTGAAACATGTAAGTGTGATCTCAAAGTTGACAAGCCTGTATATCTGGAAAATTTTGCAACTAACATTTCACCAGTTTGCGATGTGCCATGACCAGTGGCTCATCAAGGAGCACATTGAGCAACTCCGCCAAGCACTCTCAAACCAAAACCTGCAACTCCTCCCTGACTACGAACAGCGCATCCAAGTCCTTAAGGACCTGGAGTTCATCGACGAATCTTCCCGCATCCAGCTCAAGGGCAAGGTAGCATGCGAGATCCACAGCGGCGACGAGCTCGTCCTCACGGAGCTCATCCTCGACAACGTGCTCGCCGACTACGAGCCCGCCGAGATCGCAGCGCTGCTGTCGGCCTTTGTGTTCCAGGAGAAGTCGGACATCGAGCCGTCGCTGACGGGCAGCCTGGAGAAGGGCAGGAACACGATCATCACCATCAGCGAGAAGGTCAACCGGGTGCAGGAGCTGCACCAGGTGATCCAGACGTCGGACGAGAGCAACGATTTCGCGTGCAAGCCCCGGTTCGGGCTCATGGAGGTCGTACACGAGTGGGCGCGCGGCATGAGCTTCAAGAATATCACGGGCCTGACGGACGTGCTCGAGGGCACCATCGTGCGCACCATCTCGCGCCTAGACGAGACATGCCGCGAGGTCAAGAACGCGGCGCGTATTATCGGCGACCCGGAGCTGTATCAGAAGATGCAGACAGCGCAGGAGATGATCAAGAGGGACATCACGGCTGTGGCCAGTCTTTATATGTAGATGGCTTGGTGGGGCCGTTTTCTTCGTATCTTTTCCTATCGGATTGTTTTGACTTCTGCACTGTTTTGAAGGCTCCTGATTCCATCTGTTAGAGACAGAAGCGTGGCGGTTGGCCGGGAGCATTTTCCTCGTTTTCGTCTTACGATATCACGAGCGGGCATACCAGGCGGTCATGGCGAACTAAAAAGGGTGGTTTGTGATAGACCACAATGGATTTAATGATGTACACGGCTGCTTGATGCTCTGATCATTCCAGGGGTTTGCTTGTTGAGACAGCCTGCATACATGCGTCCCTTGCCATGGCCTACAATTTCTAGACATTCTTACTGACAGATTTGCAGTAACCTCCTTTCTTTTCATCATTGACTTGGTCTCGTCGACAGAAACAAACAACGCTCACTCAAGCAGATACAAGCAGCCACTTCGTCCATGCGATTCACCCAGCGGTACACAAAAGATGCAGCCCATCATGCAAGCCATCCGGATCAACCACCCTATACCTGCCCTTCACCGGTCAGCAACTGCCAGCCCAGCCAAGCTAGGCAATGAATAGCAACCTCGAGAGCCTGTCACCGCCCTGCCCGCCTGCATGACCTAGAGAACCCTGGTGGGTGGACAGGCAGGCTAGCTCGTCACCGGACCCGGAGCTAGGGCTGGAAGAGAACACCAGCAAGCGAACTGGCTTCATAAGCCGTGCCGTCTTGTTCCCTCAAGGACACCCGAGACTGCAATATGCCCGAGTGGTTTGGAGCCATGAAGGCACGGCCTCGGTGATGTCCTTTTCATTCTTGCACGGATGGTCGTTGGTTCGAGTCGCTCATGTTGTGGTTTAGCGTGTTTGGTTTTTGAACACCATGATATCCAGCCACCTTTGGACCCTATCATACTTCCTTTCACTCTCTTTCGTTAATATTATGGGTATCATTGATCAGACACCTCTATTTGGACCAGAATCACAAATGTGAATTTTTGAAGTTCTTTGGTGTCTTCAATGCAGCAACAAAGACGAACTGTCGTGTTTGATATGCTGATGATAATTCATATGACTATGAAATGCCCTACTCCACCAACGCCAAACGTAGCCTAATCCATTCCAAATGATCGTGATCCGGTCCTTGTTCTAGAGCCACACAACACACACAACACACACACACACACACACATGTTCCAGCCAGACTCGACACACCACATCACCGGCCCGGCTCGCCCTCGAGACCCAGGGCCTCCTAGGCCCTCAGCGCCCGCAGCCGCTGCTGCAGGGCGTCCTCCTGCTCGGGCGTGGGCTCGGTGGTGGCGTTCTCCTTGACGGGCTCCTCCTTGGACGCCGATGCGGACGCGAGCTCCTGCGAGAGCTCGACGCCGGCGTCGTCGGCCAGCTTGCCCAGCAGCTCGTGCACGGCGTCCTCGGAGACCTGGACCGAGGTCGACTGCGTCATGGCGTCCTGGTAGATGCCGTTGGACATGGCGTACTCCTCGTTCTGGTTCTTGAACTGCTCGAGGGTCACGAGGGTCTGTGGACAATGACAAAAACAGCATGTTAGCCACCGTGTGCCCTGAAGATTTCAGGGAGGGAAGCCTGGGGAAAGGAGGCCGTCGCACCTTTTCCGGGTTCATGTTCTTCTGCGCCCTGCTCATCGTCCGCGAAGACTGCGCCATCATGGCCGTCATGCGGTTCATGGCGTTGTTGGCCTGGATCTGCGCGACCGATAGCTCGGCTACGTCGGCAGCCTGGTCCATCTGCTGGGCGATGGCCTGCTTTGCGAGGAGCATGCGGGCCTTTTGGTAGGCTTGTTGTGTCTCGCCTTTCTTGAGGAGCTATAAGAGTCGAGACACAGCGTCAGTCATCTCGGCTCAGTCCACTCGTGCGTTCTCCGATCTGGAAGTCGGTGTCACTGACAGTCTGGATCTGCTTCTTGAGGTCGCTGTCTGCTTTTTGCGCCTTGGCGGCCTCGCGCCGGGCTTGTTTGGCATTGAACTGTGGAGTGATGGCGAGTTAGTGTCGCACTTCTTCAAGTCGCACTGGCGTGAGTGCCATGATTCAGGCGGAAGGGAATGCGTACCCTCGCCTGGAATTCGGTCTGCATGTCTCGTGCGAGTTGTCGTTGCGACATGGTGGCGGTGGGATGAGGGGCTTATCGCGCGGGTGTGATCAGGTCTGGCTATTGCTCTTGGGAGGTGCGAGAAGTCGCAGTACGCGCGGGGATCGTTGGATATTCGGGTGCGATTGTCGTTGGCGTCGCTTCGATAGGAGATCGTGGTTGCTTGATGATGATGGTCGTTGTAGGATGCAAGTCTGCTGTCTTTGCCTTGCCTAACCTGCCGCCCGCCATGGTCGGTCTCGGCCCCGTGTCGGGTGCCTAGGCCACGGTAGTGGGGCAGGCAAAGCGGGAACTGCGCCACATAGCAATGACGTCCCTGCTCATGTACCCATGTACCTCAGCAGGGAGAGGAGGAACATTGGTGTAAGTCAAGCCACAACATCAGCCTCTCCCAAGTCAACGGCATCATCACTGGAGTTTCATAAAATGGGGGGACTTGAGTGACAGTACACAATGCACTTTCGATTCCATCACTCAGTAATCTTCTTACCAATATTTCTGGCAACTTCGTGTTTCCTCTTGAGTCACATGAACATCTTCAGAATGTCGTCCAAGGCAAAGCTCAACGTGCAGTCATTCCCACGCCCGCCTCTCCTGGAGAAGACACCCAGGCATCTGCAGATCAAGTGGAATGGCCATCTGATAGCTGACACAAAGGACGCATACTGGGCACTCGAGACTCATCATCCTCCGACGTATTATCTTCCGCCCTCGTCTATCAAGGTGCCCCTCGCAAAGACGGCACGGACCACCTATTGCGAGTGGAAGGGTGCTGCCACCTATTGGAGCATCGCGGACCCGGCAAGCTCATCTGGAACGGTCCCGAACAGGATCTGGTCCTATGAGAGGCCGACCAAGGGCTTCGAGGCTATCAAAGACTACTTGTCCTTCTACGCTGGTCCGTGGGACTGCTTTGTGGATGGTGAGAAGGTAGAGGCTCAACCGGGAGACTTCTATGGTGGCTGGGTTACGAGTGACATTGACGGCATTGTCAAGGGTAAAAACGGGAACTGGGATCCTGTACTGTGAGGCAAGATAACAATAATGTTGACGTGGCTTCCTCGGGTTTTTCAAGCAACAGGACATGCTTCGACGGTCGAGTAGACAAGTATGGTCCTGGGACAAAGCTCCTGTGTCTGAGTATTTGCCCTGCCATCTAAATGACAAACACTTAACATCAAATTCAATGTCATCAACACTACTGCAGTGTACGTATGTAAGAACACATATTCCAGGTTCGAAAATCACGAATTCAACCGAAGACACAGGAGCCTTGTTGCCTGCGTCGGTTTGGCCTCGAGCATTCCATCATATAACCACTGGCAAGGTATCAGGCCCTGTGTTCGCCAGAATCTAAAACATTGAACAACCGGGGTACCTAGAGACTACAATAAGCCTTATTTATGAAGACGGATTCTCTTGGTTTCCATTGCGCTCGTGTCGGTGGCACTTCTTGACTCACATTGATGCTGGGCTCTCGAATCTGGGTGCCTCCGTCAGGCTGAAACGTCAGACCGCTCACTGCGATCATCAGGCTACTACTTTGTCTCTTTGGCTTGATTCGAGTTGACCTTCATACAATACCTGAGGCAATGCGCGTGCAGACATGCCCAACACTGTTGGCATCGAGAGCGTCGATGCTCTCCTGTCGAAAAGCAGTATATAAACTGGCTCGTCGGGCCAACCTCGAGCACCTCAACCCTGTTACTGGACACCAACCTCAAACACTACCATTCCCACACTCCACAGTCCTCAAGACATACATTCTTCAGAAACCAGACATTCCATCCCTCACACCCCAAAATGGCGATTCCCAAGAGAAGAAACCAGGGAGACCACCACTCGCCAGCGGCAAAAAAGCGCAAAACGAATACAAAGTTCATGAGTGACGATTTCATGGCAGACTTTCCACCCACGGATGAGCCTCTTGACAGCAGCAATGGCCCACCGCTGCCCTCTACAGTCCTCGAAGATGATGAAATGCAGGATGGCAAGGAAAGAAAGCCTCCCCTACGGTCAACATTCAACATCAAACTCCCCGTACAACTCGAGTACCATGACAACGTCCCCTACGATTGGATTAAAAAGCAATACTCGCACTGCATCATACCTGAGTTAGGAGAGGAGTACAACTTTGCCTTCGAATCTCCAACCTTCTATTGCCTACGGGATCTTCACAACGCTCGAGTCCGGATCCGAGACGGAAAATACCTTCCCGACTACCAGATTTGTAGTCTTGCAACTCGCTGGATTTGCTTGGAAGAGGAGGACAGACCGGCATCTGATGGTTACCTAGCCAATGGCGAAATCTTTGTTGCCACTTGTCTCCCCATTGGCGTGAATGAGGATGATTCTCTCCAGCAGTATTTTGAGATGTCCTACCCAACGGAACTCTCCGCGCAGCATTACATTCCACGCAGCAAGTACTCCGTTCACTTTGTGGGCCAGCCTAATGAGAACGAGAACAACGAGATCCAAGAAGTCAACGTCGGTTCGGTCCTCATTCGTAACACCAGAACCGGTCAAATGGTACACATTGACACCGGGCCGTTCGCCAGCCGCAAGGAAAGAGCGAGAGAGGCAAGAGACGTACTAGGGGCCTGGTTAGAGTTTCAGAAAGAGAAGTGCCCAACAGCCGATCTAGGACCCATCAGCGATTCTGAACCCTTGGTCCTTGACGTGGACAAGGAAACTTCCCCGAGCCTTCGGTCCATCCACGCACTTGTCTCTGCGTCACTGTTCCTTCGCCGCCGCATCACGAACTGGGGCGACGTGAAATCTTTCAGGCTTCGAGGTGTACCTACCTCTACCACCGTGGCAATTTACGCGCTACAGAATATCTCGGGCTGGCTTGGTCTGAGATCCCCGGGGAGGCGTTCCAAAAATGGCACCAAGGCACCCAATAGCTTCCAGGACAACTACGACAAGGATGCCCTGTTTGGCCGAAAGACACCTGCCCCAATATCCCAGCGTATTGCCTCGGCTCAGAAAGGTAGACCGCCCGTCTACAACGAAGAGATAAATCTCGCCGAGAATTCCAGCGACAACGAGGATAGCCTCACCGATGGCAGTACTGCCAGCAGCCGCAATAGCATCGACAGCGACCAGGATACTGTTGTTGCTGGCCAAGTGACAAATAATAATGAGCTAGTCAGTGAGAACGAGGAGAACAATAACGAGGTTGCCAACGACAAGGAATCCGCAACCAAGAAATCAGTCAGCTGGAAGGAATCTATTGAAGAGGAACTCAAGCATGGAGAGTCTGAGGAGCTCAACCAGAAAGATTCCGACGGCGACGACCCCAATCACGGGGATGTCGATGGTGAGAAACCCAGCAGCGACAGTGAGACCAACGGCAATGACGATAACGACCAGAGCTCTCCCGCTTCAACTTGAACTCGTGGCACAGGAGGGTGCGAAGGCAAAGCGGGTGAGATACTCAAGGAGGGCATGATGGTTCGGGATGTGGCTAGTTCACCATTGAACCTCTGTCATCGCTCTCCTGTTCTTCGAAGGGACATCAGGAGGATTACACCAGCAAAAGAGACGCCGCGGGCTGAAAGATTGAGGCTGAAATGGGAATCCCAGGCGCTTGGAGCGAATTCTACATAGACCAACACAATGATCAGATTGTCATTTTGTTCCATACCGAAGCTCCTTTTGTGGTGACTTTGCAGCTAAAGGCTGCAGTTTGTGGGCGATTGATACTGCCGGCTTGGCCTCCATTTACATGCAGTAGCCAGGTTGATCAACACGAAGCGGTAGAAGAAGACCGAACGATTGAAGAATGCTGACTTTCAACTCAAGACTGCTAGTTCTCGAGGTGCATATTATTAACATGACTTCAGTATCCATCGATGGTAAGTTGACAATTTCAAACCCTTGTTTTCTGCCACTAACTCTAACCCACTGATTTCATTCTAATGTGACGCCGTTCCAATACAAATGTATTTCCATGTCACTGTCCGCACTCGAAGATCCAGTCTTGGGACATTCTCATTGATAGCGCCATCGCATTTCGGATTAAATTCGCCTGTTGAGAGATTCTACTTCCTAGGTTTTATGACAACCCCTAATTAGTCTTTTGGGTCGTCTTTTGGACACAAATATGGTATAGGGGGTCACCACTTCGATCAATCACTCTCTTCTCCTCGGATGCACGAACAACAGTCATTGTGACTTCTTCAATCCTAGCCAGAGGATACACAATCACAAAATGGGAACATCCCACGACAACAAATGCCCATCGTGCCCAGTCAGTCAGACAAGTCTGCCCTTCCTTCAGCTCAGCGTACTTTATACTCGCCTTCCACACACTGCCTCGCTTCTTCTCATCCTGTGCCTCAATACCCACCTCCTTGGGCTCAGACCCATTCATATACAAGCCCTTGGGCCGCTTCCCAAAGGGCGGGCCTGTCTCTAGAGCAGTTGCGAGGACATCACCTGCTGACTTGTGTTTCAGGCGCAGCGCGCCGTTGGGCCAGACACGACCCGAAACGTGCATCACAAGCGTGTAAATCGAGCCTACCAAGAACCCGAGGCCGCCCGTGGTGATCTTGGTCGGCATCAGGCCCGGGTCCACACCCAGGACCGAGATTCCGCTCAGGTCCGGGTCTGCGTCCAGCCGGCGTTGGAGCTCGACGCTAAGCGGCGAACCACTGTGTCAGCTGACGTTCGTGGCTTGAAAGGGTAGAAGGTCTATAACTCACATCATCATAGCAAGGCATAGCTTTGACGCTCCATAGCGTCGGATTGCAGCGAACCCCAATCGGTCCTTGGACGGGTCGCCTGGTGGGCTCCAATCGCCTCGAATAACGGAGTCAACGGTCTCGCTGGTGCTATCTGCAAAGATCGTCTTCCATTTTGGGTCATCGTACGCACCAGATGATTTGTTGGCCTCGTCAAGGGGGCTTTGAGCGTCAACGTATTAACTAGCTCAGCCTGGAGACTCCATGGAGATTGGAGATTGTGCACTCACTCGTGGACCCAGCTTCCTACGACAACTATCCTTCCAGACTCGTGGTCCATACTCTGTAGCAATAGGAGGGCTAATAGCCAATACCCCGGGTATTTAGTCGCGAAGGTAATATCAAGGCCGCTTTCAGTCCGCGTCTGGCCTTGGATTTCTCTATAGGCTGCATTGACGAATCAATGCCCGGATGCGCGGAATATCTCCAGATGAAACTTTGGCATTGACAGCGGCCGCAACTTGGCGGACGTTTGCTAGATTCGATAGGTCAAGCGAGAGCGTGTCGTGTGAGTGAGACTGTGTGGCCCGCAGAGATGACTGCAGCGCGGTGGCGGTGTTCGCGTCTCGAACTGTGTATGTTGGCAAGTACGACCCTCGCACTTAGAAGGCTACTTTAGTTATCCCCTTGAGGGCACGTAGCCTCTTAGAATTTAGATAGAATAACACTAATATATAATTGCTTCCCATATAATTATTATATATATAAAAAACCTATTAATATTAATTAATAGTTATAAGTATTATAAATTAATAAGGTAAAAGAGGCAACCTTATAAGGATTTCCCTAATTTAAAAATTATATCCTTCTTATTAATAAGCATTATATAGAAATAATTACTTCTTTAAGCCTCCTTATATCATTAAATTTCTTAAATAAATATTATAAAGATTAAATAAATTAAGTAGCATTCCTTGCAATATTTATATATATATTTATTGCTATTTAAAAAATATGCATTTATTATATATAAAACTTTATTAAAGATAAACCTATTTTTAAATCCTCTTTAAGATTTAGCAAAACTTAATAAAGCTTTATTTTATTAATAAATAAAGCTTATAATTATTATAATTATTAAAGCTAATGCAATGCTATATTATAAATAAATATAAATTATATATTATGCTTTTAGCTAATATAAAAGGATTTAATAATAAAAAAAAGCTTTAGCTTTTAAAGCTTAAAGAAATTAATAACTTTTTCCTTTTAATAATTATAACTTACTTATTATTAAACTATTATTATTAACTTACTTTTAAATATTATTTATTTTATTAATATTTTTTTATTTTATTAATTTTACTTTTTATAATATTTATTATAAAAATTTATAAGCATAGCTAATAATGCTAAAAAGCTATTAGTTTTTATTAAAAGGTATATAGTTAATAAAATGCTTATTTAAACTTTAATTAACTTAGCTTATTATAAATATATTAATTTAAAATTATAATTTATAGCCCTTATATAAAAAGCATTAATAAAATACTTAATTACTTACTTAATAAATACTTTAATAAGCTATATATAATAAAATCTTTATAATAATAATCTTTTTATTACTTATTATAAGGATTATATAATATAAATATAGGTAATATTTAAAGCATTATTAAATTTTTATTAATAATGCTTAAAAGTCTTTCTTTAAATGCAAGGTATTTATATAAAATATAATAATTAACTTATAATATTATAATTAATTGCTATAGCTTAAATTAAAGAAAAATTAAAATAAATTAATAATAAGCTTTATAATGCTTTATTAGCTTTAGAATTAAGTATAAATAAATATTGCATGCAACTTTAAAGATAGTAATTATAAGCATAGCCCTTATAAAAACTATAAATAAGCTTTAAATAATAATAATTATTAAAAGAATAATCCTTAAGATAATATTTATTATTATTATTAGCTTTAAGCATATAATTATAAAACTTAAACTTAATAATATAATTTATTAAAAACTAATATAATTAGCAAAGCTTATTATTATTAATAAAAAGATAAAAATAAAGCTTATATTAAAAATATATATTATACTTAGCATAACCTTAAGCTACCAGAAACGAGCTACCCAAACAATAGGGGATAGGTTCTGCTAAACTCTCTTAAGAACAATTTAAAAAGGAGCTTTAATGCAATAAAAAAAGAAAATAAAAATAAAAAAGAATTAAAGAAAAGGAAAAAATAAATATTTTAAAAATTCTTAAAAATAAAAAAAGCTTAATTAAAGCACTAAATATATAAGAAAAGAAAAGAGTTAATTTCTTAAAAAAATATTTAAAATAAGCATAAAAGCTAGCTTTTTATAATTAGCTAAAATTTAACGTAATACTATTTCTTATATAATTCCTTATACCTATTAATATACCCCTCTTTAAATACTTTATAATAAATATTATAAAAACTATTAAAATAAAACTTTACTATCTTTAATTAAGCTTTTAAGTTTTAAAATTTACCTTATTATAATCCTAATTATTATTATTATTTTTAATCCCTTATTTATTTATTTTATTATAACTTTTGCTTTTTTATAAAAGCTTTAAATATTCCTAAAACCTACTTAATAATATATTTATTAATTATATCCTTTTAATTATTAAAGTTTACTTTAATAATTAATATTAATATAGCTATTAAAAATTTAAATATCTTTATAAAATAAAAAGTAAATTCATTTTTTTTTTTAATTATTATATTAAATATAATATGTTAGCTTTACTAACTTTTACTTTTACTTTTTATAAAGCTTTCGCTTTTGCTTTTACTTCTTATAATACTTTTACTTTTAATATTTATATTTTATATTTAATTACTTAACTAACTTACTTATAAGTTTTTTAAATTATCCTTAAGCAAACTTTATTATTATTTTAATTATTTTAAATTAGCTAATATACTTTAAATTTTATTTATATTTATTATTAAAATAAATAAGCAAAACAAATCCTTATATATATTAAAATAAGCATTTCTTATTAACTTTAAAATATTTTATAATATAATGCTTAAGCTAAAGGCTTATTTAATTAAAGTTATATTTAATTAATTTTAAGCTATTTAAAAATCTATACCTTGCTATATATTAAATATTTAAAATTAAGTTATTAAACCAATTTATATTAAAAGTATTATTTCTCTTATGCCCTTTTTATAATTAATAATAATCTTAATATATTATAATTTAAATAATTATTGCTAAATAATATCCCTTTATAATAAAAGCTTACTTCTTGCTTTAATTACTCTTATATTATTAATCTTAATAAAGAAAACTAATATAAGCATTTAAATAACTTTATTAATCTTATTAAGCTTTAATTAAATAATAAATATTTAAATAATAATATTAATAATAGCTTTAAGCATTTTATAATATATAATTTTAATTAAAAAAGCCTTAGCTTAATTTTATATCTTTTAATTATTCTTTCTTTAATTTTCCTTAAAATAATTTTTAATAAATTTAGCAATATATTATTTATAAAATACTTTATTAATTTATTTTAATCTTAATATAAATTCCTTATTAAAATCTTATATTTTATTTTTTAAAATAACTATTAAATATTTATAAATAAGCGTTTTAATATCCTTATTTATCTTACTTTTTTTATCTTTTAATATAAAACTATTTTATAATAAGTAATAATTCTTTATTTTATTAAAAATTATTATTATTTAATAATTAAATATATAAATAAGCATAATAATAAATTTATAATTCTTTATTAATTTATATTATTAATATTTCTTAAATAAAGTATAATTATAATATAAAGGTTCTTTAAGTAAAAATATAATATTTTAAAAGTTAAAAGGTTGCTAAGTTATAAAGATTATAATATATTAAGTTCTTAATTCTTTATATTTATAAAGCATTCCTTTTATATTAAAGAAATTAAGGGTAAAAAAGGCTTAATATTATTTTATTAAATTTATTAACTTAATTAATTTTCTTAACTTAAAGTAAAAATTAATACTTAAGAAATATTCTTATATTATTTTTATAAGCTTATTATTAAATATTATTTATTTTATATTAAAGAATAATAATTAATTAAAGATTTAAAATTATTAAATATTATTTAAGTAAACCTTATTTATAATAATTCTTATTTTAAAAAAGTTTTTAAAAAAGTTAATATTTACTTTTTAAGCAAAATTTTATTAATTTTAAATATTTATAATATTTAAGAATTATAATGCTTTATTAAATAAATTTTTAAAGTTATTAAAATAAAAAAATTTTATAATTATTAACGTTAAATTATTCTTTCTTAAATTAATAAGCTTAATTATTAAAATTAAGGTATTAAGATTTTAAAGTATTTTATAATATAAAGGTAATTAAAATTACTTTTTTACCTTGCCTTTTTAGCTAAAAGATATTTTAGCTTTTAATTATAAAAAAAAAAGGTAAAAAAATAAGTAATAAAGTAAAAAATAAATAATAAAAGTTAAGTAATAAAAAAAAAAGATATAATAATAAGAAAAGCCTTATACCTTTAAGAATTGTTATATAAATAATTAAGGTAAAAAGAATTAAAAATAAAAAAGAAATATAATTAATATTTAATTATAGCTTAAAGTAACTTTTATAAATAATTATTACTTATTTTTAAATAAGAATTAAATAAAGAAAAAAATTAATATATTAAAAATGCATTATTATTAAAATAGCTAAATAATAATTAACCTTTAATCTTTAATTAATAATAATATAAAGATAAAAAAAAAAAGAAAAAAAAGAAAAGAAGAAAGCTTAACTATAAATAAATAAATATAGCAGTATATATAAGCTAAAGTAGCAAAAGCTAATAACTTACTACCCTTAAGTTAAATAATTACATTAATTAAAAAAAAGAAGCAATAAGAAAGCTTATAAGTTATTATTAAAAGCTATTAATTTATTATTTTATTAATAATTAAAGTAAAAGAATATGCAATTTCCTATTTTTCTTAAATAATAGCTAATTATAAAATACTCCCCTTTTAATTTATAAGTTTATTAAGTATAAATTAAAATAAATTACTTAACTAAAATTCCTTTATAATAAAAAAATAAATAACTTTTTTATAAGCAAGGAATTAAAGATAAATAACTTCTTCTTAATAATAAATTAATCTTAATTAAAAGTAAGATAATAAATTACTTTTTTTAATAATAAGATAATTTATTATTAATATTACCTACCTTTTCTTATTATAGCAACTTTATATATATAAATTTCCTTTTTTCCCTTAAGTTTTTTCTTCCTTCTTCCTTT